ATAGGATGACTACTGAATAGAGTATTACAAAATTCATGAATCCAACCTTGCAATTCATTATCACCGTATTGTCTATTTGTCTGTATATATCACTTAATTCTGCTTTCACATCTACGCCTGTGAGTCCTTTTTATAGATTTTAAGACTCAAAACAAAATCTGATTAATATTAGTTTCACTGACTGTCACATTTTTGTTGTCAATCTAAGGTAACTTGTGTGTGTGTGTGTGTTTTTTATTGATATTTTGACTTAGAAATCTGAACTGTATTAATATTTATTTGATAACACATTTTAAAAACTTTAGATATGTCATTCTATCCATTTATTACCCTCTAGATTAACTGCCATTATAGGATTGTTTTTGAAAAATAGAATAACAAATAAGTTTTTCAAAGCAGAAATTTTAATATATTAATAAGAGAGATAATATTCTGTAGTGTATTAATAAAAGGTATTGTAGAAATTGTAAAATGTTTTCTTAATATGTGTAAAAATGTATAAATGACAATTAAAGTGAAAAGAATTGTGTATACATATCAGTTTATAAGTTTTTTTTTTTTTGGAAAAATATATCAGTTTATAAGTTTAAATTAAAATATGGTTATATATACATCTCATGCCACATTTAATCTTTGCAAATCAAGTTATTTGGTTAAATTATTTTAGGGTGTTTTAAGGTAAACTACACAAGCACAATAACAAAGATATCACACCCCAATTGACCCTTAGAGTTTCATGCTTCAATGTAGTTGGCGTTGTAGTTTCCAGCTTGAATTCTTAAGTTCGGTGACCCAGAAAAGAAAAAAAAGTATTTGTGTAAATAAAAGTTGTTGATACAAATTATAGTTTGCAAATAAGCGTCAGTGTAGTGTTGTTTTTGATATATTTTACGCAAATTTTTAGAAATGTTTACTTTTCGTACATTATCTAAAATTCAGATCATGGTGATGTATGTTCTTTGTGATGTATACATAATCGTGTTAACAAAAACGAAACTCCCACATAACCTCTGATCTCATCCCTCTGAAGCAAAAAGAACGGTCTTCTCAATCCTCATGGGCTTCTAAATTTGACCGTTGATACAACATATTCGAATCGTTGGTGGAATCAAAGCTTCAAGAGGCAGAAGGAGTCAAGTTTATGATCCTTCTTCATATTTTTATTTTTTTTCTTGGAGGCCAATCGAAGCAGCATCATCATCATCAAGTAGGACAAAATCTTGTAAAGTATATGTAGATTTGCAATTTTAAGAGTTGGATATTTTTCATTTCTCGTTTAGTCAGATAGACAAAATAGTATGATAACGGAAATAAGGAGATTAAACAAAACACAAATTTATTTCTCGGTGTAACGGAAATATTATTATTGAAAGAAAAAGACAAAAGAGTAATTACAAGTTACAAATCCAAAGAGAGGAATTTGCGTTAGACTTCCAAACTCATATTCTCGCCTAACTCTGTCAAGTTACCTTCCTTATCCATTGCTCCCATATCATACAAATCGCTCAAGGCCCGAACGAGGGACTCAGGGGGAGGAGGATCAGCAAATTCGAAGGAAAACAAGTCCACCTGACCCAGCCTTTTCAAGATCAAAACTGTTTGGGCAAAATTTAACCGGTTCACAAGTACAATAAACGGAATGACGCAGGAGAAGATATCTTATTAATCAATTGAATATCGAGCTACAACAAGTCAATATCAAAGATTAAACTAAGAGAATCTCGTCTGTCGCTCGTCGTAGATCGTAGTTCGTCGTATCTAGGTTGTTCGTCGATTGCTCGTCGAGAGGCGAAGAACAAATAGCTATTAGGGTTTTTTGTGTTTTTCTGAATGAATCTGTTGGTTCTACGACCTCTTATTTATAGGTGTTCGTCGGTCCTAATCCTTATCGAGTTGGGCTTTAACGTCGGTCGTAACTTTCTATTTCCTACGTCGGTCGTCATTCCCAATTTCCTTTTAATTAGATATGCACGTCGGTCCTCTGCACAACTCTAATAGATTTAGGAAATTGTACAAATCATTGGTCACTGCTAAACCATTAATTAACATCATTGGTCGCTGCCTCTTCATGTCGATGCTAAGGCCTTTTAGACACTAAGAAGTAAGATCGACCGGTCGTCATGGTCGTCAGTCGATCATATCTCCAGCTTATAATAGAGTTTAAGGAGCGACCGGCTAGTGAATTTATTTCACCCAACAACTTGCCCCCTACTCTTCAATTTCTTGTTTAGAATTTGTAGAGTAAGACTTCATTTTCATATCGTCGGTCGCTTGCTCATGTCACTTGTGACTGTTGTTCGTTTACTAACGTCGACGTACGAAAAAGCATATATCGTCTAATGGCATGGTCCCTTTTAAAGTATCCATGAAGATGGACACCCCAGTAGAATAACAAACTCCAAAAGAATATAATTCAAATAAGAAATAGAAAAACATACCTATTTGCGCATTTGTCTGTCGCTCACGCAAGTTCTTCTTAAGGAGAGTGACAAATACTCTTTTTATTTGTATGAAAGTATCCAAAAAGTAAAAGAGACATTTATCTCTCCTGTCGGTCGGTCGCCATTTACTTCTTTTGCTTGTTGCTCATGTGAGCTTTGACTGTAAAATAACAAAGTCATTTTCTCCTTCTATGTTTGGTGTTGATAGTGGGGATCTCCAAAAAGTGACGAGCTTCTATGTAGGTAGGTGACATCATTTAAAAATGGAAAAATAGGAGGGACAGACAATAGTGACAAAAATAAAAATGTAGGAGTGACTAAAGGTAAATGGGCTTCTCTTTTCTTCTTGTGCCCACGTGGGACTCTCCAAAATATTAGTACAACAGACCAATTGCTTGTGTCAGTTGTTTATGTAGAAGATGACCAATGACAAACATGTTTGCTTGTACCTCTTTTTTTTTAAATCGTCGACCTTCATTCTCTCCAGTTTGAAATAAAAGATATTTTTTTAAGTCGCCAGTCGCTGCTGATAATGTTAGTTGGAACCTTGATCATTCCCTAATGTAGATACTATTTACTTTTTTTTGTATGTCGCTCCTTTGTCACCTTTTGTCTTGGTCTTATACGACCTAATAGAAATTAGCAAGAACAAACACTTTTTATATGTTTGCCTTTGGTTGGTCACTCAAAAGTATGTACTTGCCGTGCAACAACAGACATATTGACCTCATGGATCTTATATCAGAGGTGCGCAAGGACATACACACATAGGAGATGCAATGACAAGGATGTAGTCCCCTTTTGGATTTGACCACAACAAATTTATAGGCACGTGGCTCATCTATTGTTGAGCATCGATGATTTCAGAACTTGCTTTCTCAGTGGATAAGCAGTTACTTGATTGTGAGGGTTTTACCCCTTAATTTATTATCATATTTTGATGAGGACGTACCTCTTGATTTTGTAGATGTTGTCACAGATTAAGGACGTACCTCTTCATTTGTTAGCTAATGATTTATGATCATAATATTTGGAGGTCGTGCCCCTTTGTTAATCAAAGAGTGATGTGACATCATAGTCTATTGGAGGTCGTACCTCTAACTTATTTGTTAGCGACTGTCGTCGCTATCTATTGAGTACGTACCTCTTTATTATATCATGACTTATCATGGTGAGGTCGTACCTCTTAATTTATTTAGTAGCGACAGTGTCACTGTATATTGAGGACATGTCTCTCTATCTATTTGCTTATGACTTGTTGTCATAGCATGTGGAGGTCGTACCTCTAAATCAATTATTAGCGACTGTCATCGCTCTTACTATATATTGAGTACATGACTCTTTATGACTTGTCGTCATAACATGTGGAGGTCGTACCTCTAAATTAGTTATCAGCGACTGTCGTCGATGTCGATATACATTGAGTACATGACTCTTATCTTCCTAGTGACCATGGTCAATTTGCTCATGAGGCATTGCCCTTAGTTTTTTTTGAAGAAACGTCGATCGTCGTTGTTGCTCTATCATGAGGAGGCAATGCCCTTTTTTTTTTTTTTACTGTCGTTTGTCATAAGCAGTGCAATGACTGTCGCTCGTCACTAGTTGTGGATACAACGTCGATATTAAAGCGAGTGACGAACATAATCTGAGAATTCTTAAATACTCATATGTAGAAAAACCTTTTATTAAGAAGTTCGTCCGTAGACATGCGCGAAGTAAAGAAAAACAATTGAAAGCAGAGACATCTCGTGGATCGTCTATGACTATGACAATAACGAAATAAATAAAACCAAAACACTGAAAGCCAAACTAACCTAGAAGAGGTAGGTTTCGAGGTTCGTTTCATCAAGATCTTTTTCCGTCAGTGGATCTCACAGAGTTGTTCCACCTCTGCTTCTTTGGTATGTGGAATCGACGATTGGATCTCTAGTTGATATAGCTCATGACCTTTCCCTTTTAGGTAGTTTGGTAGCATGAACGTGCATGCTCTTGTTCTCCCTTGATCTCTTTGACTCCCCATGGAGTAGGAAATTTTATGGTTTGATGGAGTGTCGATGGCACTGCCCCCATGTCATGAATCCAGGACGTCCCATAATTGCGTTGTACGCAGTAGCACAATCTAGTATCAGAAACTTTGTCTGTCGGTTAATTCCTCCTGCATACACAGGCAGCGTCACTTCTCCAACGGTCTGCTTTACTTCACCGCTAAATCCTACCAGTGGTGTAGATTTTCGCGTCAGTGCATTCTCATCCAGCCCTAATCCTTTGTAAGCATCCATGAAGAGAATATTGGTCGAACTCCCATTATCAACGAGTGTCCTTTTCATCAGACTATTAGCAACATTGTCAAAGATATGACTAATGCATCATGATGTGGGAGCTAGGACACATTCATGTCTTCATCTGAAGCAAAGCTAATCGTGCACTTCGACAGTTGTTCGTCCATATAGCTTTGACATCTCCATGATGGTTACTTCTAGCTGTTCTAGTACTCTTTTTAGCAGCAGAATGAGTAATTCCACTATCTCCGATCCTCCCGATATCACGTTGATGATTCGATCATGCTGGAGATTGAGCAGGAGATGGTTTTCTTTGCACCTCGTCATTGCTTCTGTCGTCGATGCGACTCCTAGCCCTGTCGGACAAGTATTCTCTCAAGTGACCTTTTTTTAGTAGCTCGTTTACTTCCATTCTCAACGTGATGCAATCTTCTGTTCGATGACCATGGTCAGAGTGAAAGTCGCACCACTTTGATGTGTCTCTTCGTTCCCCTGGTGCTTTCATCTTTTGAGGCCATCTTACTCCAGATATATGATTAAGAACATTGACTAGTTCTGCAGGAGATATTGCGAGGTTACTCATGTCTGGCCATGTGGATGATGAGCGTTGGTCGCTCTCAATTTGGTTGAGTGGTCGATGGTCGCTTCTCTTGCTAGTGCTTTCACTGCGTGGTCTCTGGTACGGTCTGTCATCTCGAGAGGGACGCTCGTTCCTAACAACGCGCGAATCAGATCGTGGGGAAAGTAGGTGTCGATATGCAGGGTCTTCCTCCCACCTTATTTGAGCCCATGCTCTAGATAGCACATCTTCCATCGTTCTGCACTGGTACTTCGTCAGTTCCTTGTACAAATCACTGTCTGGGAGCAATCCTCTTTTGAATGCAGAGATGGCAGTGGACGTGACACATGCCGGAATGGATACTTTCTCTTTGTTGAAGCGACCTACGTAATCGCGCAACGGTTCTCCTCTCTTCTGTATCACTTCATAGAGATCGTCGGCTGTCCTTTCTATGTTCCTGCTGCTCGCGAATTGCTCAACAAAGCGGTCTGTCAATGACGCGAACGAGTCGATTGACGCGTTCGGTAGGTTCGTAAACCACTGAAGAGCTGGTCCCGTGAGGCTAGATCCAAATCCTTTACACATACTAGCTTCGCGATATTCTTTTGCTATTGCCGTTGTGAACATGCGTTGCTTGTACTGGGCTATATGATTATCAGGGTCGGTCGTCCCGTCGTACATCTTCATTGAAGGGACGATGAACTTCTTTGGCATCTCAACCAAAGCGATGGCATCCGTGAAGGGAGTGTCTGCATAGCAATTAGGAGCACTTTTGGTGATTGGAGGAGCTACTCCTGGAAGTCGCGCGAGCAAGAGCTCCATAGCCTCCAATCGCTTTGAGAACATAGTATGCGAGTCTTCAGATTGATGTTCCATCGTTGGTGCAAGGGGTGGAACCAATGTTTGGTTACCTTGCGCAGCGTCGGTAGCTCCTGCTCCTAGGGTTGCTCCTGTTGCACCCGTAAGTGGTGGAGTGTCGAACGATTGCATAGGAGGGACCGGTTCTCGATATCTATTGCGAGCCTGAGTCAATGACGCGTTTTCTGCTCGTAGGGTTGCGTTCTCCGCCTGGATTTGCGCAAGTCGTTCTTCGTTCTGCTTCATCTGAGCTGTGAGAGCCTCCAGCTGAGCAACGGTGACGGTCGGTGTTTCGGTCGGTGCGGTATCATCTCCCGCCGCCATGTCTCACGCAGTTAAAATTGCCCCTCCTTCTAGCGCCAAACTGTTTGGGCAAAATTTAACCGGTTCGCAAGTACAATAAACGGAATGACGCAGGAGAAGATATCTTATTAATCAATTGAATATCGAGCTACAACAAGTCAATATCAAAGATTAAACTAAGAGAATCTCGTCTGTCGCTCGTCGTAGATCGTAGTTCGTCGTATCTAGGTTGTTCGTCGCTTGCTCGTCGAGAGGCGAAGAACAAGTAGCTATTAGGGTTTTTGTGTGTTTTTCTGAATGTCTGTTGGTTCTAGGACCTCTTATTTATAGGTGTTGTCGGTCCTAATCCTTATCGAGTTGGGCTTTGACGTCGGTCGTAACTTTCTATTTCCTACGTCGGTCGTCATTCCTAATTTCCTTTTAATTAGATATGCACGTCGGTCCTCTGCACAACTCTAATAGATTTAGGAAATTGTACAAACCATTGGTCATTGCTAAACCATTAATTAACATCGTTGGTCGCTGCCTCTTCATGTCGATGCTAAGGCCTTTTAGACACTAAGAAGTAAGATCGACCGGTCGTCATGGTCGTCAGTCGATCATATCTCCAGCTTATAATAGAGTTTAAGGAGCGACCGGCTAGTGAATTTATTTCACCCAACAAGAACTGTGTTTACAAGGTTTGATCTACATATCTCAGGAAATGGCGAGTCACTCAAGTCACTGAGATTTTGCTGAGTGTAAAGCCTGAAGCATTTTCCAGGCCGTGTTCTACCGGCACGACCCGCTCTCTGGTCAGCACTGGCCTTGGATATTGGGGACACCAACACGGACTGGATACCAGTGCGTGGGTTGTAGACTTTCTGCCTGGAGAAACCAGGATCGACCACGTAAACAATCCCGTCGATGCTTAAAGAAGCCTCTGCAACGACAATCTTTCTCACAGGTGTAGGATCGAAAATCATGTGTTGCCTGGCAGGCGTAAGAGTGGAGGAATACAATGGCAAAACTATGACTTGCTCTCCAAGCGAACGGGAAATTCTGCTGCAAGCAACTTGAATCTCTTCTTCCCCGGTCAAGAAAACAACAACATCACCAGGTGGCTCACACGTGTGAATCTGGATAACTTTGCTTATAGCAGCCTCGAGATAGTCCATGACAGGTTGTCGAGTATACAAGATCTCCACAGGATGGAGCCTACCAGGGACTGTGATGAGAGGAGGCTCACTTCTAAACACATCCCTGTGGAACCAGGGGTTTGCACTCATCACAACCAGCTTAAGATCAGGTCGGCTAATCAATGCTTCTTTGAGGATACCAGAAAGCAAATCAGTGGGCAGACTTTTTTCATGAGCCTCGTCCAGAACAATCACTTTGTATCTCTCTAAGAGTGGATCCGCCGCCGCTTCTCTCAGAAGCATTCCACCGGTCAGGTACTTGAGCACCGTCTGGGGGCTGCTGCAATCCTCAAAACGGACTGAGTAACCGACTTCTTGCCCGATCTCTACACCCATCTCTTGAGCAACACGACGGGCCGCAGACATGGCCGCAACTCTACGAGTTTGCGTGCACCCAACCACCCACTTTCTAGGGTTAGGGTTTTTTTCATCGGCGATTGCTTCTAAAACAAACTGTGGGATCTGCGTGGTTTTACCACAGCCGGTCTCACCCACAAGCATCACTATCTGATTTTCCTTGAAAGTTTTGAGAAACTCTTGTTTCTGCACCCACACTGGTAGATTCCTACGTTCCTCCAATACTTCGTAATACCTCGCCTTGTTCATCATCATCATATCGATTCTCTCCTTCTCTCTTTTTTCTCTGTCTCCTTGTGACCACTTAGCTGTATATTTATAGCAAATCCTCTTTTCCTTTTCTCCGAGTGTATTTGGAAATTTTCCTTTTCAAGCTCCAGAAGGTGCCTGCCTGTAAAATATAATATGAAACACTAAGTAAGGAAATATAGGACCAAAATAGGTAATATGCAAGAACAAATCGCTCAATAATACAGTCATATATGAAGATTGCACATGCGTCATATAACTCGGCGTGCTCAATCGCCAATCTTTTCACGGTTACCTCCATCGCCAGTTACAATGTAAACTCTGTTCGACCTTGGTCTATCATTACCATATATGCCAAAGGCAAAGATAACGAGACAGGCTTTCTGTTCGGCGGGGTCTAGCTTACATGTCCGTTGAAGACAATACCGGAATAAGACATAACAAAGTGTACCAAAAATAAAAGACAAAACAAGGCAGAGCCAGATGGCTAAAGCAGATCGCAAAATGAAGAGAAAAGAAAGCTAGAAAACCAACTAAATCAGAGACGCTATGCCATATCCAACCAAACCCAGATCATAACGAGTCTAGAGACAAAACAAGAGAATTCACAGGACAATATACTAAGAGAAACCAGTGACAAAACAAGGCAAAACCAGATGATAACATTAAGCCACAAACAGAGGTAACAAAAAGAAAGGTACAACATTAGACTAAGCAGATTACGAGACCCATAAAGGAAAAAAAAAAACACATCGTAACACTAAGCAAAACCATATACAAATCAAGGCATAAACTCAAAAGAGATGGTCGTTTTCTTTGACAAGATAACGAGTACAAAACTCAAAAGAAAAGCTATTGAAATCAAAATAGAACGAGTAAACCCGATTACCTCATCATTTTGCAAGGTCTAGCAGCAGTTCCAAATCCTGAAATTTAGAAACTCGTCCCCGCCGTCTCTCTTAGAAACCGATAACTTACTTTTCAGGTTTGTTATAATTAACACAAGAAATCCCTCTCAATCTCTACCAATCGACTATCTAAAACCATAAATTTCCCCACTTTCAGAAATTAGGGTTTAGAGATGAATTTGGGAATTTTCAGATGATATAACTCGGACTGCGAACAACATTATGCATAAAAGTTTTTTGGCCACATTTCATGTTGTATTCATAAATTCAAAACGGAACGTTTTGTTTTGACAGGACTTGAAACATAAACAAGCACATTAACAGCCAAATCTTCACTTTCATGGGGGCCGCAAGAATCTACCTTTAGATTGAAGTAAATAAAAACTTTAAAGAGTTAAAAAGCGTTGGTGATAACATTTATTACGTAATACTATATATATGCTGTATATAAATCACGGAAAATTCAATAAATGAAAATGTGATCATAAGAGTGTGGCGGGAAAATGAACTTGCGACCCATATCATGATCATATGGAATCATGATCGGAGGAAAGAGCCAGTGACGCGACGGCGGATAGAAAGTTTTTAAAGTGCCCGATTAAAATAGTCATCATCGTTAAACAACAAATATTGACTAGTCCTTTCACTCGCAACTATGATAATGAGACCGAAAAATAATACTCCCAATGAGAAGATTGTTGTTTTTTATGTATACATTTCAGATTTGGGTTTATACGTAGTGTAGTTCCAACAGATTTGTATTATACTTGTGGTATATAGTTACACAGTGATGTTTTTTTTACTATATTAATTACATATCCCAATATTCTGTGGTGGAGAAATCTATCTAACCATCAAAAGAGTGCATTTTTTTCCTGAGCGAACTTCACAGAATAAGTAGGGCCTGGCTAAAGATCTGAGTTTAACCGACTTCCTTCAAATCCAGCTTCCCGTTCCTTCGAAATTTGTATTCCAAAAAAGCCGTCCACGCATATGCTATTTCCTTTAGGCCTGGGCATAAAAACTGACCCGAAGGATCCGATCCGGAACCGATCCGAAAAAATGGATCCGGAACCGGTCCGAAAAAGACATAAATATCCGAACGGATCCTAAACTCCTATACCCGAAAGAACCGGAACCGACCCGGTACCGAACCGAGAACCGAATGGGTACCCGAAATATCCAAAATATAATTATATTCCTAAAAATGTTTAGTCTTAAAATAACTAAAATATTTAAAATTACAATTATTAACCAAATATATTAGTTATATTTAGCACAAAATAACCAAAATCTAATATATCATAATATATGTAGTTATATTTTGTAATATTGAATATATTTTATAAAATTTAACTCAATTTTATTTAAATTAAATTATTATTTTATTTTTATTTTGTCTTTTATAGCTAAAATTTGGGTACCGAGAACCGACCCGGACCCGAGAGGAACCGATCCGGACCCGAACCGATTATGACACGGTTCCTATATGGATAAAAAACTTTTATATCCGTAAGACCCGAAACCGAAAGAACCGACCCGGAACCGATCCGAGTACCTATTATGCCCGGGCCTAATTTCCTTCATGCTGCCTCTAGTAATGGTGGTTTGACAAATTCCCCACATGTTGTTTCTTCCATAGTTACTATATCTATAGTTGTCATTTTCTCATATAGCTTAATTTAGTTTGTAAATAATGAATATCGTCCAATCCTTTTTGCATACGATCCAAATGTTGAGGAGCTATTTGATCTCACGTCTTTGGGTCTTATACTCCATTTCCTCCCTTTATGTTTTTTTTTTTTTTTTTTTTAGGATTCTAGTAACTTTCATTATCGCTCTTTAATCACTGCTATTAGCATTACACTATTTCCGCGTTTACGATTCAAATATGTCAAAGCAAAGTTATCGAAATGTAGACGTAAAAATTTGGTTGGTTGTTCGAGACAACCAACGAAACGATCTAGCGCGCACAGACTCACACACAAACACACACACACACACACAAACACACACACACACACACACACACACACACACACAAACACACACACACACACACACACACAACATGAAGACTTATCCCCCCAAAAAATATGATCCTGATGTATTTGTTTGTAAATAAACCGAACAATGAATCATATATACTTACAAAATCATGGTTTGTGATTTAATTTTACGCAGTCGGTTATAATTGCGTTATGATGTGGTAATTGGGTAGATATGTGGGCTTCTTAGGTGTTGGAAAGATTAAAAATTAATTAACAAAGTAGGAGAAAAAAGGTTTGGGGCTTTTACGGAAATGCTTAGGAATTAAAAGAGCGTTTCTGTAAATGTTTGAGGATCATAGTACAAATCTCCCTCGACAGTATCTTATATATAATTAGAGAGTTTGCTCTCTTCATCTAGAGTATCCACATCATCACAAATACATTAAATTGTATTTTAAATACTTATTAAATATATGACTATTCATATTTCTTTACATTTATTTATATTTAATAAAAAGATACAAATAAATAAATTAATTAATAGAAAGTATGTGATAATTTGATGTTAAAAGTTATCAAAAAGTTGGAATATAAGATAGAGATGGAGTAAAGAAATATTTAACTTCAAATAGTATATATTTACCTTTTTCAAAGGATTATCCTACTTAAAAATGTTATAATGTGTTTACAAGTTAAAAAGTTGAATATAAATTAACTAAGATAATAAAAAGCTAATGAAAAATTAGAGTTAGAGTTTGTTTTTCTAAACAAATAGAAATGGATTTTATATGTAAATTTAATTGTAGTGAAAAACAAGAATATGTTTATAATTTTTAACCATCAGTCAAATGGCTAATGAAAAGTTAGAGTTAGAGTTTTTGTTCTAAACAAATAGAAATGGAGTTTTATATGTAAATTTAATTGTAGTGAAAACAAAAATATGTCTACAAATTTTAACATTTAGTCAAATGGTCAAATGCATATACATATTTATAAATTTTAACCTTCAATCAAATACATATACACGTTTACAGTCTAATAGAAGTAAAAAAAAAGTAATCAAACATAATATTTATAACATGATCAAATTTTAGAAATAGAAAAATCAAGATAAAGTGGGGTGTTAATATCCTAATAAATTAAGAAAAAAGCAAATTATTCATATTTTTTTAGTGTCAAAACATAACAAACACATGAAAGTTAATACAAAACCATCATAATTCAAATCAACGAATATAAATAAAATTAAACAAATAAACTATTACAAACAACCCCGCGCTTGCGCAGAGCTTCAAATCTAGTTATAATAATAATAATTCGTGGCTATGAGAGCATCTCCAGCGGTGGTATCAGCCCAGTTTTTAGATGGATATCAGACTAATTTTGTTTAAAAAGAAAAGTTTTAATCCGAAATAAAGCATGAAACGTATCCAAACGAAGGAACTTCTCAGACTCTCTGATACCCTAACGTGGCATCTTTTGGTTGGTTGAGTTTAAAAAATTAAAAACATTAAAAAAGTGGAAAAGGCTAAATTCTTTCCTCAGACACGTTCCATGGTGAAATGGGACCCACATACTTGGACTAAAGATCTCTACCGTTCAGTGATTACCCAATTACCAATAAAAATCATCTAACGGTCCGGAAACATAAAATGTGACATACATTTAAAGACAAAGCATTTTCATTTTTTTTTTAGATACTCTATAAGGGTATCACCATTGGAAGAGAAAACATAAATATCAAACCCAAGTCTCTTGAACAAAAAAGATTAACAAAAAAACTAATTTTAAATGTTGTGATATCCATATGAGGGTATCACTAATGGAGATGCTATGAGCACGTTTTCACTATTTCAGCGTTTAGCGTTTAGGCCTGAAAGCGTTTCCCATCCCCATCGCCGGAGCTCAGCGATCTACCCTGTAATGCCCGATCTCCGGTAATACAAGCCGGCGAGAGAAGAATCCGGCGTTTATCAGTGAGTCCCGAATATGGTCAGACTTGTTCTATCCTGGATCCCTTTCTTAATTTTGCAATCGTGTTTGGTTGCCATGGCTTCCGAGTCGAAGAATCCAGCGAGGCATTGCTTCTGAAGCCTTAGCCCCATTTCGAGAACCGAGCTCCTCCGTCGAACTCGCATGGACGTCACCACCATCTCTTCCCGGAAGCTATCTCTCAGTTCAGTTGGTAAGTAATAATCTCTTCCTTTTACAAAGCAGAAAATGTATTGAGCTTAGAAATTAGAGAGGAAATTTTGGTACGTACTGGTTTTGGGTGGAAGCGAAATTTCAGCTGGGATGCAATCAGATCGGTTAAGAAATTGGAATTGGAAAACTTGTACGAATTGTTCCGATGAAACTTTTACCATATCATTCTAGCTCTTGTGATCTTGAAATGGGGTCAAAAGAACTGATCTTGAGTGTGAGAAGACTGTTGGTGTTAACTAATGTTAAGCATGAATTTGGCTTACCTCTTTCGGTGTAGTTGTTTTGGTTTTCTGTAATCTCAGGAACATGAATTTTGTAACAGGTTCAGATACTTCGGGCCAAGGAGATGGAGCTCTGAGCTCTCTGCTGAGGCTCGAGCTGTGGGCTGTGTCTGATGTTCCTCGGTCTCAGGTTGATACTTGCCGGAACAACTCTTAACCCACGCGCTGTCAGGGCTTTTCTGTGCTTCCATCAACTCTCTAGAATCCTCCACTTGGTATGCTGCTCCTACTTGGGGGTTTGGGCCAAACTCAGACAAGCTGAGGTATGGTTCACTGCCACGTGAAGCTGTTCGTACCGAGCACTTGACACTTGACCCCGTGGCTAAAGCTGCTCCCGTGCTGGAGCAGACTCTCACTGTTGTTCTTCAGCCCGAAACTGTTTCTGCTGGAACACAGATATGTTCTTGCAAAGATGGTTCCTCAGATACCTCTTTGGGAGGAAAGTTGTCCGGAGATGTGTCCTTGCAAAGTCGAGAGCAATGTGTCTGGTCATGAACTAAAGAAGTTGGATACAGAGATAGAAGCAGACAAACTCTGGAAGAAGGCAGCCAGACCAGGATTCTTCCCCAAGTCAGCAGCGAGCCATTTGGTCTTGGCCTCACTTGGAAGCTTCCCATGTCCTCTGGTTTTGCTGCAGGAAAAACCTCTGGTACTGCTTGTACCATTGACAAGCCCTGATTTTAGACGAATAGGTGAAGACTGAAGAGGAAAGGTTTCTGAAATTATGACACCATTTGTCATTGTTGCGCGTAGAAGTAATGATGTTGAGATCAGAGAAATTATCATCCGATGTGTTTCTCAAATGGTATTGTCTCGTGTAAAGAATGTTAAGTCCGGATGGAAAAGCATGTTTATATTTCCCTTGTAACTACATGTATACAAGAAGTCTTGGTTTTAATCGTGTGACCTCACAATTTGTATTCAAGAAGTTTTAACGTAGTTGAAAGAAGCGAAGACATGCTTGATAAACCTCTCATCAACAAGATTGCATATCTTTAAAGAACAAGAACTCTGTTTTCATTCATGATCTGTCTCCATCTCATGTTACATGAATGTGAAAAAATAACAAAACCCTAGTAGATCGTATCCCCTTCAAGCAAGCATCCCTCCACTTCAAGCATTCCTATCAGCAGCTCCACTTAGCTAAGCTCCACGAAATTCCAGAAACTAAATCTGCTACCACCTCCACCTCCAGCTCTTGCCACTGCCTTCTTGTGAACTTGGAGAGTCTTGGGATTGTACAAGTACAAGTACAAGACTCTCCCTTCACTTTGTGAGTAGACAACTTCTCCACCTCTCGCTATACCTTCGAATGCCAAAGCTGGCCAGGGCTTGATCAGTTCGCAGATTGAAGGGGGAGTTTGTATGAGGAGCGTGGACCACTTGTCCTCTTGTGCATCCTCCAGTATCATAATTCTGCGATCGCCTCCATGTTCCAAAAAGGAAACTCCAACACAACCTCTTATCTCCAACAAAGTAGATCCCCAATAATAGATTCCCAAAGTGGAATCATAAGGCACTTCATTCACCTTGTATCTCTCTGTAGGAAGATGGAACCTCATGATCCCAATCTTCTTCTTCTTGACTAGATGAGCAGGGTAAAAGATGGTGTCTTTGAGGCAGATGGACTTGGATTCATGGCTGATGCTGCAAGGATATATGGCATGAGGGAATTCACAATCAATTGCCCTCCACTCTAGAGGCCTAGCAGGATCCAGGGTTAGCACGTGGTGGTTGATCCAATCCCCACCTTCTTCAGCTTTGCACATCCCCAAGATCTTGTAGAAGCAGCATGAGAAATCGAAACCTACATACGACTTGGCTTCACCGTGGGTTTTGGGGAAAATGGGCAAATCGAGAGAAAAGCCATTGGTAGGCTTGAATATTGACACTTTCTTTCCATAACCAGAGACGATCATGCCCATCGCCTGCTCCATCTGATTAGTTGGCTTGGGAGTTGAATGGAGGAAAGAAGACGATGTCGATGATTTTGCAAGATTCACGGTTGTGAAATCCCAACCCTCCGAAGCCAAAAGAAGTGTCTCGTCATCGGCTTCTAGGTTGCGGCGAAGATAGCGCTCCTGGAACTCTGGATTTCCGACGATGGATTTGACTATGGGCGATACACAAATCAAGCTTCTCATGACTTCTACCGTACACTTGCAGAGAATTTCTTCGGTCAACTCGGAAGGGAGTTTCTCCAACATAAATCTTCTTCTTCTCATTCTATTTGCTGGTGGATCCATTGGAAGTTGAGAGAGAGAGAGAGAGAGAGAGAGAGAGAGAGAGAGAGAGAGAGAGAGAGAGATGATAGAGAGATGAGAGAGAGAGAGAGAGATGATAGAGAGATGATAGAGAGATGAGAGAATCTGACCAGTGAGAGATGACTCGGCTCTTTATACACTCTCTCTTTCTTTGTTGCTTGCACACAACGGCTCTTTTTTTGAATCTTACTAATGGTTGCGAGATGGTGTTTTTGGGCATTTGAAATGTTTAACACAACACTCTGTTTCTTTACTTGCACCCAACGGCTCCTTTTTTGAGAGTTTTAAATCTTTTCGACCGTTGACCTTGTCTCAGGTGAGCTTAACATCCAATACGCCAACCCTTCCAAGTGAAGTTTGCTGTACAATGATAATCTATGGTTATAATCCTTCCAACAAATTAGGCTTATTATTTGGCCCTAGATTTGGTGGAAACTTGAATATGAACTGGTCCCTAAGCTGATAAGTGAACTTCAATTACAAAAAAATACATTTGGCTCGCCTATAGAGAATGTGTGCTATACAAGCAACATTTCTACATTTTTGTTTATTTTATATCTTTGTTTATTCAAATTTGAATACTGGTAGAGAGAACTTGCTGACAAATGCTAACATTCACTTTTGCTCGAACAAGTATTTAATGGATCGTGCATTAACATTAATCTAAGTTGCTTCCCACACATTCGAATATTGCCATGTTGGAGAGAAAATTTTGTAAACCTATCCAATTTTCATTTTTTAAAAACACAAGGATAACAGAAATTATAGGTAATTCATAGATAGAAACAAAAGTAACATAGAACACATTACACCATTTTTGCTGACAACGGACTGAAACACAAATACTGATAAGAAATAGAAACAATAGCAATAAGCAACAATAATCAAGATAAACAGAGGATATTAGACATGTGACTCAAAAGCCATCCTCTTGTAGTAACAACACCATTTGCCTTATTCAGTGACCTTCACTTTTACTTATCTTTTCCGACTGGTGCCTTGGCCTTAGCTCCGTCTGGAGAGTTAATCTCATCCCAAGCTTCGATCCAAGTGACCATTCCATCTGCAAGCTTGATGAAGTAAGGGTCCACCTTTCCAAGTTTCTCTTTCACAAGCTTAGCCATCTCAATGTAGCATTGCTGCACAGAAGTGCACTCTTTAGGTAGAGTCACAGACTGAAAGAAAGGAATCGCTTCTTCCTGCCAGAAGATTCCATTGTATTCCTTCCTCAGGTTCACGAGTGTGTTGCTGGCTTTGCTGTGCCATATGTATGGCAAACCTGTCTTCACTCCCCATCCCATGTGGTCACATATCACCTACATTTTTTATTTAAAAATTATTAGTTTACTTGACAAATGATTTAAATAAATCTTTAGCTTACTACACAAATGCAATGAAATAAGAACTGCGTTTACCTTGACACACCAACCAGCCCACATGTCGTCGTAGCGTCCGATTGGCTGTCCATCACCCATATGTCCGAAATACATAGCCGGACCAATCAGCTCCCGGTCAAAGCAAGATTCATACCGCACATAGGAAACAGAGTTCCTTTGGGGAATGGTCATGACCGCATCAACATACCTGCATTTAACCAAAAAAACGAACCAGTAAGCAAAAACAGAAGCACTGGTTCAAGAAAAAAAGGAGGCATAGCAAAACTGGTTTGTTCAAATTTCCTGGTGTTTCTTTCAAGAGGTTTCACAAGCTGAGTTGGAGCATCATAGTCAGGGATGTTGAGCCAGAGGCCATGACAGAGCGTAAGTTCAATTTTTGTATACACTTTCACAGTCTTGGCCTGAATGACTTGAGGTATACTTTCCAAACCTACTTACTTTCTTGATGTTACATAGATACTAGCCTGAATTCGTATAAAGATTTTTGTAATACTATGTTTTCCTTATAAAAATGGGTTGATGTCAAGTTTATGATCCAAGATCAGAGGGAGGCCAATCGAAGCATCATCATCATCATCAAGTAGAACCAGATCTTGTACAACATTTTAAACACTAGTCTTGTTTAACATCAAATCAGTACTCTTGCTTTTCCTGAATATATTTAGTGATTGTCCTTCACATAGACACATTGAAAAACCCCAGAAGGCCAGAATTGATATATCTCAAAGTCTTTGGCCTTGTTATTTTTAATATCATCTCCTCTGTTTTTGCCTCAGTCATCTTCCTTCCAATGCTTTCACTGGCCCATTGTCCGAAGAACTTTGGATTTCTCAACAAGAACTTGAGTGATAGGTAAGAGAACTTAGTCTTACATGGCTGAGACTCCAACTTACAAGTCAGGTTGTTTTATATAATTATAGTTTTCAATCACTTCATAGTTGTTCTTGTTGAATTATTGAGAACGAAACAGAGGAGGAGAAGAAAGAGACAAAAAAAACAGAGCAAGAGATTACTCATCTCTTCTCTTATGGAAAAAGAAACGAAGTTTAGACTTTCATTGATCTGAAACTTGATTGATGTTTACATCACGTGGTAGCATTGTTATATATTAAGACAGAACACAACAAAGAGTTGTGTCTCTTCATTGTTACTCTTAAAGGAACCAACACCTCTTAACCTAAAAGCGAGGACTTAAGTAACTGTCAAGTAACTAACAAATATGTAAATGTGGATCTAACTTGTAAATGATAGATTTAACTTATGTAAATGTGATATTGGTTTAGAGATATGATTATGGTTTCAACAGTTCTCATTGACTAATTCTACTTGGTTGTCTATTTCTTATAAAAATTGATATCCTTCATTTTTTGTTTCGGGAGGCCAATCGAAGCACCACCACCATCATCATCGTCCGAGTCACATGCAGCTCGAACTTGAGTATTTGCATAATATGGCAATATTTTTCGGCTTGTAAAATACGTATCAACAAGGTATTTTGGACCCCGGTTTGTTTTCATTTCTCGTTTAGTCAGATAGACAAAATATGATAACAATCCTACATGTAGGGAATTAATCAATACATATATGTTTATTTCTCATTATGAGAAAAAAAAAAAAAAGGAGTATTCAATTTACACGAGTTATAATAAATTCAAAGAGAGGACTTCCAAGCTCATCTCCTCGCCTAGCTCTGTCAAGTTACCTTCATCATCAATTGCTCCCAGATAACACAAATCGTTCAAGGCCCACATGAAGGACTCAGGGTGAGGAGGATCAACAACTTCGAAGGATAACAAGTTCACATGACCCAGCAGCCTTTTCAAGATCAGAACCGTGTTTTCAAGGTTTGATCTACATATCTCAGGAACTCGCGACTCACTCAAGTCACTGAAATTTTGCTCAGTGTAAAGCCTGAAGCATTTTCCAGGCCGTGCTCTACCGGCACGACCCGCTCTCTGCTCAGCACATGCCTTGGATATTGGGGACACCAACAAGGACTCGAGACCAGTGGGTGGGTAGTAGACTTTCTGCCTGGAGACACCAGGATCGACCACGTAAACAATCCCGTCGATGGCTAAAGAAGCCTCTGCAACGACAATCTTTCTCACAGCTGGATGTGGTGCAGGATCGAAGATCATGTGCTGCATGGCAGGCGTAAGAAAGGAGGAATACAATGGCACAACTTTGACTTGATCTCCAAGCGAACGGGAAATTCTCCTGCAAGCAACTCGAATCTCTTCTGCCCCGGTCAAGAAAACAAGAACATCACCAGGTGGCTCACACATGTGAATCTGGATAGCTTTTCTTATAGCAGCCTCGAGATAGTCCATGGCAGGTTGTGGAGTATACAAGATCTCCACAGGATGGAGCCTACCGGGGACTGTGATGAGAGGAGGCTCACTTCTAAAAAAATCCTTGTGGAACCATGGGGTTGCACTCTGACTCATCACAACCAGCTTAAGATCAGGTCGGCTAATCAATGCTTTTTTAAGAATACCAGAAAGCAAATTAGTGGCTAGACTTCTTTCATGAACGTCGTCCAGAACAATCACTTTGTATCTCTCTAAGAGTGGATCCGCCGCCGCTTCTCTCAGAAGCATTCCATCGGTCAGGTACTTGAGCACCGTTTGAGGGCTGCTGCGATCCTCAAAACCGACTGAGTAACCGACTTCTTGCCCGATCTCTACACCCATCTCTTGAGCAACACGACGGGCCGCAGATATGGCCGCAACTCTACGAGGTTGCGTGCACCCAACCACCCACTTGCTAGGGTTAGGGTTAGGGTTTTCATCGGCGATTGCTTCTAAAACAAACTGTGGGATCTGCGTTGTTTTACCACAGCCGGTCTCACCCACAAGCATCACGATCTGATTTTCCTTGAAAGTTTTGAGAAACTCTTCTTTCTGCATCCACACTGGTAGATTCCTACGTTCCTCCAATATTTCGTAATACCTTGCAGAATACGCCTTCTTCATCATCATATCGATTCTCTTCAACAACCAACTCCTCCTTGTCTTTTTTTTTTTTTTTTTCTTTATCTCCTTCTGGCCACTTAGGTTATATATTTATAGCAATCCTGTTTTCCTTTTCTCCGAGTGTATTTTGGAAATTTTCCTTTTCAACCTATAAAATATGATCCAGAAAGTGCCTGCTTATAAAATATGAAATGAAACACTAAATAAGGAAATACAGGACAAAAATAGGAAATATGCAAGAACAAATCGCTCAATAATCAGTCATGAAGATAGCACATGCGTCATAAAAAGACAGCTAGAAAGCAAACTAAAACAGAGACGTTATGCCATATCCAACCAAACCCAGATCATAACAAGGATAAACTAGAGTCTAGAGACAAAACAAACAAGAGAATTCACAGGACAATATACTAAGAGAAACCAGTGACAAAACAAGGCAAAACCAGATGATAACATTAAGCCACAAACAGAGGTAACAAAAAGCAAAGCACAACATCAGACTAAGCAGATTACGAGACAGATCACAGACAGATCAAGGCAAAAACTCAAAAGAACAACTATTGAAATCAAAATAGAAAAGAGAGTAAACCCAATTACCTCATCATTTTGCAAGCTCTAGCAGCAATTCCAAATCCTGAAATTTAGAAACTCGTCCCCGACATCTCTCTTACTTTTCAGGTTTGTTCTAATTAACACATGAAATCACTCTCAATCTCTACTAATCGACTACCTAAAGACATAAATTTCCCCACATTCTGAAATTAGGGTTTAGAGATGAATTTGGGGATTCTCAGATGATATAACTCGAGTTGAAGTGAAGACGACTGCGAAAACATTATGCTGTTTCTATTTAAAACATCGTGTCGTTTTTCGGCCACATTTCTTGTTGTTTTTATAAATTCAAAACGGAACCGTTTTATGTTTTGACAGCACTAAAAGTAAATAAAAAGGTTTAAAGAGTTAAAAAAAAAAAAAGAGTGTTGGTGATAAGATTCTTCCTCTTACGTCAGAGCAAGCATTTGTTACGTAATAAAATATATACAGTCTGTATGCTGCCTGTATATGAATCACGGAAATTTCGATAAATGAAAATATGATCAATTCAAAAGGGTGTGGCGGAACAATGAACCTGCGATCCAAGAGACCCTTATCAATATATCATATTCATATCGGAGGAAAGAGCCAGTGACGCGACGGCGGGATAAAGAGACAGGCTTTCTGTTTCGGCGGGATCTTACATGTCCATTGAAGACAATAATGTCGGTACCGTAAGACTCAAGCAATTCCTCCATAGCTTCTTTCATATATACATTCTGCTTCTCTTGTAATGCGCTGTGTAAGTGTAAGTACTATACCACGGTGGATGCCAAGTAGCTACTATAGCCATGGAGTCACCGATCTATCTACTTTCGCCAAATCCTTCTTTAGCCACTCATATTGCTTCCCTGCTAATCACAAAGACAGAATCCTTAAAAGAGATGAACAAGCATATATATTCTCAACTCTCAACACAATTGACTGTTCTTTGGATTTTATTCATCCGTGCTTACTAATGTATCCCAAGACTGGTACATCTCAATCACTTTATACATGCAACTTGCAAGACGTCCAAAAGCATGCCATAAGAGATCTTTGATAAACCAATTAATTACTTTTTGCTGATTTTTTTGTTACCAACTTGACTAAATAAAACGTATAGGCCTCTAAAGTCTAAACTAACTAATTCGTAATGTCTCATCATTTCAACTCTCATTAGCTAGGCTAATATATTAACTATCAAGTTTGATTGGATCATTTTTATAAAAAGAATTGGTGCACAAAAACTTCTTAGATGATAACGTTAAGCCACAAAGAGAGATAACAAAAAAAAGCACAACATCAGACTAAGCAGATTGCGAGACATATCACAAACAGATCAAGGCAAAAACTCAAAAGAACAAACTTCGACTATTTTTAGCAAATTCCTACATATTTTAGTGATTGTATCAATTCAAAATTTTAGCTTCAAATTTGGTTGAATATTGCTAAAAATTTCCGGAGAAAGCCAGTAATTCTCTTAAAGTTTTTAGATTTGGAAATTCTGAATTTAGAACAAAAATCCGGACGGATAATGTTACAAATTTAAATGAATCCATTTTCATGTTAACAGTTGACTAATTGAAACCCGATTTGGTAAAATCAACAATACTTTGAAGAATTATTTGTGCAATCAAGAGTTGGAAAATAAAACATGAAATTTCATATAGTTCAGGAATTTTTTGTGTGTTTTCCCCATTTAATATATAATTTTTTTTTTTTCATTAGAACAAAACCTAGGAAGCAACAAACGGCCATCACGTTTCCAAATAAAGGTTTATAAATATGTTTTCAAACATGTATTTTTGGTGTATCATCCAATGTTCAGATTAATGTCTTGGTAATATTATTTTACTTACAAATAAGTATCAGTGTTGTTTTGATATATTTTAGGCAAATTTTTAGGAATGTTTATTTTTCGTACATTATCTAAAGTTCTGATCATGATCATGATGATGTATGTTATGTGTAATGTATACACAATGATTTTAACAAAAATCTGAAAAAATGTGTTTAAGGGAGTATTAATAAAGTTCTTCACATAAAAAACATGCTTTAAGAATTATTAAGAATCCCGTGTAAATCCTTTATTTTATTGGGCAATCACTTTTAACCAAAAAAAAAAATTTCTCTCCTATTTCTCCTCTCTTCGATAACATATTGATTGTGAATTGAGAAATGGCGATTCGAGATCTGTATGGGTGTTATACGTTTGTCAATGATATTGAATTGAGAAATGTCGAGAGATCAGAAGAAAAAAATAGTTTACATGATTTTCAAAATATAAAATTTTATCTATCATTAACTCTCTTTTTTCGGTGGTATTCGTTTCATAATTTTAAAATCTTAATTGCAGTTCACTTGTATATCTCCAAAATCATTCAAGTGTTAATAAATACAATTTAAAAATAAATAAAAAAATAAAAAAATAATTTTTTTTGAATGAATGTAAAATTATTTTCAATCAAAAGCCGTTTGTTACATAAGTGTTTCTTGTTTGATCTAACTTAAACATGAAAAAGAACATCTATTTTCCTTAGTTCCTCGTAGAAAACCAAAACATGAATAAATACAAAATTTCATTATCATTATAATTTAATGATTCTTGTGATGTGGCTTGTGGAGTATTATGCAGCACTAGCATCGATTTGCTTTATGAATGGCCATGGAGAGCGTAAGTTCAATTTTTTGTATACACTTGCACAGTCTTTCCAAACCTACTTACTTTTCCTATGGCACTTTTGAAGTTTGATGTTACATAGATGACTGAAGAAATCAAACTTATTTTTCCGGCAAAAGACAGGGACTTTGTCAAGTTTCGAGATTGGATTCTCAAGTTTGGTTACCAAAAAAAGAGTATTTGCGTACACGAAACTTGTTGATACGCATTGTAGTTTGCAAGTGAATTACTCTCGAGTCTCGACTCTTTAAGAATTTTGTTGAGTAAATTAGCCAACTTAAACTACATTACAACAAACAACGAAGATACTATTTCACTGAAGATATAAACAAATGTTTTATGCAGTTTCACACTTTGACACTCAAAAGACGGAATCTATCCCATTTTATGGAAATTCAGCTTTCTTCTTTAGATCTGACCCCACGAATCTCAGCCTAAGCCTTTGCAATCAGAAGTGACTTGCTCTTTCTTCCATCTGTCAAACTTCAGCAGGAGACTTAAGACAGAGTAGTTTTTCTTTCTTTCTTCTGTTGTGCTCTTCAACAGAGAGACCACGTTCTGGTGTGTGCTAGAGGCCTAGACGATGAGATCTGCTTTATTCAGGTGAATAATGTGTAAATAAAATACTAACTAATAAAGCAGATCAAATAAAAAACTAAATCTCAACGCGCATGAGCACTCCATTGTCACAAGTGAAGTGTGGGACCCATGTATGTAATACTCTTGAAGAACTCTAGCAACGTACTTAAGTCCAGAGCAATGTCAATTTTGAAAAGATTTAGATTTCGGAAAACGTTTTAGGATGATCTTGGGACATTAATTCAGTACAAACTCAATCAGCTTTAGAGGTTCAGTGACATTAACAACATTAAGACAGACTTCAAGATCAATTTGGACTTGGCTCCTCTACTAAATTTTTACATTTTCACAGAGTAAACTTTGTTCAAACACACAGAGATTGTCATCAATGGGAAGGAGAAGAAGATGAAGAGTTTACCAAAGTTAGGTTGTGAATTCGTAAGCGTTTGGGACATCATGAACCGGATGACCCTTCTGGTTTCTCTCAATGATCCTCCGTGCCAAAGCTACTTGCTTCCCCACCACAAATACGAAAGCTTTGCCTTCTCCTCTAGCCCCTCTCGCTGTTCTTCCAACGCGTCTAACGTATTCACTCGGGTCACGTGGAAAGTCGAAGAGCACCACATGATCAACACCAAAGAAATCTATCCCACGAGAAGCTCTGTCGTTGTAATTGGAAAAAAAGAAAACAAAAAGGAAAGGATTAAAGATTCTTCAATGCTCAGGCAACATAACATCACAAAACGATAACTTTGAACTCAAATGAAGTACCTATCTGTGCAAACCAGAAACAGCGAGTTTTCTTCAGGATGAGATGAGGTGAATTCTTCCATGTTTGCAAGCCTTGACTCTTGTGAGAGTGCTGCATGAAAAGGTAGGACGTGCAGCTGCCTTTCGTTTCTGTCGAGCCGCTTAAATATATTCTCAACTTTCCTACATGTCTCAATCTGGCAAATGAGAGAGTACAACTTTCGAACATGAGAATGAGATTTTCTAAATGGGTTAACTAGAAGCAAAAACCAGTAAATCAGGGACCTTATTGCAGAAGATAATAGTCTTGGCAACAGGGTTTTCCTCGAGAATCTGAACAAGAGCATTTTTCTTGTTCAGAAAAGCAGTCTCGGGACTTTTCTCTGCATTATCATCTCCACTGCAGTCAACAAGAACCTGCACAGTGAAACTCAAGTTCGTCATTTAAGGGACAATGTATAAAAGAAGGATTCCGCTAGATTGTTGTTTCACTTGTATATTTCCCAAAATCACTTGTGTTAATACCAACCTCTTCGAGAGCATTGCTAACACGGTGCACGCGAGGTCCCATCACAACTTCACAGTCAGGAAAAACTTCAACAAGTTTGTTGTATATCTCAAGGGGCAAGGTTGCTGTAACAAACAGATACTGTACAGTGACAGGGGAAGAGCTTATAAGATTTTGCAGGGCTGCCTCAAACTCCTCGTCACCAAAGAGTATATCCACTTCATCCAAGATGGCACTGCAAGAGAAGTTACCAAGATTGTTGCTCCCCATCAATTTTCAATTTTCTCACAAAAACTAATGAAAATTTGCATCGCTGAAAGATTTACAGTACCATCTCAAGTTTGACAACCCCAAAATTTCTTCTTTCATTAGGTACATGAATCGCCCTGGTGTTGCAATCAAAACGTCAACGCCTTGCTTTAAGTTTTCTAGCTGGGTCCGTTGTTTGAAACCACCCGTCACTACCATGGATCGGAAGGGGACCCCGGACTTTGATAACAGTCTACAGTTGGCATGAACCTGCCAAGGATTTCAGTTACATCAAACATTCAGATACAAAAGTAAAAAATGAATCAGAATAGGAAGAGCATTCATATATCATAAAGAAATCAACCTGAGAAGCCAACTCTGCAGTCGGTACCAGAACAATAACACGAGGACAACCAGGAGACGATTTGCTCTGTCCTTGAAGTTCCTCTTCTCTGAGACGCTGAATAACAGGGACAAGATATGCCAGTGTCTTGCCTGATCCACTTTGGTCAGCTATGATACAACTCTTTCCATCAACAACTGGCGCAAAAGCCATAGCCTGCGTCATAAACACAAAAGGGGTTTGTACTCATACACATTGCACCTAGATGAATAATCAAGAGAAAAAGGTAATTTCTGCACCTGTATATGTGCCGGGCGATCAAAATTATGTTCCTTTAAGGCCTTCATCATATACTCAGTACATCCAACATCTGCAAAACTTTTCCGGCTAAAAAAGCCCTCTTTTGAAGTATTGGCTTTATTCCCTCTCTCTCTCCAATCCTCCAAATCTCTTCCGTACACAACAGAACGCCTATCACCCCAACCCCTGGAGTTACCAGCAGAGCGTCTTGAGTATGAAGAATGCGATTCTTCCCTGTCATTATCAGCAAACTTTCGAGTATTCGAAACCTCCCTAGTAGCTCTATCACTTCCTCCAAATGAATCAAACTCTTTGGCAACATAACGCTTATCTTCTCTACCCCTGGTGTTTGCAGCAGAACCATTTGAATATGAACTCCGCGAAACCTCAACAACAGCTCTATCACGTCCCTTAAACGTACCTCTATCGCCTCTATCCCTGGAATAAGCATTATAACCTTTTGAATAGGAACTCCGCGACTCTGCCCTCTCATCAATATCTTGATTACGTCCTTCCGATCTATCTATATCTCTTGGCTCTCTAGATTCCTGCACTTTTCTGACTCTTTTCACCTCCTTTGGCTCTACAGATTTTCCTGATCTAGGAACAGCCTTCATAGCCAATTTCTTTCTCATCAAATCCAGAATTGATGATGAACCAAACCCTTCATCCTCAAAAAGATCCTCATCAGAGGCATCATCCTCGTCTTGTTCCTCATTGCGACTCGTATGCTGCTTCTTCTGCGTTACCTTTCCAACGAGAGCTTTCACTTTCTGGGCCTTTAGCCTTCCAAAACTCGCAGTTACTCCTCTCGAACGCGAACCATTTCTTCTCGCAGAATCTGCCATATCAAACCATCAACACAAACACACTGCTTTATACCAACATTCAGCAATTACAGTTTCAGGAAGTAGAGAAAAATCAAACGAAAGCCAAATATTCATACCTGACGGAATCGAAGAGAGTAAATCGGACGGAGGCGGAGGGTAAAAATCCTTCTCTTGATCTTCCCCTCTGATTACGATGAAACCGTCTTCGGTGGAATCGTTAACGACCTCAAACGAGGCTGAAGTTTTCAGCGGCCGCCGAGTGAAACCAACTCTCGCTACAACTCCTCCGTCACGAAACAGCCGCACAATCTCCCTCCGATTACAGATTTTACTCCTCGCCGGGAACGCAATTGACGGCGGTGGAGCTCTCGCCAACATCTCAGAAAGTCTCTCACTGGTCTTACCACTTTCCCAAGCCGAGAGGGAAAAGGAAAAACGAAACGGAGAGATAAGAGAGACTGATGATAATTTCCTTTTTTTTTACAAAAATAAAATAAAAAATGTGAGAGACTATCCGTAATAAAAAGAAAATTAAAACTAAAAAAATAATATAACTATTCCATTCTTGACTCGAAAAAATAATCTCCAAATTTCCGTTACCTATAAATATATCTCCTCCATTGTTTCCAAAACATTCCTCCATTCTAAAACCCTGCCTTCGCTCTCTCTCTCTTCTTCCTCTTTCGATTTTCCCAGCTTTCTTCTCCAGTCAAATTTTCTGGTTTCTTTTGAGAGATAATACTAATTATGTCTGCGCTAAACCAGAATAATCACCATGATCAGAGAGATAAGAAGATCTTCGTGGGAGGTTTGGCTTGGAAAACAACAACTGATGACATGAGAGGATTTTTCCAGGAAAACTTTGGAGAGGTTCTTCATGCGAATGTTGTTCTTGAACCTTCCCCAGGAGGAAGATCAAAAGGCTATGGCTTCGTAAGTTATCCGCCTTTCTCTTCTTTTTTTTTTTAAATTTGTCGATTCGTTTCTGCGACTAGTGAAGTTCGATTACTTCGGAGAGATTTTCGAATTGTTTAACGTGAATTGCGATTTCATTCATGTTATGAAGTTGTTTATATTTAATGTTTCTTGCACAATTTGGTTGATTCGTTTCTGTTGCTACTTGTGAAGTGCGATTAACTGGGAGAGATTTTCCAATTGAATGCTGTGAATTGCAATTTCATTCATGTTGAGTTGTTTCCTATTTCTGTTGTGTTTGTTTTGGTAATTGGGCTCTAGGGTTAGTTTTTTCGTCTATGGGCCTTTAGTTTGGGCTTAACTAAACAATCAGGTCCAGCTTCTCATATGATTGAGCTTAACAATCTCATAATTAGTTTTTCTGAATTCTGCTGTTATACGGTGTTTGGATTTTTCAGGTGACATTCAGAGACGCTGAAGCTGCGGCAAGAGCTTGTGAACCACCGCATCCGATGATTGATGGAAGACAAACCAACATCAATCTTGCTTACCTCCGTGCAAAGAACAACAACAACACTAAAAACTCTAACCAAAAAGGTTTAATCTCTCTCTCTCTACATATTGAAATTTTCCTTTTCAAGTTTTTGTTTCTTTCTTTTTTGCTGCTTTTCATTAGACTAATCTTCATAAATCGTTTAATACTTGTAGGTGTGACACATCAGGCGGGACCATCGAATCAGTATCAGAACGGTTTAGTCTCTAAACCGAAACATTCTTTTTTTTCAGGTTGCTTGAATCACAAGACTAATCTTCATATAACCTTATAAAATTGTAGGTTTAGTACATCAGGCAGGACCATCGCATCAGTATCAGAATGTTTCATTCAATCATGTGGGACCATCGCATCAGTTTCAGCAGCCAATGTTTCAATACAGTCCACATTTTCCTCTTCAAGTCTACTGGTAAAAAATCTAAGATTTGCTACAAACCTTAAGTTAAACATCGTATATTTAACAATGATGAATATAATAATTCTTTTGAAATGTCCAGGGATGCGAATCAGGGACGATACTGTTACACGTATCCTAGCGTTCCATATTACTCTACGTACATGATGCAACCGAAGTGGCATGAGATGAACAACCGACCACGTGTCGTTATTTCTAAACCTAAAAGCCCATCGCCTATCCCTAAACTTGAAGAGATCAAGGAGATCACCATTCAAGAAGCACGCACTGAAGACGCTGCGCATCAAGGCAAGGACCAAGAGTCGGATACAGAACCAGAGAGTGATGTTGATGATGGTCAGGAAGGAGAAAGCATTGGACGAGACGATGATATCGTCACGCTAGCTGTTGAGTATCAGGAGGGAGAGACCAGTGGGCTAGACAATGGCATCAATCAGGAAGGAGAAAGCATTCAAGAAGCATGCACTGACGACGTTGCGCATCAAGACAAGGACCAAGAGTCGGATACAGAACCAGGCTGTGAGGTTGATGATCAGCAAAAGGGAAAGGATCAGGAAGGAGAAAGCATTGCACGAGACAATGATATCATCAAGCTAGATGTTGAGTATCAGGAGGGAGAGACCAGTGGAGAAGCCAATGGCACTGGAAATGATGAGTGCATCAAGCAAGATGTTGAGTGTCACAAGGGAGAGACCAGTGGAGAAAGACAATACACACCAAATCGTGATGGTCATTGAAGACGAAGACGAAAACGAAGGACTGGTCATGAAGAATTAGAAGGACACGACTACATGAAGTGGAGATGTTAAGAGAGAAGTTACAATCAAGCTTGTAACGCTTTTCTTGGCTTATACGTAGTTGGTATCAAACTCTTTTATTTTCTCAACAAAAAAAAACTATTTTCTTTCAATTATTTCAACAGCATCAGTTTTATAAATTTTTATTTATAGAACAGAAGTCATCTTTGCTCTATAAATTTCAGTAGGACCTTAAAATCTCTATCCCTCATAAAATTGTACTGTTGATTTTAGTTAGCTCCGTGCGGTCTGTTCCGTACGGCGTACGTATATGCTTTCTCTAAGCATTAAGGAAGAGGAGGGTTAAGACTTAATACGTAGTACTTCTTTAGTTTCTCTTCATTAAATTGATTCTAATTTCATCAAGTTAACAAATTTGATATATTTTATACTTAGGTAGTTGAGTGGGTTCCCTTTCGAGAGAAATCTGATGGCGGACATTAAAAGTGGAGTTTTGAACATATAAGAAAGAGAGAAAAAGTAGGAGTTTCTGTTTCTAGTTTAATGTACTTTGGGGATTCGGTTCTTGCTCCTTTGCTTGAACTAGGACCATCTTAGCCTCTTAAGGTATTTTTTAAGTCCAAAAGAATCGAATATGTATCTATATTAGGTGGAATTCGCAAAGTGACCAAAGTACGTACTCTACTGTACCGGTTGTCTAGAAATAAATCATGTTTTTTTCATTACGATAGAATTTGTACAATGTTGCGATTATGTACCCCGATATCAATCAGGCTTGCTATGAAAAACAGGATAACTTTTTTTTTTTAATTTATAATTAATCAATTTGGTTTAGAAACATCAAGATGTCTACGGAAGCATGTTCAGTCCAATAAGCCTAACGAAAAAATGTTAAGACTCAATATGTATCGTCTTTTTTGTTTTTAACTTCACCTTACATTTTATCTTTCTTGCATGGTTGAATCTGACTATAAGTACAACAAAAAACTATATATATTCGAGGTTTACCAACACACACTTCTATATAGACCTGTATATACAATTTAAAAGGGTCATGTATATACGAAGTACAAACTTGGCTATGATAAATTATCAGCATATATCATATAAACAAAGAGAAAGGTAAAGTAAAAGGGGTAAGACACGTTCCCGAAAGGTTAAAAAACCCAAAGGCGAGAAGCTTCCAAGAAGGTAAGCATTTAGAAAGGTAACAAAAGTGACTAAGCCTATATATAGAATGTGGATACTTAACCGCAAAGCAGTGCTTTAAAGCTGTCTTCAAGTTTGGGACACAAAATACAAAAGAAAAAAAGGAGCTGAGGCACATGTATTAGTGAAACAAATATCTTCTTTCTTCTTCTCAATTATAAGCATATCGTTATTTGACTGATTCTCATTGCTTTTGTATCGATTCGTGCCTACAAAGGCGTCTTCTTTCCAACATATATTCGTTTTTCCTTTCCAAAAGTTTGTATAAAGAAGTGAGTTTTGGTTTCCATTACTTGGTGGATATCGATCGTCTTACATATAATGAGAACGGACTGATTATTTGGCGAACTAATTAGAACTAGACTGATTATTACCCTCAACTTTGTCTAGTGAGGTCATAAATTATCCAAAAATCATAGTAAATGTAATGAATACAGTTTATAACAATACAAGATTAATATATAAAGACATGCATCAATGCATGGCTTCGTTTTCAATATGGAAAAGTTGTAAATACTTCATCATAGATAACTATATTCCATATTGGTATTCAAGTTTAACCTGGAGAACAATCTTCTCGCCTTCCAAGACAAGTAGACAACCTTTGTTTTTAAAAAGCGATTCTCATATATTATGTATACATTTTTGTCTTGAGATTTGACTAGTCACATGCATACGGGGGATGCTTCTACAGGCATTACAATCAATCGTTTCATTGACAGCTTTATGTAAACCCCATGTGACTTACTTACTAAAATGATCTTAAGGGATAACTTTTTCTTCCTTCATTGGAGGTAAAAATCAGCTCATTCGGTTTAGACTGTTTAGAACAACTTAATTAGGCATGTTTCTATACGATCGGTTTGATGGTTTAATTCTAATGGATTAATGGTTCACTAGGGTTTCTGTTTTGTATTTGAAGTAAAAATTCCGATCTCTTGGCAATAGCCTTCCAAAATCCGCAAGAGTTCTATTTAACACATCTCTCAAAAGCTTGCAATATATGTATGCGAAAGTCAACTTGAATTGTTTTGGTTTGTTTTCTCCGCATTTGTTATCCAGAAAACATAGTTTTATCATCTTTGTTGCCAAAACATAAACTAGCGTTTGATTGATCATTAGCGTGTGAAGTAATAACGTAAATAGCTAGAGAAAGAAAGAGAAACATACAACAAACGCAATAGACTTGACAGATGCTGATTATATTTATTGAGACCACATATAGAAACACTCACGTACACTACGAAAAAAAGAATTTCTTCCAAATTACTACTTCTAAAGAAGCTGAAGAAGAAGGAGGAGGGGATGGAAGATGGAATCAGTCACGAGTCTCGTGGAACCTTTTGATGAAATCAGTGGATTTCCGGTTAATAGCTGGTTCGACGACGTACCAATTGTAGAAGTTGGCTTCGCTATCCTCACCATACATCTCGTCGTCTGTTCCTCCCGGGTTCGATCTCTGTCTTCTCCTCCACCATGCCTTGAAGCTGCCCAAGAAGCTAAACAAGAAACGCCAAGAACTTCCCATTATTATCCTTTTTTAGAGAGAAAGAGAAAGATAAATGTATTTTGCGTGTATATATATCTTAGAGATACATAAGCATGTGAAGTCTGATGGTTTAGGGTTCAAAACACAGTTGGTCTATTTATAAATAAAGCTGGCCAACTTGGAATCCTAGAGGAACCATGCACGAAACACCCACCAACCAAAAATACAACTTTTCACTTTTATATATTTGTAAAAATGAAAGCGATTAATATACGCACATGCATTGGGAAGAGAAATTTCGTAACAAAATTTATGATCAAGTTTTTATAGAAAACTTTGTATATGAAAATTGCTCAATATGTGTTACTTATAAGCTTAACTAACAATCTTGTCTTCCAATTTACTTCTATGCATTCGTTATTCTTTATCTAGTTTCTAATTGCTACAACCAATATCTAAATCTGAAATCAATTTTTCCATCTTAAATGGGAGCGATGCTAATATTTTTTCATATGTCGTCTACATTTGCTGTATTTTGTAAAGGTTTTAGATAAATTTACACTGGAGAAAAAGTATTCTATAAACATTTTTAGTTTTTTACTATTGAAATCGTTTGCCTGGCGTTTTGGCACACAAATTCAGCATACTGTATGTAGTTGTGTACAGCATATATCATATATATGCTCACTTCAGAAATATATGCTCACGGGAAAAGAAAAATGAAAAAGATATGGGAACTTCAGAAATCAGATGAACGACGTGTAGTCTTCTAACAAAAACATAAAACGACTAGGTGTTTCCAATAGTAAGTAAATACTGACGATGTTGTTTGGTCATCTCGAGGTCAGCTTGTTGTAGAAATCGAACGGCGGCGAAGACGACGGCGATGAACAGACTGAGAGTGGTCGGAGAAGGCGACATCTGGGAGCTCGATATGTCGACTCCGGTGACACTAGAGGCGACAGCACGAGCTGTTTCCGACGACCCTCTTCCTCTCGGTCTCTCCAGAGGCACTCGTCTCTCTCGCCCTAAGCAAGTCGAGTTCTTCCACCGCTTCATGGCCACACCTCTCGTCCCTTCCTTCTCCTCTCTCCGTCACACCTCCGGCGTTGACGGAAATGGCGGATTATCTCTTCAGAGAGTCCTCACTCTCCCTTTCTCCAACAATTGGTAACCTCCCCAAATTCAAACTCCGATTCTTCTCCTGAGACTATCGCTAATGCTCGATAATCGTTTCCTTATGTAAATCTTAAGGTTTGTCTCTCTGTTGGGCCAATTCGATGCTCAAAGATTCGTATCGGAGGTTAAAAAAAGTGAAGATTTCGTTCGAGGGTCTTCGTCATCAGCAGCTTCTCGTTTCAACACAATCGCCAAGAATTTAAAGGAGAAATCTTTGTACGCGTTAGGTTTCTGCTCTGAGCTCTTGTTAACACCTGAGGATACGTTGCTTCTTAGCTATGATACTTACAAATGCGACCTTGATAAGAATCCAAGAGCTAAAGCTGTCTACAATCACAAGGCAATTCCCTTTTGATTTTCTTGTCTCTTATGAAATTTTCGCAATGTGGTTGGAAATGTGATTAGTGAATGTGAATGTTTACAGTTTCCGCTTCACAATCTGACGGCAGAAGCGGTTTGGCCTGGACTGTTTGTGGATAAACATGGTGAATATTGGGATGTGCCATTGTCAATGGCTATTGATTTAGCTTCTCTTCCTGCTGAGTCTGGTCCAAGTTACCATTTATGTTTACACCATAACAGAGGATCTCCCAAGAAGTTTAACTCTGATGCTACTGAAGTGCCTCTGCCTCCACCGTCTCTGCTTCCTGGTGTGTCTCTAAAATCCGCAGTCTCTTATAGAACGAACATGGATCTCTGGAGGGGTACCACTCCAAAGCTTGAAACTTGCAAGCCATATGACATCTTCCTCAGTAGTCCTCATGTCTCAGTAACTGGGATTATTGGTATGATAACTTTCTTGGACTCATTTCTGAAGTGTGATTGTGATGATCTTTTCTATGTTACTGATAACTTTCATTTAACCTCACAGGAAGTGTGATGACCACAGCGTTTGGTGAAAAGTCAACCAGAACAAAGCTCGAGAAGGATTCGGAAGGTGTTGGAGGTTTCTCTCTTCATCTTCCATCTGTAAATTCTGGATTCATGGCTGATGCCTTGGGACGTGCGTCGCTGACAGCTCAGTATGGAAGTTTCCAGAAGTTGTTCTTTGATCTCACTCGTTTCCATGCTAGATTGGACTTTCCGCATGGTTTGAGGTTTCTTAGTGGTGCCACTAGCGTCGCACAAGAGCTTCTGAATTCTCGGCAGCCTAGTTTAGAAGCGTTTCAGAAGATCTGCCCTGAAGTATCCGTTTCTCTGCAGCAACAGGTAAAAGAAATGATTGTTTAACGTAATACAAGACAATTTTGATTCCATTGATTCGTTATAGTCTTCTATGGATTTGTTTCAGATTGTGGGACCGTTTAGTTTGAGAGCTGAGTCTGGAATTCAGATTGATCTGACGAATGGAGCTAATCCAGTGACTGTAAATAACACAGTGTTTGCTATTGAGTATGCTCTTCAAGTGCTTGCTTCTGCCAAGGCTGTTGCTTGGTACTCCCCACAACAGAAGGAATTTATGGTTGAGCTTCGTTTCTATGAGACATAGCTTCATGCTTGTAGTCTCTAAGAGAAAGTAGATAGACAATGTTTTTATTTTTTGGATTTCAATGTTAAGCAGAAGAATGATTTTCAATAGAAAGGGAGTTTACATTTTATTATAGTGTGATGTCTACCAAAACTAGTTACAGGACAATCCTGTGGAAGCAGTAGATGATCTTCCTTATACTTGATAGAGACAAGACAAAGACCATGAGGTGGCGCAGGCAATGCATATTTTGCAAGCTCCCTCCTGTCTTTGGTTTCCAGAATCATTGGGACAATGTCTGAATCCAATGCTTCTTTTCCAACCTGAATCAGCAAAGCTACCTAAACAAAAACATGGATAATAATTTCAGCAGACTAAAAACGTTATATTTCACCATGCCAAGCATTATTAGAGAGACTATAGACTTAACCATGTTTCTGACTTGTCTGTACATAAAGCCTGAACCTTCAACTTCAAGCTGCAGAAGAGATCCCTAAACACCAAAACAAACACAAACAAGGTCAAAGTCTGAAGTCTGAACCTTAAGCCTAACTTTTCAAGAATTGGTTTAAGTTTACCATTTGAGTGACATCAAAGCGAGATATAGTTTTCAAAGGATCAGGTGCTCCATCTTCCCTTGTGGCGTTTGCAAATGCAGAGAAATCATGCTTTCCAACAAATCGTTGTGCAGCTTCTCTCATTTTATCAGCGTTCAGTTTATAAGCACAGTGGTAAGCCCAATGACGCTGGAACGGGTCCATGAAAGTGTCGCTGTATATCTGGTAGCGATAAACCTTGCTACGGCAAGAGAACCGAGCGTGGAACTCAGGAACCGCCGCACTAACCTCTCTGACACGGATATCTTCAGGAAGAAGACCGTTTAGAGCAGCGTGAATGCTATCCAAACTAGTATAATTGAAAGGAGTTACAAAATGAGCCACCTGAAAAAGGAGAAAAGAAAACAAGATTTGTGTTGAGATGAAAATTTTCTTGAAAGTTGAGAAGAGATAGAGAAGTTGGGATTTTGAGTTGAACCTGACCCCAAGCGTGAACTCCTGCATCGGTCCTACCAGCTCCAACAAGAAGTAGCTCTTTTCTTCTGATCTTTGTTATCTGAGTTAAGGCTTTCTCTAGCAATGATTGGATCGTTGGTGGTGACTCCTGATATTGCCAACCTGAAAACCAACAAAGATGCATCCAAAGTTAAAGTTTCAAAGCTATGGTCACAAATTGGAGAAATCTTGAGTTATGTTTCAGCTACAAAAGATTTCAGTGACTAAGTGGGACAAGTGAAATTTCATGAAAAGTAACGAAATTTGAATCAGTCAAGGATTAGGGATATGCATTTTCTATAGCGACGAACTATTGTATATATATATATATATATATCTGAATCATACAGTTGATGGTTGTATACAGACACAGAATTTTGTTGAGTTATGACGAACCAGCAAATTTGGTGCCATCGTAGGCAATAACAAGGCGCCATTTGTAACCATCAGGATCGCTAACCTTTACCAAACTGTTAAAGTCCGTCATCTGCAAAACACAAACCCAAGATTGAAACTTTCTGTGTAAGTGGGAATTACAAAAGCCAGCAGAGAAGTCGAAATTCGAAATTTCGAAGAGATTATTTTTGTGGAGCTTACGGAGACATTTCGAGAAGAGGAGAGAGACCCGTTGGTAAAGAGTGAAGGAGGAAGCGCTGCTGCAGAGCAACCCATCCTCTCCTTCTTCTTCCTGTACTCTGTCTCTGTGTGTAAGCTGAAGATTCTGTAATGGCGTTCAAAACGGTGCGTATAACGATTAGTTAGGGAAAGGGGAAAATTGACTCAGGTGGATAAGTAAATTTATAGATTTTGGGCCAAAAATGAGAGGCCTGAAAGTTTTTAGGTTATTAAATTGATTTGGTGAAACTACGGGTCTTTGGTGTGCAAATAAGCCCAACTTTAGAACAACATCACAGAACTGATTTCATTACAGAACCGAAGATACGATTACGACTGCTGCTTAAAAGTAAAAAGTACTTGTACGTCTACAAACGCTAATCTTATTCCTAGGTAACAACTTCTCTCTGACGTCGCAAACGCTGCGTTTGCCGTTTCCCTTTTCTCTTAGGGCCGTACATGAAAGTTTCTCTCTCTCTCTGAGTCTGCAGAAGAAAAAAGAGCTCGTCAATTTCGTTTTGTTTTCCGTAATAGAAAACCCAATTGTTGATCTTCTCTGGCGTAATCAACGGTACACTAATGTCTTATCTCGAACTCTACGATTTAAGCTGCTTCAATTCAATTCTTTTGTAGGGTTTAGTTTTCTTGTCCTCTCCTCTGATATATCCGGGTTTCCTTTCTCCTGCTTGTTCCGTAGAGATTCTGATCAATTGTTCAATTTTGGATTCGTTTTCTTATAGGTTTCGTAATTTTGAGATGTTTCGATTCTGAATTTGAAAAAATTGTGTTTCATTGAGGATTCGTATTTTAAGCAACAAACTGTGTAATAATAGTCTCATTTGGTTTTGATAGGTACATTAATTGGTAATGGCCACCACCAACAAACTCATAGCAATATGCAAGTCAGGAACTATCAAAGACGGATCCTTATCTTGTTCCGGTGGCGATGCCTTTGCAATAGGCATCGATCTAACCACTTCAATGACCGATTTCAAGTCAGAGCTCGCTGAGAATTTCGGTTTTGATCTTGACACAATGAGTCTCAAATACTTTCTCCCTGGAAACAAGAAGACCCTCATCACCATCTCCAAGGACAAAGATTTCATTCGCATGGTTAACTTCTCTGCAGATGCAGGCACTGTCGAGATCTTCGCCATACCCGACGAACCTTCTCCCAAAACCGTCTCCAACATGCCAGCCAGTAGGTACATGTTTAACTTTCTCTGTTCTAATCTTATTATATAAAGCTGGATGCGCGAAAAAAAAAGTAACAAATGTGTGTATTGATTTTACAGGTCAAGTAGGACAACAAAAGAGGTTGTAGTACCTGCTGTTAACGCTCCTACAGGAGATGTTGTTGAGGAAGAAGATATGATAGATGATTTTCAGATTGATTTAGCCATGCCTGATGAAACCGAAACCTCATTGCCGTGCAATTTCGTTTTGGTTGAGCAGAAACACCACACGGCGATACAGCAGTGGGAAAACGTCATCACCGGCGTCGACCAGCGTTTCAACAGCTTCATCGAGTTCCGCGACGCGCTGCACAAGTTTTCCGTCGCGCACGGTTTCGCTTACAAGTACAAGAAAAACGACAGCCACCGAGTCTCCGTCAAATGCAAAGCGCAAGGCTGTCCGTGGCGTATCACCGCGTCGAGACTGTCGACGACTCAGCTAATATGCATCAAGAAAATGAACCCGAGGCACACGTGCGAGAGAGCGGTGATCAAACCCGGTTACCGTGCGACTAGAGGATGGGTGAGAACCATCTTGAAAGAGAAGCTGAAAGCTTTTCCAGACTACAAGCCAAAGGACATAGCTGAGGACATAAAGAAAGAGTATGGTATTCAGTTGAATTACTCGCAGGCGTGGAGAGCTAAAGAAGTCGCTAGAGAGCAGCTTCAAGGCTCTTACAAAGAAGCGTACAGTCAACTTCCTTTGATCTGTGAGAAGATCAGAGAGACTAACCCTGGAAGCATCGCAACGTTCATGACGAAAGAAGATTCTAGCTTCCACCGTCTCTTCGTTTCCTTCTACGCTTCCATCTCCGGGTTTAAACAAGGCTCACGTCCTCTCCTTTTCCTCGACAACGCTGTCTTGAACTCGAAGTACCAAGGTGTTATGCTCATCGCAACCGCTCCGGACGCCGAAGACGGCGTTTTCCCGGTAGCTTTCTCCATCGTTGACGCAGAGACAGAAGAGAACTGGCTTTGGTTTCTCGAACAGCTCAAGTCAGCTCTGTCCGAGTCAAGAAGACTCACGTTCGTTGCAGACTTCCAAAACGGTCTGAAAACTGCGATCCCGCAAGTCTTTGAAGACGCACACCACGCGTACTGTCTACGTCAGCTCGCTGAGAAGCTGAACACGGACTTGAAAGGACAGTTCTCTCACGAAGCGAGACGTTACATGCTCAACGACTTCTACTCTGTGGCGTACGCAACAACGCCTCAAGGCTACTACGGTGCGTTGGAGAATATAAAAAGCATATCTCCTGACGCTTACACTTGGGTGATAGAGAGCGAGCCGCACCATTGGGCTAATGCGTTGTTCCAGGGAGAGAGATATAATCACATGTACTCAACTTTTGGTCTAGACTTCTACAGCTGGGTGTCTGAAGCTCATGAGTTTCCTATAACGCAAATGATCGACGAGTTTCGGGCCAAGATGATGCAGTCTATTTACACACGTCAGGTTCAGTCACGGGAATGGGTCACGGCGTTAACGCCGTGTAACGAAGAGAAGCTACAGAAAGAGATTGAGCTTGCGCAGTCGCTTACGGTTTCGCCTCCGGAAGGTAGTTTATTCCAGGTTAACGGGTTGGAATCTTCGGTTAATATAGTTGATATCGATCAGTGTGATTGTGACTGCAAGATCTGGCGGCTGACTGGGTTGCCTTGTAGCCACGCGGTTGCTGTGACTGCGTGTTTAGGGAAAAGCGCTTATCAGTACTGCTCCAAGTACTTGACGGTTGAGAGTTACCGGTTGATGTTCGCGGAGTCGATACAACCGGTTCCGAACGTGGAGAGGATGATGCTTGACGAGCCGTATGAGGGGTTGGTTTCGGTGACTCCTCCGCCGACGAGGAGGACGCCGGGGAGGCCGAAGATGAAGCGTGTTGAGCCGTTGGAGATGATGAAACGGCAGCTGCAGTGTAGCAAGTGCAAGGGTTTAGGACATAACAAGAAAACATGCAAAGCTAGTGATGATTAGTAGCTTATTTGGTCGTTAAGATGTGTTTAGTTAGTTAGTTTTAAGTTAGATGATGATTTTGGATCTTCCTTTGTGTGAGTGAAAGGTGGTGAAAGATTAAAAGATCTCGTTCGTTTTCACACCAAAGCTAGCTTTTTCTTTTCTTTTTCTTTTCTTTTCATGGAACTTGTTGATCTTATGGCACACATTTGAAGTTTTGAACCATTATATATACTCACATGACCAGTTATCTTCTTTTTGTTGGTTTTCAAAAATATTGTAATGTATTTACATTTTAGAAAGACCAAAAACATGCTGTTCAAAAAAAAAAAAAAAAAAAGACCAAAAACATTATTTTACAAAATTAATAGAAAAATAAGTTTATGAATTGTTGAAAAAAGAAACTGGTTTGAGAATTATATTCCGGTTTATATTGCAAAATTTTGTTCAAAACTCATCAACGGAGTAAAATTACGGAAAAGCCACTAATTCATTGTTCTCTCCTTGGCGGCTCTATTTCTTCTCTCCCTCTCCCTCGGAAGCTCTAATTCACTAAAACCCTAAAATTCTTAGCTTTTCTTTACACCTACACAGATAGTGTATCTGTACATTCGCAGAGTCTAGATTGTTCTGCAATGGAGGCTTCTCCTCTGAAAAAACTCGAGCAGATAGAGTTTACTCTAGACTCGGTCTCTGATCTCTCTTCCCCTTCCGTTTCTTCGTTTTCTCCTGCTATAGCTACGTTTTCGTGCGTCGATGGAGTCACGGAGCTCGGATTTCTGCATTTTGATGCGGGCGAATGTTTCAACTTCGATCTCGCCTCAGCTCAGGTGGGTGTCGATTCACTTGCTTACTGTTACTATTGTTCCTCTCTGGTTCTCAATTCTCATTCTCGTTTGAAACTATGTTGTTTCCAATTACTTTGTTCCACATTGTTGCTTTACAATCTGTTTAAAAACTATCTGCAATCGGATTTTCGTTGGACATTTTTAGATGTTTCCCGTACTAAAATTTTACAATTGAAGACTGAAAGATTGAATTTTGGCTCATGTTCTATAATCTTATTGGGTCTTGAGAATGCATGCACTGATCGTATTGTGTTTTGGTTCTTTCTCAGTTATTCAAGTTGGGACCGGTCCAGTTCATCTGTGTATCTGATCGTTCAGATTCATCAGAGGAGGTACGTTAACTTATTTACGAGATGTTATTCTTCAAAGTGAATATCTTGATTGCGTTATCAGTAATGTATAATGTGTAACAATATTATTTTCTTTTTGGGGAGCAGAAATCATTCTCCAAAGGAGTCCGTATAAATTTTAGTAATGAGAAGGATAGCAAGGATTTTTGTGATTCATTTGAAGAGTGGAGAAAGAAAGCTGTTGTTCAAGGTGCGTCTTTCGACATGACTTTTGTTGGTTACGCATCAATTTACTTCTAGATCTTATAGCATTGATGCCTCAGATTTCGGAATCCAATATCAAATAGGTATAGATGAGAATTTTAGTTTGTTCTTGACACTAAAGAGCCAATATCCACACTTTGCTATCATTGCTGATTTTGAAATCTATGAATGATAAAGTGTGCGTACTCTTTTATTGTCTTCTCATTCTTCTGTTTATAGGATCATCCTTGGAGAATGGAGCACTTTCATCTAATAAAAGCAAGTTCGACGATAAGATTGAGGCGTCCTCGGCCAAAATGTATTTCCATTATTATGGACAACTTCTACATCAGCAAAATATGCTACAAGATTATGTGAGGACAGGTAAAATGTCTGGCCTTTAATGTATTGGCTGCGTCACAGTTTTCTTGGTTTTACAGAATGCAAAGAATATCCTCTTTTTTCTTTTCTTTGCACCTCTGTTTGTTCCGGGATAGCTCTTTATTAACCTCATTCATGTCTTCAGGTACATATTATGCTGCGGTCATGGAGAATCGTTCAGATTTTGCTGGTCGTGTTGTGGTCGATGTGGGTGCTGGGAGTGGCATTTTGTCAATGTTTGCTGCCCAGGTATGCAAAATCTAGGCCTGAAGGTTACAGAACTAAGATTTTAGGTTGATAAATAGTTAGAGTTTTGATATGTTAGAGCTAGAAAATGGATAAAAAGGACGCTTCTCTTCTTACTATTTCACCCCCGAATCCAATCTGTCCTTTATTCCTTGCACAGCCTTAATCCATCGACTAGAATTGATGATAATCCGTTCAGAATTTTTGCTTCCGTCTCCTTCATACATGTCTAATACTTTGTTTCCTCCTCCCTACTATAGGCTGGTGCCAAGCATGTGTATGCCGTAGAAGCATCAGAAATGGCTGAATATGCACGTAAGCTGATTGCTGGAAACCCATTGTTCGCTGACCGGATCACTGTGAGACTTCTGATTCAGTCTCATTAGTATATTTTGTTGTGTTGTATGCATTTTTCTGATGTTTATGAAACTGGCACAAGTGTAGGTCATCAAGGGAAAAGTTGAGGATATAGAGTTGCCTGAGAAAGCAGATGTTTTGATCTCTGAACCGATGGGTATGTATTTCAGAGCAGACTTTAGAACGTCACTTTTATTAAAGTTCCGAATCTTTACACCCTTGGACCTTGGTCAAGCAAAAAACATGCGTGATTGAAGTTCCATTGGTCAATCGAATGACTTGTCTTGTATTTTAAATCAGGCACCCTGTTGGTCAACGAGAGAATGTTGGAATCGTATGTAATTGCTAGGGATCGTTTTATGTCTCCAAATGGCAAAATGTTTCCCACTGTTGGAAGGTAAAGTCACAAGACCATTGAAAGTCTTTCCTTTTTATTTATTTTTATTTCGTAATTCTCATGTAGTTTTATCACTGTAGGATTCACATGGCACCTTTCTCTGATGAATACTTATTTATTGAGATGGCAAATAAGGTACGGAATGCTCCTGCTTACTCTAAGGAAAATGTGTCGGAATTGCTCATTATGACATTTACAGAAATTGCTGGTTTAGCTTGATTTTTTTTGTCATGTAATCGTAAGCATTCGTTAATTACATTTCCTACTCTATGCAGGCTTTGTTCTGGCAACAACAGAACTATTATGGAGTTGATCTGACAGCTCTATATGGATCAGCGCACCAAGGTTATTTTTCTCAGGTACATGTCTTTACACACCAGCAAATAGTAATTTTTAACTGATTAATTTTCTTGGTTTTTCTCTTGCCATCATAATCGATATTGATGAGTCATATCTGCGGATTTTACAGCCCGTGGTTGATGCATTTGATCCAAGGTTATTGGTGGCTCCTCCGATGTTTCATACGATAGATTTCACTCAGATGAAGGTATAATTACGCTACTTAAGGACTGTTCCTCGGTGTTATTTAAAATGAAGGAATTCGATCTTTCGTCGTTTCAGTCTTATTTTACCCCTGAATTCATTTTCACAGGAAGAAGACTTTTATGAGATTGATGTCCCGTTGAAGTTCACTGCTTCCATGTGCACCAGATTGCATGGACTTGCCTGCTGGTTCGACGTTCTCTTTGACGGCAGGTAACTTTACTTTCTTCCTTTTCAAGCCATTTTTTTCGTTTCAATAAAAGAATTATAACTCCAAACACGTTTTACTCTGTTTCCAACAGCACGGTCCAAAGATGGCTCACAACTGCTCCTGGTGCACCTACAACGCATTGGTACCAAATCAGATGTGTTCTCTCTCAACCCATTTATGTGATGGCAGGTCAAGAGATCACTGGTAGACTTCATTTAATAGCCCACAGTGCTCAGAGTTACACCATTGATCTAACTCTATCAGGTCCACTTTGCTTAATCCTTATAACTTTTTTATCATCCAACTTTCAACATTTTTGATCCGGATTTGATAATAAAAGGATTGGGGTTTTAACAGCTAAAATGTGGGGTCCTGGTGCAAGTCAAGGTGGAATCCTCCAATCATCGACATGCAAATTCGATCTGAAGGAACCTTATTACAGAATGTCTCAGCCACAAGCATACCCTGTTGCACAAGAACCACCACTACAACCACAAGAACAGTTCAATACACAGGTAAAAATGCATTCAGCAACTAGAAATATGATTGTTTTGTTTTTTATGTGTGCCAATATATAATATGCATTTACTATGAGCAGGACATGCAGACAAAAACCGATGAATTAGAAGTCGAGTTACTGCAACAAGAGCCACAGAATGCGAGTACACAGCTCTAAAAGATCTTTGAATCTCAGTTATATTCGTACTTGGGATTCATGTTTGTAAAATGCACCTTTGTGTTTTCTTCCTTTCACACCACAACTTATCAATCAATTAAGTTAATTTGCTTATCTATAACATTCAACCACATGCAATACAAACATTTGCTTGAGAAGTCTACCGTTGGTGATAAAGAAATAGCGAATGTGTGTAGGTGATGTTGAAAGCTTAATAGTACTTGTGATCCTATTTACATGGTTTAATCTTTCAAGCCAGAATCGTAAGATAACGATAGAAAAGAAAGTACAACATACCAAGAGCAAACAAAGTAATACAATAAGTTCAAAAGAAAAGGTTTTCAACCTCATCACAGGATATGAAAGATCAAACTGATGCTCTATTATATTGCACTGTAATCTGTAACTAAACTGAGCAAAATAGGCTTTTGTCTTTATGAAATTTTACTTCCAGTCACGTCCTTTCTGCTTCTTCTTCAGCTGAATAAGGAGCTCGCATTTGGCCTTTGAGATGAGTAAAGAGCTCATGCCGAGCTGACATAAGAACGAAGCAATAGTCTCCAATCGAATCCTGCAAAAAATGGCAATTATATCTGAAATCTGCAGGTATAATAACATAACAAAAACGGCAGAATATGTACTTGGATGAGGAATTTACCATTGAAGATATTTGGTGGTTCCTCAAGAGCTGAATCAAGTAAAGAAGGGAATCAGAAATAGTTTATCTGGTGTCTATTGATCCTCATTCCACTGGTTTGAGCATTTTTGCATTGAGGATTTACAGATGTCGAAAAACAGTACCATCTCCAAAAACTTGGGATTCTTGTGGATCAAAACCTCTCAGAATGATCACATGACTGGCCTATACAAGAAGAAACGAGAACTTGTCTACCAAGATCGTGCAGCGTGCCGTGCCTTTCCCGTTTCCCTCAAAACAGCTCCAACAATAGCTGCTTGCTCAAGACAATCATTCTTATGCAGAGTATCCAAAAGCACAACGCAGGTTTTAGTATGGATATTCAATCCTTTTCGACGTGTTTCCTCAAAAAGGGCAAACGCATCCACTGCCCTGTTTCCATTACTTAGACCTTCAATCATAGCATTATAACAAGCAGAGTCTGGAACACCACCGCTTGCCTTAAACCGATCAAACAGCGAACCGGCCTCTGCAATATTCCCAGCCTTTGCAAGCCCTGAAATCATGGTAGTGTAGGAGATAGTGCTCGGTTTCATCCCCAGTTTCTGCATCTCTTGCCAAAACACAAATGCTTTATTGAACTTCCTGACCTTGCAAAGACCATTTATTAAGATACCGTAAGTAACTTGGTTTGGCGTGCATTTCAATTCTTTCATAGACTGAAAACACACTAAGGCTTCGTTGATTTCCTCTGCTTTCACCAACGCATCAAGCAATGAGTTCCATGTATAAACATTAGGTGTTAATCCCTTCTGCATAAGCTCTTCCAAGATAAGGTAAGCTTCATCTATCCTCCCAACTTTCCCAAACCCGTCAATGAGACTGCTGTAAATCACCACGTTCAGCTCTATTCTCTTTGATTTGGCTTCCTCAAAGAGCATATAAGCTTCATCAAGCCGGTCTATTTTCGCAAGCCCGTCTATCACTGAACCATATGTAACAACAGTTGGTTCGAAACCTTTCGTCTTCATTTCTTCCAGCAGCTGATAAGCTTTGTTGACTTTCCCACACTTGCAGAAACCGTCAATGACAATGTTGTAAGCACGTGTGTCCAAGACACATCCTTGCTCTTTCATGGAGTAAAACAACTCGTAAGTCTCATTAGCAAATCCGGCTTTTATTAGTCCATGAATCAGAATCGAGTAGCTTCGAGCGTCTGGAACAAACCGACGAGCTTTTATCTCTTCGAACATTGCTCTTCCCTTCTCTGGCTCTCCAGCTTTAAACATGCAGTCCATGTATGTGTTAAGAAACTGCAAATCAGGAGAACAATTCTGACTAATCATCTCCTTGTATATCTTGTGGCCATCTTCTTTCCTACCGTTGTTGAAGAAGTTCCTTATGAGGGATGTGTAAACAATAGAGTTAGTGCGACAATCAGCATCCAACATCTTCTCATAGATTTTGTAAGCGTCATCAACTCTTCCCACCTTCCCTAAACCATCTATGAGCGAGCAAAACGTAATCTCATCTGGTGTACAAACCTTATAATCCATCTCCTCAAATACAGCACAAGCTTCATCAAGTTTCTGTGCTTTACAGAGCCGATCAACCATTATGTTCACAGTCCTAACATTCGGAAACAAACCAGCCTTCTGCATAGAGTCACGTAGCTCAAAAGCACAGTCAAGCTTACCAGCTCTACACAACATGTCAATGAGAATATTATAAGTTGAAAGATTCGGAGCAGCGTCCTTTTTCATCTCCTCAAACACTCTCAAAGCCTCGTCCACTTTTCCCATTCTCCTTAAAGATGTGAGAATGCAGTTATACGCAATCACACTCGGAATAGAACCCTTTGCTCTTTGCCTCTCAAGCAGACTGTATGCTTCTTCAAATTTCCCAGCCGAACCGTACCCCATAATCATCGTGTTGTAAGCATAAGAACAAGGGACGCGTCTAGTCTTCTCTAAATGCTCAAACATCTCTACAGCTTCATCCAATCTATTTGCCTTGCACAGAACTCCTATCATGCTAGTGTAAGTGACTTCATCAGGCTTCAAACCATTCGCTTCCATCTCATGAAAAAACTTCCATGCCATATCAACTTTGCCTACTTTACCGAAACAGTCTATACACACATTGTAAAGAACAATGTCGGCATCAAGAGAGCTGCTCTTCATCTCATCAAGCAAAGACAAAGCAGAATCAACTCGACCCTCTTTAGCAAATCCCCGAATCAATGTGGTAAACAGATGAACAGTTGGTTCGTATCCTAACTCCTGCATCTGCTGAAAGAGAGTCAGCATCATATCAGACTGATTCACTACCGAGAAAGCACCGATGAGAGTTGTGTAAGCCGAAAAAGCAGGTCGAAACTTGAACTTCCTCATCATCTGCACAACATCGAAACCTTCTTTAAGCTTATTCGCCTTCACACAGCTCAAAACCATCTCAATACAAGTGTTGACAGAGGGGCCAAACCCTGCAACACTCATTTCTCCAAGAATCTGCTCCAAAGCATCGAAATTTCTACAGCGAGCCATCACAGAAAGCAACGAGTTGTATGATTCTGGACAATGAGCCTGCTCGGTTCTTCTCTCGTACCACCGGAAGTATTCAACAGCACGATTCACATCTCTCAGCCTCCGTAAGACCCCAATGACAAACTCTGGTTGTGGATTCAAGTTTAGAGCGGAGAGAGCGTTCTCTGATGAAGCTCCCCATGGACCACTCTCCAAAACGTTGCAGATTTCATCAACAACTTGTCTGTTACCTTCAAATGATTTCGGCTTCTCACGATTTTCGCCATTATCAGAGAAAGATGATAGATGCTTACAAAGAGCAAACACACGAGAAGGTTTTGTATCGGTGTGAAATATAATTCCTGCAGTGAGATACAATCATAACGCCAAATCAGGAAGAAACTATACAATCCACACAGCCAGAAAGTTAACTGAAACATTGAAAACTTTTGCTACTTGTTTTTTTTTTCCTGCGAATCCTAACATTTGCATCAATATTGTAACGAAAATCGCCAGAGTTTCAGCTCCAAATCTAACAGATTTCTATACCCATTTTGATCAAATACTGAAAGCAAGAAAATTCAGAAACTAAAATGCCCATTTACAGATTACCTGGTCTTCTGAATAGCATCCGCATCTTTCTGTTCATGAACAGCCGATTAATCTCAAAGTTCAATACGATCGGCTGTAGATGTATTCCTGAAGAATATAGCAATCAAAGCTTTAGCCTTTTACGAAATTCTGTAGTGAGAAAAAAGCCCAGCTTTCAGGAGAAAGTGAGAAGGGTTTAACGAGAAGAAAAAAAACATAGGTTTAGCTGAAAGGGAACACGACCGAGAAGAAACCTCCCTTTCGTCCAGAGGTTTCGAGTCGGATTCGGGTCAGATCAGGCTTGCTCTATTTTAACCGGGTCGGATCCTGTGTACACCCAGTCGTCATCGGAAAAGCCCGCGATGGAATCGGAAACGCCAGTAGTAGGTGTTAATGAAAATCGAAAATTGAAAATTGCTTGCTCCCGAGTTTTGATGAGAGTCAATCTCGGGTTTTGAATTCCCAGGATTCTTCTCCTCTCCTTCTGTTTCATATCAAATGGATGGCATGAGCAGTTACCACAAACCCAGCGCTGGCTTAAACCCTTGTGAAAGCTCCAGTTTCTCGCACTCGCCGTCGAGAGCCATGTCTCCAGGAAACTACCGTTACCCAGAAGTGAAAACTCCATTGCGGAGACAAGTTCACGCTCCTTCGCGCGTCGGCAAGTTCGGTATGACGAGACAGATACGGCGGATTCGTAGCCCGCGTCGAGTTTCCGGTAATGGGTTGGGAGGTTTTCTCGCGAGGAACTATAACATGTTGAAAAGAAGCGCGCTTGATTTGCCTGTGTGCTGTAGAAAGGATAGAGAGGTGATTGATGTTGACGATGAGATTGGAGTTGTGGAAATGATATCTGATGATGATGACACTAGTTCGGAAGTTGAGATTGTTGAAAACGTGGCTATGGAGGTGGACGAGAAGGAAGATGAACCGTTTGTAAATCGGAAAAATGGGAACTTGATGATGGTGGATGATGCGAATAAGAAAAGCTCAGTCTTTTCGAATCGACCCGTGAGGGATGTGTGGGGATTTGAAGCGTATAGAAAGGTTCTCAAGAGTGCTGAGAACAGAACTTCTAAGCTGAAAGATCGAGGCTTTGGTGATGCTTTGAAAGAGAGGTGTCGCGCTTTACTGCGAGGCTTGTGTTCTTTTTTGAAGCAAGATGAGGAACCAGTAGAGGTGTGGCTAAAGTTGAAGCCTTTATGCTTAGTGATGTTAATCAGTTGATTTCTTTTGATTTTGTGAAATTTGGGTGAGTCATTGCTCTTTTGATTGATTCTGCAGGATGTACAACATGAACCATTTCTACCTCTTTCAAAGGATGATGTGACAGCAGTCAAGCGTGCATTCTCAGCTAATACTCGGTATGATTTTTGATTCTTGGTCACCTGTTTACTTGCTCTAGCAAATTCATAGATGTTCGTGTTATGTAATGCTGTGAACGTGTTGCGCTGCAGGAACATCTTGGTTACACATGTGAGTTCAAATATTGACATTACAGGGGAAATCCTGAGGTGCCTTAAACCTGGTCAATGGTTGAACGATGAGGTTAGTCACCGTATCTGAATCTCACATGATTTCATTCTGAGATTGTATATAGTAAAAGCTTGGACTTTGTTCTGTGTAGGTCATTAATCTTTATCTTGTGCTGCTGAAAGAAAGGGAAGCAAGAGAACCAAAGAAGTTTCTAAAATGTCATTTCTTCAATACGTTTTTCTACACCAAGGTTATACACATTCCTATGGCTTATGAATGTTAGGTTTTAGTCCCTATCTATGTTGATGAATTTGACATAAATCTGAAAATCACACTTCAGTTAGTCAATTTGAAGACTGGATACAACTACGGTGCAGTCAGGAGATGGACCTCAGTGAAGAAGTTGGGCTACTATCTCATAGACTGTGACAAGGTAAAGTTGCTGTTTGATTCCCCTGCAATCACTCTCTATATTACACTCAACTTTTGAGCTATTCAAACTGTCTAAGAGGACCTTGTTTGTTGTCAGATATTTATCCCAATCCATATGAACATCCACTGGACTTTGGCTGTTATCAACATAAAAGACCGGAAATTCCAGTATCTTGACTCATTCAAAGGAAGAGAGCCTAAAATCCTCGATGCACTGGTAGTATATTTGAGCAAGTGAAATCAATTTCTGTGCTCATAAGTCATAACAAGGAGCCTGATTCATTTGGTGTTTTTCTCATTTGTCAGGCTAGATACTTTGTGGATGAAGTTAGGGACAAGAGTGAAGTAGGCGTTGATTTAAGTCAATGGAGACAAGAATTTGTGCAGGACCTTCCTGAGCAGAGAAATGGGTAATTTATTTCTTCTTTTATAATAAGATGTCACTCGTCAGCTACTAGTTCATGTGTTAACTTGGGGCTCTGCATTTTTGTAGGTTTGATTGTGGGATGTTTATGCTGAAATACATCGACTTCTACAGCAGAGGTCTCAATCTTTGTTTCAATCAGGTAAAATCGAAGGAAATTACACTGAAGATTACCATTCTCTCTTTTTTCTTGGTAAGAGACTGAGACTGGTTAAAATCCACAGGAACAAATGCCATATTTTCGGGTGAGGACAGCGAAGGAGATTCTGCAACTGAAAGCTGAGTGAATGTCAGCAAAAACAAGGAAAACTAACTCTCTTGAAGAATAGTTTTGAAACGTCTCTACGTAGATAGTGTTTGATATATTGATGTACATACACAAAAGGGTAACACAAAATTATGGTTGTTGTTACCTGATGAGTCTTCGTAATAGTGAAAATTGAATTATTGTTTAGAAATTCTTCTATTTTCACTGTTTAATACGTTGGCTTTGGTATGATTTTTTTTGTACTTTTGAATTATTGTTTCATATTAAAGAAATTTGTCTTAGCGAATCTCCCATGATTTATACCAAAAAGAAATTATTTTTTACGATTGCAACTGAGATTCCAGAAAAAATGCCACTAATATTCTCAGTTACTCTCACGTGGTCATGTGGGAACGAGTCCGAAACTCCAATCTGTCCCTCCCCTCATCAAATAAAAATACTCATTGTATATTCCTATTTCATAAAGATAATAATTTATATGATTTTTATTTCTTCTTAATCAACCTTTGTAAATTTGATTACAATAAACTTCAGCATTTAGACTTTAATTGAACTAGGTTTTTAACCCGCGCACGCGCGGGTCTCGGTTAATAATTTTATTTAATCAACTAATAACTTTAAAATTATCAAATCTTGTGCATTTTTTTTAATGTACTTAAAAAGAATTGATTATTTCTCCTCCTTTTATTCTTTTATAAGATTATAGATATTTTTAAGAATAATAATAATAAAGCAATTGAAAGGGATAAATGTGGTTACATTTGATTTTGAGTTCAATTCATAGATCATTTTAGCAACTTTCCAATAATTTTACCTCACTAAAATACTAATTTACTTAATTTCAGTAAAGAATCTTTGTTGATTTCTGTAATATTCTATGGAGATTTGTAGGAACCTCTGAAATCTTTAAAAAATTTGATAGTTACTTTCATAATTGTCAACTACCTGCATAAAAATTAGTATATTTCAATTCGAATTTTGAAAATGGGCCTAATGAATTGGGATTTCCCTATTTGGCCGGGTCATTTTGGGGCAAGCGGATATCTTTAACACAACATACTGATTTAAAACCTTAATATATTGTTATCTTGTGTTAAACTTTCGTACAAAAATCCATAATCAGTTTTGTTTTATGATTAGAATCCTAGATATCGTCGTTTGACAAAACTCATCATAAAATTGGATGTATAAATCTTAGATGTCTTCATTAGACATGACTCGACATACATTTTCATAAATATTTTTATATGTTTTGTCCATTGCTTCACAAAATTTGGCATAAGAACATATCATAAACTTTGATCTTTCAACAATATGACAACATGATCGGCCTAAACAAACATTATTTTTTAATGAACTGAATTAGAAAGTTGTGAACAACAAATTTGTAGTTTGTCTTGTTTTTACTAAACCAATAAAATTTTAATATTGTAGATTATAACAGCCTTTAACTTTGTTTGAGAATAACCTATTCAATTAATTTGTATTGTTTATGACAAAAAATAAATTATCTTTTAGACCACATCAACTTCAATTTGTTTCATAATTTATTTTTAAATGTTTTTAGTATAGATCTTTTGATACCCTAGTAGCATCACTTTTTATAAAATAATCATCTTTATTTATTTGAAATTACTAAATTCGGTGATAGATCTCGAATATACTTTAAATAGAACTTCATTTGAAGAAAAGCAAAAAAAATACACATTCTTGAAATTCAATTTATTCATCCGTCTTGCTTTCTTCTTTAATCTATTTTTTTTTTTTTTTTTCTTATTTGATTCTTTATGCTTTAAGTTCTTTTTTTTTTTAGTCGGTGTCTTCTTTTTCTTTGCGTCATTCTTATTCGATTTATTCTTCATATTCACTGATCTACTTGTCTTCTACTTTGCTATTTTTCTTCTCCACTCGTATTGCATCCTATTTTTCTTTCTTGTCTGGTTTCTTCTCTTTCGTTCTTATTTGATTTTTTTTTTCTTTTTCAGTTTCATCTTCATTGTTTTTTATTCGGTTTTTCTGTCTTCATCGATGTTCTTCTTTGGCTTTCTTTTTTTCTTCCTACTTTAGTATCTCCATCTTCCCTGTTTTTCGGTTTCATCCTCTTATGTACTTCTCCTAAAGGTGAAAAATGATCATGATAGTTCGAATCTATATGTTACTTGAAAAATGATCATGATAGTTCTCCGTAATGATCATCCGAAAAAAATCATTTTTCGGTTTCATTCTCTTACTATACTTCTCCTATATGTTCGTCTTTCTTCTTGTTCTTTATTTCTTTGATGATTATTTCTTGCGGAATAAGTTGTGAGCTGTTTTAACAGTGTCAATTTTATTATAAAAAGAAAACATTTTCTTTAAGTTTGTATATAGAAATATTTAAATTAAATATTAGCAAATATTTTCTTTAAATTTGTATAGAGAAATCTTTAAAATTAAATATCGTGAAAGCGTTTTTTTTTGTATGAATGTTAAGATATCAGTAAATAGTTGTATTTAACATATTTATTATTTTAAATTATTAAAATGAACTTTTATATGTATTAAACTTCAAATGCTCTTTTGTTTAATTTATCAATAATTTTAACTTAACACATGTTTTAGTTTATAAACTTTGATTCAATGTTAATAAATAAAACATAAATAATTTATGTTATTTTCTTATAGCCTTGAGAAACCTTAAATAATTATTTATTTAATGTTAATATTTTCTGTAAATGAATTTACTACGTTTTTTCTATGCGTTATTTTTCTATTTTCATTACATCTTAGACTTATTTAGAAATATTTGGTTGATGTTTTGAGAACATATTCTTGTTCAAAATATTTTTAGTTACATATTTGTTAAAAAAAATGCATAATCCAGTGAGAATTTCTTTAATTGAAAAATTGGTCATTACCTCACCTTATATCACTTACAAAGATTGTCCGTTTCTAATCCTGGCAACGCATTATTTCGCCAAGTTTGTATATCACAAAAAAATGGAATCGATGGCAAAGGTTTTGCCGGTGGATCAAGCTTTGGTCTCTTATAGAATTGTTGCGAACACTTTTTGAAGACATGTGCCAGCAAACAAACAGTCTCCATATCTTCATTTTTACAGTCCAAGTACGTCTAGGAGTTAACCCTTTCCTCAACAAAATTTTGGCAAGCGAACATCCCTCTTTGAAACCCCTTCAATGTGCAACAAAGATGATTACTCTGTATCAATAGGTTTATTGACATCTACTCTTAAATTTATTGACATATGTAAAAGGCATGTAATCTCTTCTTATTTAAAAGAATTGTGATTTACATTAAGATGAAATCCTCGTTAACACTGTGAATGATGCCTATAAATAAGTCAGATTCTCCTTTCCCTGTCCATTTGGTCGGCATTATCTCTCGAACAAAACTTTTGTTTTGATCATGCAACTTGAAATGTTTCCTCATAAACATATGGTATGAACTGAATGATCAAATCTACTCTTCTCCAAAGCAATGCAAGTATAATGTTTACTTCTTTGGCCATTATTGTTGAAACTTTTGCGATGAACAAAGTGTTATCTAGTGGGCTAGATGCATGTTTTACTTCCATTAATGTAATAATGACACTCTCAAAGTTGATCTCTCTCATCATCTAAAAAAACTACATATGAGCTAAAATGTTTCTACATGACATGAGACATTTTTTTATCTTCTTTTATTTTATTTTTAGACTATGTAATGTCCACTTACAAAATTTGTTAAGTTCGCTATGAACAATTCTCCTTATTATGGTGTAACTTTCGTTTTTGTGATTAAAAAAACTAACTCATGATCTATATAATTCTTCATAACTAATTTTGTAGTTCTCCAAATGTTTTTATATAAATCTTTCAAATTTAGTTATTAAATCAACGTCAATTTTTAACAAAAATCAAAGAATTTTGTTTAATCTTTGGATTTTATTTGTGATGTTTTTAATTCCAATCTTGTTATATTTTGATTGTTGTTATATATATTAAGTTAATAAAAAATTAAACATGTTAAGTTAGTTTCTTTTTGCTTGGTATTAAAAATATATATTTTATTTTATAAACTCTTTAATACAAAAAGTCTATATTATTTTTGAATTAGGAAACTTTCTTGAAAAAAAAGAAATTACCTTATTTTATATGGTGATGTGGAATTATACTATTGGTCTTTTAAAATTTGGAAACTTTCTTAATCTTTAAGATGCTTACGTGGACCAATGAGATCGTGTCTTTAAATCCTATGTGGACGCTCTCAGAGGCTTATAGCCTCAACTTTTATATAGTATTGATTACGAGCATATAAATTAACATGAAATCGTTGTCAATATCAAAAACAAAAATTAACTTGAAATTTCGAAATTAATTAATTAAACATCACATGTCACGTGACTCGCGTGCGTACCTACATACAGTTTGACTTCAACTGTCAAATAAAAATAAAAGAAAAAGACAGAGAAAAATCAAATAAAGAAATGATATTATTTGTTTTCCGAAAATCAAAAAGGAAAAAAAGAGGGAAAAAAACTAGATCTGGCAAAACGACGGCGCATCAGTCGTCGGAATCATCACCTCCGCCGAAGATGGAGAACCGGTGGTAGAGTAAGAACAAGATCAGTAAGAGGAACAGAGCGACACCGACGGGAGATCCGCTAACCCTGTGAATCGACTCAGGTTCTCCGGTGGAGAAAATAGCCGATACGAAGGAACCGCGTTCCGACGAGAGGAACTGAATGGTGAGGAGGAGAACGATTGGGAGTAAGAGAAGTCCCACAGGACTGAGAAGCTCTGCAATGGCATCCGTAATGGCTTCGCCGCTGTCTCCGAGGAAAAACGGAACGAGCACCACCAATGCAACAACGACGGCGAGTATGATTCCGTGTGGCGTAGATCCACCACCGCCTCCGCCGCCGCCTAGGCCTACAACGCCTTGCCTGTCTTGATACATGACTGACTGTGAATCGCAGAGTGCGTTTTCTCTCTTGCTTTTGTTTCTCTTTTTGTTTACAGTTAAAGTGGAGATTTGAGAATTTGCGTTTGCGAGCTTTTTTAAAAATTAATAGAGAAACGAGGGATGCGTTTGTCTTTTTAAAAAAAGGAAAATAAATTTGCATGCTTTTAAAATTTCTTCGAAAATCGAGGGATGTTTCCTCTTTGCGTTATTTACAAAGAAAAATACAAGAAGATTCAAAAAATTTGAATTTGATTCACACTACACTAATATACAAATGACATCCAAATTTCCTGTAGAACGAGATATACGACTTATTATATAGAGAAATAATGCAATTATCATAAGTATATGATATAGAGAAATGTATTTTTACAATAATATTACGATGATAGCATTAGCAAAAAATAATTCACTTAAACAAAAAAATACTAGGTTATTATGAATGTCTCAAGTTTTAGTGGGATTCATCATTCATCATCTACATCTACCGACCATAAAGCATTATTAGATTTATTTATTTTTAGAGTTTTGTAGTCCTTTCGCTAATTATAAAATTGTATGACTCTTTACTTTCTTAGTTAGATCAATATTTTACTTGTGAAAAAATCATTAGTGTAATGAGAAGAATTACAAAGCCATCTAATTAGAGATCAATAAATCTCAGCCAAATCTGAATGTAACACTAACAAGTATGAGCTTAAACAAAAATCCAATCCCATAGCATTATTGATCACTATTAGCAAAACCCAAAGGATACAAGAATCAAGAACCAATGCGTTTGCGTTGCATTGCACAAGAAATGAGAAGGCGACGAGAGGGAGATGAGATATTGACCAATCTTATTTTTGTCCATTCTTGTATTGTTTCTCATAGCTTCTCGTTCCCCGTGACAGACAATTCTCAGCATTGCTTCATTTTCTTGGGGCCTAGTTTTCCCAAACCATATATATCATTATTTTTTTATAACCTCAAAGCCACCTAATCACACTAAGAGACGAAATGGGTTTTTGACACAACAAACACCCCTCACCAAACCTAAGGCATATGAAGTATACTCGAATTTTAAACCTAGTAAGAATAATACGATAGTCAATCTTTTCTGTCACGTTCTCTACACCTTAGGTTGCAAGTTGTCAAGGAGTTGATAATAAGACTTTCCCTATTCACTTCTCCAAGCTATGTTATGGAGTTCAAGTCCCACACCTAGTGTAAGTTTAGTTAAAATATTGGCAAAATATAAACAAGAGCTCAAAAATCTTTGATGGACATTTCATAATGTGGTTGATTTAAGATTTTCTAAACTTAATACTCTCACCAACCGCCCTCTTCCACTACTTACACAAATCATAGCCTCCTTTACTTTATTTCCATTATGTGTAAAATAGTATTTAGAGCCTACGGAAATCGTTAACTGTATTGACATTAACGTAATACTGTAATTAATTAAGAAAGCTAATTAGGAAGTAATACATAGAATTTAGTCATTTTACTGAGACGGTTGTACAGATATGAATCTTATGATTTTTATTTTATAAAAAATGTTATGGATCTTTCTATTAGGTTTCCTCAGACACACGCAACACACTTTGACTTTTTTACTATGTGTCGTTTTGACAGCAAAAGATTACAAATAGGACCAATCATTTTCTTTTTATGTACTTTGGCTGGTTCCTTCACGAGACTACATTGTTCTTCTTTCTCTCTCTCTAGTCTCTACTCTCTAGTCTCTCTCGCTTCTCTTCTTCTCTCATCTTATCCCATAAAACCATCAAAACTTGTGCGCAAACAAAGTACACGAACGAACAAAATGGCTTACCTTTCACCTCCTCCTTCGAATTCCATCTCTTATAATGATAATTCTGATCTTGATTCCATTCGGGCGATTGTAGTTTCGATCAACGACTATATTCTCGGCGTGATATTAGACCCCGAAGCATGGATTTCGCTTAAGCAGCAATGCATCACAATGCTAAGCATCGAAGAAGAGGAAACTCTGTTTGAATTCTCCTCAGAACACTCTGCTCTCTCCAACCTCTACTGGGGAATCGAGAGCATCGAAGCTTCTATACAACAAGAATCCTCGGAGGAGAAGAAGATGTCTCGTCTGAGAAACTCAGAGAGGATGCTTCAAATGCCTGCGTTGCTTGACGAACAAGGAACCACCATCACAGGTGTTCCAAACACAGTCTTGGTTGCTTTCTCTTACTTTTACCTCTCCGTTGTAAGCCATCTCCAAGGTGATTCCTTTCAGACCACATTGCATTTTCTCCAGTCGGTTTTGGTCTCGCCGGAGATTGCAAGAAACGACATTGCTCCGGAGCTCTGCGAGAGCATTTTCTTCACTCGCGGTGTGTCTAGGTCAGATGAAGAGATCAGAGATGTTGCAAGAAAGTACAAGTACAGAGCAACTTATTACCAGGTTATGTCTTACGGAGAGATTCATCAGCCGCCGCCGAGTGATTCTACAGAGAAACTACTTCGGAGGAGGCTGAAGAAAAACGAGTTGTCGGAAACCTGTGAGGTAGGTTTTACTAATTTCATTTGTTTTTGGAGATTCTCAGTAAAAAAAACTTGAGTTATAAGTAACATTATTTAAACCTTCTTTAATTTCTTGGCCTCCATGTTGAAGAAGTTCAAGAACCTCCACGGTGTTGATTTGCAAGAAGATGAGCTTCATGACATCTTCAACAAGATCAAAGCATCAAGAAAGATTGAAAAATCTGCAAACAACTTCCAAGATTCTCCATGTTTGGATTGGAACCTTCAAGAAGACTACAATCAAGATCTTGGAAAAAGTACAAGAGTCAGGTGCTTCAATGAGTTCTTGAACGAGTCTCAGCAAGATACGTCAAGCTCAAGATACGACACTGGAACGGTAATTTCTCTAACCAAACAAACACTTTCATTGCATAATAGTTTAGAGAAAGATGGAAAATTAACATTATCCTCCAACAACTGTGTTATGACTCAGGACACATTAGCCAACATCTTCTGTGTTTCTCAACAACAAGCTCACAAGGAAGCAAACAGTTTAGCCAACAGATCAAACAGTTTTATGGGTGAATTTAACCGTTCCATCTTTGATCTTCAAGCTCAACAATCAATGGAAGATGCTTCTTCTTTGAGGCAACTAGACTTGGAAGACATTTCAGTCTATGGACATAAAGGGTCCATAACATTTGAAGCAATGAGGAGAAACTTGCAAACCAGAAAACGAGGAAATGGAGCTCGGAAGATGGATCTATGGAAGAATCTTCAGAGCTTGATAAAAGAAGTGTTAGGGAATGCTGATGAGGAATATGTCTCAGAGGTTACAATGATTTATCAACTGCTCAACAAAAAAGAAGGTTTCAAATACAGCATGCTAAAAGATGTCATTCTTGATCAGCTTTTTATTGCTATTTCTAGCTCAGAGGAGAAGACTGTTGTAAAGGCATCGATGACCGCACTTACCAAGATCATATCAGTCAACAGAACAGCTCTTGAGGAAGTCAAGAGGAAAGGTTTGAATCTAAGTCATTTAGCTAATGCCCTGAAACAGAATGTGCAAGAAGCAGCTGTTCTCATATACCTTATAAAGCCATCTCCAACAGAGATCAAGAGTCTTGAGCTTTTACCAGCTCTTGTTGATGTTGTTGCATCAACCTCGTCTTCTTCTTCTTGTTACTCATTGAAACCTTCACCTCCTCTTTTGACGCCACCTGCTGCATCATTGATGATAATTGAAGTGCTTATTACTGCTTTTGATCATGCTACAAATAAAACTCACTTGGCTGCTATTAGCTCTCCTTCTGTGCTTGGTGGACTTCTTGATGTTGCAAAACGTGGAAACTCAGGGGAGTTTATCTCCTTGGCAAGTATTTTAGTGAAGTGCATGCATTTTGATGGGATGAACAGGAAGTATATCTATCAACATACTCGAGTGGCTCCTTTTGCGCATCTCCTTCTGAGCCAAAACAGAGAAGAAATGTTCATTGCTCTACAGTTTCTGCATGAGGTCTTGAAGATACCTAGGTATGAGAGCAAAATCATATCTCTGTTTTTCACTAGCAATCACACTTTTCATATGACATACTTGTTGTAATCTCAGGTCTTCAGCAATAAAGATTCTGCAGCAGATCAAGAAGGAAGGAAGTTTTGACATTAAGGACACATTATTTCAGTGTATTAAACAGTTGCAAGGAGAATACAGACTCTTTGCAGCAGATATATTGCTTCAATTGAGTGCTCTGGTTGGTAGTGATTCTAAACATTAATCTTATTGGTTCCATTTCTAGAGAAATAATCAATTTCGTATTGAAATTCTTGAACAGGATCCTCTTCCTGAGAGCAAAAAGTTCAGAAATGAAGCTACAAGAGCTCTTCTTGATGCAGTTATATATAGTGAAGATTCCAAAATGCAGCTTTTAGCAACATTCATTCTTTCGAATATCGGTGGGACTTATTCTTGGACAGGAGAGCCATACACTGCTGCTTGGCTAATGAAAAAAGGAGGTCTAACTTCTATGTCACACATGAATATGATCAGAAACATCAGCTGGTCAGATGAATGCTTACAGGTAAGTTTTTTTTTTTTTAAATAGTTGTAACATTCTAATAATAACTAACAAGCAAAGCCAAAAAGAGTGAATCATTGAAAACTTGTTGCAGGATCCAGGAATAGATGGATGGTGCTGTAAGATAGCAAGAAGAGTTATTGAGACAGGCAAAGCCACGTTTTGCTGTTTGCAAGAAGGGCTTAAGAGTAACAACAAGAATGTGTCAAAGGCATGTCTTGTCGCCATTGCATGGATAAGTATTGAGATCTCAAAAGGTCCAAATAGTTTAAAATATTCAGCATGTGAAGTCTTGCTTGATGAGATATCACAGTTTCTACACCCTGGTTTGGAGCTTGATGAAAGACTTCTTGCTTGTATATGCATCTACAACTTCAGCTCTGGCAAAGGTGAATTTCTTAACATCATAATGCTAACTATAAAGCAAGTGCCTGTGAGTTTTGTATACTAAAGTGTAGTGTTTCACACAGGAATACACAAACTCATCAATTTCTCTGAAGGAGTTAGAGAGTCTTTGAGACGTCTTTCACATGTGACTTGGATGGCAGACGAATTGCATAAAGCAACATATTATCTATTCAGCAAATCAGTAAGTTTTATTCATTTACATATAGCAACCACAAGTTAAAGCAACCAAGTAATAGAATCATACTCATTAACAATTTCAATACGTTGCTAGGATCAGCGCATATCTTGTGTTCATACACAAACCATAGAGATGCATCAATCTGGGAGTGGAGCTGTAACAGCCCTTATCTACCATAAAGGATTGCTCTTTAGTGGATACTCAGATGGTTCAATCAAGGTATGTAAGAGTTATACTTTAGTAAAAACTGAATAGGAAGAAAAATGTTTAAAACAGAACCTTACCTTGAGCATGCAAGATTATCAGGTGTGGGATCTGGAAGATAAATTAGCCACGCTTCTATGGGACATCAAGGAGCACAAAAGCGCCGTAACATGCTTTTCACTCTCTGAAACAGGGGAGAGTGTCATAAGTGGATCTGCAGATAAAACTATCAGGGTATGTTAATGTTTTCAGATATTTTGTTTCCAGGAAACATTACCGTGGATCAGAAGAAACTGAAATTTGATAAAATGTATGTTTTTACCTTGTCTTATATGTAGATATGGCAGATAGTTAAAGGAAAGCTGGAATGTGCTGAAGTCATTAAAACAAAAGATTCAATCAAGAAACTGGAAGCATTCAGCAATATGATCTTTGTCATAACCAAGGGGCACAAGATGAAGGTATATATCTCTCACATCAGATAATAATATCATATAAGAAGCTCCCGTTACAGCTTAAATAATATTCTACAGCTACTTGATTCATCAAGAGTACCCCAAAGTATCTTCAAAGGTAAAGGTGTGAAGAGTATGGTAGCAGCACAAGGAAAGATTTACATAGGATGCATAGATTCAAGCATACAGGTATATATACATGTTTCTTGCCTGTCATATAAATGATACTGAATTTTTATAAGACAAAAAGTAACATATATAGCTGTTCAGGAATTGATCGTCACTAATAAACGGGAGAAAGAGATAAGAGCACCAACAAGGAGCTGGAGAATACAGAACAAGCCCATTAATTCAGTGGTTGTGTACAAAGACATGTTATATAGCTCAACCACTCATGTTGAGATGTCCAATATAAAGGTAAAGAAAATTACGCTAGTTAGTTGTCACAATGTGATAAAAGTAAAGAAAGTGACTTAAATAAATGGCTTGCAGGATTTGAGAAGGAATTATGAGCCCCAAATGTCAATAACAGCGGAAAAAGGGTCCAATGTAATAGCAATGGGTGTCGTTGAAGACTTCATCTACTTGAATCGAAGTTCATCCGCAAACACTCTCCAGGTAATATATATTTTCTGAAAAAAAAAAGTTAAAATACTTGCTAGACCAAAACCAAAATCAAATGAAACTACCTTTAGCTTGCAAAAACCATACGTCTGCTCTAAAGTTAAATGGTTTGGGAAAAATAAAGGTTTGGTTGAGAAGGACACAACAAAAAGTGGGAAGGTTATCAGCAGGGAGCAAGATAACAAGCCTCCTTACTGCTAACGATATTATATTTTGCGGAACAGAAGCTGGAGTCATTAAGGTAAATGAATAGTACACGTAAAGCTTTAAAAAATTTAAAGCCATATGGTTACATTCTTGACTCCTGTTAATTTCTTACGATGAAAACAGGGATGGATTCCGTTATAGTACAAGTGACAAGAGATTAGATTTTCAACAGATCAACTCAAAGTTATGATACATGAAGACTCATTTTCATATCACCGTGAAGAAGTAAATACACAGCTTACATTATTATAGTGGAGTGAATATCTGCCTATGTGATACCTGTACATGTGTTATATAACATACAATTTAAGATGTAATTGAGTAGTCCATTTCACGTCTGTGTAGATAGTGATTTTGCAAGTATTTTTTTTATCATGATACGAGTGATTAAGTGCCATGCCATATCACTTAAACTCATGCTTCAACAGAGTTCAGTGACATTTTTAGTAACACAAGAGAAAAAAGCTCTTTAAGATAACTGATAACAACTATTGTGAAAATGAAAGTATTTAGGAGTAAAAGTTATTTTTACTATTTAGAGATATTAATGGGTCCTACATTTCGATGTAAAGATGCTTTATAAATACTATCTCAACGGAAAATTGATCGTATACACATGGTCACGTCTGAGAAGTATCTATTTACGTAGATTTTTGGAATATGTATTGACAAGTCCCAATTTCGGGTCCCAGCGAAGGAAAAACAAAAATCATATAAATCGAAATTAGTTTTATATATATGAATAGGGTTAAGTCAGAAGGCAGCCTTTGTTTTCCCTTGTGTCTCTATGCAGAATTGTTCGTCTCTATTTTCATCTCATGGACCCCTTTTCATGTCCTTGTCCCGACCATCTCTTCCACACATAATATCATCTGAATTTATTTAATGTCATCAACTTATCATTACACTTCTGTTATGTGTCTCTGAAACAAATTCCACTCATTAATGATCACATCTGCTTATCAATATGAACTTATTATTATTTCTTGATCGACTTGACACTTCAATGTTTTTTGCTCTGTTACAAACTTGTGGTTTTGTCGGACAGCAAACTCATTATTTTGGCTTGCATTAAAACTATACTATATAGATTAGCTGGTTGGTGATGGTGAATTGATGATAGTTTTGTTGATGTTGTTTGACTTCTTGTTGTTGCATGTCTCTCACTACAAATTTGTGGGGCTCAAAAACGAAGCTGATAAAACTATCGACTGTTGGAATCATGATGCATGTGCAAAGGCATGTGCCTTTTGATTCCACTCATTTAATACTTAAAACACCCTAAAACCTGTTGACTGCTTTTTTCAAGTGGGTTTAGTTACCATTATAATACTATAAGTAACACATCTGGTTTACCATCACAGTGACACCAAAAGACAAATAATCTTGGGAGAATTAGACAGTGTGTATTAAATAATCCATTAATAATAAAATAACCATAGAAGAAGAAGACAAGACAATGCAGCAAGTATCCTAAGCTCATTCTCCTCAAGGTTTCAATCTTTTAATGTGATAACCAAGAAGCCAAACTTACATGGAAGTGAAAGGAACAATATAGTGAGACATAACATTACTAACTGAAACCAAAAGATCAAACCAATGTCCAAAGAACAAAAGAACAACCTAACTAAACACATGAATGAAATATGATGTAGAGATATTAAGTACTTGATGCAATCTCTTTAGCTTCTCAAAGCCAACAATGAAGGAGTTGAGTCCAAATTTGGAGGTGTGTTCTTGTCCGTTGTAGACTCTGTGATAGTACGACCTCTAGGAGTAGTCTTGGCTCTCATTGGACTTGCAAAAGCCCATCCCCAGCTTCTATTCCCCATCTTATTAGTATTAGTATTATGATTATGATGATGATGATCAACAGTTGATGATGATGATGAAGAAGAAGATGATGTCATGATCATAAACCCACCAAAGATGCCACCACATTTCACCATTTCACTCATGGCATTGGCTGCATCGTCACCACCACCATTACTAATGACCTTTGTGGGCTCTCTCTGTGACTCAATCCTTCTCAAGGCGCAATCACCAAAACCAATCCTCTCGAAGAAATCTCCAGAGAAGCTTCTGCTTCCACAGCCAACAGATCTAGATCTCAACACTTTCCTCCCAAAAGACGATCCACCGCTACCACCAATACTGTTTGTTGGCGTTTCTGAAACCACTTTGTCACCACTAGGGCTCTTATCTTCTTCCTCCTCCGCAATCACATCAATGCCTCCACCAACTACTCTCCTCGACGTCTCTACTGTCTCTGTCCGCTGGTTCTTGCCGTTTTCGATCTGGTTTCTTGATCTTGAAGAATGGCTGAAGTTGTCGATCTTCTTGGTGGTGGTGGCGATTTGGTGTTTGGAGGAAGAGTAGAGATGAAGAAATGACCAGAAGCCACTTCGTTTCCTCTGGCTGAAACCCTCACCGTAAGCAGCCGCTGTGGACTTGCTCCTCTTGTAGATAAGATTAGCAGAAGAAGAGGAAGAAGACGAGGAAGAAGAAGATGAGGAAGCTGCAGCGAGCATGCTCTTCTTCTTCTTGGCCAGCAGGAACGGGAGATTGTTTGTGGAGTCTTTTCCCGATGAGAGGGAGAGAGCGGTGGAAGAAGAAGAGAATGGTTTAGGAGGAGGAGAGGAAGAAGAGAGGTGTGTGGTGGGTTTAGGGAGAGGGAAAGAGGAAGTGACAAGCTTGCCAAGCTTCTCCTGGAGACACAATGCACAGATCCCACCTGCGTTTTTCGTGTAAGGATGTGTTATGCATTGCATCCCTTCTCCCATGTCTTGATCTTTGAGCTCCACCATTACAACAAAACAAGCAAGAAACCAGGAAGAAGAAAGAAGAAAACCAAAAATCTTGATTGTTCTTTCGTTTTCCTCTGTTTCTGTGTGTAGATGAAAGGAGAGATTCAGCTTTTAGATTCTTTTGAGAGAGAGAGAGAGAGAGAGAGAGATTTCTTGCTGTGAGTGAGATGAGAGGGATTGAGAGAGAGAGAGAGAGAGAGAGAGAGAGAGAGAGTTAAGTTCCCAAAGTGCACGTGAGAGTTCTGAGCTGTACCGTCTCTAGCTTTCTCTCTCGTTTCTTTTGTTTCCTATCGTTAGCTTTGTTTGTCTCTCTGCTCTTCCTTCTTCAGATCTTTAAATATAAAAGTCTCCAATTCTCTAATCTCTTTTTTTTGGGTCCATTATTCCACGTGTCTTTCTAGCTATTTTTAGCTTTTATGAAAACACTAATTTTTTACTTCATGTCTGAACTCTAAAGTGACCGTTGGAATTAAAAACAATAAAATCGTTCTAAGTAAGATCACTCGTTTGATTTAGTAGGATTAAAGACCTTTTTAGTCCGATCAACTATTCATATCGAGCTAATCTGATTCAAAATTAATAATCGATGCACAAAGACATTTGATAAAATATAATGCAGATCCAAAATATGATAAGTATTGTATTAGCAAAATTTTCTTATATCCATGATTTGATTTATTAAACTGATTTTACAGGCAACTTTGATCATGTTGGTCGTCGACTGTCCTCAATCATCATTGAAGTTTGTATGATCAACTAGTTAACTAATTATTCAAGCAATCAATCAATAAACATTTATGGTTGACAAGGACGGAAAATACATTTACTATGCAAAAACCCTAGTTGTTTCCCATGTTAGTCCTTTTGATAAGTCTGGTCCCATGTTAGTGTCTATTAAGTATTACTTATCCTTTCGTTTTGTTAATGAAGGAAATTCACCGGCTTCCTGTCCAAAGGGGCCAACCAATTAAACAAAGTCATTTATTATTGACGAATCACGACCTCTTCTTCTTTGTATTTAACTTATAAAATTTGTATCATATAACAAAATGTTAAATCTTAGTCCACTAATATAGGGTTAGTGGTTAGTTGTACCTGATGTGAGAGCATTACACATTTATATGAATTTTTTTTAGACACAAATATATGAAAAATCAACCAACATGCATAAATCAAACATGTAATCATATATTCACGACCTTTTCAATTTGGTTTTCAAGTTCATGGGGGTAAAACTGATACGATCGAAGATGTGTTGTAATTTGCAAGGTACCTGGGACGGACGCATGGGTTAACGTATCTGTAACGTAGGAAGACGTATAGAAAAACAAAAGGTGGTCCAAAGTCCAAACATTTGATTACTTTGTATGTTGCGTCTTTTCTCTTTTCTGGACTTGCTATTAAAATCTTTGTCTTTTCTTCTCTTTCTCCAATTCTTCTACTTATGGTCCCCTTCCATTTCTGTCATGTTTAATTATTGCGAAATGCTTCTATTTTTATACATATATAAGTTCACATTTAGCTCTTCCATTTCACAGTGGTGATTATGCTCTGTTTTTTGTTGATTCAAAGACATTTATTTTCGTTAAACTGAGTTTCACAGGCTCTTGCATTGTTATAATAGAAGTAGAGAAAATTCAAGTGTCATATGACACTCTTCAATAAATCATGAAACTTACTCCAAAGAGCTTTATAACAAAATGTATCTGACGACTTTGTATGACAAACATCACACATAAACATATAACAAGTCTTATTACTACTCGGAACTTAATTCTACTTTCTCCCAGATTCATCTGTCTGAGATGAGACTTTATTTAATAGCAGCTTCTGAGGCCATTGGATCCCAACTTTTCCCGGCAAGTAAATGTCGACATAAAGAAAACACAGTAGATGATGCAGCAACGAAGAAGTGGTTTCCTTGAAACGCTGACCTTACATCCTCGATCTGGCTTGTTCCACTGGAGCGCTCTGCAACACAAATGGAGTAATACTTAAGAATCTTAGTTACAATGGATCAAACTTCGAGAAGCTAAAAGTCGACAAGATCTGATAATTACCAGAGGAGCTCCTTTAGCTGCCCTCTCAGCTAAGAAAGCACAAGGCTTGAAGAAATCACCATAAGCCTTTGACCACTCATCTAGCTTTGAGTGAATGTATTTTGATCCCAAGGAATCAGCCCAGAACATGATCCCTCCTCTGTTCAAAAGAGATTTTTAGTTCAAAACCAAAACGAGCAAAAAAATATTTGATAAAGATATCGGAGTTACAGCAAAACACTGACCTGTAAGGTGGAAATCCCATTCCAAAGATGGCAGCAATGTCAAGGTCTGCTGCTTTGACAGCAATACCTTCAGCAAAAACTCTACACGCCTCGTTCACTACTGGGAAAAACGTCATTTCAATAATCTCCTTCTCAGACAATTTCGCCAACTGCAAGCCACAACAACCAGTCAAGAGTGAGAAAATAACAGCGATTTCCTCTCAAATGCAATGGATAAAGAGATACCTTAGGGTCAACGTTTACTCCAGACATTTCCCTTGCCTTCTCGATGTAATTCTTCAACTCGGGATCAGGTTTAGCCTTACGCTTATCATCATACAGATAGAAACCTTTACGAGTGGCTTCACCTGAAACCAACAGGGAAAGTTCACAAGATTTAGAAGAATGTTAAACCAATTAAACAGTTAGCTAGCTTTCGTTTCTGACATACCAGCTCTCTTGTCCTCTTGCATGAGTGGGATTATCATTGATTTGTTTGTCCGGTCAGGGAAGTTCTCGATGAATTGCATTGCGGTTGCAATCGCCACACCGAATCCAACCAGGTCACACAGTCTGAAGGGTCCCATTGGCATTCCAAACTTGCTGACTGCCCTGTCGATCACATATGGATCTGTTCCACGCTCAACAAGGAACATAGCTGCCTGTGTGTATGGGAAGAACATCCTATTCACTGCAAACCCTGTGCAGTTTCCCACCACGACTGGCGTTTTCCTAATCTTCTTCCCGACGTCTAATAGGTCAACAAGCACTTGGGCAGAGGTATGATTGGTCCGAACTATTTCAAGTAGCGGCATGACATGTGCTGGACTGCATTAGTGATCAAAGCCACTCTTAGCATAATATTCACACTGAATTTCATCCAAACTCCAAAGAATATGTAATCACCTGAAAAAATGTGCTCCGACAATTCGATCCTGGGACTTGGTCCGCTCCCCAATTTTGTTCAAGTCGATGGTAGATGTGTTGCTAGCGAGGATACAATGCTGAGGACAGTACTTCTCCAGATCAGCAAAAATTTGCTGCTTCAAAGATAGATTCTCAATAACAGCCTGTTCAAGCCACCAAAAAGACATGATAAGAAGTTAATTCAATTAGCTTGCCGTATAAAAAAGAAACTTCAGCTTAATTAGGCTCATTAATACCTCGATGACTAGGTCCACATCCCTGAAGCTTTCATAGTCAAGAGAACCTTTAAGGAGAGACATGGTCTTCTCAAACTTCTCCTTAGACATTTTTCCTTTCTTTACACGACTCTGAAGATTAGCTGATCAAATTATGGGATTAGTCAGATAAAGCTTTTGCAATTCGTTGGTAAGCAATGTAAAGAAACCCATCCCCACCTTTGACTCTGCCAATTCCTGCCTCTAGGAACTTCTCATTTACCTCCTTGAGAACTACTGGATAGTTACTGAGGATCAATGCAGTGGCTATTCCAGATCCCATCAACCCGCCTCCAATTATTGCTACCTTTTTAATCTTCCTTGGGACCAACCCACGATCAGTAACTCCAGGAACCTGTTCATAACATAGATTGGGAAGAATGAAAAACGGGGAATGATTTTCATGCTAATAGTTCATATCCTGTAAAGAAAGAAATTAGAGGCTTAGTTGTACATAAGTCTAAATTACATGACTAGATAGTCACAAACCTTTGTAGTTCCTCGCTGAGAAAAGAAGACGTGGATCAAGCCTTTGGTGGTATCCAAGTTTACCACTTGTGAGGCGACTTCAGCCTCCTGTTAAAAACAATGGGGAAATTCATACTGGTTAAAAATCAGGGGGAACGGTCAAAGAGAGTAACAAAGCGTCGAAAAGATAGATAAAATACCTTTTCTAAACCAGCCCTTGGACCAGAAACAATACCCACTTCAACAGCATCAAGGCACATTAAGGGGTGTTTCATATTGGGGGCTTGCCTGCGTGTCTGGTCCCTGGCAAACTTCAGTATCTCCCTTGCCTCTCCAAGAGGAGGTAACTTATCAGTCTTCAAAACACTAGAAACCCATGCTTTTCTCCTCTCGACTATGTCAAGGGCCCAGCGACGAGCAGTGTTTAGCAACTCGGCAGGTGGAACCACAGCATCAATAAGACCCAATGAATGACCTTCCTCAGCTTTAACCGGCTTAGATGTCTATATGTTTCATCAAAAGAAAATGTTGTTACATTTTAACCAGAGCAGACTACTGATACCACAAGAATAAGGCGCTGACGTACCAAAATCATTTCAAGGGCCTTCGTGAGACCAACAAGACGAGGAAGACGCTGCGTTCCTGCATCACCCCAAAGGACCATAATTAGCAAAATAAACGAAAGTGACTTGATTCATTCAACAAAAACATGAACAGATTCTTTTTCCATCCTCATAGCACAGTATACATCTAGAATCCATATGGTTGTTGTACCAGTCAAGGACTTGACAATCAACAAAGTTAAATATGTACCTCCAAACCCGGGAATAACACCAAGTTGCAGCTCGGGTAAACCCAACTGTGCACCAGGAGCTGATATCCTTGCATGGCAAGCCTGAAAAAAAAAATCACACAACTGCCTCACCACCCATTGAAGAAGAAACACAGAAACTCTACCAGGTTCAACAGTCTCAAGAGTCTTTTCAGGGACGTAGTGGATAACATAGAAACTCATACCATAGCAAGTTCTAACCCTCCTCCCAAGGCAAGCCCCTCGATGGCAGCCACAGACGGTTTCTTGGCAGCTGAAAACCAAAGAAATAAACCGATCCCTCAGCAGCGCATCATCAGAACCATTACACAAATCAATTAAGTCAATACGTAGATAAATAACCTTCAAACAAGTCGGTTATGATGTCGATTGAAATGAATCCAGCCTTTGGCTCCTTCCCTGAGAAAATCAATCACACAAGTACACATTACTAACTACATCAAATACATAACAGCGATACAATCACCAAAGATTCAATTACAAAGAAACATACTAGTCCCCTTCTGAATTTCACCGAAACCAGATATGTCAAAGCCACCAGAGAACCTCCCCTTTGCACCTGCAGTAAGAAACACAAAAGCCATTATCAGATCATCATCTCCAAAAAATTGGGCATAAAGTTTTTGGTGTGGAAGAGAATGAAACCTCAAGACGTACCCGTAACAACAATAGCTTTAACATCATTCCTGCTCAAGGCCTCATCGTAATTACTTTTGAGATTGTCTAGCACTGTACAGAAATACACACAACAGAGTAAGATTTCCCGCTTAAAATCGATACAACTCGAATGCCAAAAACTAAATCTTTCTCGAGATCATCATCGTACTAATCCAAAAGAGCATGAGATGAGACTAATAATCAGAATTTTATATTATCAGATCATAAATTCGATCCGAAGCTGAAATGCAATCGGACTAGTAGTCAGAATTTCATAAAATCATATCATAAATTCGATCGGAAGCTGAACCACACGGAGCCAGAAAATAACTGGGCGAGAATCAAACAGCGAAATTGACCTAGAATCTGAAGAAGCGAGCTAAGAAATTCCAGATCAAAACAAACAAAACAAAAAATCTGAGGAGGTAGAAGAGAAACGTACAGTCGAATGAAAGCGAATTGACGGGAGGGTTGATGAGTGTGATGACGGCAACACCGTCGCCGCCAACTTCCATCGTCGTCTTTCCCTTCGTTCGTGAACCCATTTTTGCGTCTACGATCTTCGTTGAGGAATTGAGATTGCGAGTCAAAACTCGGAATTAAGAAAATAAATAGAGAGAGAGACGTGAGAGATGACGTCTTATAATGGTACAGTGGCACACTCCTCAACGCAAGGACACCTTGATAATGTATTTCGATAAGTTTGATTTTATTTTTCTTATCCACTGTTTCTCCTTTTGGATGATTTACAAATGGAATTAAGCACGAATTAAGAAACAAATATTAGCTGTTAAACTCTGTGATTTTTGTTTCTGAAAAATGCATGTTTTAGTCCTACCATAGGATCTGAATCCTACGGATTTGTAAGCTGCCACGTAGATTTTTTAGTTTTAGACAAAATTAATTAGGAATAAAAGGAAACAAAATGAGCTCACACTTTCTGGTTTTCTTTATTTGCTAGTTATGATATACTCGAAATCATGCTGATGCTGTCATGCATGCTCCTAAATCTTTCCTTATAATAAGTTCTATGTTTGTTATGCAAGTGCGTCGTTATATATTTTAATTCTACTATGAGTCTCTTTTTCGTTGTTTCAAAATACAAATTACAATCCCAAAGAAATGTTAACGAAATACATATTGTTAGGACCCTGCATGTACGAATAGAACTTCTGATACTTAATTATATTATTTTAAAAAATCATGACTTCGCTTCTGTTAAATGCTTCAGACCATTTTTCGTCAACTCCTCTATAGCTTAGGTGATTTGAGTAATTTTGTGAGAAATGCTTACATAAGAGACATACCATGCACCCGTTGTCTTCATTACCCAAAAATACTTGTTTCACTGAAATATATATATCTCTCACCAACAAGATGGGTTTGGTTAACGACAAATTGTTATGATCTAAATTCTAAAAAGAATTGTTAGGGTTGGCAACACTTGGAAGAGAAAAGGACCAAAAGGTGAGGTCAGACGTAATTTGGGTTAGGTGTATGCGCTAGCTGCCTAGCTCACGTTAGAAAGACAATGTTGCGCATTTATTCATAAAATCGACTATTTAGGAAGTAGCATTACATTCGAATCTTTAAGTTTTGTTCGGTTTCTTAAAAATTTTTATCATTTTAATATTTTCATTGTTTGCTCACATTAATCATATTCATTTTAACTAAGAATAAGTCTACATATCTATTTTTAATACAGTCACTACAAGAAATGTGACATTTCCCATATATACACAAAACGATGTTGAACTTCACTCTGTTAGCTCCTCGCGATTGCTTCCAACGTTGGTATTTTGGCATGTCTTAGTCTTGTTCTTGTAGGCACCTAGCTCGTTTGGTCATGTACTTTCATATCTGTTAGACTGTTAGTTCTCACTGTGGTCAACGAAAACTATCCAAGGTTGGCAAAAACTCAAAGAGAAAAAAAAAAGTGTGATTAAGATGTAATGTTGGGTTGGGCATCAGTGTGATCGTTTAGTCATGAAATCGACTGATTAGGAAGTATGATCTTTTTTGTTTAAGTTTCTTTTGGTCAACATATCTGTTCAAATACAAACTTCAAATTATAAGGACTTATTCTATACGAATACGATTCATATTCTATACACAAGATTATATACGAGTTAACCATATCTGTTTTACACAACATAATCAACTACGGACACTTATCATACGTTAGAGCCAGAGGCAGATTTGTATTGTATAGCGTCGAAGGCTCGAAGCTGCTCCATACAAATTAACAACAACATCATTTCTAATGGTAATGCGTAATATCAAATCACATACTATTACTAGTATCATTTGTCGTCAAAAGAAATTTAATAATCATTTTGTAATGATATTTTCCTTACTTTTTCTTTAAAGTAATGTACGATCAGTTGGTGGATTGGTGACATGACTCAGGACACGCGTGTACCGTTGATCCTCCAGCAAAAAGCTACAAAATATTGCTGACATGGCATTGATAATAAAACTAATCCAATGAGTTTTTGTTTTCTCGGACACCACTAATCCAAGAGTCACATGAATCTATCTATTTCAGTACTTAATCCAATACTACGTTCTCTTGTAAGTTCTTGGAATATTCCCAGTTCAGCTGTTTTTCTCATTTCTCTCTTTACTCTTTTTTTTTTTTTTACCCGAAGAGCAACCGTGAATAACGATGATCGCGCGACGGATCTGGCGGAGCCATCGGTATCTCCGCCCATTTAGCTCGTCCTCTGTTCGCGCTCCGCTCTTCCGGATACCGGAGTATAATTCTCAGTCGTCTTCCTCTCCGGCGTCGCGCCCATTCCTTGTTCAATCTCTCTCTGTAAGTTTGTTCAGACCAAATTTCTAATTTTGTCCAGTTCTGTTAAAGAATTTTCGAGGCTATCAGTATCCGGCAAGCTCTTCAAGGGGAAAAAGAAACATTAATCTGTTAAATTTTTCAAAGAAATGATAGTTTTCAGGGGACTTACTTCTGCTAAAACTGACTTAGTGGAAAATGTTTTGGATTTTTGGTTACTTCTTGTGCAAAAGATGAAACAAGTTGGGTCCCATTTTTGGGGAAGCAGAAGCTGGTATTCGAACGAAGCCATGGCCATAGATTCAAATTCAGGTTTAATAGATGTGCCACTAGCACAAACTGGGGAAGGTATTGCTGAATGTGAGCTTCTCAAGTGGTTTGTCAAAGAGGTCTGTTGGTTTCTTTTTCCATTGTTGTGTTGGGTTTTATTAAGACAAGATTTATGAATCATCCTTTTGCTGTTTGTGTTTCTGTTTTTGCAGGGAGATCCTGTGGAAGAGTTTCAGCCACTGTGTGAAGTCCAGAGCGATAAAGCAACAATAGAGATAACAAGCCGCTTCAAGGGGAAAGTAGCTCTGCTTTCACATGCTCCAGGTGACATTATCAAGGTTGGGGAGACTCTGGTTAGGCTGGCTGTTGAAGACGCCGAGGAGGACGCTCTTCTAGTAACATCTGTTAGTCCAACAGGAAATGTAAACCCTAGCGGTTCGGAGCCAAAAGCAGAGAATCTTGTTGGAGCTCTCTCAACGCCTGCTGTTCGTAACCTTGCAAAAGACCTTGGCATTGACATCAATATCGTTATCGGAAGTGGTAAAGATGGCAGAGTTTTGAAAGAGGACGTTCTTCGATTCGGTGGCCAGAAAGGAAATGTGGGAGGAGACTCCATTTCCACTATAAACAGTAACTTTGAAGATCAAACAATTCCTCTAAGGTACGTCTATTGTTGCTGTCAATATGTGGCTATCTTGTATATGAATCAATTTGTTTCTTTATTCGCAGGGGATTCAACAGAGCGATGGTGAAGACAATGACCATGGCTACAAAAGTACCGCATTTTCATTTCGTTGAAGAGATAAACTGCGACGCACTTGTGGAGCTCAAACACTTCTTTAAAGAGAACAATACAGATTCCACCGTCAAACACACTTTCCTTCCTACTTTGATCAAGTCTCTCTCAATGGCTCTCACCAAATATCCCTTCGTCAATAGTTGCTTCAACGAGGACTCTCTAGAGATCATCCTCAAAGGTTTTGTTTTTATCTATAAAAAACTTCTATTGTTGTTTTTGATTTTTGTGGTTCTAAAATTCTTGGTTTGTGTCAGGTTCACATAACATTGGAGTTGCAATGGCTACTGAACATGGGCTTGTGGTTCCTAATATAAAGAATGTTCAGTCGTTATCTTTATTAGAGATAACCAAAGAGCTGTCACGGTTACAGCATTTGGCAACGAACAACAAACTTAGCCCTGAGGATGTGACCGGTGGAACCATAACTCTGAGTAACATTGGAGCGATCGGTGGGAAATTCGGGTCACCTCTTCTAAACTTACCAGAAGTTGCTATCATCGCTCTTGGAAGAATCGAGAAAGTTCCTAAATTCTCTCAAGACGGAACTGTTTATCCTGCATCGATGATGATGGTAAGTAAAGCTTCATCATTTCTTGATTAATTCAAGATCTTTGTTAGTACCTAAGCCTGATTATTGTTTTGGATTAAGATCAACATTGCTGCGGATCATAGAGTTTTAGATGGAGCAACGGTAGCTAGGTTTTGCTGCCAGTGGAAACAGTATATTGAGAAACCGGAGTTGCTAATGCTTCAAATGAGATAAAACAAAACATAACTTCATGTTTTGTTTGTTAATCTCTGTTTATGTCTTGTGGGAAGCCTTTGTACTAATAAAAATCTTGAAAATAATCATTCTTCAAACAATTTAAAACCTGGAAAATGAAATCAAATTTACAAAAGTAGAATCTCCTACATGTTCGCGGTGTACGGAACTTGTGTTTGTGGAATCCAACCATCGCCAAGCAAGAATCTGCCTCCAGTGTATTGAAGAGCCTCTTGGGGCGATAGAGTCTTGATCCCGGGCCATTTAACTCTTTGGGCCTGATTCGATCCAGGCCCAATATTCAAATGCTCGGCGTAGTATAGCGTCTTGAGCGCAAACTCTCCCTGCCAAGGATGCCATCCCGCTGGATCGATGACGTCATCGATCGTCGTCTTCATGATGACCGTCCTCGAGAACTCCTTCCACGGCCTTCCTAGATACGCTTTGTCCACAGATTTCACCGGAAGATACCGCGGATCTCCCGTTATATGGCAGTTATGGAGTACCAATCCCGTCGATTCACGGACGTCGCTGCGTCCCTGAGCTGTGACCATACACGATTGGCCTTTGTTAGGTTTCCGGACGACGATTTTACTGTTCTGGAGGAGGCACTTCGCGTCGCCGAAGATGAAATCCACGGTGCCGGAGATTGTGCAGTCACGGTAGAATTGCCGGTGAGAGTGAGCGTATAAAGTGTCTTGGTACCCGTCGATTTGACAATTGTAGAACACGGCGTAATCCGCTGAGACCCTCACCGCCACCGCCTGTCCTCCCTGTGGCCCAGCCGTGTTCTCGATCCCGAGGTTCTTCGCCGTGAAGTGATCTCCCTCGATTGCTGCAAAATCAAAGGTCTGTAATGTTTAGAATCTCTCTTTTGGGGAATTTTGTTGGTTTTTAGGAAAATTGAAAACTCACTGACGGTGGCTGTTAGGTACGTCTTGACTTTTCCGAGGCCGAAGTTGAGGCTGCCGGTGATTTTGGTCTTGGTTGGTCCATCACCGATGAAAATGATGTTTGGCATTTTCCTTGTGACCATTACTTTCTCCTTGTAGAGACCTTCTTTGATATGGATGACGAATGGCATTCTGTTGTCTTTAGGGATAGAATTTAGAGCATCGGTGATGGTCTTGAACTGGCCACTTCCGTCTTGAGCCACCACGGCGTTAGCTTTAACTACTGGTGGTGGTCCTCCTCCTCCTCCTCCTTGTGGCTCCGCCATGAGCCGTCGTGCCTCTGGTCCAACCCATGTTGGGATGCCATCTTCCGTAGACAAAAGCTTTCTGGCGTAGCTTCCAAGAGCTCCTTTGAGTCCTGTGATGTTGGAATTTGGGAGAATATCGGAGAGGTCAGTGACCATGGCGAGGCTATTGCTACTAAGCTCTTTTGATCTTCTGAAGATCTTGAGCATGTTCTGGATAAGATCCGACTTAATCTCCAGAAAAGCATCCATACAGGTTTGCTGGTAAGCGATGGAGCCACTTAGCCAAACCCGAAGATCCTCAATGTAGCCTTCGATCTGATTCACTGAGAAGCCATGATTAACGCACCGTTTCAGATCGTCAATAGCGTCAAGCATCACCTTCTCACAGAGCTCGAAAGAGCTCTTTGATTGTGGGTCGTCGTCAGCTCTGCCTTTGACGTTTTCAGTGGCTTTCCTGAGGGCTTCGTTGATGGATTTGATAGTGACGTTGAAGCTGAGTTTGATGAGTTCGAGTGGCTCGGTGGATTTGGGATTGGCGTCCATTAAGCTTTTGACGCAGGTCTCTTTGTAGTCAGTTGGTGCACAGACTGCTTTGACCGCTTTGTTGTTTTGCCTGATCTCGTTTTCGTTGGGCGAGTTTTTAGATGTTACGACAGCTACAGAGACGACCATGATGACTAGCAAACCGGAGACACTGCCGGCGATGATGCATTTCTTTTTCTTGTCACCATCAGTTCCCATTTTTTCGGTGTTCAAATTTTCTTTTGTTTGTTCCTACTTTTCTAATGTGTATTTCTAAACATGTTCAAAACGGAGCAGACAGGGGCCTGGAACTGTGGCTATAAGGCCCCTTCTAGCTCTGAATATGTTTTATTACCTATTTTTGGGTGAAAAGGGGAGGTTTTAGTGTTTGGTTTATACAATTCCTAGAACAAATGGATAGAAAACATCGATGAAGTTAATATAGAGAAGAGTTTTAATCCTATTTCTGGGGTTTTGAGGAAAGAACATGAGGCTATGTTACATTTTCTGTCTTTAGTAACATTTGTCTTTATCTCCATCTAAAATGTTTGGTTTCCCGCTTTTATGATAAACCTATGAATAGTTTCGGTCTAGGAGTCATGAATTTTGTGGGATGGAAGTGAAAAAATCTTTGGTAATTTGCTTAAGTGGAAACTTGTGACTGAATGATTTTTACAGACTAATTTTGAGAAATTATATAGAAGAAACAGCAGTAAGGTGGAATGAGAGAGATCTCAAACTTTATGAAACAGATGAGAAGATCCTGTAAAAAACTTATTCAGGTTTTACTATACTGCTTTGTAGTAAAAAAGACCCAACAAACAGCTTTATTACGAGGTATATAAAAGAAGACAAGCCTGTTTCTCAATTTGAGAATCCAATCAAAGCTTTGAAGCTCTCTGTAGTTCTAACTTGCCGATGGTGCCAAGATGAACCTCATCAGGTCCATCAGCAATCCTGAGTGTTCTAGCCGTCGCCCACAGATGCGCCAACACTGTATCCGATGACACACCGGCTGCTCCATGAACTTGAATTGCCGTATCCAGTACCTTCAAAGCCGTGTTTGGAGCTGCAACCTGAGTACCAAAATGATTTTGGCTCTTCAAGATCTACTTCCATCAACAATTTTTTACAAATATAAAGCAGATTTTACCTTGGCCATTGCGAGAATCCCTCGAGCCTTTTTGTTTCCAAACTTGTCAAGATGATCAGCAGCTTCTAGAACCAACAAACGGGTTCCTTCCAGCTCTACCCGCAACTGTATCACACAACCATATTGATATAAGTAGAACTCATTATCAAGCATTTGGTTGACTAAAGCACACAGTGACCGTCTTACCTTTGCAAGATCAGAGACAAATGAACCGTGCTGCGCTATGAACTTCCCAAAAGTTTTCCTGTTAAGAGCTCTTTGAGCCATTAGCTCCATTCCACGCTCCGCTGCACCTATTAGTCTCATGCAATGGTGCAACCTTCCAGGGCCTAACCTACCCTGAAATAGCAAACAATGCAAGCGTCCGATAAAATACAATCCTTACCATCTGTCACTGCAAGCTCTGAATCTATGTCTTATCTTTTGTATTATTATTACCTGAGCAATCTCAAATCCTCGGCCTTCTCCTAGGAGAATATTCTTCGCCGGGACAATCACATTGTCAAAAGAGATTTCAGCATGTCCATGAGGCGCGTCATCGAAACCGAACACCGTGAGAGGCCTCTTCACATGTATACCTGGAGTCCGCATGTCCACTAGTATCATAGACTGCTGCTTATGTCTTGGGGCGTTAAAATCTGTTTTCCCCTGTACATCACAGAAACAAAAGCATAACAAATACATTTATGCGCTCATATTTATGTACTGGTTTAGTCTTTTAGATAAAAAGAGAGTAATGAAAAGGAACTAACCATGAGAATAAGGACTCTACACCTGGGATCCATGGCTCCACTTGTCCACCATTTTGTGCCATTAATGATGTATGAATCACCTTGTCTGTATAACCACCAAAGGCAAAATTAGCTTCATGAAAAATGTGAACACAAATTCAGTTTTAAGAAAATACCAGCAGAGATATTCAAAATGACATTAGCATTAGTTTTAGTGGAAAGCTCGAAGAAAATCTCTCTCACCTTGTAATAGAACACTCAATATTGGTTGCATCAGAAGATGCAACTTGTGGCTCAGTCATAGCAAATCCAGAACGAATTTTTCCCTCAAGCAACGGAATAAGCCATTCAGAAATTTGTTCTTTGTTTCCATACCGCAGTATCACCTACAAAGATGGAGCATACATAAATATACAAGTAATAAGCAATGAGACTTCTCGACCCCATAAACAGAAGCAGGCCTTTTTACCTCCATGTTTCCAGTATCAGGTGCACCACAGTTAAACACCTGTGGAGCCCAAACAGAACGACCCATGATCTCACAAAGGTAACCATACTCTAGGTTCGTGAGGCCCTCACCAAACAATTGATCAGAAAACCTGCCTGACGAATCATTTTTATTCCCAATAGCTGCAAGTTCTCTTCTAGCTCTAGCAGCACTATCTACCTGCAAGAACCAAGAAATCCATAAGAACACTCTCACTCAGTAAAAAAACAATGAAAAATTCGTAGGGTAAATATACATACAGGAATAAATAAGTTCCATAGGCCTTCTCTCTTTGCCATCTCCTTTAACTTTTCCTCCTCGGGGTGAACAGTCCATCGCAAATCCGATTGAGCAAGTTTGGAGAATTCACTTTCCATCGGGTAGATGTGAGTTTCCATAAACTTGATCAACTTCTTCCTTAACTCTAATACTTTTCTGTTGGGGACGAATCTCCCGCTTCCATCCACAATGCTTTCATATGGTGTGCTTACATCTCTTTTAACTGCATCCAAAACGAGAAAAGCAAAGTAGCGATCAGATTACTGTTCTCCGTAAATAAGAAATGTAAAATAAGCAATTTTCCTTAGAAAAACTTGAATCTTAACGAGGTTGATTACCAGATGGAGGGTGTTGTGGGAGAACATTTTCACGTGCAATATAACTCAAGGCAGCCTCTATAAGCTCATTGGCTTGAGTCCCTGTATTCCGGGCACGTTCACCGGCAGAAGCATTCCCCTGCATAACCAATACAATGTCAATGGCTCTGCAAGACTGCAACTGCATAACAAAGAATCTTAAAACAATTAAATTTTCCCGGGCAGTACCATCAACCATCTGTTGTACACCCCTGTGTAGATTGAAGCAGCCCGAAACATAGAGAAAGCTACGTAGAACTTCCAGTTTGCAGCAGGCCATGGTTTTCCCTAAAGTTCGTACGCCAATATGTCACAACAATCAAAATTCAAGAATACATATACAATTTTACAAGAGAGACTGATAGAGTATACAGTATAAAAACACAAATTTAACAGCTCATGTTGTTGCAGGTCTTACCGATGCAGAACAGTATTCTAAGAGAAATTCTGGCAACGAAAGCATTCCTTCTGGTAGTCCAGAAGTTTCAAGACCTTCACTAACATGCTCCTTATCGAGCTGAACATTCACAATGTAATGCTGCCAACACCATAAACTATATATCAGAGGCAGGAAGCAAGGAAAAAACGCAATACGAATACCATGTGTTACAAACGAAAGTAGCTTATTACCATACAGCTGTATGCAACATCACACATTTGGTTCCCAAGCGTGGACAATTCCCAGTCAATAATACCAATCACTCGATCCTGCAGCGTAACGTATTTTCAATAAGGTCTCTTGAAACTATCCAATGATCAAAAAAACAAAAAAGAAACTGAAAGTATACATACTGACCTCAGAAGGATGAAACACAAGATTGTCAATGCGGAAGTCACCGTGGACAAGGCCTGACGTTGCTCCCGTTGAATCTTCCGGCGGTATGCTTTTGCGTAACCAATCAACAAGCTCAGACATCTTTGGATTCCTCTCAGGCTTTCCTTCACTCGTTGAAGCCAAATATTGCTTGAACCACCTGTCTATCTGAAATTCAGAATATCCAAACAATTCAAAAGATCTTTAGCAAGACCACGAGCATTAAAGGAACACGACACTATAAAATGTCAAAAGTCACGAACCTGTCGTTGGCAGTAACTGGCTCGCCGACCATATTTCTCAAGACCAATGGTATCCACATCAGCAGAGTGAAGAGAAGCTAAGGCTTTGGCGGTTGCACGATAAATCGCACTCCTTCTTCCAGGTGCTACATTCTAAGATAAAACCAATGAAACACACAAACACACACGCGATTTAAGCCTTAGGCTCAAGATAAATCACATCAAAGCTAGAAGAAACGAGCATTCACATAAAAGAATGTCTTACCGGCAACTTGGGGTCAATGAAAATACGTCCTTCCATAAACTCCATAATGTAAAACGCAGTCCCAATCACAGTGGGGTCAGTGCATAAGCAGAAGACTTTGGGAACAGGAACCTGAGTATGTTCACCCAAAGCCTTAAGGACCTACATATATAACCATCATCAAAAGCGTTAGGCAAAAGCATCCACCTTTACTCAAAACAGAATTACAAACATCAACAATTCATCTAATAATCGAACGGGTCCAGATTACAAAAGAGTAACACAGTTGCATAAATCATTTTCACCACACAAAAAAAAAAAAAATCGAAATTCAAATGAATAGATTGGGGATGTGAAGATGGAAACCTGAAATTCCCGATCAACGGCATGAGCAGATTGCAGGAGCTTCCCAGGAGGCTTCTTCCTTAAAACATATCGTTTCAGTGAACTCCCTGAGCCTACCTCAATCAGAAAGGTGGGATTCGACTGCCCATGCCCGAACTGTATAACAACAAATTTTCAGATAAATTTTCTTTCTTCCCGGAGAAAAATCTCGAGACGCCGGAGATTGGTAAAGTTTACCTGCGAGACGGTGAATTGGGATGGGTTGGTCGGAAAACCGGAGACGTTGTCGGCGGCGAAACGGAACAAGGCGTCGTGATCGAACCGGTGAGCTGACTGGACACGTGTCACCAGATCTCCCGTGCTGCTCCCCATGTTTAGTGGTCGTCTCTCTGCTCCTCAAGTTGGATCAATTTCATCAACAAGAAGAACACAAAGATGAAGATCGCACATACACGCACACTGCTATAAACAAATTCTATTTACGGAAACTCGCAAAACCATACCTTTTGGATAATTATATTTCTATTTAAATCTGATACGATACAGATACTGTAGTATAGTCCTATCTGAATTTGATGACATAATTTATATGGGTTTGATAACCATTTCGAAGTAGTTTATTTGAATTTGATGACCATCAATTCATCATCATGATTTATATGACGACCAAAAAAGTCTTAACCATTTCTTAAACATATTACAGGTAAGAAATCCATGATTTGAGAACTCATGCCAGCTCATGTTTATATACTATTAAAACATAGTTCCCCCATTAAAAAGCTAATACTATATTAATCTTATGCTTATCAAGAAAGACGAATTTGAGCAAACAAATGGACAAGCTAACTGAAACTTCAAAAGGGCTCGATACAATTATCAAATGCTATAGCCCATTTGGGCCCATAAAGTTTCTCGAAGCATCATCATTTGAAAAACCACCGAAGAGAGGCAGAGACGAGAGCAGAAGCCGAAACCCTCACCGGCGATGGCTCTTATCACCGCGCGGCGCAAATTAGCGACACTTCTTAACAAAACCATCTCTTCTTCTACTGCTTCTTCGTTTTCTACGCTCTCTTCTCGTTCTCGGTTCGTCCTGCCTCTGGTTGACAAGGTTTCCTCACTGGGCCCGTGTTACATCGCGACCCGACCCAAGACATCCGGGTCTGGATACTCCCCGCTGAACGATCCGTCGCCAAATTGGAGCAACCGTCCGCCGAAGGAGACGATTCTTCTTGATGGGTGCGATTACGAGCACTGGCTCATCGTCATGGAGTTCACTGATCCCAAACCCACCGAAGATGAGATGATCAATGCTTATGTCAAAACCTTAACTTCCGTCCTTGGCAGGTAAAATCCCATTTCAACTTCATTTTTTTGTTTCCTTTCTCATTTCGTCTGTGCATTTTTTGAAATTTGATGGAGTTTTTGTGTTTTCCAGCGAAGAAGAGGCAAAGAAGAAGATTTACTCAGTTTGCACATCGACCTACACTGGTTTTGGTGCTTTGATCTCCGAAGAGCTTTCTTGCAAAGTCAAAGGTATCAACTTTAAAATGGTTTCTATATTTTGCTTCTGCTCTGTTGAATGGTCCAATCAATAATTCGCTGCACCGGAATTGTTATCTGTATGGTTAGGACAAAGAACATATCAGTCTCTAGGTTTGGAACATATCAAAACATTGTCTATAAGATATCTAATGCAGAGTTGTGATGATTCTTCAGGATTGCCTGGTGTTCTCTGGGTCCTACCAGATTCCTATCTTGACGTACCCAACAAAGACTATGGAGGTTTGTAATGATGTTCTTGGATTAAAATCTGAATGATTGGGAAGATATGATTATCGTCTAAACGAATTTTGTTTGGCTCACGTTCAGGTGACTTGTACATTGAAGGAAAGGTCATACCGAGACCGCAGTACAGGTTCACAGAACAGCGCCAAGGTAGGAACCGGCCTAGGCCAAGGCATGATAGACGCCGTGAGACTACGCAGGTTGAGAGGAGAGAGCCGGCACAGAACTGGAGCCAGAATCAACCACCAACATCCATGGCTCACCAAGCTCCACCTACTAATCCCGGAGAGTTCAACAAGACCAATGCTTGATCAAAACTCTAGTTATTTAATGAACAAGTATGCATCTGTAATGGAGTTTTTAAGGCTTATGCCAGTGTTATTACATGCCCACTCATGTTAGAAATTTTCTATATATCACAAAATCACCACATTCATCTTTGTTTCTAAGCATTCAACTTGTCTAAGCATAGTAAAAGATAGAGGTCTAAAGTGAAATGAGATGAAATATATATGTACAATGTGAATAAATATATATACACACACGAGAGATAATTTGATGAAACTGGACCTGAGAGATTAAGAATTTTTCAACATAAGATTGCAACCTACTCGGAATCACCATGAGCACAAATTCGTCAGCAAACCGAAGATAATTCAATGTTCAGCTTCTCCCTATCACCGTCCGTCACGATCCTCACTATCCTCTTGAATGCGAAGTGGACGCAATTGGATAAAGCGATCCAGCAAATCACTTCGTACACGAATTCCATTGCTGGATCAGACCAAGACGAAGACTCGTCCCAGTTACCACCACCTCCTCCTGAATTCCATCCCTTTCCACCGCCACCGCCACCACCGAATCCGAATGGACCGTCGTTACCACCGAAATCGCCTTCTAACAAAAAACGACCAAAATCACCTCCGTCGTCCGAATCACCGCTGAAGGAGACCCGCCTGGTACTGGTACGCCGTCTTTTACGGATCCGGCGGATGGTCTTGTAAGAGCTGGATCTGACAGGTGGAGGCGCGATTGCATCGACGGGGAAGACAACCGCCGACGATTGTACGATTCCGCCCAATGACTGATCAGCGGCGTAATCGGCGAATGAAATGTGATTGGCCGCCAAATCCAATCGATGAAGGAGAGACTTCCCAAACACTAAGCCTTGCTTAGCCGTGCAGACTGCGACTGTATCGGCGATCAGAGTAAATTCCATGATCGAGAGACGAACCTTCTTCGATTTTTCCCCCAAATCCACGAAAATAGTTTTGGATTAGGGATTTTACAACCTTGCCGGTAATTACGGGTAATGACGGAAATAATATCGGGAATCTGATTCGGACGGACAAGCTTGACACGTAACTGGTTTTGCGCGTTGAATAGAAACGCCACGTGTCTTGTATTTCAAAACGTGAGCAGTACTCAAACTGGGACCCGTACTATATAGTTCTCAAAAGTAAAAGCCCAACAATGTGGGCTATATTTTACTCGAGATAGGCCCATTCTCTACCCCTATAGTGTGGAATAGAGAGGGTTTTCTTGATCAATTTTATTCAGGGAATTTCACTCTTTGTTGAGTAACATAAGTGATTAACTGATTATGTGATTTTCATTACCAGTTTCGATAGTATGTCACATGTTTTATTTTCATAATATTACGACAAATCTCACGTGCTCACTGACATTTTTTTTGGGGACTCTACTATGCCTGGCTAAGCTTCCAAATCTTGTTTTTTACATCTGTTTTTTTTTTTTTTTCTCAAATCTTTCTCGTAGTATATAAATTCAAGTTTTGGGTTGGGAGTATATAAGTTTTCTGTAGTAAATTCTCACAAAAGTTATCTCATATGATGATATGAACGCTAATACATGCATTGTGTGAGTAATGGAAAGGAGAACAAGTTTATATTGACTCTTCGGTTTGGTAAAACGTCGGATTTTAATTTTCAATGTTTAGTTTGTTTGAGTGAAACGGGTATTTTGTGTTATACACTTAGACCATATATAATTGATTTAAAGAAAATTTGGAATGTAATTGGTATTCGTAATCAAGAAATTAGCATCCCCATGTGATTTTTACTTTCAGGTGACCAATTACAACCGCTATGTTTGACTTAATACTGATGAATTAGATTTTCCTAATATTTTAATTTTGGTGTTATTACAAGAAGACAACCACAAGTGAAACATATAGTCCACTCCAACTATTAATTTTGATGTTAAATCATCACGAAATACTATGTGTTTCTAATTTTTTCTTAACGTGCGTGTAACATTAGGTACAAGCTTAGCTTATGTCCAAAGCCATTGTCACATAGTACTATTTTTGTTGTATCAAGCTATAGTCAAACATCAAACACCAGAAAACAAATCACGAAATCCAATCTAAATCCAATTCTCAAAGCATAGCTAGCTATTTTTATGTACTTTCAACTTTATTTTTTTATGTATATAGACATACACACATATTAGACTTCCAAGGATTTGATTCAACCCATAAAATTTTGTGCTATGAAACAATATAAAAATTCTCACAGCTTTGATATTTCATGTAAAAGGAAAATAGAAGTTGGGGTAGCTTCACTTTCTTGGTTTTCAGCTATTTCAAATAAAGACACCCTTTAATATATGGTTGTACTCTTCTCTTTTACTATGTATCACAAGTTTAATGTTCCAATATTAAATTTTCTTATAAATTCTATGTATTCAAAAAGTAAACATAAATCAACTTTGTTTTCTCTAGAGAATTAAAAGAAAGAAAGTGTTAGAAAAAAAAATATCTGCGAGAGAGAGAGGTGAACATTTAATCTTTTATACACGATAACTTACTATCGATCGACATTATGCAACCCTCAATATTCCAAAAAAGAATCTATGTACCACAATATATGATTTAATATATAACATGATTGAGCATATAAAAGTTTACATCCAAATTTGCAAGTAATTACATATATAGTATATTGAGCTGAGAAAAAAAATTGTATAAAAAAAATATATTTTGTACCCAATAATCGACCACCACCAACCAAAATAATTTGAAACACCAATTATATTCCGTCGTTCAATTGTGATACTACTAACTAAAACGGTTTTGGCAAAACCTATGTAATTACTAATTAGCGTTAGTTATGGATAATTTATCAGTAGAAAATAATGATCCAGCCATTTTGAATAATTCACAAAAAATGAAAGCCTATTTTTTATACTCAGGAGGCACTCAGCTCTATCAAATTGGACTCCTTGCAAAATTTTCTCTTAATTATCACAGTAAAAGCGAGTTACAACGTGTGCTGGATCTACGTTACTTTTACCCGTTCTTCAATTTGAATTTTTCAGTAAATTTGTTTAAACTTGATGTATTATTATCTGAAGAAGAAAAAACTATTACTATTTGAAGAAGAAAAAAGCAAATGTAGTATTTGATTATGACATCATAAATGGATTAATTTATGTTTATCTCTCACCCTTTTCCATTTTAAAATGTCTCTCCCGCAAAGTCTGCCTGCCTTCTCTTAACGTCTTCTCCTTCTCTCTCTGCTCACTCCGCAGAAAAACTTTTTTTTTTCCCTTCACCTCCATTTTCCTGGAAGATTTCTCGAACCTTCTGTTGCAAATGGGTAAGATCCGGCCCGGACCGGATCCAAAAGCGGCATTGGTCTCCGAGATTTGTTCCCTATCGAGATCATCACCAATTTCTTGCATTCATATCAATCACAACTCTGCTTCATGTTTCATCGACTGGTATCTCCTTCTCGGTGTACGTTCTTTATTATTTCTCACAATCTATCTATCTTGCTGCCATTTTTCTTTTAAAGCATGGAATTTTCTAAATATATTGGATGAACTTTTTATTGCATTTTATTCAAATAAAAGAAAAAGAGAACATTGGATTGATTTGGATAAAACAGATTCAGGAAGATGCAGAGGTCAAGCTCATACGTAAACGATATCACAAACTAGGTCCGGTTTTAACTGTTTGAGTTTCGTTTATAATCTTGGTTTTGCTTAGTTATCTTTGTTAGGTTATAAATATTTATAGTTATGGTCCTAAGTTTACGATAAATCGTTAATTTTTGTTCAGCTCTGAAGGTTCATCCCGATAAAAACAATCACCCAAAAGCAGATATTGCTTTTAAGCTCATCCACGAGGTCAGCCATTTTCATCTTCTTTTTTATAAAAAAAAAATATAGCTGCATTCAAAACATGAATATAGTTATTATTTTTTTTAGAGACAACAGTACACTATTATTGTTATAGACTTATAGTATATAAAATGTGTATGTGGACATGAATCGTACACTTAGTAAGAGCATCAGCGTGCTATCCATGAACTCATTAATTTTCTGTGTACTGTACATACAACTTCTGATCCTATAACTTGGTTTGGCTTCTACCGACTCATTCGTGGTTCTTAAGAAATCCGGTTTTTCCCGGTTGAAAGATTTAACTCTAGAGCTTATCTGTGTTGTGTCTTCTGTGTTCGACGCATGCAGGCGTATTTATGTCTGTCAGACGAAACAAAGAGAAGATGCTTCAACATAGACCGACGAAAGAACATCTGTCTGAAATGTAGCCGGGTCTCACACAAAACCAAAGAGAACCGTACCGATAGTAAACCAAACCGGTTCTGTCAGACACTCAGGGACATCAGGGACAAGTTCAGAGAAGAGAACAAGGTGATTGAAAGATGTTTGAAAACCAGCAGTGGAATAGTCCCCCGAAATCGAACCGACGAAACCCCGGTTTTTGGTATACCAAACCGGTTTAACAAGGAGTCACCGGTTTTTAATCCATCGGATTACAAGTTTTGTGGTTATCCACACGTGAGAAATCGGGTGTTGGACAACAACTTGTCGGATTGGAAGATGTTCATGAGAAGCAGATCCACTTGTGTTCACTCATCTTGATCATTTAGCTTTTCATTTTTATTTCATTTTATCTTTTACTTCTTCTTTGTCATTATATATAGTTCAAGTAAGTGAGAAAATAACTATTGAATTTCATCACCTAAATGGTTCCTAAATGAATTCTCTCATTACTAAATAATAATTAAAAAAAAAAAAAAAAAAACTCGAACTTAGGGCCAAAGTCAAACTAACTCGATCAGTTACAAAAATCAAGTCGTGATGAAAACACTGCTCACATAAGCTTCACATCCTCTACATAACAGTCTAGAAAGGTGTAAGCTTCCTCCATTCCATTCATTTCAGCTCTTCTGACTGTTTTTGTCTCTCTATTGTAGTAGAGAACGGACGAAGACCCAGACGACGACATGACGATTTCATTTGTCCGAGTCACTCCAAGAAAGCGTACACACTTGATGATGTCTCTAACTCCAACTATCTTCTGCCACAAAGCGGGCAATGCATATTCATGGTCCGACCATTCATGCGTTTCGGCATCTTCTAGAACCCGCAACCTAATACTTGATCTGTTATCCATGTAATCCCACCCTTGAAACCGAAGTCGACCTAACTTACCATTATAGCCTATCAGACTCGTATGTCCTGCAGTGGAGTGACTAACGCTGTCGTCTCTGTCTTCCACGAATCTGAACATTTCCGACTTAACATCAAAGCAAACGATTATAAAACTCTGAGTAGACGTATTAACCGCCGGATAATACAGAACACCGTTGATGCATTTATGATGATGATACTTGGGATAAGGAGAATGGGGCACGCAACAATCGATCCTTTTCCATGACGGCTCGCTTGTTCCCAACGTCAGAACCTGATGCTCCTCAGAGACCTTCCATTGAATTCCATAAACCTTGCATGTCATGGCCAATACCTTGTGTTGTTTGTCAATAGGGTCATACCCGAAATAGCTCCTCACTCCAACCTTCCTCCTCGACTTCACTTTCGGTAAGGTCATGGATTGTCCGGTGCTAGGGTTACATACCACCGACACCTGATGCTTCTTTCCATTCAAAATCCGCTCATCTGTGGTAAAGACCAAGCCGCTGATACAACTAACTAATCTTTCATATAAAAAGGCACACGGAATTTTCATATGAGAATCGGCGGTTACAAGAGACGACTTCCCATCAAAATTCTGAGGTTCAGGTGAGGAAAAGAAGAGCATATGGCCGTCTCTTATGCAGTAGAACAGTAGACGCGGGCGAGCCAAAGATCTGGTCAAGAACAGCTCCGTGAAATAGGGGAGGCGCATAGTTGAAGCCCAGAGCTTCGACACGCAGCGACATCTTGCTATGGATTTCCCCGGCAGTCTCAAAGATATATCGATGAGTAGATCAACCGGTATCGTTACTGAGTATTCTCCACCATCGGTTGAGGTCTTTGATCGCGTATTGCGTTGGTTAACGGCAAGAAGATCCTCCGAGTCTGAGACGTTTTGCCGCTGTTTATTCATGGCGGAGACACTGTAGTTGGAACCCTAGCTTCCTGATCACGGCAAAAGTTTCAACCTATATTAGGTTAGCAAATATGGAATAAGTGTAGCTCACAAGTAAAACCAGATTTCTTTTTATAACTTCTAAAAGAAGACGATTACAAAGAATAATTATCAATGGAGTTTAACATTTTTTTACCCAAAAAAAAAGTAAAACCATAGTGTGACCTGATCGGCTAAGAAGGAAGCGATGTAGCTTAATATCATAACGAAGACAAGGTTCAGAAAGTGGCTTGCGTGTGAGTTGTTGTGAGGAGAAAAGTTCACATAAGCACAAATTTAACTTATGAGTTGCTCATTCATATTCACCTATGAAGATAGCCGAACTAGTTTTTTTTTTTTTTTTTTTTTTTCAGATAATGTTTTCAACTTTAATACGTATCACAACTAGGAATTAGGGATATCTATTCTTACCTCACAAATCTGCTGTGCTAATTTTTAGGCCTTAAATTACAATATAAACAAAAACCTAGTTCGTGAATCTTGGGACTGAGATTTATCAAAAAAAAAATCAAAACAAATTTGGAATGATTATCAATCAATTTTATTTACTTATACATTTATTGGATATATGAACCAATACACAAAAGTGTCAGGCTGACCTTGACCGTCTCTAACTCCTTCAGTGTACTTCGTACCTATGAATGATCCATGAGTGACATTCAACTCGAGAAGATATGATTCACAAAGTGGCAACCATTAAGTAAATATCGATCACAGAAAATAGTCGTCCAGTAAGATAACCAGTAGTAGAATCCTATATTAATTGATGAGAACATAGAGCCAGAGTCAAACTAGCTCAATTAGCAAAATCGCAAAGTCCTAATTAAAAGACTTATATAAGCTTCACATCCTCTACATGGTCTCCAGAAGCGTAAACGATACCAGTATCGTTCTTAAATGCCTCCTCCATTCCATGGATTGCAACTTTTCTGATTGTGTTTGTCTCGGTATTGTAGTACAAAACGTCGCAGGACGATCTGGCCAACACGATTTCATTTGTCTGAGTCACTTTAACAACGTGTAACCGTGTGTCTTGAAATATATTCTGCCAAGAAGCAGGCAATACGAATATATGCTCCGACCATTCATGCTTTTCGGCATCTTCTAGAAGCCGCAACTTAATACTTCCATAATCGGCATCTTTTCGGCATCTTCGAAAAAGAAGTGAACCTAATTTACCTTTATAGTTTATCAGAGCCCCACAACCATATTTGGCGTCTGTGTCTTTAACAAAACTGAACTTCTCCGACTTAACATCAAAGCAAACGATTATGAATTCCCCCGAAGACTTATTGACCGCTTGATAATACAGAACACCATTGATGCATATATTATGATATTCATAGAGAGGAGAATGGGGTATGCAACATTCGATCTTTTTCCAGGAAGGTTTGTTTGTTCCCAACGTCAGAACTTGATGCTCCTCAGAGACCGACCATGGATATCCACAAAACTTCCAGGTCATGGCCAATACTTTGTGCTGTTTGTCGATGGGATCATACCCGAAATAGCTCCTCACTCCAATCCTCCTCCTCGACTTCACTTTGGGTAAGGTCAAGGTTTGTCTAGTACTAGGGTTACATATCACCGACACCTGATGCTTCTTTCCATTCACATTCCGCTCATCTATAAAAAAGACCAAGCCTCTGATACAACGAATTATTCTTTCACGTAAAGAGGTATACGGAATTTTCATAAGATAAGTGGCGGTTAAAGGAGACGAGAACTTATCAAGACATTGAGGTTCAGGTGAAGAAAAGAAGTGCACATGGCGGTCTTTCAGGCAGGAGAACAATAGACGCGGGAGAGCACAAGGTCTAGTCAAGAACAGCTCCGTGAAATAGGGGAGACGAAGAACGGAAGCCCAGAGCTTCGACACGCAGCGACTTGTTGCTATAGATTTCAATGGCAGTCTCAAAAATATATCGACAAGTAGATCAACCGGAATCGGTTCTGAGTATTCTCCACCATCGGTTGAGGTTTTTGATCGCGTATTGCGTTGGAAAACGGCAAGAAGATCCTCCGTCTCCGAGACGTTTGGCCGCTGGTTTTTCATGGCGGAAACACTGTAGTTAGAGAACCCTAGAGTCCTGATCATGGCGGCTTCGGCTCTGCTCTGCCAAGGTTTCATTCAATCTATATTAGGTTAACCAAAGTGTATCTCAATTCAATTCTCAAGTAAACCTAGAGCGTGGCGTGATGGGCTGAGAAGAAGCCCATGTTGCCTAAAATTAGGGCATGTAATGGTGAATTCTAAACTCACGAGGCATCAAATTAGAAATATGTGTTTCACTTCATTTAGAGTTGTATTTTTAGGGGAAAATAAAAACACATTAGAATTGTTATATTAGAAATTTTGAAGAAAATATGTGGGCAGAATTAGGCCATGAATATTTGGCTAGTTTTTAGATTTTAGATTTTGGTTTCTGGATTTTAATTTCTGATTTTAGATTTTGGTTTTTGATTTTGATTCTGCTGTAGATTTTAAAAATATTAAAAAATGTGAAATAGTATAAGCAAAAAAATAAAAATCTCTCGTAGAAAGAAAAAACCAAAAAAATGTGGATTTTGGTTTTTGTTTACAAATTGGAAGTTACATTGAAAAACTAGTTTCCCTATAAAATAGGGAATATATTTCACCAAAATCATGATTGGAAAAAAAATTGGTTTTTTCAAAAACAAAAACCAAAAACTAATCTAGAATCTGCAAACAATCAAGGCCTTAAATTCCAGTCAAAATAATCATTTTCCTTCTAATTAATTGTTAATAGAAAACTGTGTTTTGTGACCGAGAGTGTTGTACGTAAATGCAAACTTCTTGCTAATATATAGTCGTACGTATACTGTTTTTTTTTCTTCTATGGGTAATCATGTTAAGACTTCATACCATTTTGGAAGGTTTTACATGTTGCAAGGCAACTTATTACAGCTTAAAAATTAGAAACAGAGACAACCCAATACAAGAGCAAGAGACAACAAAAGAACTAACGAGCGAGATGAGGGAGGCATGAAGCAGGAGGAGAAGTAGAAGTCCAAAAGCGAAAGCTGATGAAGATTCAGAGAAGTGAAAGTAGTAGCCTATCTCGCACCAGCCGATCCTCCGATGAGCGAATGATGTCTGGTGATGATGAGACGCCTGTGAAGATCCGAGAATTTCTCTCCCATGCATGTTAAGTAAATGATCAACTAGAAGAGAAGCTTGATAACCGCGGAAGAATGGTTGCTTTCCTGATCGTACGTGTACTGTTAGTAGAAGTATTATAATTTTTAGGCCTTAAAATTACAATATAAATTTTGTAATAAATATCTAGACCTAGTTGACGTCTTTATAAACAAAATTGGTACGATGTTATTTTTTTATAACTTTGATATATATACAAACAAAATAGAAAGAGTATATACTGTAAATAGCAACCAAAACACAAAAACGCAGGCTTGCAATTAACGTAAGATTGGAAATTTGGAATGAATCCTTGGATGTCAAAACCATTAGTTATTTTTCTTTTTGCCAACCTAGTGTACTTCTGACCTATGAATATCCATCATATACCAATTTTCAACACAAAAATAAAAACTTAACATAGAACAACCATTGCTCATTGTAAATAGTAAACATGGGAATGGATATAATATGATAGAAACAGTCGTCCAGTAAGATATGACAGTAGTAGGAATTTAATCCTATATTAGTTGATGAGAACATAGGGCCAAAGTAAAACAAGCTCAATTACCAAATTCTCAAAGTCCTAATGAAAAAGCTTATAGAAGCTTCACATCCTCTACATGGTCTCCAAAGGCGTAAACGATACCGTCCTTAAATGCTTCCTCCATTCCATGGATTGCAACTTTCCTGATTGTGTTTGTCTCGGTATTGTAGTACAAAACGTCGGAGGACGACCTCGCAAACACGATTTCATTTGTCTGAGTCACTTTAACAACGTGTAAACATGTGTCTTGAAATATATTCTGCCAAGAAGTAGGCAATACGAATATATGCTCCGACCATTCATGCTTTTCGGCATCTTCTAGAACCCGCAACTTAATACTTCCACTAATATAATTAGACCCTCCAAAAAGAATTGAGCCTAATTTACCTTTATAGTTTATCAAAGGCACGCAACCAGATGATGTAGTAAAGGCGTATGTGTCTTTAACAAAACTGAACTTCTCCGACTTAACATCAAAGCAAACGATTATGTAATCCCTTGAAGACGTGTTAAACGCTCGATAATACAGAACACCATTGATGCATATATTATGATATCCATAGCGAGGAGAATGGGGTATGCAACATTCGATCCTTTTCCACGAAGGTTTGTTTGTTCCCAACGTCAGAACTTGATGCTCCTCAGAGACCACCCAATAACTTCTATTAACCTTCCAGGTCATGGCCAATACTTTGTATTGTTTGTCAATGGGATCATACCCGAAATAGCTCCTCACTCCAATCCTCCTCCTCGACTTCACTTTGGGTAAGGTCAAGGTTTGTCCGGTACTAGGGTTACATATCACCGACACCTGATGATGCATCTTTCCATTCACATTCCGCTCATCTATAAAAAAGACCAAGCCTCTGATACAACTAATTCTTCTTTCATCTAAAATGGCATACGGAATTTTCATAAGATAAGTGGCAGTTAAAGGAGACGACCTCTTTCTTTTGGTTTTAGACTTGTTACCAAGATTTTGAGGTTCAGGTAAAGAAAAGAAGAGCATATGCCCGTCGTCATTTAGGCAGGAGAACAATAGACGCGGGCGAGCACAAGATCTGGTCAAGAACAGATCCGTGAAATAAGGGAGGCGAAGAATGGAAGCCCAATGCTTCGACACGCAGCGACATCTTGCTATAGATTTCAGCGGCAGTCTCAAAAATATCTCGATGATTAGATCAACCGGAATCGGTTCTGAGTATTCTCCACCATCGGTTGAGGTTTTTGATCGCGTGTTGCGTTGGTTAACCGCAAGAAGATCCTCCGTCTCCGAGACGTTTTGCCGCAGGTTTTTCATGGCGAAAACACTGTAGGTAGGAACCCTAGCGTCCTGATCACGGCGACTTCAGCTCTGCTCTTCCACGTTTTCAAATTTTATTAGGTTAACAAAAGTGTATCGCACGTAAACCCAGAGTGTGTCATGATGGGCTGAGAGGAAGCCCATGTAGCACACAATTAGGGCATGTAACTCTGCTAAATTCATCAACATACGATTTTTTTTTGGCAAAAAGTACGTACGTGTAATGCTAGTAGAAGTATTATGATTTTTAGGCATTAAATTACAATATTAACAAAGCCTAGTTCGCCAATCTTGGGATCGATATTGTTATAGAATTTTGACCAATATACAAAAGTAAATCTGAAGAAAAATACCTGCTAATTTATAATCAATATTTAGACCTAGTTAATTACATAATGTTGACGTCTTTATAAACAAAATTAGAACAATGTAATTTTTTTATAACTTTGATATAGAAACAAAATAGAAAGAGGATATAAACAGCAACCAAAACACAAAAGTGCAGGCTTGCAAATTAACGTATGACTGGAAATTTGTAATGAATCCTTGGGTGTTAAAACCATTAGTCATTTGTCTTTAATTTTTGCCAAACCTCGTGTACTTCTTACCTATGAATGATCCATCAGAAACCAATTTTCAACACAAAATAAAAACCTTAACATAGAACAACCATTGCTCATTGTAAAGAGTAAACATGGGAATGAATAAAATATGATAGAGAAATAGTCGTCCAGTAAGATAAGACAGTAGTAGAATCCTATATTAATTGGTGAGAACATAGGGCCAAAGCCAAACTAGCTCAATTACAAAAATCTCGAAGTCCTAATGAAAAGACTTATAGAAGCTTTACATCCTCTACATGGTCTCCAAAGGCGTAAACGATACCGTCCTTAAATGCTTCCTCCATTCCATGGATTGCAACTTTTCTGATTGTGTTTGTCTCGGTATTGTAGTACAAAACGTCGGAGGACGACCTCGCCAACACGATTTCATTTGTCTGAGTCACTTTAACAACATGTAACCATGTGTCTTGAAATATATTCTTCCAAGAAGTAGGCAATACGAAGATATGCTCCGACCATTCATGCTTTTCGGCATCTTCTAGAACCCGCAACTTAATACTTCCATAATAAGTAAAAGACTTTCGAAAAAGAAGTGAACCTAATTTACCTTTATAGTTTATCAGAGCCGCACAACCATATGATGTAGTAAAGGCGTCTTTGTCTTTAACAAAACTGAACTTCTCCGACTTAACATCAAAGCAAACGATTATGCAATCCCCCGAAGACTTATTTACCGCTTGATAATACAGAACACCATTGATGCATATATTATAATATTCACTGTAGAGAGGAGTATGGGGTATGCAACATTCGATCATTCTCCATGACGGTTCGCTTGTTCCCAACGTCAGAACTTGATGCTCCTCAGAGACCATCCAATAATTTCTATTAACCTTCCAGGTCATGGCCAATACTTTGTGTTGTTTGTCAATGGGATCATACCCGAAATAGCTCCTCACTCCAAGCCTCCTCCTCGAGTTCACTGTCAAGGTTTGTCCGGTGCTAGGGTTACATACCACCGACACATGATGCGTCTTCCTCGGCATCCAACCTAAAACCAATTGGCAATAGGTGGAGAGGCCTCAGTCCCTTATATATTATTCAAGGTCCCTTCCACTTTCCGATGTGGGACTTTTATCTTGCACACTCTCTAGAGGTTAAGGTCTCATGGCCCATTAACCTCTACAATATCCCAATAGTCTTTCCATTCAAAATCTGCTCATCTATAAAAAAGACCAAGCCTCTGACACAACTAATTTTTCTTTCAATTGAAAAGACACACGGAATTTTCATATGATAAGTGGCGGTTAAAAGAGGCGACTTCTTTTTTTTGGTTTTAGACTTGTTATCAAGATTTTGAGGTTCAGGTAAAGAAAAGAAGAGCATATGACCGTCTTTTAGGAAGGAGAACAATAGACGTGGGCGAGCACAAGATCTGGTCAAGAACAGCTCCGTGAAATAGGGGAGGCGAAGAATGGATGCCCAGTACTTCGACAAGCAACGAGATCTTGCTATAGATTTCAGCGGCAGCCTCACAAATATCTCGGCGACTAGATCAACCGGAATCGGTTCTGAGTATTCTCCACCATCGGTTGAGGTTTTTGATCGGGTATTTCGTTGGAAAACGGCAAGAAGATCCTCCGTCTCCGAGACGTTCTGCCGCTGGTTTTCCATGGCGGAAACACTGTAGTTAGAGAACCCTAGAGTCCTACTCACGGCGGCTTCAGCTCCGCTTTAACCTATATTATTAGGTTAACCAAAGTGTCATAAGTGTATCTCAAGTAAACCTAGAGCGTGGCGTGATGGGCTGAGAGGAAGCCCATGTTGCCTAAAATTAGGGGTCTAAAATATTTTATGAGTATTTTTTTGGCGGGTAACTTAACGAACACAACGATTCACAAAGTGGGATAACCGGATAAGCACTAGTGAGTTGTGAGGAGAAAATTTCAGATCCTGTTTTCAACTTTCATTGGCCGATTTCAAAACTAGAAATTATGGATTGTATTTATTCTTCCCCCACAAATATGTGCAAACACTAGCAAATCAATTTCTCTATATTCAATTGGCGAATTTGAAGAGAAACAAAAATTGAAACTAAAAAAAACAAAAAAACAGTTGCTATGTGGGCAGAATTTGGAATGATATCAAATTATCAATTTTAGAACTTTTGATTTATAGAGTGAATCAGTGAACCCATACACGAAAGTGCCAGGCTGGCAAATTAACGTATGATTGGAGTGGGACCCATTCCATTTGCCTCCCGCCCTGTGTCACTCGACGACTCACTCCACATGGCACATGCTTCCCTTTCCCGTCTCACTCTATCTGCTCCCTTCAATATGTAAAAAGCATTTATTGTTTTTCAAATCAAATATTTTACTTTTCTTGTTTTCTTATTGAAATTTTGAGAAAATTACACTCAGATATACTTTTTGAATTTGGGTTTACAATAAAAGTGACTTATCGAAAGTGGTGGACTTTCATTAAGTAATTTTACTATCTTGTCCTCGTTTTCTCTCTCACACGCCGGCGATCCACATTCTCAGACCATCTTCCCTAATTTCGGATCTCTTTCTCGCTTCCGCTCCAAATTGTAACGATTTGGGTCTGTAATCCAGCAACATCTCGAAATACAGAAATCAGAGAGAATCAATAAATTCATAGGTGGGAAATTGAATCTGAGACGACAAGGATCCATCTCAATCCAGACAGGATAATCGGCGTTACTGGTGGAGAAACCGGTGTTTGTGAGGGAGGACAGAGCGGCGAAGGCAGAAGAGCTGAAACGAAGCGAGAATAAGCAATCCCTTCATCAGGTGATTATGTACGAGTTTAGGCATGATTCTCTTAAACAAAGCAATTGTCTGATCTTTGTTGCTTCTGTGGATGACATTATCATGGATAGTAACATTAATCTCTCAATTTGTCAGGTTTTTATATCTCAGAATTGTTAAAAACTCGGGAATTCTTGGGTTTTTTCTTGTTAATTAATCGCTTTAGAGTTTTTTTGGTTTGTATTTCTTTTAGCTGTTTACCTTTGATTTGGCTCCATGGATGCGTAATCTTTGATGTTGTTTTAGTTGGTATGTGTGCTTGACTCTGTAAGTTTGGTTTCTATGTTCTGAGCATAACTTTGGTTTTCTTAATGCAAATATGCTCTTTTTTCAGGCATAATTTTCCTGTCATTGTTGACGATGGGTCAAGATACAATTGAGAGAGATCAAGTTTCATCAGATGCGACATGGTCTGTTGCAGGATCAAGTCCAATTAGATATGTGGAAAAGCAAGGAGATTGATGGAAAGCATGGATAAGAAATAAGTAACAAGATGGATAGTCTTGGCTATTTATCTAATTTTTCCTCTAGTTGTACAATGCATTTTAAAGTATGTTGTTCAGGCATAGTTGTAAGCATAATCAGATTCAGATTCTATTACTCAAATCATATTTTCGATAATCCAACTTCTAGTTACAAGATATATGACCAACTTGTAGTTACAAGATATATGTTTCACAAGGTCATTAGAACAAAGATAGTGCACCACTATCAGTTCTCCAAATCTCAACCGAATCAAAAATAAAACTATTGTCCACAATCAAATTTGTAGCCACATGCTTTGGTGTCTGTGTGAGTAGCCAATCGTACACTATGCTTTTGTCCATGGTATATTTGGTGCTACTAAAACAGAGTTCAGATTCGTACACGCCCAATAAATCATCCACAAACACAAAAGCAAGTGAACACAGTTCAGATTCGTTCCCCTAGCCGACAAATATAAAATTTCGTAATAACAAAACCCAATAACAAATCCCCCTAATCTTATGCTGAAGAACAAGAGAAACATTTTCGTTTCTGTGAGAACCAAGGAAAGTGTCGCACTTTCAATCGTCCATAGCTCAACCGTAAATCATCCAAAAGCAACTATCATCTTCTCTCATGGATAGTTTTTGGTGGATGGTTACACATGGATAGGTTCTAGTGGATGGTTTAATTTGGATGATTTGAGTTTATGGACATGTTTATGTGAATGATTTAGTGACGACTTTGGATGATTTACGGATGCAATTCCAATTGTGATTTCCAACTGTGATTGTGTCGTCAATTGTGATTGTGTGGAGCTGTGATGGATACTAGCTTATGTATAGAAGTATAACCTGCAGATTCATAGTTTATATGGGTTCAGACAAAGTGAAAACAAAAGAAATTTCCAATTCTCCAGGTCCGCAACTGTCTTTTTTTGAATCTTTAATCTCTGGATTTCCCTTCTCTTCCATCTCTCCCATCCATCCAATTAACTTGATTCACTAATCTTTCCCTCCTAAATATAAACCACTCCAGTATTCCAACAATATATAAGTTTCGGTAAAAACCAGGCACACAATCGAAATCAAATCTAAACATAACATTTCAGTTTTTCTATCATTCCAACAATATATGAGTTTCGGTACTCACGAACGCTGTACAACCAAGAACATGGTAAATCAAGTTTTCACCTCAAGATTCATTAAAGGCAAGATTGAATTTTTCTCCCACTAAAATCAAAAAAAAAGTGCACCACTTTCAAAAAGTCCCTCTTTGTGTAAAGAAACTGAAAAAAGTCCCTCATAGTGTAAATCACTCCTGAAATTAATCTTAAAATTCATTTTATCTGATTTTACTCCCACCATTTTTAACCTTTTAATTACTAGTGATTACCTATTTTTTTCTTTTTTCTCCATTTCTCTTGTATGATTGTTTTTCTTTCCCACTGTCCATTCCCCCCCCCCTTCTCTATTCTTGTATTAAATGAATCAATCTAGAGCATTTATTTGCGCATATACGGCTGTCATTTCGGCGTCAATCCTCTTCCTATCTTATTTTCCTAAAAACAAAATAAAATAAAGTATATGTTTCTGTACATTAAAAACTCATATTTTCTGTCAATTTTTCCGTTTTGTCTCGGAAAAAAGAAAGCTTCTTCTGTTTATGTGGTGTGATTACGAACAACCATTCTTCTTTCTTCTTCTTATTCTTTCTCTTCTTCTTTTTCTCAGTGTCTGGTTACATTTGGCGCGAAAAGTTCTTCTCTTTATAGCTTTTTCTCTTCTATTATCCGACAGCTTCGTTACAAATAAAGATGTCAGTAAGTGCGTTCTCTCTTTTTGCTTGTCCTTTTTCTGAGCTTGGTCGATTTTGGAGCCATTTCAAGAAAACTCGAAACACTCCATTGCTTCTGTTCATTTCAGTTTCTCCATTTTGGTGGACTCGATTCGAATAGAGTTTGTTTTTTTCTTTCTATACCTCTGTTTTCAGTAGACGCAAAACCCTAATTCCTTGCACCGGTTTTCTTTTTTTCCTCGTAGGTGGCAATAGTTTTGGTGCTGGCATTAACCAGTCTGATTCCGATTCACGCCAAAGTTCACGGCACCGGAAAAATATGCGACGAGCTTGGTCGGAGATCATTGAGTACAAGACCACACAGTGTCTCTATTGCAGAGTTTGGAGCAGTGGGGGATGGCAAAACGCTGAACACTCTTGCGTTTCAAAACGCCGTTTTCTATCTAATGTCTTTCGCCGACAAAGGTGGGGCCCAGCTGTATATCCCGCCTGGAAAATGGCTCACCGGAAGTTTCAACCTCACTAGCCACCTCACTGTTTTTCTCGAAAACGGCGCCGTTATAGTTGCCTCCCAAGTATGTCTAAATATGATGTTTCATTCTACTTGTCACATTGATCCCAAACTTTGATGATTTAATGTGTAGAAAATAAAAACGCAAAATTTGTTAATATTTTGATGTATTTTGCTGTGTGTTTTTTGTTACTATATACAAAAGGATCCATCGGATTGGGAAGTTGTGGATCCGTTACCTTCGTATGGGAGAGGAATTGATTTGCCTGGGAAGCGATACATGAGTTTGATAAACGGCTATAAGCTACGTGATGTTGTTGTAACAGGTACAAAAATGCTTTCAAATCTCATTATCACTAGTTATTATGTAACATGCATTAAACATTTAAACCTTATTGGTTACTCTGTTTGTAGGTGATAATGGTACTATAGATGGTCAAGGCTTGGTTTGGTGGAAACGGTTAGCTTCTCATTCCTTAGAGCATAACCGTCCTCACCTCGTTGAATTTGTATCTTCCGAAAATGTGATGGTCTCGAATCTTACGTTTCTGAATGCTCCTGCTTATTCAATCCATTCAATCTACTCTAGGTAAGAGACATTTCAACGTACCATAATTGCATAGTTTCTGATTTATAACGCTTGTTTCTAAATCACTATCCTATGCAGCCATGTATATATTCACAAGATATTGGCTCATTCTTCTCCCGAATCTCCTTATACAATCGGCATTGTACCAGGTTAGTAATATTCGTCTCTACTTCTAGTAAATTATATTATATGTATAATGAAATGTATTAATTATTTGTTACTGTCATGTTTCTTAGACTCTTCTGAAAATGTGTGCATCCAAAACTCGACCGTTAACGTGGGATATGACGCGATTTCACTCAAAAGCGGTTGGGATGAATATGGAATCGCGTATTCGCGTCCCACTGAGAATGTTCATATAAGAAATGTGAACCTAGGATCAGCTTTTGGTTCGGCTATTTCCTTTGGCAGTGAAATGTCCGGTGGGATATCGAATGTCCTTGTCGAAAATGCAATTATACAAAACTCACTAACCGGTATTGCCTTTAGAACTACCAAAGGAAGAGGCGGTTACATGAAAGATATCGATATTTCGAATATAGATATGTCGAGAGTCGGCACTGCGATTGTGGCTAATGGTAGCTTTGGTTCTCATCCGGATGATAAGTACGACGTAAATGCTCTCCCGGTAGTGAGTCACATCAGATTAAGTAACGTTTCGGGTGTAAACATTAGCGTTGCGGGGATATTGTTTGGGATAAAAGAGTCTCCGTTTAGGTCAGTGGCATTATCAAATGTCTCTTTGTCGATGAGCTCTGTCTCTACTGTTTCTTGGCAATGCTCCTACGTTTACGGCTCTTCAAAATCAGTTGTTCCTGAACCGTGCCCCGACCTGAAGAGAGTTGATAGTGCTTACCTTAGAGCTGCTGTCAAAAGAAACCGTAACACCAAACCAAAGATTCTTTATAGGATTCCTTCATCAGTCAGTTCTTTATTTGTGAAGTTAGAAAAGGTCAGATTCATACATGTTCCTTTTGGTTTTTTTTTTTTTTTCTTTTGTTGTTTGGATATTGTGAATTTGTGAGATTAGAAATCTGTACATCTCTTTATTCATGTACAAGTGAAGAAATTTTGTTGAGCAGTTTTCCAGATGATGTAACTAATAAAAAGAAAAACATTTTTGATCGTCAGTTACATTTTCCCATATCATAATGTGAGAGCAGAAAGAAAATAATTCAACTTTCATATTGTAAATGAAAAGTGAAAACTACAAAAATAAATCTGATTTGGACTTTTTTATTTGGATCAACATAAGCCTCCATCAAGTTCTCTATCTGAATCAATGGAAGTCTCAATGAAAAGAGAGAACTCTGTTTTCTGTTTATGCACATAAAAGGTTCCAAGGCACAAAATGATAAGAATATATAACTCTGCAAGGCTTTGCATCATACAAACAAGACCATTTTAACAATTTCAACCTCGGAGTTCCTTCACTTTCGCATGCATCTTCTTCGGCAACAAGACAAGGCCGCGCTTCACCGGAAAATCAGAACTCGTCTTCAAGCATGGCTGACAAGAACAAACCTCGCACAAACTCGCTCTTCTTCGCCTTTTCTTGATCTTCCCCTGAAAGTGGAGCTTCTCGAATGCCTCTGCATAAACAAAACCAAGTGAGAAACAAGCTCTCTGTTACTTACCTTTCTTAGGACAAGAGGGTAAATACATATACCTTTTGAAGGTTTCCTTATGCGAGACTTTTGTAACCGAGGTTTCTTCGGTAACAAGTGTAGCAGGTTTCTTTGCAGACACATTAAGCGAAGGAGGAGAATTAAACATAAAAGATGACAGCAAGGGATCAGAGTCTATATTGGTTGAAGAAGTGAAACTCGAAGATCCGCCGAGAAGAGACTGTAAATTTGCTTCCCGGAGTTCCTTTTTCAAAGCTAGGTAAGCAGAGCTATATCCACCTCTTCTCAACCTTCTCCTTCTCTGCACGTATAATCTTTAATCAAGGAATTAACAAACTGCACTCCAAGTACTAATCTATATTAGACAAGAGTAAGCATCCGATATATATCAAAAGTTAAAAAGGATATCTTAAAGAAATTTGCATGTTGCGTGGTAATGTGGCCAACGATATCCAATCCCACCCTCTTTGTGCATACAGGACAGGCCTGGGAAGAGAGAAAACACAAAGAACACATCTTTTTATTTCCATGTTTAAGAGATAACAGAAATGAAGCTCAAAAAGTAGCATCCGGATCATGAAAGATCACTAATTTACCGAATAGCGGCTAATGAATTTTTAACGAAATATTCCAAGATGGGATTCAAAAGGCTGCTAATTTGATTGACTACAGTGCTCATCTGATAAGAAAGAGACAACATGTAGGCAGAGCATTTTCATCACAACCAAGAGCAGAGCATTTAAAACCAAAGCTTCCAACTTTCTAAAAGAAAATAAACAATCTTTTTATATAATCGGGACAAGGCTAAGCTAAGGACCTGATTAACCTAAGAATCAAACAAATCATCCAGATTTCCTCTAACGATGATAAAGAAGGGTGTTGATGATCGTTTTATTACCCCATTTTTGGCTTCGACAGGATGCTCTTCGTCAATGTGACAACAGAGACCGACAATGTCGAAATCTTCTGCGCAAAACGGGCAGATAAACTCCGCCTTCAAATCTTCTTCTCCTTCAAGATCCTCGTACCCTCCACCTATATACAAATCTGCCCCAAACAAAATTACGGATCAATCATAATCATGACAAAGACTAACAAAAGAACAACGCGATTCCTGATGAAAAGAGATGCGAACCTGATCGGGATTGACACCGTCGCGAAGAAGAAGAGGATGAGAAAACGGATGGACAATTGATCCATGAATTCGAATCCATTTCCTTCGATTGTTGTTACAGATTTTTACAGAATTGAATAACTGAGATGAAAGGAGAAGATCGGTGTTGATCAGCGAAACCCTAGAAGGACGGTAGAGAGAAGGGGAAGAAAATGGAAGGAGAAGGAGATGAAGATGGAGATGAAGAGAGAGAGTGGAAGCGAGAGACTTGTTGTTACCGAACTACAAGTTCGGAGGACAAAGAAATCACACATAATATTTACATGTTATACCCTCTAATTTTGTATTTATTTATAGTTTTTGGCACTTTAATATCAGTCGTTTACGCGGTTTGGTTTCGATTGGACCGAACAGAACAGTGGAAGTGGTTTCGTTGTATGTATGCTTCACACGTGTGGCACTGGTCTACCACAAACTCCTGTCTGAAATATGAAACTGCTACATTTTTTTTTTTTTTTTTTTTTTAAACTGCTACATTTATTACTTTTAAATTTAAAAAACAAATTGCCACTTTAATTTCAGTTTTTTTACTTACTTCCACTATTAACAATTTCATTTCACTTCCGATGGAATCTAGAATAATAAGAAATGAAAATTGTATTATTGTAATAGTCTAATAGATGACTCGCCGACTCGTGTACTAGTTACTCTTTTTATCATAGTTGAAAAGTCGAGAGCGACATGAGTCATCTCAAATTTGTTAAAAAGGAAATAGTAAAGAAAAAGAAGTTGCATGTGAGGGAGGGAATAAAGTGGGGGCATTTATAATCAACTTCTTTATCAATAACCAAGGAAGAATCCAATTTTGCATTTTGGCAACCAGCTTGCATTTGTGGTTTTTGTTAGGCCGTCTCTTTCCTTCAGTTTCATAGTTCAAATTATTTCAAGCCACATTCACATTGCATAAGCAAATGGAAACACTCGATAGCGAAAATCTATTTTGTCTCTATCACCTACACAAAATTGGGAGGCCTTCTTAAATGCAATGAATTTTTTGTTGCTGTTCTTTTTGCATTGATGTAAACTTTAATGTACACTAAATTCATAAAGAGGTACATAGTACTAATTTTATGTGATTGAGTGATTGTAGATGTCATCTATCTTATGGAGTATATAGAGTCCACAACTATTAAAACGTGGGGATCTCAATTTTTGTGAGACGTACAAGGAAGGGATACCATAATTTCTTTGTTTTTGTTAAATTTCACATGCTCAAAATGAGGACTATAACTGGTCTCTAAATCTGATATGGTTTTTTTCTCTTCGTTATAGTGCATGTAATCAAGTTTTTAAACTGTGTTATGTACATCAGGTTTTTCATATACTATCTACATATACCGTTTTTATGCTGGTCTTTTTTGTTTTCCCGCTATCTATAGTGGTCTAATGGTTTGAAGTATCAATTTTTTTCTTCCAATTCTAACAATTCAAACTCTTATTCCATGACTTCATAGTCATATGCACAAATCTGCATATAAAAAAATACTGTCTAAATATACCAACATATCTATAAATCACAAAAATTGTGTAAAAATGCCATATGGTAAAGTACCAATAACTTATAATAATAATAAATACTTGTTAATTACGAATAAAAAGGAATAAAGGAAATGATTTTAAAATATGAAATTCCTTATTAAAGAGTGGCACACTTCTACTTGTACTCAGAGCCTCTGAATGTGGCCTCTCTTTCTATCTCTCTCCCTCTTTCTTTACATCACTTGTTATTAATCCTAATCTCTCTCGTCGTTTGTCGGCTACAGAATCTCTGGCAATGGAAGCAATCAGATTCTCTTCTTTGTCAGCTCTTCTTGTACTCCTACTGTCACTGCCTCTCTCTGCGGTTTCAAAGGACCAAACTGTTTCTTGCACAATGTGTGAGTCTTGCGACAATCCATGCAACCCTGTCCCAACTCTTCCTCCTCCTCCTCCTCCTACGCCTCCGAGCTCCGGTGGTGGGAGTGGATCTTATTATTACCCTCCTCCAAGCTCCGGCGGTAGTAAATACCCGCCTCCTTACGGCGACGGTGGACAAGGTTACTATTATCCGCCGGCTTCTTACGGAAATTACCCGCCTCCGCCTAACCCGATCGTTCCTTATTTTCCGTTCTACTATCACATCCCTCCTCCGGGGGATTCTGGATCGGGTCGTTTATTGGGTTCGTTTCTCCTTCCCATGTTCTCCTTATTTTTGCTCTGTTTTGTGTGAGAATCATCGGATAAATCAGCCACCGGAAAGTACGAAGAACTGCAACTTCTCTTTTACTACGTACTTTTTTAACTATAGTTACTTTTTTTTTTTACTTTTCTGTTGACAATTTGTATTTAATAATATTTCTTTTTAATTAACATTATCATTATTACTCGTTGTCGATTAGTTTCACTTGTACTCTGTTGTCGGATTGATTACAGTATCTGTTAATTAACTAAATATATTTCCTTAACTATATTAATAATCACGTTTACGTAATCGGCTTGGCAAATATGTCAATTATCAGTTCAACTCTTGTGGCCTTTAAAAAAAAAGAAACATGTCATTGTCTGTCGCTAACTTAGATATGAATTGCTTAAAATATTGAACGGCCAGTTTTGCTCCAAGTAATTTTTTATCCTTTTTCTTCACTCTCTATTCATTAGTCATTAGTCATTACACACGATTTTTCCCTTTCATATGGGCAAAAAAAGTGAATAAAATTTCCACTCTTTTTTCGGGAAAAGGCTAAACCTACACTAGGTGCTTCACATTTTATAGACGATGAATTAAAAACATTTACTCCCTCCGTTTTTTTAAGATAAATTTTCTAGTTTTTTCACACAGATTAAGAAAAAGTTGATTTTCAATCATCAGTGCATAGATTTCTGCAATAAAACAACTTTTTATAATTTTAAACCAATAAAAATCCAACAAATATAATTATTGTATCTTGAAAACTGAAAAACTGTAAAAATTTTATCTTTGTGAAACAACACATAATAGCTAGAAAATTCATTAAAAAAAACGGAAAGAGTACATTGCTTTAACACAAAAAAAACATTTACATTTAATATACATTTCCTTAAATCTGACACATGGTTGCTGACGAGTGACGACGATGCAGTGCCTCTCTAACCACCGAGAGTCACTCTAGTTTCGGCCAATCCTATCAATCAGAGAGCCATGAATGTACTCATTGGCCATGTGATCGTCTCTTTCTTCTTTTTCATGTTTTTCTTTGTAGATTGCCTTTATTTTATAACTTTGGTTATATACGTCTCCTTAATAAATAATGTGAAAATATTAGCTGGTTAGCACGTGCGAGTAGTGGGTTATTACGGGCCCAGAAACCCGGTCCCACACCTTGTAAATACGCAACACAAGTTCGGTATAATCCGGTACACTGTTTGAGTGACTAGTGTGTTGTTCTTTATTGATTTTGGTATACTGAATATTAGTTGACTTTTGGATTATCAATCCACGTCAGAAACTAAACATTGCGTTTCTTCCGTTTCCTCTGTTTTCAAGCTTCAAGACTCCACCATTTTCCTCCTTAAGGAATGAATTAGCGAGAGAATAGTAACACTCAACATTTAGGCATTGATTTTACGCTTTATTTTAGGCATTGTTTTTACGTTTGGTAGTAACACTCAAAATTTAGATTCTCAAGAGGAAAGTAGAGATGTCAAGAAGTGAGAAAAAAATATAAAAACGAAACTTGAGGAACACTAATGGGTAAAAGAGTACTGTATATTCAGAAAGAGAAACAGGTTCTCGAACCAATTTAACTCAAAATTCTTTGATGAATGTTGGGCCACATATATGTGGCCAGCCCATTTCGTGTATAAACCCATTTGTTGGATAAATGTATCATTTGAGTACTTTTAGAAACAACAAAAACATTACCATTTGAGTACTTCATTATTGTTTACAAAATGACATAATTAAAGCCGTTAATGTTCTTATAAGACGTAAACTATAGTTGATCAAGCCACAAACTTTTACAAAAACCAAAAAAAAAAAAAAGCGGCACACTCGAACATCACAATCTACTGAAAATTTTCAAAAAGAAAAATCCCTGTGCTTGACAGATAGGCAGTCTCCATTCTTGTCCTAATAAAGACAAAACCTCCAGAAAATAATACTATAGTAATTGTTTGAATAATCAAGTAAACAATGCCGAAGAAGGAAATGATGATGTCATACAAAACTTTGAAAACGGAAGTTAATTCAACAACACAAACGAACAAAAATTACACATAAATTCGTTAGCTAATTGCTCTCAAAATCTGAAACATATCCTACAAAAATTAATTATTACTAACTATTGCATCTTAATCAGGTAGCATCCAGAAAACTCGTTAAGCATAAACGGAAGACGCATAAGAGAGCGCCATGAGTAACACGGCTGCTTGTTCTTCCTCGCCGAGCTTCTTCCGCCGCTGATTCTCAGCCGTCGATCGCTGCAACATCACTTCTTTCCCCAGCTCCATCAGCCTCTGCTTCAACGAGTCACCAAGCTTGGGATTTCTCGACTGACTCTTCTTCTTATCTTCCGATCTGTTTCCAATCACCGTTCGTCTCTTCTTCCGGTTTCTGATCCCGCATGCGTTACACAGCGACTGCATAACCAACCAACGAGATTAGATTAGATCGGCTCGGTTTAAATAACGATTCGAATGAACCATTTACCCCAAATTTGGTTTAAATCAGATCGGTTAATCGAGCCTAACCTTTGGACCGGCTGGACCGCTTCGCCAAAGAGGGGTTTTGCTTGTACCGCAAATGGCACAACTCTTCTTCTCGTTGCTCATAGCTCCATTACTGCTGCTGCTTTCTTCAATTGCATCTGCGGATGCGAACTTGCTTTTCATGGCTTCCGAATCGAAGATCTAGAAATGGCTCCGTATATTCCGATCGCTTGAATTCAGAGTAAGGAAGAAGGAATCAGATCACTCACTTTCTCGATGTGATCTAGCATTAACCGACTTCGTTTCCGATTCCTGGATCGGAATAGCAGATCGCGAAGTGGCGTCGATCGAGAAGGTATGAATTTGGGGATTTCAGATAGAGATCAGAGTAAGAAGTAAGATAAGAGTGTGCATGGGCTCGAGAAGATCACAAGATCAGAAGACAGAATTTGAAAAAAGGAGAAAGAGAGAGAGAGAGAGTAGCGAGGGAGTGTCAGAGAAACAGAGATATTTTCGTTCTTTCAAAGAAGCGACCCGACAGATACCACACGAATCAGATCTAAACCAACCGCACAAATATAAATTGAATTGGGCCGGCTAAACCCTAGCTTCAATTTCGTACCGCAAATGACGTAACTACCCCTGTATCCACCCGCCAACATCAACAAACCGCAAACCTGAGAGCGATTTTTTTTTGATAATTTGGGTAAAAAAGAAAGGGCGCCATTTCGATTGGCGCGACTTTTTTTTTGATAATGATACCACTTAAATTTCGGTTTTGATTTTCAATAATTAAGAACCCCGGTCAGGACCGTGATTTGGATAGCTTCGAACAGACCAGGTCAACGGCTCAGATCTCCTGCTTCACATTTACATCCCCAATTTTGACCCAAGACCACAAACAACTTCTGGAAACTAACAATGCATACATATAAACTTCTTGGATTACATTCATTCTTCATGTATGAAACCTAGATGACATTCTTGCAGCATTCTCAAATGGAAACAACTCGGTACCAGTCCTAAATCACTGCGATTCTATTCAGTCCTAAAGCAAGAAAGTGCTTCCTCGGTAACAAGTTCACATGTCGTTGTCAATGATATCTCGCATCATCTGTAATGGAATCAGCCCTTCTGTCCTGATTGCATCTTTGCTTGGGTCAGGGCTGATGAAGAACAGTGTAGGTAAGCCCCGAACCTGCATCACAAGAGATTTGGTTATTGTAAAATATTGATAAGCTGAGAGGAGATTTGGTGGAAAAAAACACAACAGTTACCTGCATGTCGCGCGCAAACTCGTACTCATCGTCCGTATCAACTTTCACAATCATTGCATTACTCTCGTACTCTACTGATAGCTATTTCACAAAGACCAAAAACCAATGAGATTTGCAGTGTCCAAAAGCGAGTACATTGGGCAATCAAAAAAGTACAAGTTGAGATTCTGCAATCTCACAACTCAAACATTTCCCAAACTCCGCCAAAGAAATAAACTCTGGACCATTGCCCAAACCAAGACCCTAGACAAATCTACAATGTCCCCAATTAAACATTGATCTTTCAACTAACGATAGGCAAAGCTATAATTCACTGGTCAACCGCTAGGCTAATTACGTTAGTAGTCCATTACTAGAGTTAATAAGAAAACCTTATAAGAAACTATCACATTTCAAGATTCAAGTAGATATAAACGAACAAGCGGTTCCGAGAGCTTATGTTTGTAGATAAGTTGAGGCTAGAACATGAAGCAGATGAAAAGGAGAATGAATATGTGAAAAAAGGTGAGGGATCAGAATCTACGGTACCGTTTCGAGTTCCTGGGCCATCAAGATACAAGGTCCACACCATGTGGCATAAAAATCAACAATCAGCGGCACTTTCCTCTCTCCTTTCACCAGATCTTGAAGCTCTTGAGCTGACAATTTCCTCTGTCAAACCATAAACAAAGGAAAAAAGAACACCCAAACGAGTAGTGAGGCTCCAATTTGATGTTCTCAAGAGTCATCCATCCATATCAGATTCAAATCATACACTCTCAATTATGAAGCATTTTATCAGTGCATCGGTCTAATATTTGAGAGAGGTAAAGATGACCAGATTCGGGGCAAAATTGTCTAGAAGAATTTTGCCATTCAACAAACTCAATTACCCAGGATAACGAAAAGTAAAGCCGTGAAAACTACGAAATCGATAATGGCGTGAAATTGGCCGTACCACAAGATAATCTTCTCTGACAAACTTGCCGCGAGGCGGAGGGCAGAGAAGCTTCCGCGGAGGCGTCGACGGCGAGAAGGGTAAGTTCCGGGCGGTGGAGGAGGAGAGCGGCGAGGTTATCGGTCGAATTTCCTTTCGGAGAAAGAGAGATGACGGAGCATGGAGGGTGGATAGAATCGGCGACAACGGAACATTGAGGTGAGGAAGAGTTCTGGATTGAACAAGAGCCATTTTGGGAATCGAAAGTGGAAAAATGACTTCAGTTAAAAGGTTTTTGACTCTTGCTTGAGAGGTTTTAGATGATAAGGCAACGCAAAAAGTGTTTTCTTTTTTTTAATTCGACACAGAGTACTGTTTTCTTTTCCGACAATAACCCCTTGTCACTTTATGTTTAATGAAGGCTATTAAATTAATGCTGTTTTATGTATTGACTCTCGGCCTTATATCAGAATTAAATTAAGTACTGTAAAACACTTCTTTGTTTTGCTATCATGATTTATAAGCTGCTGCAACATTGGAGTCTTAACTCGAATCAAAACCCTCGCTTTGAAGAAAAAGACACCAAAATAACTTTTTGTTTCCACAAATTAAGACAAAGGTTTGTGGTTGCATGGTTTTACCGACATACAAACTGTTGTGAACACAAAAAAAAAAGAAAAGAAAAGGACTCCGGTATAGAATTTATAACCTTGCAAAATTTAAAAGTACAGAAGTAGACTCACGACCTCCGAACCGGTGTGTACCGGTCATTCAGAAAAAAATAGCCCTGGACAATGAAACCAAACATTTCTCAGACTTTGCACCTTTAAACCGACCACCCGGTTAGCCCTGAGACCATATAAACCCCGACAATGAAACTAGACCGTGACTGACTCTGACCTTCCAATTCCACTCCTGTGCGTTTGTTTCACAGATTTAAACATCAGATTTTGCAGGTTTTCACGATTGTTAGAAAGTTAAAATAGTTCTTGCTGCTTCTTACCTTCAGCTGAAGTTGAATCCCCCAGATGGGACAGAAGCTTGGTTCCCTCCAAACTGGAACCCGGCCTGGGATCCATCGACACCTGGAGGTTGTTGTGCCTCGTCATCATCCTCTTCAAGCCAGTATGTCTCCAGAATCCTCACAGCCTTTTCATAGATCTCATTGTTGTCATGGCTCTGAAGGTTCTCAATCTTGTCTAGCCCTTCTGCATCATCAATCAGCTGAGCGAAATAGTTCGCGTCCCCTGTGTTACCCAAGGCCTTCTCTGCCTCTCCAACCTTCAAAATGTTTTCCAGTCCTTCAAGGCAGACTGTTATGATTCTTGGATCCGGGCATACCAAGAGATCGCATAATGGTTTTATGCATCCTTTCTCCACCAGGTATCTGTGTAACCAACGGAGAGAACAACATTGATACATAAACCCAAAGTAAGAGAGAAGGAACTGGAAGCTAGAGCAAAGGCAAAGAAGACAACGACATACTTGATTTGATCATGAGAGCCACCTGAAGTTGCATTTGAAATCGCCCACGCAGCTTCTTTCTTAACGTCAAATTCAGCAGTTTGAAGCAGAGTGACCAAGGGGGCAATCAGATCAGCCTCAACTACTGTCTGCAACATTCACAGAGAAGAAAAAAATGAAACACACACAATTAACGAATAGCTCAGACAAGTCTGGAAGGACTAGCGTACAAAGCACATGATGGTACAGTACCTGGATCTGTTCTCTGTTGCCTGCTGTGATGTTAGAAATCGCCCAGCATGCTTCCTTCTTTATGCTTTTCTTATAGTTTTGAGTGAGAAGGTTGGCAAGACAAGGTAGAGCTCCACTACTGATCACCCACTGGAGAACAAGTTCATCGGATTTCCCGAGTAAAATAATGTCAGATATTATTTCAAATATATAAAAAAGCCAGCTTCAATAGACTCATGAAACACAATTTTTCAACAATATTACAATTTATGCTCGGTTAAGAGGGTATAATGATAACCATTCAACCTTGTTATTGTTCTGATGAAAGATGACATAAAAACAAAGGAGTAGCAAAAAGGAATGCTATTCTTATACGATGTGCACAACAGAAGTATTGAACAGAACAACATTTGGAATTCATACCTGGGTTTGTTGATCATCTCCAGTAACGATATTTCCAACGCAGCGGAGTGCAGGAATCAGCACGGATGGAGAAGGATGGCTGCAAAAAAAGAGCAGGGCGTAATGTTATATTCTATCACATGTGTGAAGGTGACAGAAATCAGAAAATAAAGAGAATTAGAAAAGGGTACTTACAGGAGAAGTTCAACAAGTCTTGGGACAACACCGGCCTCGATGACAGCTTGGATTTTGTCGTTGGTCCCATCAGAGAGGTACGAGAGAGCCCAACATGTATCTGTCAAGACTTCTTCATCATTCGAAAGAACTAGTCGCTCAAAAGCCAGAAGAGCTGGTTTCACCTGTTAGTCATGCTTCAGAATGTTAAAAGAATACTGCACATCAACATTCAAGACAAAAACCTGGAGGGGAAAAGAAAAAGACCTGGTCAAAGACTGGCGGAGGCTTGCCACGGCAGAAGTTTGACAAGGTCCATGTGGCATTTCTAAGCATGGACAACTTGGCATGCTCGTTTAGCTGATTGAGCATTGGCGCCATTGCCCCAGATCCAAGAACAAGATCACGGCACTGTGGTGAATCACCAGCAACGTTACCCAACGCCCATACGGCCTGCAAGTTACACCGTACAAAGTCTTAACTGCGTAATCTCCCAAACAAAATGATAACACATTCCATAACTATCAGAAGTAGCATACCTGTTCACGGACATCATCGTTTGGGGAAGCAAGAAGCTGCACAAAAATTGGAACAGCATTGTGATCGATGACGACCTTAGTGTGATCCGACGTTCCAGATGCAATGTTAGTCAGAGCCCATGCTGCCTCAAACTAGAAAAGAATCATAGAAGAATCAGAAACATGAAATAAACTGAAGATTGAATCTAAAGAGAGAGAGGAGCTTTCTCTTTCTCAGACCTGAAGCTGAGGGTAATCCCCCTTCATAAGAAACTCAACAAACCGAGGCACAACACCAGAAGCTATCACTTCCTGGATAGGAGGACTTCTCTCTATACAAATATAATACAGAAAGAGGCAATTGTCAAAGAGGATACTCGAAAAATAATGGTCAAAACGTGAAACGAAGAGATTTAAGAAGATAAACCATTACCGATAGATAAAAGCTTCCTGAATTGAGTAGTGGAATCGAATTGCAAAGCAGGATCATTCGACATAACACCATCGACCATCTCCTGCAAACTCTCCAGCTACACAAGGAATTTAAATTCAATCATCAGCTAGCAATAACCAGTTCTTAATCCTTGCTTAGTATCTTGAATCTGTTTTTTTTCAAATCGGATCAAACACAAAACCCCTAAAACCTCTAAAAACCCCTAAAAAACCAACTGCAGAGACGATCGCTTTAATTATCCCAAAACCCCAGAATTTTTACCTTCTTATCGACGGCGGCGGAAGACGGAGGGAAGTCCTGAAGAGCTTGCATACCTTCGCGCCTTTTCTTCATCAGACTCTCCTCGCGCTTGCTTTTACGGATCTCCACCATGTTGTCCTCTCTCCTTCGTCGGCCCTCCTCCGCATCAACCGCAACTTTGTACCGGTTCCGGCGAACCTCCGTCCTGGCGCTTGGTCTCAGCGACATAGCTCTCGTTCGAAAGAGAAATCCGATTTCAGGGAGAGAGAAAAGGAAGTTTTAATCGATCAATTGCACACAAACGCACGCAATGAGTGGGGTTTGTGTATATAAAGATTTTGGGGGAGAAAGAATAAAAAAAACTCGGAAAATTGATTTGGGAGTGAAAAGGAGAGAAAGAGGCCGCGAGTTGACAACAGCGCAAAGTTGAAAGCGCTCTTCCCAGTAATTTAATAGATTTTTTGCATTATTAATTTCAATATATATCAAGAATAAGCGTCTTTTGTGGGCTTTATTATTAATAACGGGCCAGATTGGGTAGGCCCATAAAGGAGCTGTTAGGGCACTTTGGTCATTTAAACTCCACCATAAGTGGTCTTGTTTCAGAGGCCGTCGTATTTGTATTTAGGAAAGCAAAACCCTAGCCGAGCAGATCTCCTCTCTCTCACAGACTCAGGTTTGCGTCCGTCTCTCCGGCCGATCTCTATACTCTTTCTCTGTAGTTTCGTTGGGTGATTGATTGATTAATAATAGTGTTAATTGCGGCGTTTTCACAGAGATGGCCAAGTCGAAGAATCACACGGCGCACAACCAGTCGGCTAAGGCCCATAAGAACGGAATCAAGAAGCCGAGGAGGCACCGTCACACCTCCACCAAAGGAGTAAGTGATCTCTGTTACTAGTTAAAACCTAAATATGATCCAGATTTCGATTTTAGTTTAGTGATTTGATTTGCCATTGTTTGTGAAATGTTTTCAGATGGATCCTAAGTTCCTGAGGAACCAGAGGTACGCAAGGAAGCACAACGTCAAGAGCGGCGAGAATGCTAGCGCTGAAGAATAAGCTTTTCTTTATCCCTTAAGACATTTTGAGCTTCATATGAATGTTTTAGACTAAAGGAACCACTTTACATGTCCCTTTTATATTTCGTTTGATTTTGTTTCCGCAAAGTGGTTTGTGTACTCTCTCGTATCCGTGACTTAGTTTTAATATCAAGGATTTCTATTTCCGAATTACCTGTTTCATTCATTCCACCCTACTTAATTTGCATATGATTTTATTTATTTGCATATAAATTGGAATCTACATAATTTATCGTTTATCTGGGACACATTTGAATCAATCTTGTTACTATTGAAACAGTGCTTGCTGCTTGGAAAATAGTGTATTAGAGAACCATTACAATGTATATGTGGATAATACTTGAAAACTAATTAGTGTATATGTTGGCTATTCGTTCCACTCTTCCTGATGCTACAATCGTGCATGAAAAATCACAATCTCTCGTAACTAAAAGTGGTTGGTATCGAATTATTCTCAAGTAGCGATCTCGTGTCGTGAAAATGGCAGTAACTGAGTCCGTTTATACTATTTTCTTTGCTACTTAAAATTCTCTTCCATTTTGTGTATTTGTGTTTCTACAGTGTTAATACCTTAATATCAAGAACATCAAAGGGTTTAAATCTTTAATCTGCGACAGTGATTAGGAAATAGTGGTTTGGCGAGCAGAAAATTAGTTAAAAATAATTGGGGGTTTTGTAAAACGGGAAAGAAAAATCTCTCTAAATGGCCCAAATTAAGATGACTACAATTAACTAAAAAGTCGTGATGACGAAAGAGCCCCTTCTCTGTGCACTGCACACGAAACACAGCTCGTGTCGAGCTTTCGATTCCCTGTCCTTCCTTTTTAGTTTTGCTTTGGATATAGGCATATAGCTCTACGCGTCTACCAACTACCATAAGCCACGTGGGTATTTACTTGACCACATAGCCTATACGCTTCAGAGAGCATCACTAATCTCACAGTTATTTATCAGCAGATCACACGTGGCACCTTTTCATTGGATTGGACGTGTTTGAGTACAGACAAAACGTTTCCAGTCTTCATTTCTTCTACGTCACAGGCTGTCATTTTTAAGGCGAGCGCTCAAACTCGCCGGAGGAGAGCGCGTGGGGATGTAATGACTTAAGCCTCATGGCTTGTCAGTAAATATGATTGTTGCCGAGGGCATTAAGGGAATATTGTCCATAACGTATCAAGAATTATAATATTTTCCACTGCTTTAATATTTTTTTTCTTTCTTTTTTCTTTCCTTTTTTTTTTTCTTTTCTTTCTCCTCTCCTCTTTCGCGTTTCGAAGGTTGGGGAAAGCTTTCGCAGAAGAAAATAAAAAGCTAGAGAGAGAGAGAGAATGTCAATGTTTTTTTGATTCTCCGTATGGTGGTTAGGGTTTTCTCTTTGATTTCGTTCCCCTTCGTGAACTGAATCTCCCGCCTATATCGTCGGCGTCTAATTCGTATCCGTTCTCGTTGCTCCAAAACCCTAACTTTGCTTCGTGCCCCTACGCCGGTCATTGTTTTCACTTTCTCGACTCGATTTGGTGCTGGAGGTGGGCAAATCAGTGATGGGCGCCCCGGAAAAGTCTCAATCTAACACCAATTCGATGCAGGTGTGTCTCTCGCTCTCGCTTTGCTTACTTGTTTGGTCACTTGATTCAAACTGGGGCTTTCTCAATTAGTAGAAGTTTTGTAGAGAACTTAACTTCGTTTCCTCGTTTGTTTATGTTACGACGCTCCCTGCTTCTGAGCTGTGTTATTTATTGAAGAAATTCATGTTACCCCAGCAAATTACTGTGCAATTCAATTGGTATCTCGCTTTTTAGAGCACCACGAAGCTGAAATTTTTGCCTGACTCGTTTCTACGGTTCATTTGCTTTTAGATTCTTACTTTCTGGTTGTATGGTATTCATCCCTGTTGGATAGTGTAGCGTAGTCCAATAGTTTCTGTGGGCGATATTCTCTTTTAGTGAGTGTAACGTACCTGATAGTTTTGAGTAGCTATTCCACCATGTGGTGTACTTACCTATTTGATATAAAACGAATCTCAAACTTGTATCTGATGGATTGCGTTGATTAAGAGGAAGGGTTTGTTTGCTTCCTTTTTTACACTATGGGAGCAGCCTTCTCACTCTTGTATTCGTTGTTCAGAGAGTGAAGGTCTATCATTTGAATGAAGATGGTAAATGGGATGATCGAGGAACTGGGCATGTGAGCATCGACTATGTGGAGGTCTGTTGTGATTCTAATTGATTTCCTGAATTCCTCCTGCTGCCGGTATTCTGCAGCACTTATTCTGTAAATAAACTTGTCGCTAAATGGAAATGCTATATGATGCAGCGTTCCGAAGAACTCAGTCTATGCGTAGTTGATGAAGAAGATAATGAGACTTTACTTGTGCATCCCATCAACCCTGAGGATATATATAGGAAGCAAGAAGGTAGTCTTTGTCTGTTGGGTTTATTAGCTACTCTATCTTTTGGCTTTCTATTCTTTTTTGGATAAGTGGTATCCGTTTCAATGTACAGACACTATAATCTCATGGAGAGACCCAGAGCGCTCAACAGAATTGGCTTTGAGCTTTCAAGAGACTGCGGGGTGCTCCTATGTATGGTGAGTGAAAAAAGTTCTCCTATTATCTTCTTCCCTTTATCCCTTTATTTCTGCATGTCAAAACCCTTCGACTTTGATAATGGTGTTTGTAATATTCAGGGATCAAATCTGCACTATGCAACGCAATTTGCATTTCAGCTCCCTGAACAGTAAGAGTCTTCTTCTGGCGTATTTTCATTAGCTGATATTTGCTAATCGTGTATATATGGTCTGTTCTCCGTCACAGAAATGCATTTTGAGTGTGTTTCGGTTGTTGGAATAGTAATGCAAGGGTCTTAGCTAGGTTTGTGGAGCCACCTTTAGAACATTTGTGCAAATTTGTTTCAACACTAGTGTGGTGATCGAAACTTTTCTTCTTACAATCATTATCTCTTTAGATATCTAATAATGCCTAATCTATTCTTCTGTATCCTAAGTTCATTCAAAGAGGCATTTGTATTTCAGAATAACTGAATCCATACTGTTTTATAAACCACTTTGTGGTTGAATCTTTTGATAGTTTTCTAAGCATACTGTCCTTGTCTTGTAAGTTTTTATACTAAATTTTGATTATATAATCATCTGGATTGAGCAGGTGAAACATTTCACAGCCTGAATAGTGAGCTGAGGGAGCTTCCTGCTGTAGAGCTTACTTCACTTCCCCTAATACTGAAGGTTATACGATTCTACTGTCCCTAAGCTTTATTGATGTTGTATTTTGTTTAGATAATTTACCCCTTCTTTCATGTCACGTGTGTGAAGAAAAATGCAAAATAAGTCGTAAATATTAATGAAGACATCATTTTTAAGTTTTCTCCTCTCAAACTTTTTGCGGTGTCTTTTTCCCTTCTCGTTGGTATGCTATGGATTTGTTTCCTGGGTATTGTTTTCTCAAATATTTTGCTATATCTTTCCATTTTCCTTGCAGATTGTTACAGAGAGTGGCATTACCGATCAGATGCGTCTAACAGAACTTATTTTGAAGGATGTAAGTTATTAAGTATCGTAGGCCTTGGCAGTTCAATTAAGTCTGATATCTATGCTTGGACTCGTTCTAGGAATCTTATTTTACACTTAGATTTTTTTTTTATGCTGCCAGTAGTATTTTTGGTTTTTCATGATAACAAACAAGCTCTAGCAAGAACGTCTCCATTGATATAGTTTGATCACATTTTTTTTTCATCTCTAAGGTATATAAGTGTGTGATTTCAGTGTAGACTCTTAATTTTATCGACTGTTATACCAGTTAATATAGTTTATCATGTTTTGAGGAGTAGATTCTGGAAACTTCTTTAACCTACCTTTTCCTTTGGTGCAGCATGATTTCTTCCGGAATCTGATGGGGGTATTTAAAATATGCGAGGACTTGGAAAATGTTGATGGCCTTCACATGATATTTAATATTGTCAAGGGAATCAGTTAGTATTCACATACATATCATTATTATTTCTTCCTTTCACATATTTCCGAGTTTTTTCTTAATGCCCAGCATTTTGTTTTGTTTATGCAGTTTTGCTCAACAGTTCTCAGATCTTGGAGAAAATATTTGGAGATGAGCTGATCATGGAAATTATCGGATGCCTTGAGTGTAAGTATCATGTCACTTGTCGAGCCTAAATGATCTATACATTGTAAAAGATAATGAAAGGCATGAGCTTCAGAATCTAGCTGTTAGATATCTGTTGCATAGGCCTTCTAGACACGAATTAGATTCTACTGGGACTTTCTTGCTCACATAATGGTTTCATGTCCTTAGTTGTAATTACCGATAGCTTATTTCCTTGGTGGATCAAATAGACTTATTATTAAGGGTTTGCATTTGCGATAATGAATATTATAGCCATGTGATGTTTTCTCTTTTCTTGGCTGTTGCCTTATATTTAACAATAAATGACGCTGCATGTCGACTCCCCTTACAGATGACCCTGGCGTTCCTCACTCCCAGCACCACCGGAATTTTCTGAAGGAGCATGTTGTTTTTAAGGAGGTAACACAACTTTCCTTTCTGCTATTGATTATGTGGGTCAGGACCAGTTAAAGTAGACTCGACTTGGCGAAAATTAGAGACATTCCTTTTACAAGAACCGAATATGCCTACTAAAAGTATTAGAAAAAGTTTATTTTGGAAGGAAAAGAACATACTCACTATGGATACTAGGGATTTACCATTTTTTACTTTAGAAATGAGAATCATATATGACGTGTGGAAACAAAAATTTCGGATTCTTTAGAATATCTCTTTTATCATTGCAGGCTATACCAATTAAAGATCCCTTAGTCCTGTCAAAGATACACCAAACATACAGAATTGGTTACTTGAAGGTTGGATCCCTTCATTTTTCTTAAATTTTTGACGCCCCCCTTTTCTATAGTATTAGGTCTCACCTTCTGTCACTTTCTACAGGATGTTGTTTTGGCTAGAGTACTAGATGATGCTATAGTTGCAAACTTGAATTCAGTAATCCATGCGAACAATGCCATTGTAAGTTGTTCATATAAATGCTATCACATTTATGCCAATGAAAGCATGGATCCACATTTTGTTGTTTTACTGAAGTGCATCTTCTGCAGGTTGTTTCATTGCTGAAGGACGATAGTACTTTTATTCAAGAACTATTTGCAAGGTTTAGGTCACCTTCTACATCTATGGAATCGAAGAAAAATTTGGTATTTCCTGCCTTCAAGAGGCATTTGTTATTTTGTCTTAAACCTCAATTGTTTTGTATTTGTGAATGACATTTATAAACCGTATTTTGGTTGAAATCTTTTGGGGGTAATAGATTTTATTGGGATCCCTTTTCTATCCCTGATATTAAGATGGTCTACACGTGACGACAGATATAATAAAAACAGTAGATCTCTGTTAGAAAAGTATCGGTGTTCTGCTGAGTTAGTCAGACTGATGTGTTTTCATTCTTTATAAAATAGGTATATTTCTTGCACGAGTTTTGTAGTTTAAGCAAGAGTCTCCAAGTGGTGCAGCAGTTGCGGCTTTTTAGGTATGTACTCTACTTCTGAACATTTGTATTACATTATCACTATTGCCTTTCTTCCTCAGGTGCCTCTTTCAGAATCCTCTTTAGTGATCTGTTTCTCAATTTGGCGTGCTTGTCTTTTCAATTATTTTTCAGGGACCTTATTAATGAAGGGATTTTTCATGTCATAGAAGAAGCCTTGCAGATGCCAGACAAAAAACTTGTATTAACTGGGTATGCGATTAATTCGACTTAATAGCTCATTGTGGTTACTCTGTTCTGCTTTCTTGTACCGTTAAGAAATCTCAGTGGTAATCTTTAAGCTGTATACTCAAGATAGCTATTGCTGTGGATGCAGGACAGATATCCTGATTCTTTTCTTGACTCAAGACCCCAACCTTTTACGTTCTTATGTTGTTCGGACAGAAGGAAACCCACTCCTCGGTCTCCTGGTAATTTTCTGTAAGCTTTTGGATTGTTTCTTCAGTTGCAAGGCTGTTTCTGATATCGTTGATAAGACTCGGGTTGTAATTGGCTCTCTTGTTTGGATGACAGGTCAAGGGAATGATGGAAGACTTTGGTAATAAGATGCATTGCCAATTTCTAGAAATTATCCGAACCTTACTGGATGCAAATCCATTGTCTGGTGGAGCTCAGGTGCATCTTTGTTTCCTTTTAATAACTTAATTTCTGATAAATAGAAAGGGGTGGTATTTTCCTCCTATTTTGTGGACTTTTTTTTTAATCCTTTTATAGTGGAACTTACCAAGAAAAATTCCGTGTCTTACCCTACTTTCCACCCTGACTGGTTATTCTTGCATGTCCCTGAATCAGCAGACACTATTAAAGTTTAACTTTAAAAATGTTGTCGTTACTATTTACGTTGTATTCAACTTTCTTAAGATATACGCTAGAAGTAGAATTTTTGAAGCGTTGCAATTTGTGTAACCTTTCTCTTGTTTAATCTGGTAGACACCCTGATTTCTGTTATGTCTTTAATGCGTTCCATTTGAGCAGAGAGCAAATATCATGGATATTTTCTGTGAGAAGCATCTTCCTGAGTTAGTGGATGTTATTAGTGCCTCATGTCCTGATAAGTCAGGCGACACATCTGAAGTTGCAGCCAGAAGGATTAGCACAAAGCCGGAAGTCCTATTGAACATATGTGAATTGTTGTGCTTCTGCATCATGCAAGATTCATCCAGAACAAAGTAATCATGTTGATATTTATTTGGTTGTTGTTCTGTTTTATTCTCCTGCTGGAATCCGTTTATATTTGTTGTGCAATTTCTTATTTTCTACAGATGCAGTTTTCTCCAAAACAATGTGGCTGAAAAGGTCTTGCATCTCACGCGGAGAAAGGAAAAATACCTAGTGGTTGCTGCTATACGATTTGTCCGCACTCTCCTATCTGTGCATGTGAGTAGTTTCATTTGAACCTGAGACTATATATCGGTAATATGAGATAGATCATGAATGCACCCTGTGGTTAAAGAGTTGAGGCATATTGGTGTAGCTATCATATCATAGGCCATCTATAACGGATTAAACATCTTGTGACAACTGACCTTTTGTTCTGCACTGAGGCAATCTTTGATTTTCCATCATGGCTACAAAAAAGCTCATAAGGTGAAGATTTTTTTATTTGAAAATGTTATCTAATTTTTGAAATATATTTCCATTTCAGGATGATCATGTCCAGAATTACGTTGTTCAGAACAATATGCTGAAACCGATTATAGATGTCTTCATTGCCAACAGGAACCGGTACAATCTGCTGAACTCTGCAGTCTTGGATCTGCTTGAGCACATACGCAAGGTTCATTTTCCATCCTTTAGTCCTTTTGCTTATCTAGGTGCACATCTTATCGTATTTACTGATCATTTCATTTTTTTTTGTATAGGGCAATGCAACTCTGTTGCTCAAATACATAGTTGATACGTTTTGGGACCTATTGGCCCCATTTCAGTGCTTGGCCTCCATCCAGGCTTTTAAGGTCAAGTATGAACAGGTATTGCTTCTGGATCTTGATTTATACTTTGGAAATATATGTATCTATCTTTGTTTAACAATGTGTTTTCAGTGCTTAGAAAGTGCCGGACCAAAAAGCACTGCTGATGCGGTAGATCCGAGAAGAAGAGTTGACGAACGTGCGTTGGATAAAGAGGAGGAAGATTATTTCAATGAAGACAGGTATATCTCTAGGTGTTAAAACAATTGTTATTCTCTTTTTCTGCATGAACATTGCTCACACATTTAGTACTTGCAGCGATGAAGAAGATTCTGCATCTGCTTCTAATACACAAAAGGAAAAACCTGCGCCTGATACACAGAAAGAACAACCTAAGCCTCATCTTTCAAATGGCGTGGCTGCAAGCCCTGCTTCTTCGAGGTATAGTAGTTTCACAATGAATATTCATAAAAAGTATGAGCGATATCTTTGTCTAAATTATTTACTTTCTGCTTCTTTTAACTACACAGCCCGAGGTCTGGAGGCTTGGTTGACTATGAGGACGATGAAGATGATGAAGACTATAAACCTCCTCCCCGGAAACAGCCAGAAGCCTCTGAGGAGGAGGAAGGCGAGCTCCTTATGCTGAAACGCAAATCCCCTTGCGAAGAAAGAGAACAAGAACCGTCCAAGAAACCGCGGCTGGGTAAAAATTCGAAGAGAGAAAATGTATTTGCTGTGCTATGTTCGACGCTAAGCCACGCAGTGCTTACGGGGAAGAAAAGTCAAGGCACCACCGGATCTGCAGTCCGTTCAATTGTAGCCAAGGAATCTGAGGACTCGAGAAGTGGTGAAGAGAATCATAGCAGCAGTTCAGATGACGAAAATCACAAGGATGATGGAGTTTCTAGTTCCGAACACGGAACATCAGACAATGGAAAGCTAAATGGGGAAGAATCCCTGGTTGTAGCTCCAAAATCATCACCCGAAATGGCTGTGAATGGATCCTGAGATTTTAACACTCTGGACTCTATAGTTATGGGTGTGGACGGAATACACTCTCATGGGAGCAAATAAATCTTCAAAGTTAAGACGGAGAAGGAGAGAGAGACATGAGAAACCGCAAAAGAAAGCTTTGAGGGAAACCAAGGGAGGAAGAAATGTATAGTGAGCGCCATTTGAGAGGTAAAGGGTTCTTCGTCCAATAGTGTTTGCAGCTGTTTTTCTCTTTTTTTTTTTTTTTTCTTTTCTTTCTATATTCATCTTTGAAAAGACTTGGCAGTCTCTGGTCTGGTCAATTGCATATTGTAAGACATGGTCTATCAGCAACTAACTCTTCTTAATTCAAGCTCCTAAATGGGTTTTCTCTACTTATCCTTTTAAGTTGTTTTTACTCTTTAGTTTAGTGTACACTCTTAGCTGTATTTTGATGGTAGGACAGAGGAGTTTTGATGGAAAAGAGAGACTAAAAGATGTCGTTTTGTTAGATGGATCAGATTCAGCCACCAATGTGTGCTATAATTCTTATTTTTAAAGTTTAGATGTTACAAGTTACTACCTACACATTTGATTTTGATACCCTTTTTTTTTAAATTAAGTGTTTGATTATCTTCGTTTAGAAGTTCTGAATAAAATAATCCAACACATCCACTACAGCGAGACATTGGTTGAAACTTGAAACGTATTAATCAAAAAATAGAACGAGTCTTTTTGACAGTTAAAAGAAAATATTGGTTTGGTACTTTTGGGGAATGTTATGTCTATCTGTGTAACAAACAAATAGGACTCCATCTTCACCTGTCTTCCAACAACAATGGAGGCAACAAAAAAGAATGTTGACATGAAATCCTAGTCACTACGGAATAAGATAAATGTTCCTTCCTGTTAGTCCGGGACATCAGACTCTCTCTTATTTTCAATCTTTTTCTCCAAGAAGCTTCTCCCGCTACTGAAAATCTTATACAGTGACGCCAAAGTAGTTGGTTGTTAAAGGGTTTTGTGCAAAAAAACCAGGCAACTAAATTAATTTTGCAAAATTAACCCTCACCTTTTTTTTGTGCAGATCAATCCCCCAAACTCAAAAGTCACCCGCTAAACAGCCCTTCCCTGTATTGTCGACGTGGTTCGTTCTTCTCCACGAAAAAAAATTCAAAACTCTGTGTTTTCGACAGTAAAACGGGACGATGTTTTTGTTTCTGTATGCTGTTCTTCGGACAAAACTAAATCAAGTGTAAAGCAATGTCGTCAGGTTTTGAATTGGGGAAAACTAAAATCGATTTGGCGGAAAAAGTTAGGGTTCTTGGCGATTTATTTGACAGTTTCTCCTCTTAAAATCGATTTTGAGGAAGTGGAATGGTGTTGAATCGGCGAGATAGAAGATGGCTTGGCTTATTTCAGTTCCATGTTTACTGATTTCTCAATCATGCCTGAAATCGAACACTCTGGTTGTGTGGTGGATTTACTATCCAAGGCTGGATTTTTAACACAAGTTGTTGAGTTTATAAACAAAATGTCAGTGAAAGCGGATGTTGTTATATGGACCACTTTACTTGGTGCTTCCAAAGTTTATAAGAAGGAGGAGGTTGGAGAGCTTGCTCTTGAAGAGTTGGTCAAGCTTGAACCGAGAAACCCTGTTAATTTGTGATGCTTTCGAACATATATGGAGATCTCGGGAGGCCTGTTGATGCTGCGAGGCTAAAAGTTGCTATGAGAGACACCAGTTTTAAGAAAGAAGCAGGTTTTAGCTGGATTGAGACCGATGATGGTTTGGTGAAGTTTTATTCTTCGGGAGAAAAGCATTCTCGAACAGAGGAATTACAGATGATCTTGAGAGAGCTGAAGAACTTCAGTGTCCTGCTTGATGAAGAAGAATAACATTTTTTAATGTTGTTATTTGATTCATTGGATAAATACTCTGCTTTGTGCAAGCAAACACATGGAACGTAAATAGAAACAATGTTGCAGTTTCTCTTTTTTTTTGTTAAAGAACAATGTTGCAGTTTCGTTCACGACGGGAATATATACACTAATATAACAGGAAAATGTGATTTTGGCTTGATGTTGGCTTGATGGATACTCTGGAAAAGATGATTTTTCAAGGTACTGGAAAGAGGAATGGATGAGCGGTTTGACTTCTTTCCGTCAAGTGTTGAGTATACAAGATTCCTGATGTTGTTATCTCTGAACTACAATCATCTTCGCTCTCATTGTCTCCTCTGCAAAACAAAACACAACACTTAAAACTCTGGTTTCCTCATGAATCTTACTTGATTACACTGCTCAAAACAAACTTGTAATGTGGATGGTCTTGTTGAGCTCTGATTCCATCGCCTTTCTCACTGCATTATCGTCTCTAAGCTTCGCCATTTTTTCCCTCTTCCTGACCTGATCAGTTACTTTCATTCCCATGTAATTGATACCCATTGCCTCTTTAGCTTTGTTGTAAACAGGCTCAACGTATATCAAAAACGTCTTTGATCCGAACAACTCTGTCTCGAATGTGATCTCTCTCTTTAAAGCTTTTCCTTTCTCAAGAACCTCTCACTTGAAATCTTCAGATTCTTTCACTCCACCTCCATGGAATATCTCAACGCCTATTTTACCCAATATGTCGTGACATTATTAATCCTAAAAACACACTTCCTCAGGAGAATAATCAATAACCTAACAGAACAAAGGAGAAGAAAAAGCTTTTCTGCTAACCTGTTCACGCAAACTAGGAAACTTGTTGTAAATGAACAAGTAGCGTAAATCTTTATCATGTAACCAGAGAAGAAGAAGAAAACGAAGAATCAGAGAAACAAATTGTCGGTCAATGCAACTCCAGCCTCTGCGTCAAAACAAAGAAGAGTTTTCCCCAAACTTTTTCCCCCAAATAAATCGCCAAGAACCCTAACTTTTTCCCCCAAATCGATTTTAGTTTTCCCCAATTCAAAATCTGATGACATTGATTTACACTTGATTTAGTTTTGTCGAAAACGCAGAGTTTTGAATTTTTTTTGTGGAGAAGAATGAACCACGTCGACAATACAGGAAGGGCTATTTAGCGGGTGACTTTTGAGTTTGGGGGATTGACCTGCACACAAAAAAAGGTGAGGGTTAATTTTGCAAAATTAATTTAGTTGCCTGGTTTTTTTGCACAAAACCCCATTTAAAACTTGCCTGTAATTATAGTATATATATTAAGATATATTGTTGTCGTATTGTTTACATCGAAAGTGGCTGTAGTTTAGTGGTAAGAATTCCACGTTGTGGCCGTGGAGACCTGGGCTCGAATCCCAGCAGCCACACTTTCTATTTTGTTTTTGTTTTTAATGTTGTTTTTATTTCACGGGCCGAAATTTCAAATGGAAATGTAATTTGAGGCTTTGAATTCTCCTTACTAAACTTGTATTATCACCGAACGATGTTGAGCTTTGGAGTATCCCAAAATATTTTGTGATATGCGAGCAATTATCTGTCTGATTTGATTGTTACAAGTTACAACCAGTGCCATATATGAAATGGATTTGGGAACCAAATTCATATTTAGTATCCATCTTTTCAAATTTAAATTTTCTGAGCCTAACCGAATTTCATGTTTCACTGAACAAAAGAGGCAAAAGTTTTGTTCATGTTAAGAAACAGTTGCGTTAATAATAGCATTATATTTGGCAAAAAAAAGCCTGCAAAACAGTTAGCAATGAATCGGAGACTGTTGCATTTTCTCTTGAATAGCATTGTAACAACTAAGACTACATAGTGGTAGCTTCGACTTTGAATCTCTGTACTTGTACGCTTTCTCGCAATTTGGCCCCACACATTTCTCACGTGGAGGAGGATAACTGCAGAATGATCCATAGAGACAAACAAAAACAAAACACACACAGTTAAAACCTCACCATTCTACTCAACAATTCACTTCTATCATCAGATGCTTGTTTACCTGTAAGTAATCGGCTTGAAAATATCTGGAAGACCAATGTCTTCAGAAAATGTCAAAGTTGTTCCACTTGGACCTATAACCAATCTGACTGTGTTTGCTGCAAGTGTGCTTGATCTCTCAGCTCTCTCCTGCGAATATAAAAATTGAAGTCAGCACAAAGAGATAGATAGAGAAAGAGAGAGAGAGAGAGAGAGTTATAAGACGCCATCTGCAATTTAGTACCTGAGCTCGTTCTTCTTGTTGTTTCTTAATCTTCTCCTCTTTTTTCTTTCTCCCTGAATCTTGACCGAGTATTTTCCTGATAGCTTCAGCCTGGTGAAGAAGAAGACAAAGAAGAAGAGCTTAGATCATCACTCTGCTTGTGTTGACATTAGAAATGAACCGAAATAAATGTACTATTAACTTCACCTCAGCTTCTTGGGCAGCTTTCTCGGACAGCATTCGCCGTCTCTGTGCAACTTCAGCCTTCTTGGATTGTTGCTCTACCTCCGAAAGCTTCTGTTTTTGTCCTGGAATTGTTCAAGCTTTACAGAATCAGCACTTGCAGCTTCATGGGACAAAAAAAATAGCAACTCACTTTTAGAGGAAGGGCAAGGTAAGCCATCAGGGAATTCAAGAGGACCATTCCTAGGAGTTGTTCCACTTGTGAGCGAATCCACTGGCTTTTTCCTTTGAGTTACAGCATATTTGTCTCTCATGTCTTCTTCCATGTTGTGGCCATTGCTGTGTAACTTTCTGCTTTCTTTACCTTCATGATAGTCCCTGTTGACCCTTTTAGACTTCAACTTTTCTAAGTATCTGATCTCCTCATCTCCATCATCATCACTGTCTTGTTCTGGATCCAGTAAACGTTTTTTAAGACCTCGTTTGCTCTTCTCGCACACGGACCCTCCGTTCACAGTCTCAGAGGGACTTACTCTTATCTCTCCAAGATACATAGTTTTCTGAACATGCCTCTGATCCGGTACATTTCCTTTTACCTTAGCTTCTGAGTTGGTTTGGATTGTACGAGTAACACCACCACCAAGCTTAAGCTTCAGTTTCAGTGTGTTCTCACTCGCAGGCCCATTGGCTTTCCTATAACTTGGGTTTGGCTGCTGTGTTGAGGGTTGCAAGAAAGTAAAACTGTGCAAGCTTCCTTTTACGTCGCGGGGTCGACGAATCAGAGAGCTTCTCCTTCTCCTTTCCATAAAGCCAGCTAAAGTAGAAGCTGATGCTTCAGAGGCCTCCATTATCATCAAATAATACCTTCACACAGTGAGTCAGTGACTAAACATAATTAATGATACAATAATTGAACTAAAACAGCTGCAAGAAAAGGGCTTCATGAAGAGATGTTTCCAAGGTGGCAAACAAAAAGTAAGGCTTCACAGGAGATTACACATTGCATTCTCAAATTGACACAAAACCAATGAAACCCTGAAACCACAGAAGCTAAAAACAAGCTAGCAGAGTGATTATCCACAACAGAAATTCGAGAAAGAAGACACTAAATCCAGCTAACTCCTCCTAAGCTAATGCTTTAATTCGTTAAGAAATCCCAAAAATTCAAACGAGAATCTCACACTTTAACACCAGATTTTTCTCCATGGGAAAGAGAAAGAAGAGCGAACTTACGGAAGAAGACGAAGGAGAGAAAAACCCTAGATGGAGTTGAGAAGAAGAAGGGTCTCGAAAGAGAAGAAGTATGTGGATTGGCTTTAAGTGAGGGGTAAATGTGGAAGAGATGTTAACCCTCCATATCTTTATCTCCTCCATTTTTTCTGATTTTCTCTCCATCTTCTTCTCTTTCTCCTTTTTTTTTTTTTCTTTTTTCTTATTCCAATTTTTTTGGTAGCTTTACTTTCATGCCGTCCCGTTTGACATCTCCGGCGACGCACACAGCGTTTCTTCGTCGGACGTAAAAGCTTAAGACAAATCAATATTGCACTTTTGGGTTGGGCCCTTAAACATTCAGGCCCAATTACATATTTTGGGTTATTATTAATATTTTGCGTTAGTAAACCACATTCATTTTCCCTCCAAAAGCAATCTTGTGTTATTCACATACAGTAATTGAGAAGCAACCAAACATTCTTGATATATATACCGATTCAGATTTACCAGATTATCTACAAGACGAGAGAAATTTACATATATTTCACTTTGTTTCACGAGAAATTGATATCCACACACACACAGGCACACGACATTACACAACAACGAGGAGATAGATCACGCGGGAAATATCTCTGGGATTGTTACAAGCATAAAAGCTTGACCTCCTCTTTTAAATATATAGTTGGATAAAACGACGTAGTACCATGTTCAAACCCGTCCAAGAACCCCCAAAGAAATGATTAAATTAAGAAAACAACAACATTTTTAAAAATCAAAAACGCCGTCGTATTCACTTGATCAACGTAGAGATTGCGAGACAGTTACTCACCATCTTCGTCAGGTTATCGGCCACGTCAGCCAAAGGGTTAGGCTCACCCGATTCCTCAAAACCGTCGTTGCACGTGCCGAAATCCGTCATGGCGGCGCTAAGGTTTGTGTTCACGGTGGCGATGTCACGTGCCTTGAGGGCGTTAACCGCGTCCTCCAAATTCGCCACGGCGTCGTCGTACAGCTCCTGGCAATCGGCGGCGTCTAGTTTCTGGACGGTCGCAATCGCGGCCTTGGTCGCGTTCATCGAGGCCTGGATTGCGAGAACGAGGACGGAGGTAGTGTCCGGTATCAGCTGAGCCGTTAGCAGAGGACTAATTGAAGATTCGCACAGCAAAGGGAAATCTGTTTTGCCGCAGATGGTTTTGATCTCCGGAGATAACATTAATGGCTTCAATAGATTCTTAGGCGCGTTGAATAGCGTCTTTCCTGACGGAGCGTCTGAGGAAACGGCACCGGTGGGAGCATCTGGTGACGCTGCGGGAGAGTCGGAAATGGAATCGGCGGGAACGTCAGATGGTGACGCAGCCGGAGAATCTTCCGTTGAAGCATCGGCAGGGGAAAGGGAACCGGCGGGAACCTCAGATGGTGACGCTACCGGAGAGTCGATACTTGTATCCGTCGGAGGAGGGGAATTGGCGGGAGACGCTGGTGACGCCGTGTGATAGTCTATATCTTTCGGAGGACATGCCGGAGCCGAAGCCGATGCAGGAGATGGAGAATCTGACTCGGAGGGAGGATAAGCCTGGAGTAGAGATCTTGCGACGAAGGTACATTTGGAATTTACAGGCGTTGGCGTTAATATTGTGATCAACGTGACGATGACGATGATCGAAAAGGTTTTATTCGACTCCATTTGTGGTTTTGTCGAATTTCCCTTTTGTCAAGGGAAAAAAAAATGGGATGTGAAAAGATAAAAGGGACAAAACGTAAAAACAAAATTGGGGATCGGCGGAACGCAAATGGCGATTCTTTTTTTTTTTTTTTTTAACGGCCGCAAATGGCGATTCAACTTTGGGAAATCTAATATTCATATCTTTAAGAGGCTAATGTGGAGTTTTGCGAGAAAACAGGTCAACACGTACGTCAACTTAAATAACGTCTAAATCTTAAATCTCAAATCTTTAATCTAAGTATAGCTAGAAACCTGTTAACTAAAACGGTCTTAGAGAAATTCTTCTTCCTTTTTTTTTCTTTGATCTTTGTGCACCTTTAAAAGTTAATACCATGGAATTTTTTTCCTGTTAAAGTTAGAGAAATGTGCTAGTAGAAATTGTTTTTGGTCGTAGCTTAACTATGTTACATTACATGTATAAAACTCATATGAACAAAATATTATCTTCTTGGTACAAGCTGCATTTTTGTAACGAAATATTGCAAAATTATCCATTACGAATGAAGTTTGTGAATTTGAAGTTACTTTAAATCCAAGCTGATATCGGTTAACAATAATATAAAAGAAAGGTTGTCTTAAAAGTTGATTCTTTGAACTTGTTTGATTAGTTCTAATGTTAAATTTTAACACCCGTTTAACATATATAAAATCGGCTTTGTTAGATTTATAGTATCAGATATTTACAGTCGCAAAAAGCTCATTGTATTTTTTTATCACGTTCTTGACTTAAAAATGTAGGTTTTGGATTGGTTATTAACTGTGGTCAAAACTTGACTCAACCGTAGTAAATAGGAAGCAGCTTAGAAAGTGTCACTCTGTACTGTGTAGACTGTAGCTGTCAAAAAGCAACAAACCTTTTTTAATTTGTTTTTATATATTTATTTTTTTAAGCATTGCAACCAATTTGCATTTGCCGCTTCAGGGAGTGCAGAAGAAACCAGAGAGAGAGAGAGAGAGAGAGAAAAGGAGGTTTGCTTTTCCGAAAATGGAAGTTTCGCCGGCGATGATAGAAGTCGGTGACCAAGGTCTTCCGGCAGAAGACGTGGACAAAGACGACGATGAAGACGTGTGCCGAATTTGCCGATCACCGGAGGAACCAGGAAACCCGTTAAGGCATCCGTGTGCGTGTCGAGGATCCATCAAGTATGTACACCAGGATTGTCTTCGTCTTTGGCTGAATCGTCGCGGGTACAAGAAATGCGAGGTTATTGTTACCATTACCTTTGTTTTTATAAGGATTTTGGGGGTTTTTGGCTAGTTTTAAGGGTTTCAGCTAATGACATCATGTGGTTTTCCGATTCCCCCACTGGTTCTCGGAAGAATCTCCGGTGCGAGGTTTTGAGTTGGGTGATTTAAGGGTTAAGTTATAGGTTTTGAATTTTGATCCTCTTCTCTATTTCGGTGGATTCCGATTGGAAAAATCCGGCAGATTCTAAGGGAACGTTACATATTTTCTTAATTCCGTGTGTTTCCACTGCAGGTATGTGGGCGTAGCTACTCGATTGTTCCGGTTTACTCTGAGGATGCCCCGGAGAGGCTTCCATGTAACGAGTTTCTAATCGGAGTGTTATTGAGAGTAGCACGTTTCATGAAGCTCATGTTTCCTTGGATTGTGGTGATTCTCTTCAACTCATACTGCAATTCCTTACATCCTTGGGGCCAAGAAATTGTCGCTGAGTTCCAGAGAGGTTTTTGGATTTTCCGGAAGTTTGCTTCTTTGTGGGCTGGCCTGAGTTACAGCTGTTTGATCTGGTGTTTCATGGCCGTCATCACTATTATAAGGATGATATTCGGAGATCTCAATGTCAGGAGAAATGCTGACGCTGAGAATTTTATTAGGAATGGTGTAGAACAAGGAGCTGTGCAGGTCTTATGGAAGTACATGAAGATCCTCTGTGATTGGTATTTTCACATACTCATTCATTTCTTGGGGCCACCTAATCGACTAATACTTGTTCCTCCAAACGCGCCACTTGATGAATTTGGGGTTATCAGGAGGCTGCTTTTCTTTCTTCATGACGATGCCTTTGCTGTAAGTATCTTCCTTCATGCACTATAACTATCTTCAGTACCATAATGGTTAATGTTGAGTAACAACTTGTGTTTGTTCTCTACAGGCCCTTGTCTTCAGTGCATTTGCGTCTATCCTCTTTGTTCTTCTCCCTAATTGGATTGGACAGATTGTATTAGCAGCTGTTGGAGGATCCGGAAACTCCACTGTTATTTGTGGATACATGATGATGCTGTTAATACCCTTTGCTTACTTCACTCTCCGTCATGACTCATTTCCTGCCATAGTCCGGTGGTTCTTGCTGAGATTTTACTCCATAACAGTGGAATTGCCAGTTTTCTTGTGGGATATATCAGTAAAAGCCTGCAAAAACATTCATGTCATGAAGGATGTTTTCGTCTTGTCTTTGAAAATCGGTGTTCTGCCTTGGATGATTGGCTGTTGGCTCGAAATCTGCACCTCCCCCATGTTTGGAACCACAATTTCGCAGAGATTTGAGATTCTTTCACTCCTCCCATTCCTGAATCCCTTATATTGGCTGGCAGGATTATGTTGCTTGATTGTTGCTGACTCTTACAGAGAACTTATCCAGGAGGTAACAGTTTAAATTTTTGTTTCATCCCAACGGAACCTTACTCTTTTATCAGACTTTTCCTCATTTCCAGCTTCTTCTTTGACAGATCATTCATAAACGAGCCTTTTGGTATCTTCTAGATGTTAGAGATCCAGACTACAAGGTCACCAAATGAATCTTGGTCACACTTTGTTTGCGTTTGCTACTCATGGGGTCTTGTTGGTGATTCTGGTCCACTTACCAATTAAAGCAATTACACTTATCAGCCCATCATTTTTCCCTCTTAAGTTATGGTGAGCTTCCTGCGTTTGCTTCCCTCAGAACCTTCCCTTTATATCGCTTCTAATTTCTTTTATCTTGAACAAAGCAGGTCGCTAAGTTTTGGGCGCATTTTTGATTTACTTCAAGCTTCTGATCCCTGAATGGTTAATCAAACTTACCATCAGCAACAAGGCTCATAGCTCACAAGTGGATTATCACTGTTAGTTCTTGGCTTCAGTTGAATGATTTCTTGCTGGTAGTGCCCCGAGGAGACCGTGCTGATCAGAATGTGAGACCAGTTATGCAACCACGGTTCATACTGTACTCCTTAGCTGAAGGCTCTATGGTCATTTTGCATGGATCTCAGAGTGCTGAAGACGATATTAAGTCTCAAGACCAAAGACATAACAAATTGTTTCAGCTGAGGATTGCATTGATGTTGGTGCTAGCTGCTTTGAGTATGTTCCTCTTTAGCACAGCCTTCATGGCTTTGCCACTTTTGGCAGGGAGAGTCTTCTTTGACTCTATCTCTTTCATCACGACAAGAATTGGAGTCGGACGTGACGGTGTGTTGTTCTTTTCTTCTTCATCTTGTCTTCTTATAGAGCTTTACTTCCTCTTCTTTTACATGCTTCTAACTAAGTCTTTCTTTTCAAATCTCGTGATTGTAGATGTTTTTGCTTTTTGGATTGGATGTCACATCCTGCAAGCAATCAATCTCAGCACTTGCTTTGTATTTGATCAAATTCAGAAGGGAAGAACCGGTTTGCTTCTCAAATATGTCTTCATACAGATTCGAAATGGATTGTTTTTCTCCATCTGGGTAAGAAAAAAGTTTGCATTTCCCACCAAAAGAAACTCTTTGAAAACCATGACTTCTAACTTGCAAACTTTCCAATGAACAGATCTCTGTCATACCGGGATTGCTCGCTCTACTCATCCACCTTATGATCATCATCCCATTAGTAGTGCCGCTAGATGAATCACCGGTCGACTTCCCGGTTCAAGATTGGTTGATCGGAGTAGTGGTGCTTCACATCTGGACCTTTCTGGTAAGATAAATCATCAGATGGAGATTTCAACAAAGACTTGAGATTTTCTAGCAGAGCAACTAAGACAGTATTAGCATTTTTCCTCTTTTCTCGTAGACAATGCTCACGCCTATTAACTGGTTCGCGACGGAGGCTTGGCGAAGGAAGCTTGAGAGAATCAGAGACGTGGGAATCAATAACCTTCCTTCAATGTGGCTGCTTCGAGATGTGATTGGTTCCCTCACAAACACACTTGCAACCACAGTCGCCATCCCTTACCTGCTCGTGAAGACTCTGTTCCCGTTGCTTGGGTTTTCCCAAAGCATTAATTCAGCTGCAGAGCGGTTTATCTGGCCGGCGTTATTAGCTTTGATCACGGTGTGCTTTATGGCCAAGCTAACACGTGATTTTATTATCTACCTTCACCAGCTGGTCTTCAATGAACGGTACTTGGTGGGTGAAAGAGTTGACAATTTGACTGAAGATCTAGAGTCGGGGAAAGACCAACATGAACTTTTGTTGATAGGCAAGTAAATACCAATGCTATAGGTTTCTTACGTGTAACGAGATTTATCGATTAGTGGAATCTTGGAGACATATCTTTTGCACTATTGTGTATAAAACATACAAGGAGAAGAGCTTCAAGCATTCAATTTCGTTTAGTTTTTCAAACAATGCGAACCAGTCGGTTCAATATTTTGGTTTAACTCGGATTAATAAACGCAGATATGTACACTAGAGTGTGTCGAATGTCGATGTATCTTTTTTGGTCATAACTTCACTTTGAGTTACATGCATATACCAGACGAGGAAAGAGAAACAAAATAGGACTAATGCTCTTTGTACAAACTGCATTTTTGTGACGAAATATTGCAAAAGAAAATAAAAACATCTGAATCCATTATGAAAAAGGAGGAAGAAAACAAAAATCTGTTATGAATGAAGTTTGTGGATTTGAATTTATACTTTGCATCTAAGCTGATATCGGTAAAAAAAATTAAGTAAAAGATAGGTGATCGTTTTGAAAGTTGATTCTTTGAACTTCAAATAATTAGAGAAAAACAGTATATTCCGAGGTTATTTAACACCATTATAACATAAAATCAACTTTGTATTATTTATACTTTTATAGTATCAGATATTTTAGAGAGAAAAAGCTCACTGTTTTATTTTTTTCACTTTCTTAAAAGAGTCAAAATGTATTTTCTTACTGTGGTCAAAACCTGACCCTACCGTAGCTATAGGAAGCAACGTAGAAAGTCACTCTGTAGTCTGTACTGTACTACTGTGTATACTGGAGACTGTAGCTGTCAAAAAGCAACAAACCTCTTTTAATTTGTTTTTATATATTTACTTGTTTAAGCTTTGCAACCATTTTGCATTTGCCGCTTCAGGGAGTGCAGAAGAAACCAGAGAGAGAGAGAGAGAGAAAGAGGTTAAGCTTTTCCGAGAATGGACGTTTCGCCGGCGATGATAGAAGTCGGTGACCAAGGTTTTCCGGCAGAAGACGCAGACAAAGACGACGACGAAGACGTGTGCCGGATTTGCCGATCACCGGAGGAACCAGGAAACCCGTTAAGGCATCCGTGTGCGTGTCGAGGATCCATCAAGTATGTACACCAGGATTGTCTTCGTCTTTGGCTGAATCGTCGCGGGTACACGAAATGCGAGGTTATTGTTACCATTACCTTTTTTTATTAAGGATTTTGGGGGTTTTTGGCATGGCTAGTTTTTAGGGTTTCAGCGTTAATGACATCATTTGGTAGTGGTTTTCCGATTTTCCCCCAAATGTTCTCGGAAGAATCTCCGGTGCTAGGTTTTGAGTTGGGTGATTTAAGGGTTTTGATTTTTGATTATCTTCTCTATTTCGGTGGACTCCGATTGGAAAAATCCGGCAGATTCTTGGGCAACGTTACATATTTTCTTAATTCCGTTGTGTTTCCACTGCAGGTATGTGGGCGTAGCTACTCGATTGTTCCGGTTTACTCCGAGAATGCTCCGGAGAGGCTTCCGTGTAACGAGTTTCTAATCGAAGTGTTACTGAGAGCAGCACGTTACATGAAGCTCATGTTTCCTTGGATTGTGGTGATTCTCTTCAACTCATACTGCAATTCCTTACATCCTTGGGGCCAAGAAATTGTCGCTGAGTTCCAGAGAGGTTTTTGGATTTCTGGCAAGTTTGCTTCTCTGTGGGGTGGCCTGATTTACAGCATTTTGATCGTGTGTTTCATGGCCTTCATCACTAGTATAAGGATGAAATTCGGAGATCTCAACATCAGAAGAATTGTTGACGGGTTTCGCGCTGATAATTTTACTAGGAATGGTCTTCAACAAGGAGTTATTGGTGGAGTTTTGCAGGTCTTATGGAAATATTTCAAGATCCTTTGTGATTGGTATATTCATAAACTCATACATTTCTTGCAGCCACCTAATCGACGAGTGCTTGTTCCTCCAAACGCGCCACTTGATGAATTTGGGGTCATCAGGAACCTGCTTTTCTTTCTTCATGACGATGCCTTTGCTGTAAGTCCCCAACTTTCTGTTTGTTCCTCAATTATCTTCCTTCATGCACCATAATGGTTAAATTTGAGTAAGTCCCCAACTTGTATTTGTGTTTGAGTACAACTTGTGTTTGTTCTCTACAGGCCCTTGCCGTCAGTGTATGTGGGTTTATCCTCTTTGTTCTTCTCCCAAATTGGATTGGACATATTGTATTAGCAACTGTTGGAGGATCCGGAAACTCCACTTTTATTTGTGGATACATGATGATGCTGTTAATACCCTTTGCTTACTTGGGAGTCCTCTTCACTCTCCGTCATAGCTCATTTCCAGCCATAGTCCGGTGGTTTTCGCTGGGATTTTTCTTCGTAACAGTGGAATTGCCAGTTTTCTTGTGGGTTTCATCAGTAGAAGCCTGCAAAAACCTTCATGTCATTAAAGAAGCTTTCGTCTTGACTTTAAAATTTGTTGTGCGTCCTTGGATAATTGGCTTTTGGCTCGGAATCTGCACCTCTGATTTGAGATTCAGATTTGAGATTCTTGGAACCATAATTTCCCAGATATTTGAGAATCGTTTAGTCTTCCTGTACCTGATTGCCCTAAAATGGTTGGCAGGATTCTGTTGCTTGATTGTTGCTGACTCTTTCAGGGAACTTATCCAGGAGGTAACAGTTTAAATTTTGCTTCATCCCAACGGAACCTTACTCTTTTATCAGACTTTTGCTCATTTTCAGCTTCTTATTTGACAGATCATTCATAAACGAGCCTTTTGGTATCTTCTAGATATCACAGATCCAGACTACAAGGTCACCAGATTGAATCTTGGTTACACTTTCTTTGCGTTTGCTACTCATGGGGTTTTGTTGGTGATTCTGGTTCACTTACCAGTTAAAGCAATTACACTTATCAGCCCTTCATTTTTCTCTCTTAATTTATGGTAAGCTTCCTGTGTTTGCTTCCCTCAAAACCTTCCCTTTATATGGCTTTTAATTTCTTGTATCTTGAACAAAGCAGGGCCTACCCATTTTATTTCCATCTATTTAGAGTCGGCCCCGATTGGTTAATAAAGCTGATCTCACCAGCAAGTGAGGTCCTAGTTCACAAATGGATTATCACTGTTAGTTCTTGGCTTCAGTTGAGTGATTTCTTGCTGGTAGTGCCCCAAGGAGACCGTGCTGATCAGAATATGAGACCAATTATGCGACCAAGAAGGCCGGATGATGATAATTCATGGTTTCTACTGTACTCCTTAGGTGAAGGCTCTATTGTCATTTTGCATGGATCTCAGAGTGCTGAAGACGATGTTAAGTGTAAAGACCAAAGAGATAACGGGTTGTTTCTGCTGAGGATTGCATTGATGTTGGTGCTAGCTGCTCTGAGTATGTTCCTCTTTGGTACAGCCTTCATGGCTTTGCCAATTTTGGCGGGGAGAGTATTCTTTGACTCTATCTCTTTCATCACGACAAGACTTGGAGTCGGACGTGACGGTGTGTTGTTCTTTTCTTCTTCATCTTGTTTCTTCTTCTTTCTTTACATGCTACTAACTAAGTCTTGCTTTGCAAATCTCGTGATTGTAGATCTTTGTGGTTTTTGGATTGGATGTTATATCCTGCAAGCAATCTATTTCAGCACTTGCTTTGTATTTGATCATATTCAAAAGGGAAGAACCGGTCTGCTTCTCAAATATGTCTTCATACGGATACGAAATGGATTGTTTTTCTCCATCTGGGTAAGAGAAACCTTTGCACTTCCCACCAAAAAACACTCTTGAAAACTATGGCTTTCTAACGTGCAAACTCCAATGAACAGATCTCTGTCGTACCGGGATTGCTTGGTGTACTCATCGACCTTATGATCATCATCCCATCACGAGTGCCGATAGACGAATCACCGGTCTACCTTTTGATCCAAGATTGGTTTATCGGACTAGTCGTGCTTCTTACCTGGACCTTTCTGGTAAGAGAATCATCATATGGAGATTTCATCATAAGACTTGAGTTTTTCTTGCAGAGCAACTAAGACAATATTTTGCATTTTCCTCCCTCTTTTTCTCATAGACAATGCTCACGCCTATCAACTGGTTCGCGACTGAGGCATGGCGAAGGAAGCTGGAGAGAATCAGAAACGTGGGAATCGATAGACTTCCTTCAATGTGGCTGCTTCGAGATGTGATTGGTTCCCTCATAACCACACTTCTAATCACACTCTCCATCCCTTACCTGTTCGTGAAGTCTCTGTTCCCGTTGCTTGGATTTTCCCAAAACATCAATTCAGCTGCAGAGCGGTTTATTTGGCCGGCGTTATTAGCATTGATCACGGTTTGGTTCATGGCCAAGCTAACACGTGATCTCATTATCTACCTTCACCAGTTGGTCTTCAATGAACGGTACTTGGTGGGTGAAAGAGTTGACAATTTGACTGAAGAATAGGCGATGTGACCAATAGGGACTTTTGTTGATAGACATGTAATTACCGATGGTTAGGTTTCTTACTTTTGACGAGATTTATCGATTAGTGGATCTTGGAGACGTATCTTTTGCACTGTTGTGTATAAAATACGATGGAGAAGAGCTTTCAAGCCTTCAATTTCGTTTAGTTTCAAACAATGCGAACCAGTCCGGTTCAACATTTTAGTTTAACTCGGTTTAATATTGTTTAATTTCAGATGCGAACCAGAAAGTTTAACAAACGCAAATATGTAGACTACAGTGTGTCGATGTATCTTTTTCGTGTAGCTTCAGCGGATGCGCGTATTAATGACGCCACACTTCTGTTGGATTTAAGTAAAATCATTTAATCAATTATCCTATTGATGACCCTTAAAGTTGCCAGAAATTACCAACCATACCATTCTTCTCACAGTTCCAGTGGATTCAAAAACTAGAAAATAAAATGGGCGATTCAAAGCAGAGGCCAAAGAGAGAATATTAAATCCATCTGCTCTTCGTTGATTCCTATTTCCCTTTTCCGATTGACGGAGATTTATCCTTCTTTCATCTCGCCGGATTCTTCCCCAAGCACTAGTTGAAGAATCTCTGAAACAAGCGAAAAAGACGAAATGCCGTTTTGGTGGCCGCTGATCGTTCTCGCCTTTGATCACGCGATCTGCAGATTCCTCCCGATGTTCCTTCCATCGATGTAGACGCATCCGATGGTATATGTTCTTCTAGTTTCGTTTATGGAACTGAACAGTCCGTAGAAAAGGCTTATTGATGTTTGATTTACTGAAATGTGGAATGGATTTCTTAACAGTGTTGGCTCATGGGACAGATACGGAGGAGTTTAGCTGTGAGTTCTTCGTTCGCATCATTTCTCATTTTTTATCTCTGTTTGTTAAATTTTTTGAGTGATAAGAGACTTATAATTTCATCTCACTATTAAGAAATTAACTCTGATTTCCATATTTGTCAGTCCAAGTGGTTGACTCACTATAGTTTATACTATTATGAGGCTAGCTAATTGTAATGTTGGATATGTTGTTGTTCTTGTGGAATTGGCACGCTGAATCGTAATTTCTCTGCGGCATGATTTTTAGATTCCTCCGAGAGGGAGGAGCCAACAGTCGGACAAAAAGGTTCAATGCTATGAACCTGCCACCATGAAATATCTCGGATATTTCCCTGCTCTGTCTCCCTCTGAGGTTAGTAGCTCATGTCCATTTTTGTGAAGGGAATATGTTTGTATAATTTTACAGAATGTTGCTATTTTACTCTCCGGTTTCTCTCAAGGTGATCAGTAGAAATTGTTTTTGGTCATAACTTAACTTTGAGTTACATTCATATACCAGATGAGGAAAACAAAATAGGACTAATGTTCTTTGTACAAACTGCATTTTTGTGACGAAATATTGCAAAAGAAAATAAAAACATCTGAATCCATTATCCATTATAAAAAAAGGATGAAGAAAAAAAGAATCCATTATGAATGAAGTTTGTGGATTTGAAGTTATACAGTATATTCCGAGGTTATGTAACACCGTTAAACATAAATCGGATATTTAAGAGGATAAAGTGTTCAAACAATTAGTCGCGAAAAAGCTCAGTCTTTTTTTTTTTCACTTTCTTAAAAATGTATTTTCTTGTTAAAAACTTGACTCTACCGTAGTATTAGGAAGCAACGTAATTTGTCACTATGTAGTCTGTACTGTGTAGAGTGTAGCTGTCAAAAAGCAACAACAAACCTCTTTTTATTTGTTTTTTTATATTTTCTTGTTTAAGCTTTGCAACCATTTTGCATTTGCCGCTTCAGGGAGTGCAGAAGAAACCAGAGAGAGAGAGAGAGAGAGAGAAAAGGAGGTTTGCTTTTCCGAGAATGGACGTTTCGCCGGCGATGATAGAAGTCGGTGACCAAAGTCTTCCGGCAGAAGACGTGGACAAAGACGACGACGAAGACGTGTGCCGGATTTGCCGATCACCGGAGGAACCAGGAAACCCGTTAAGGCATCCGTGTGCGTGTCGAGGATCCATCAAGTATGTACACCAGGATTGTCTTCGTCTTTGGCTGAATCGTCGCGGGTACAAGAAATGCGAGGTTATTGTTACTTACATTGCCTTTTTTATTAAGGATTTTGGGGGTTTTTGGCATGGCTAGTTTTAGGGTTTCAGTGTTAATGGTTTTCCGATTTCCCCCACTGGTTCTCGGAAGAATCTCCGGTGCGAGGTTTTGACTTGGGTGATTTAAGGGTTGAAGTTATGGGTTTTGAAATTTTGATTCTCTTCTCTATTTCCGTGGATTCCGATTGGAAAAATCCGGCAGATTCTACGTTACATATTTTCTTAATTCCGTGTGTTTCCACTGCAGGTATGTGGGCGTAGCTACTCGTTTGTTCCAGTTTACTCGGAGAATGCTCCGGAGAGGCTTCCATGGAACGAGTTTCTAATCGAAGTGTTACTGAGAGCAGCACGTTACATGAAGCTGATGTTTCCTTGGATTGTGGTGATTCTCTTCAACTCATACTGCATTTCCTTACATCCTTGGGGCCAAGAAGTTGCCGCTGAGTATCAGAGAGGTTCTTGGATTACTCGGACGTTTGCTTCTCTGTGGGCTGGCCTGATTTACAGCAGTATGATCGTGTTTATCATGGCCGTCATCACTGTTATAAGGATGGAATTCGGAGATCTCAATATTCGGAGGAATGTTATTGGGAATGGTCTAGAACAAGGAGTTATTGGTGGTGTCTTATGGAAGTACATGAAGATCCTCTGTGATTGGTATTTTCACAAATTCATTCGTTTCTTGGGGCCACCTAATCCACCAGTACTTGTCCCTCCAAACGCGCCACTTGATGAATTTGGGGTTATCAGGAGGCTTCTTTTCTTTCTTGATGACGATGTCTTTGCTGTAAGTCCCCAAACTTTCTGTTTGTTCATCAGTTCTCGTCCTTTAGTACCATAATGGTGAATGTTGAGTTACAACTTGTGTTTGTTCTCTATAGGCCCTTGCCGTCAGTGTATTTGCGGTTATCTTCTTGGCTCTTCTCCCATTTTGTATCGGATGGATTGTATTAGCGAGTGTTGGGGGCAGCTACTTATCCGGAAACTCCATTGTTACTTGCGGATACATGATGATGCTGTCAATACCCATTGCTTACTTTGGAATCCTCTTCACTCTCCGCCATAACTTATTTCCAGCCATAGTCCGGTGGTTTTCGCTGGGATTTCACTTCTTCACAGTGGAATTGTCAGTTTTCTTGTGGGTTTCGTCAGTCAAAGCCTGCAAAAACCTTCATGTCGTTAAAGATGCTTTCGTCTTGACTTTCAAGATTGGTGTTGTCCCTTGGATAATTGGCTGTTGGCTCGAAATCTACACCTCCCCTATGTTTAGAACCACAACTCTTCAGAGATTTGAGATTCTCTCACACTACCAAAGCCTGAATCCCCTATCTTTGCTGGCAGGATTCTGTTTCTTGAGCCTTGTTGACTCTTACAGAGAACTTATCCAGGAGGTAACAGTATAATTTCTTTTTGGTTTTTTAATCCCAACGAACGTTACTGTTTCATCTGATTTTTTCCTTATTTTCTTCCTCTTTTTTCTTTGACAGATCATTCATAAACGAGCCTTTTGGTATCTTCTAGATGTTAGAGATCCAGACTACAATGTCACCAAACTGAATCTTGGTCACACTTTGTTTGCGTTTGCTACTCATGGGGTCTTGTTGGTGATTCTTGTCCACTTACCAATTAAAGCAATTACACTTATCAGCCCATCCTTTTTCCCTCTTCAGTTATGGTGAGCTTCCTTCGTTTCTAGTTACTTCCCTCAGAACCTTGCCTTATATCGCTTCTAATTTCTTTTATCTTGAACAAAGCAGGGTCACCGACGAAAAGAAGTTTTGGGGTGCATACGCCATTTACTTCAAGCTAATGACATCCGGCAAATGGTTAATCAAACTTACCATACCAGCAATGAAGCTCATGACTCACAAGTGGATTATCACTGTTAGTTCTTGGCTTCAGTTGAATGATTACTTGCTGGTAGTGCCCCGAGGAGACCGTGCTGATCAGAATATGAGACCAATTGTGCAACGAAGAAGGCCGTATGGTGATAATAAATGGTTTAGATTGTACTCCTTAGCTGAAGGCTCTATGATAATTTCGCATGGATATGAGAGTGCTGAAGACGATATTGAGTCTGAAGACCAAAGAGATTACAGTTTTTTTCTGCTGAGGATTGCATTGATGTTGGTGCTTGCTGTTTTTAGTATGTTTCTCTTTGCTACAACCTTCATGGCGTTGCCAATCTTTGCGGGGAGAATATTCGTTTACTGTACCCCTTTCATCATGACACTATATGGAGTCAAACCTGACGGTGTGTTCTAGTTTCTTATAGACCTTTTATCTTCTTCTTCTTTACATGCTTCTAATTAAATCTCGTGATTGCAGATCTTTGTGCTTTTTGGATGGGATGTTATATCCTGAAAGCAATCTATTTCAGCACCTGCTTTGCATTTGATCAAATTCAGAAGGGAAGAACCGGTTTGCTTCTCAAAGATGTCTTCATGCGGATACGAAAGGGATTGTTTTTCTCCATCTGGGTAAGAAAAACTTTGCATTTTCAAATTTTCACCAAAAAAAACTCTTAAAAACTATGACTTGTAACTTGGAAACTTTCCAATGAACAGATCTCTGTCATACCGGGACTGCTCGGTCTACTCATCGACCTTATGATCATCATCCCATTACGAGTGCCGCTAGATAAATCACCCGTCTATTTCTTGGCCCAAGATTGGTGGATCGGATTTTATGTGCTTCACATATGGACCTTTCTGGTAAGATAATTCATCAGATGGAGAGATTTCAACAAAGACTTGAGTTTTTCTTGCAGAGCAACTAAGAATATTTTTGCCTTTTCTTCTTTTCTTGTAGACAATGCTCACGCCTATTAACTTGTTCGCGACGGAGGCATGGCGAAGGAAGCTGGAGAGAATCAGAAACGTGGGAATCGATAGACTTCCTTCAATGTGGCTGCTTCGAGATGTGATTGGTTCCCTCATAACCACACTTGCAACCACACTCTCCATCCCTTACCTGTTCGTGAAGTATCTGTTCCCGTTGCTTGGATTTTCCCAAAGCATCAACTCAGCTGCAGAACGGTTTATCTGGCCGGTGTTATTAGCTTTGATCACGGTGTGGTTTGTGGCCAAGCTAATACGTGATCTCATTATCTACCTTCACCGGTTGGTCTTCAATGAACGTTACTTGGTGGGTGAAAGAGTCGACAATTTGACTGAAGAATAGGTGATGTGACCAATAAAGAATTTTTTGTTGATAGACAAGTAAATACCAATGCTTAGGTTTCTTACTTTTGACGAGATTTTATCGATTAGTGGAATCTTGGAGACGTATCTTTTGCACTGTTGTGTATAAAATACGATGGAGAAGAGCTTTCAAGCCTTCAATTTCGTTTAGTTTTCAAACAATGCGAACCAGTCGGCTCAACATTTTAGTTTAACTCGGTTTAATACTGTTTAATTTAAGATGCGAACCAGTCGGTTCAACATTTTAGTTTAACTTGGTTTAATATGTAGACTACAGTGTGTTCATGTTCTTGGCGTGTAGCTTCAGCGGATGCTCGTATTAACGACGCCACACTTCTGTTGGATTTAAATAAAAATCATTTAATCAGTAATCCTATTGGATTACCCTTAAAGTTGCCAAAAATTACGAACCGTACCATTCTTCTCACGGTTCCAGTGGACTCAGAAACTAGAAAACAACAAAAGGCGATTCAAAGCAGGAGGCCAGAGAATATTAAATCCATCTGCTCTTCGTTGATTACTATTCCCCTTTTCCGATTGACGGAGACGCGGAGATTTATCCTTCTTTCGCGTTTACCTCTCGCCGGATTCTCCAAGCGCTAGTTGAAGAATCTCTGAAACAAGTGAAAAAGTCGAAATGCCGTTTTGGTGGCCGCTGATCGTTCTCGCCTTCGCTTACGCGATCTGCAAATTCCTTCTGATGCTCATTCCTCCCAATGTTCCTTCCATCGACGTAGACGCATCCGATGGTATCTTCTCCTCTATGTCTCTACCATCTCCTAGACTCCTAGTTTCGTCTATGGAAATGAATAGTCCGTAGAAAAGGCTTGTCGATGTTTAATTTATTGAAATGTGGACTGGATTTCCTAACAGTGTTGGCTCATGGGAAAGATACGGAGGAGAATAGCTTCATTTATGTGAGTTCTTCGTTCGCATCATTTCTCATTTTTGGTTAAATTTTTTGAGTGATAAGAGACTTATAATTTCATCTCACTTCTAATAAATTAACTATGATTTCCATATTTGTCAGTCCAAGTGGTGGTTAATTCACTGTAGTTGATACTGTTATTATAGCTAATTGTAATGTTGGATCTGTTGTTCTTGTGGAATTGGCACTCTGAATCGTAATTTCTCTGTGACATGATATTTAGATTCCTCCGAGAGGAAGGAGCCAACAGTCAGACAAAAAAGTTCAGTGCTACGAACCTGCCACGATGAAATATCTCGGATATTTTCCTGCTCTGTCTCCCTCTGAGGTTAGTAGCGTCTGTTCTGGCCATTTTGTGAAGGGAACATGTTTGTATGATTTTAGAGAATGTTGCTACTTTACACTTTTGTGTTTCAGGTTAAGGAGCGAGTAACACTATCAAGGAAGGCTCAAAAAACATGGGCTCAAAGTAGCTTCAAGCTGAGAAGGCAGTTCTTGCGGATTCTTCTCAAGTACATTATTGAACACCAAGAACTTATATGCGAGTACGTATTCATTTCTGTGTTACTGAGTGGTTTTGGGATACATGCTTTTTCTTAACGTCTGTACCTTTTATTTCCGATTGATGCTAAGATAATTTCGTCTTGATTTAGAGTCTCGTCACGTGATACCGGAAAGACTATGGTCGATGCGTCCTTGGGAGAAATAATGACTACTTGTGAGAAAATCACGTGGCTTCTTTCGGAGGGTGAACGATGGTTAAAGCCTGAACATCGGTATTTCCACTACGTATTATTTAAACATCATTTTTAATTACCGTTCTCTTTTGATTCATGCATAGATATGATTTTCAGTTAAACTCTCTAAATTACCCGCAGGTCTTCAGGAAGAGCTATGCTTCATAAAGTATCAAGAGTAGAGTACCATCCCCTTGGTGTCATTGGAGCTATAGTCCCATGGAATTATCCGTTCCACAATATTTTCAATCCTATGCTGGCTGCAGTCTTTTCAGGAAATGGCATTGTTATTAAGGTACTACTGCAATGTCTTTTTATTATAACTTTTTGTATGATGTCGACATCCTGAGTAGTGCAACCAGTGAGAGGAAGTGGATTAGTGTTCTTCAATGTATATTTCTTTTTGAATCTTGTATATGTTTCTGATAGTTGAAGAACCTCTCCTGCAGGTTTCAGAACACGCTAGCTGGTCAGGATGCTTCTACTTCCGAATCATCCAGGCAGCTTTAGCTGCTGTTGGAGCACCTGAAAATCTTGTCGATGTGATAACAGGGTCTGTGTATTTTCCTTTATGCAATTCTCCGTAGCATGCTGATTTATATTTAACTTCCTAATAAGAACATATTCTCTTCAGGTTTGGGGAGACCGGAGAAGCACTTGTGTCATCTGTTGATAAAATGATATTTGTTGGATCTACTGCTGTTGGCAAGATGGTACAGTCTTCTTACTTACTTCTTCATTCTTATCCTTTCACTATGAGTTTTACTCATCCAATATGTTGCAGATAATGAGAAATGCAGCCGAGACATTGACACCTGTCACTCTCGAGCTTGGTGGAAAAGATGCATTTATCGTATGTGAAGATGCAGATATCTCCCATGTAAGTGTTCTTTCTGTATCAAGGTACTTTCTTGTGTGTCTTATCGCTTATTACTGGAAAAGGAGGTTGTTAATTCGATAAAACTAACAGTTCTATTACAATGCAGGTTGCACAAGTGGCTGTAAGGGGCACTCTTCAGTCAAGCGGGCAAAACTGTGCTGGTGCTGAAAGGTTCTATGTTCACAAAGACATTTATTCTGCATTCGTTACCCAAGTAACCAAGATTGTGAAGTCCGTTTCTGCTGTAAGTATACTGTTCTCTGTTAACTAACAACAAAAAGAGATAACAATCCGCGTGGCATTTGTTTTTATCCTGAATACAAATATGAATATTTTCTCCTGTTTTCTTATTAAAACCATTACTTTTACATTAGGGTCCTCCTCTAAGTGGGAGGTATGACATGGGTGCTATATGTTTGCAAGAGCACTCTGAAAACCTACAGAGCCTTGTAAATGACGCCTTAGACAAAGGAGCAGAAATTGCAGTCCGTGGAAGCTTTGGTCATCTTGGTGAAGATGCAGTCGATCAATATTTCCCTCCAACCGTTCTTATCAATGTAAACCACAGCATGCTCATAATGAAAGAAGAGGTACCTAACCTGACCTTTACCTTCATCGGGTCGGAGTTCAAAGAGTTCTTGCTTCTTTGTTCTTAAGATATTTTTGTTAATGTGGTGAAAAATCAGGCCTTTGGACCAATAATGCCGATCATGCAATTCAGCACCGATGAAGAGGCCATAAAGCTGGCGAATGATTCACGTTATGCGCTCGGGTGTGCTGTTTTCTCAGGAAGCAAGCATCGTGCCAAACAAATCGCTTCCCAAATTCAGTGTGGCGTTGCTGCAATCAATGACTTTGCATCAAACTATATGTGCCAGGTACTCATCACTGGCTATATAGTCTACGACTTTACCTTTGTAAAAGTAAAACTTTAAAAGTAAGAGTTTTTGTCTTTTGATATTGCAGTCGCTTCCCTTTGGAGGTGTAAAGGATAGTGGGTTTGGACGGTTTGCCGGAATAGAAGGTTTAAGAGCTTGCTGTCTTGTGAAATCCGTGGTTGAGGATAGATTTTGGCCACTCATCAAAACCAAGATTCCAAAACCTATTCAGGTAAGCTATTCTTAAAACAAAATCAAAATGTGATTAATCATCTTAATCTGCATTGACATTTTCTCTGTGATGGTCATATCACAGTACCCGGTAGCAGAAAACGCATTTGAATTCCAGGAGGCACTAGTCGAAACCCTTTACGGACTCAACATTTGGGACAGGCTAAGATCCTTAATCGATGTCCTCAAGTTCCTGACCGATCAGAGCTCTCACGTGAGCAGAAGTCGAAAGAGCCACTAAAGACCGATGTGGTGTGAATAAACTTCATGCGTTGCCTGAGTTGCTAATATTGCAAGCTAACAACTTTGGTTACTAAGTGAGCCTTTTGGGTTTAGAGATAAAAGCCCAAAGAGACTCGTTTTTACTCGGAAGGGGCAAATTTGTGAGATATTTGAAATCTACGTTTGCGTTGTCTTATTAGTAGAAAAATGCCAGTTGGTATTTGTTTGGTTTTGTTTTGGATTATGTTTTCAAGCAAATGTATTCTTAGTTTTAGGGATGGCAAACTGACAATTAGGGTCTGAAATTCGGAGATGCATCTTAGGACCGTACGCCCAAAACAACAAAAAAATATTTGTGGGCTAAACCGTCTGCGGTATCCAACCGTTTAAACCCACAACTTTACTTTTAATTGTTATATTTCAAATTATATATTTATAAATTTTTTAGTTGAGATAAATAAAAATAAAAAGTTTTCAAATTATATATTTATAGAAAGTTTTCAGAGTGGTGCAAGTAGCTTGTCATCGTGGTTGTGTATATTCTAGTGGAACAGTAAAATTTATAGAAAGTTTTCGGCATGGTGCAAATAGCTGTTCATCGTGGTTGTATATCCTAATGGAGCAGTGAGATTTATAGAAAATTATTGGCGTGGTGTAAGTAGATGTTCATCGTGACTGTATATCATATCTTGAGATTTATAGAAAATTATCGGTGGGGTGTAAGTAGATGTTCATCGTGACTGTATATCTTATCCTAGTGAAGCGGTCAGTTTATAGGAAGTTTTCGGCGTGTATATCCTAGTGAAACGGTGAGATTTATAGGAACTTTTCGGCGTGACGTAAATAGGACCGTGATTGTATATCTTAGTAAAATGGTAAGATTTGTTCGGATGTAGAATTGTCCTATGTAATTTAGCCAACAAAAACAAAAAATATATACATTTATAGATGTTTATGGATTTACTTCTATTCATAAACAAATTTATATTTTTGTGGATGCTAAATATGATGAATGATATGGATTAGATTAAATCATACATAAATTTTGTTTTTTTTCCAAAGTATTTGCAATATTGAAAATGGAATTATATGTAGAAGTTTCCTTTTTATATTAGCTTTATTACCTGTAATGGGGTGTTCAAAAAACTATTTTGGTAAAAAAGGTATTTTCTGTCAACTTGTTAAATTTCTTTCTAGGTGATTCAAACTACCATTTAATAAGATGTCCACTAGTAAAATAACACTAATTATAGTTAAATATCTATTGATATTAATTGAATACATAGAAACTATCAATGCTCTAAAAGGGTAATTCAAGATTTTCACCAATAAACTTACTAATTAAGTATTCATGCAAAAAAGACTTACTAAAACTACTCTTGAAATATGATGACGAGGTTCCAATGAAAACCTACACACGTTCATTTCTATAAATACAATGAAAAATCACTAAAAATAAATAAAAAATAAAAAATAAATCTTCCCCTTATTTATACACAAACACAGATTACACTCAGCACAGACAAAACAAAAACCAAAAAAAAAGAAAGAAAAAAATGGGTAGGAGAAAAATTAAGATGGAGAAAGTGCAAGACACAAACACAAAGCAAGTAACTTTCTCGAAACGTCGATTGGGTTTGTTCAAGAAGGCGAGCGAGCTCGCGACTCTGTGCAACGCCGAGGTCGGTATCGTCGTCTTCTCCCCGGGAAACAAACCCTACTCCTTCGGGAAACCCAGTTTCGATTTGATTGCCGAACGTTTTAACGAATCCGACGATTCCGACGGCGGGGGCGAGAAACCGCCACGTACCAGAGGTAACGGAACCAGGCAAGAGAATAAGATTCGCAAACGTCTCAACTCGGTCATCGAAGAAACCGAAGCCGTGAAGAAGAGAGGCGAGAAGTTTCAGAGTCAGCTCGAATCTGCCGGAGAAGAGAGGTTTAACGTGCCGATTGAAGAGCTTACCCTTGAGGAGCTCAAGGAATTCGAAGCTGAGATGAAGAAAGTGCATGGTAGGATCCAAGGTACCATTTTTCGGATGACAGCTTCGGCTTCTCTCCTGTTTCTCTCTACTGGTCGGAAAGAGGATCAAAAGAGCTAGATCAATTTTATTTAATTGGAACTTTCATTTTCGTATTGTTGATCTAGAAAAGTCATTTTATTTTAGTTATACATGGTAGAAATGTAATAAATGGTTGGTGCAAGTCACCGATTTGTATGGATCTATTGGTTGTAACTTTTGGTTTGTTGCAGACAATATGATTATGAAACTATTTTCGATTCGAAAACAACCATTATGTTTCATGTCACTATACGAATTTTTCTGAGTATGAATTGGTGTATTTACCCATCCAGAAAACCAAAATAATGTCGGAAAGTAGAAACACATAGTAAACAAAGATGCTATTTCCTAGAGAAAGATCAAATAAAATTACAAAACCAACAAGAAATTTATCAGTAAAACAGAAAGAAAAAAAAATCCTGAGTATGAAGCAAGATTTTGGCGTGAGCCTCATTTACAGAGGAAGCAAGGAAGAGATAATCTCATTTCATATCTTTTGTTTCAGTGTAATGCTAATGATCCCTATCGGCGATTTTGGTTGGTAATGCTCGTCTGTATCAACTTCCTCAATCTCCTGTATTATTAATATGATTTAACTGTTATCACATGAAACAAACCATAAAAGCTGTAAAAGAGTGTGTGTGTTGTTGGAGCAAACCTGTACAACGTCTTCTCCCTTAAGGACTCTTCCAAACACTAGAAGCTGATCATTAAGATCCGGGATTGGTGCCGTTGTGATGAGAAGATCAAAGTCCTTGTTGCTCCCTTTGGTTTTTGGTGTCCCCAACATAAACGCCTCATGTTTTGGGCTGAATAGCAATAACAGAACAAACACATGTAAGGTTTTGATCTCAGACCCCACCAAAGAGAGAGAGAGATGATGAACATTTACAGTTGAAAACCAAAAGCAGAGAAAGCAAGTTAACCTAGTGTGAAGGCGACCACGGAGCTTTCCTTTAGCAGTCCATTCTTCTACAGGTATAGAGCTTTGTGAGTGACCTGCTTGTACCAAGTAGTTCTTTATAACCCTGTGAAACTCCATTCCCTTGAAGTGATCTTTTTGACTGCAACAATACTCAATTTTATTACTTCTACCACTGGCCTAATCAAATTTTCTATACTTTTTTCTTCTTTTATCTAGCTGAAAAGAGAAGAAAGGGATTTAGATGCTAACCAAAGATCAAGAAACTTGTCCACAGCTTCAGGGGAAGCTTCTTTAAAGAGTTCCACAGTGATAAGGCCTTTCGATGTGTTTATATCCTACATGAGATAAAAAGAGGACACAAGCAAGACATCACTGAAACTGTTTATCTAGAGATAAGGCAAGTCACATAAACACAATACCATGATGATCGTAAAAAGGGAGATTAACATACAGCATAGCCAGGAAGATCGTAACTCTTGTGCTCCGATGCAGCATTCGTGTCCTGAAACACAAGACAGAGCCATATCACGTATGTGCCAAGAAGTTTCATCAGGATCGAAGCAAACAAGATATGCATCCAAGGAGTCTCTCAAACCAGTACCTGGAATCTCTGACTCTGAGTTTCATGTTCAATTGTGTTTCTTGACCTGGGAGATAACCAAGACTCTATTAAGTTTATATACAGAAGATTTCTAGCTATAAGAAAACAGTGAATTCAAAGATGGAATCAAACCTCTGGGACCAATGACGATAAGTTGTGACCAAGGATAGTATAACAACAGCAACCACAAGATTACACACGATAATCGTGGAGATGCTTATGCGACTTGGACCCTTCTTCTTCTTGCTTTGATTTAGAAGAGCCTGAGGTTTTATCCTCGCCATTGCACAGCAAACGACTGATTATGCAAACAACCTCTCTCTACAAAACCATAAATAAATCAACGGTAAGTGGAAACCAATCCAGAAAACTAACTACCAACTTACTATACACAACAAGTCCAAATTCGATATCAAAACTGCATAGGATTAGGCTAGTTTCTAACTCAAGAGACCCTAATACTACGTATTGACCCGATTCGGAATCTAATCGGAAAATTTTCCCATAGCTTCACCAGTAACTTCCGATAGACCAGATCCAGAAATTTTCGAATTCTCGATCAAATTGACATATAGATACAAATTTCGAGTACCAATCAGATAACAAAACGGATCTTCTAAACAAATCCCAAGACTTGAAAGTAGAATCAGAAAAAAATCGAAAAGACGCACCTGAAAGTTGGTAAGAAGAGCTTGTTCCTGTCGTAAAAGGAGAGATTTGTCGTGAGAGGAGAGATTGGTCGTTTCGTCGATGGAAACTGGTTTGAATTCTCTCTGTCGCTTTTTCTTTTTTGCCTCAGATCAGCCGCGTGTTATCCGACGGCTACCGTTCCACCTCACCACAATTTTGACGAAAATTATTTCATTTTTCTTCTTCCGACGTACATTTTAATTTCTTTCTTTTAAAAAAAAAAACACATTAATTTAAAATAGGAATAGTCCGTTGGTCGGGCCGGTCCGATCACATTTTGGAAGTCGGTTCGGTCTGGTTTGTGATTCCGTTGCTGTTCAACGATTTCACCGGAGCGATGATCGTCGCTCACCGGATACGAGGGTGCACACGACACAGATGAAATTGTGACACAAGATATAAAATCACTAGGGAGCGTTAGATTAATAACCATTAGAATCAATTTATAATAACCACTAGGGAGTATGTGTTATCTTTTTAATTCAATTTATATAATATTTATTTTTGGTAATAATGTTAAGAAGTTTATGTAATACTAGATTAGGCCCCGCGTATACGCGGGTTTATTTTAATTTCCTTTTATAAAAATCATGAAAGAATATTAAACAAAATTTGATCACTTTTAAAAATAAGTAAAATAATATTAAAAACCCGATAATAAATCTCTAAATAAACTAAGATATGTAATATTTTTACATTTTAATTTTGAATTCATGATATGAAATAGAAAAGCTTACATGTGTCTAAATCTAATGGACTCGTTAATTTATGAAACTTTGATTATTCCATTGCTGAAACCTTTATTCTAAATATTGATGAATTTTTTTAATATTGTTTTATCTAACAAAAAAATGGAAAATTTAACTATTTAATATTAGAAGATTGGTCCATTATAAAACTTTCTTTTTAATATTATTTAGTTCCTTGATAATTATTTTATTAGTTTTCTATTTATATTGTTTCTTTTTCAATTTTGTGTTTGCCTCTTACCATTATAAATTTTCATTTTCATTATTAATTAGTTGTTTTAAATTATTTTGTTAGTTTATTTATTTATGTTACTACATTTTTCCAATTTTATTGTGTTGACATATGTAATCACCAGATCAAATATTAGACACATGTAGCGATCTAAAGTTAATTATTCTTCATTGATATCTTGAACTTTTAAAACATGATTTTTTATTTCTTAATGAGAAAGAAACTTAAAAAAATATAGCTTGTTATATTTTCCTTTTCGTATTTGGAATATGTTTTTTTATTCCTTATCTTATTGGATGTAACAATTTTTTAATTATTTCTTCATAATTTTCTGATTTTTCGTTTTTTTTTCCTTTTCGTAATAGGATTATGTTTCTTCTTTACTTTTCCTAATGGATGTAATAATTTTTTCTTTTTAATTGTTTATTTCTTTTTTTTTCTGATTTTTCCTAATGTACAAATAGGATTTTATTTATTACATTATTTTGAATTTTAATATGTGTTTGGACAATATAAATTTGATGAATGAGAAAACTTTTTCTATTATGATATGAAAAATATGATTTTTCTTCTTTTTACTCTAATAGATTTTTTTTTAAATTTTCCTTTTTCTAACATTTTTTAATTATTTGTTTTTTTTTCCCAAGACACGTGTCATGATCTTAACAGACGTAACATTAAAAAGTGACATATGTCGCGATCCTATAAATTATAAAAATCCTACATGTCGCAACCATCTAGCTTTATATAATAAGATATGTGTTTGGATAATATAAATTTGATAAATGGGAAAACCTTTTTCTGTTAGGATATGACAAATATTAATTTTACTTTTTTTAATATAATAGATTAAATTTCGTTTTTTTTAATTATCCTTTTCTAGTATTTTTAAAAATATTTTTTCCCCTAATACATGTGTCACGATCTTAACGGACATAATCTTAAAAGTGACACATGTCACGATCCTATATTTTATAAAAATCCTACGTGTCGCAACCACGTCGCGCGCATCCAACTTTATATAATAAGATATTTGCATATTCTAACATCTTATTTTTTAAATAAACAAAATAAGACATACTATTTTTTTTATATAACTGTTAAATTTTGAAGCAATAGTATGAGGCTCTTATTCCTAAGTATGTGATTTTTAAAAAAGAAATTATATACTATCAAAACAGGATAAAATTGTCATATTTATTATATTTTACTTATGGTTCACAATATAATACTTAATTTTGTAAATTATATTTTTGACAATTATAAGTCTCATTTCCGATTTATTCAATGTTTATAATCTGTATTTATAATATAAGAAAAACCAAATACCTTATTCTATTACAATTTTCATACAAATAACTAACAAAGATCAGGTGAATATCCCTTATTCTATCGGCGTGATGATATGATCATCAGCGAAACTCTTTGAATCTGTATGCCGGCAACTTTAGGCAAGCCCGGGAGATTGAAGGTGTGGTGGCAATTCGTGATAGGATTGCTAGAAGACTCTGAGATCACCTTCAAAGTCGTCAAATGACCCATTTCAACCTGATTTCTCTCTATCCGGATGACTACCGAGGAACTATACCAAAACAAGTGGTTGACAAGCACATTATTGGCGTGATGCTATGATCATCAGCGAAACTCAGTTCCATACATTTATGGATTTATGACCTACATTTTTTTTATTCAAATTTTCCTTTCATTTTTAGTACTTAATTTTTCTTAAATATTACTAAAAATACCTAATTTTGAAAATGAACTACACATTCTATCTGAGCGAGCTTGGTTAATGTATGGTTTGGTCTCAGTGCATTTGAGGTACATTTGAATGATATCGTATTAGTTCATATAGCGTCCCTTGATTCTGTATGCTATTTAGGATACACTCAATGATGAATGATGGGCCTTGCATGTCGCATGTGTACAGCATGATAGATTCATTATTTTCATATGATTCATTACGGTAAGAAATCGATTTTCCTTACAGTAATTATCGATTTGAGCATTACATATATCATATATGTTACCTCTTTTTTATGTACTAGGCAATTACATCAAATAATAAAAATACTGAGAAATCTTTTAAGAAAAATAATATTTTATAATCTAAGAATCATAATTTGTTTCAAACTATGATTAGGTTCAAATAAAAACAACGCAAGAATGAGTGATTGTCTCCTTGTAAACATAAAAGCATTGGTTATAGTCAAAAGCATTGGTTATAGTCAAATCTTCTAGCTAAATAAATTAGGCCTCAAAACAAAAGAACAAGCAAAATCTCTTGAAAACAAGGCCAGAGTCAATTGTTTGGTTTTGTGACTTTTTTGCTGTCATATTTTCTACTTAAATCGATTGTATTAACCTGAAACAGCCACCCAATGTGATCATTTCTAACTTGCACACCATCGCCTCTTCCTAACCGGTCTCTGTTGATTGGTGGTCTCACAGGTTTTCGCTGTCGACTCGGTTTGAGATTCGAATGTCCCTACTACCACCGTCCCCGCGAATTCGGTTTCCTTGAACCTCTTTCTCCGTTTCTCCATCTTCTTCATACTCTCTTGTATCCGTTCTTCATCTATTACAATGCCTTTCACATCCATAGCTTCTTCTCCTTCTATGATCTCGCCTTCCTCTTTATCATTCAAATCTTGATTTTGCACAGCTTTACCATTGCTTCTGCATATTCCCTTTATTGGTTTCTGATGGTCTTGTTGTTTTCTTGCATCTTTATCACCGGAGAATCTCCGTTTCGATTTGTTTGACACCTGAAACACCACACAAAAAAGGATCACATGAGAAAGGTCATTTTCTTCATTTTACACACACTAATGTTTAATCATACAGAGCATAACCACAATAAAAATCAAGTATGGAAGGCAGATTAGAGAAAGTGTAAGCGATTTCCAAAGGATGTTGTAGTATAATCAATGCACAGAAGACTCAAGCCCCATAAAACAGTCAGAAAAGTAAAAAAAAAAAAGGCAGGCATGTGAGTGGAATTATAGCAAACAGTGAATTTTTACCTTCCCTTGCCTACCAGTGAAGCCAACCGGATTGTGATGTCTTTCATCTACTTCCTGAATATGGCTCTTAGGATACCTAGAGCTTTGTTTGGTAGATATTCGTTCATGTGCTGACATTCTTACGCCGTGGCGTAACCTCTCATCAGTATATGATGGATGCTCAGAATGAGTAACTTCTCTCATTGAACATTGAATGTCATCTGCCAACTGATATCTCCTTCTATCTTGACGAACCAAATCATCGCCATACGTTAGTCTATCTTGTATGCTCACATGATCGCCATGAACAAGATTCCGCGTCCAGCCATTTCTTGGTGCGTCCTTATACAACTGATGATTATTCTGGCTGTCATATGCTTCTGTTGCTGCGAAGTCTCTGGTATCATCTCTCCACGAACCACCTTTTGATGAATACCAAGAATCTCTCAGTGATAAAGACGAAGAGGGCCAAGCATCTTGGGTTCTGTAACCATCTTTCTCTGAGACAAATCTATCAAGATGCCAATCAGGTGAGTGATGGTGTCTTTTATCTGTATCATACCCTTGAAATTCTCTCCTTCCCACATCAGAAATAGAATGCATCTCCCTGTAAGACAGCTCAACTCCATCTTCATATCTATTGCGATGAACATTATAATCATAGTCATTCCTTCTTCTACAATGTAGATCATTCTCTGGCTGGAATCTATAGTCCATGTCAGTTATTGGAATACGCTCCCGATAATAAGGTTCCCTTAGCCAATCACATCGAGTTCTTTCTAGGCCAGGACTTCTTTCACGACCGTATTTTCTTTCACAATGTTGCCTACCATATCTGCCTTCCTCTTCTTTAAAACGTAATCGAGAATTTCTCTGTTCAAGATTAAAAGATGGGCGTGCCTCATACTTGTAACCATTATAATGATCAAAGCCCCTGTCAATGCCATGTGACGTTTCTTTGTTGTTGCGCCAACCAAACCTGTGCTCTCTAGCTCGATCAATATCCACAGATGAATATGAACGACCATGACATTTTTCTCTGTTTGAGTGAGGAAAACCTCTACCTTCATTCTGCCAGTTTCTGCTCGAATCACGATACAGACTTCCATGTCCAGAACTCACCTTCTTATGCCTTTCTCTTGGGTCTTTGTGAGATCTTCTGTGCCTAGAATGCTTTGTACCACTCCTTTCCTCACTTGTGTTTACTTCACGTTCCACAGATCTAGTTCGTCGTGGTGGGGTACTGACTTCACGTTGGTCATCAATAGCACCGCCTTTAGATGACTCTGTTTCAGAATAGGCTGAATCATTTCCAAGAGATGATTCCCTTTCCACTGAGGACAGAACCAAGTTATCTGAACTCCAGCAAGTCTCTTCTCTCTCCTCCTCAATAATTTCCTTATCACAAGGTGTTACTTCCCTGCTGCAGGAATTCTCTTTTGGAGAACATTGCTCACTTCCAATGTTTACATCTTGACACCCCACACAAGCCTCTTCTTTCATCGAATCACCTGATGATATCAAATCCTCTCCGTTATCTGATTGAAGCTCTTCACTTCTAGATGCTTCATTTGATGTTATGCTGAGAGACCTTGCATCCGGAGGTGTAATGCTTGATAGCTTCTCAACGTCATCAGTCACTGGGATCTGGTTTCACACACTCAATCATCAATGGACGATAAAGTTAAAACAAAAAAACCAACAAATCAAGTAAGTATCACTCAATCTCTGACCTGTATCACCACGTCAGGGTCTGAATCACGTGGAAGACGCAACTCCACAGATGGTATTCGCTCAGGAGTTCCACCTCTGACCTCTATTGCTTTTCCCTTTGAATTCAAACGGAGAGAAACTTATCAACATCAACCAAACACGCCCTTGCCACAAATATATGACATAAAAGATTCAAAACAAGTTTTTACTTACCAGCGGTTTACAATAATCTTTCCAGCTTTTCTCGTTAAACCCATAATTAAAGAAGTCATTGATATCAGTACCAGGATTCCTCCATGGCTTCTTCTCAAACACATGGGAATTTGCATCAAAACTTGTCCTGAGAATGAAAAAAAACACAAATCCCTTGTACACATTATTATCTCGATGAAAGCATTTACCATCATCAATCACATTCAATAAACACCTAGAGACACAAAATTGCTATCCATCAAATGTCGTAGAGTTTCACTAACCTGGACCAAAGATGTGAGAATTGATTAGCTGAAGCTTCCATCGTCATGCGTCCATTAACAATCCCACCATTTGGCAATGTGCACTGGAAAATAATCCATCAGAACAAATAAGATCAAATTAGATAAAGCAAGGTTACTGCAGAAACAATGCCCATCAAATTAACAACTCAATCGGTACCCAGTTTCCGTTCCTCCGTTTCTGAAAGGAGCAAGCTTGGGATGCTTCGGCGTATCCGCCATTGTTAGTGTTGGACCCACAAGCAACAGGAAGCGATTTGGAGTCGTCGTCATCAAGCACAATGTTCAGATCATCGTCACTGTCACTAAACTCCGATTCTTCCTTCGCCTCGGTCAGATTCACAGGACAAGCGTCGACACACTGACTCGAATCTCCGAATTTCTTCATTTCACCCTGCGATTCACGCTTCACCTTGTCGGAGATCGTAGCACACTCCGTTTCTTCTTCGCACGACTTTACGATTCCAACATCGCCGGCGAAGGCAGGAGTCGCCTGAACCTTGTCATCAACGTACAGCTCACCGAAATCGTCATCAGTGGAATCCATTCGCGAGTGAATAGTTCAGATTCTCACACTAGAATGAGTTTTCCATCAATCGGCAATGCCAGAGAGTGACTAGAGACTAAATAAAGAGTAGTCTTCACACTTTAACAGTTGCATAAACCCCACCACATAAATTTGGGAGTACTGGATAGAAGAAGACAAATACCTTAAACCCTAACAAACGAGTTTTTAATTGTTAATTTCTCAGAAATTTCCAAACACGATTGTTTTCTTTTTTGGACGAATCCAAACAATATTTTTAAATTTTTTGTGTTTATACATGTTATAAGATTTTAAATGGGCTAAAAAAGAATTTTAAGACTTATTTATACCTTTTTTTTGTGCGTTTCATATTTTTTGTTATCCTTTTTTGTCATTTACTGTTGTTATTTCCAGTTTCCGAACCTTTGGATCAGTAACAAATGGAATTTTCAAACTTATTTATACCTTTTCATCTTTTCTTTTTTCCTTTTTTCTGTTGTTATTTCCAAAGAACTCAACTTTTTGGATCAATAAAAAAAAAAAAAAAAAAGACTTTTGACAAGAAAGGAAGAAAACTTTGGATGAGAGCTGTGAGCTAACTACCATGGCCCATAGTGACACGTGACCACCTTTACACTAAGCTCTCTCTGTATCTGTGGTAGCTGAGAGCTGATCTGATCTATTTGTTTCCCTCCCATCCATCTCTCTCTTGAATTCCGTTCCCTTCCTAACAGTAATCTACTCCCTACCTAACACTGCTTGGCACTGACTCGCTCGACCCGCCTAGTGACCAGGTTCGTCTTCCTTTCATTGGAGTTGGAAGATTCCAACTGTCAGATCCGTGTTTTTTTTATTTCGATTCCGATATTTGTTTTGGTTTAGGGCCTAGAGAGGGTTACTGATGATTCGATAGTGCAGTGAGATTTCCGTTTAGATCTAATGTGACATGGGGCTCTGTAATGTGGTTTCGATCCCATTTCGTTAATTTTTTTTGTTAAATCCGGATTTAAAAGCTTCTCCTTTGATTCGGTTCTCGATCATGGTGTGATCAAATTAGTCGACTTTGAGTTGTATTACCATGAAAGGGAAAAAAAATTAGGATTATCTGTTGGGTTGGTTTCAGATTTTTTTGCCATTTTCCTGTTGGAGTATATAGATTTGCTTTTGTGATTCTCAGTTCCTTTGGAGCCTTAAACATGGCCTCGGGGCAGCTGTTCTCACGCAACACACAAGCCTTGTTCTACAACTATAAGCAGCTTCCCATTCAGCGGATGCTTGATTTTGATTTCCTCTGTGGTGAGTTTTGACTCTTTCTAATTCCAACACACATTTCTCTCAGTTTGCTAAAAGACTGAGAATTACACAATCTTTACTTGTTTTTCAGGGAGAGAAACTCCTTCTGTTGCTGGTATCATTAACCCTGGCTCCGAGGGATTCCAAAAGCTTTTCTTCGGTCAGGAAGAAATCGCCATCCCTGTCCATGCAGCGTAAGTTCAAATCCCATTGAGAGAAAGATTGAGAGACGAGTTTCAAACAATTTTTAACTTTGTTGTCTGTTTCTTTCAGCATTGAGGCAGCATGCGCTGCACATCCCACAGCAGATGTTTTCATCAACTTCGCATCGTTTAGAAGGTTAGTCTTCTTTTCTTATCCTGTAAAAATGCAATTTTTCCTGCCTCTCTTTGTGATTTTTTTTTTTGTAATGGCCTCTGTATCAGTGCTGCTGCTTCATCTATGGCGGCTTTGAAGCAGCCAACTATTAAAGTTGTGGCCATTATAGCTGAAGGTGTTCCAGAGTCAGACACTAAGCAGTTGATTGCTTATGCTCGTGCTAACAATAAGGTGGTTTAATCTCTCAGATGACTAATACATAAGTCATTATTTCTTTGTTGATTTTTTTTCTAATTAGTGCGAGTTTCCTGATTCAGTCTTCTGTTAATGATTGGTTTGTACAGGTTATTATTGGACCAGCTACTGTTGGAGGTGTTCAAGCTGGAGCCTTTAAGATTGGTGACACCGCCGGAACAATTGACAATATCATCCAGTGCAAGCTGTACAGGCCTGGATCTGTTGGCTTTGTCTCTAAATCTGTATGTGCACTTTTGTAGTCTGCATAAGCTCATTATTACCCCTTTTTTGTCGTCTGGGAATTTATTTTGCGGTCTCTCTTTTCTACAGGGTGGCATGTCTAATGAAATGTACAATACTATTGCCCGTGTGACAGATGGGATCTATGAAGGTGAGTTTCTGTTTTATCTTCAGAGTCTACTCATGAATGTATCTTCATGCCTATTATTTCTGAAGAATCTTAAGAGGAGTTTATGTTTTGGGATGGTCTCAGGCATTGCTATTGGTGGGGATGTGTTCCCGGGCTCCACTTTATCTGACCATATCCTGCGGTTTAACAACATCCCACAGGTATATTAATCTCAAGACTTATGTTGATCACTGTGATATTCTCATGCCTATCCATTTTTTCTACTGTTTAACCATGAGAAAAGCTATGTTTAGAAGGTATCTGACCTTCCTTCTCTCGTACATTTAACGTCTTTAACTCTAAGGTTATGTTTTCATTTTAAACATATTGCAGATTAAGATGGTGGTTGTACTTGGAGAGCTTGGAGGAAGAGATGAATATTCTCTAGTGGAAGCCTTGAAGGAGGGAAAGGTCACAAAACCAGTGGTTGCTTGGGTCAGTGGGACTTGTGCACGTCTCTTCAAGTCTGAAGTACAATTTGGTCACGCAGTAAGTTCCACCCAAAAACTGTCATAAGAAAGTCTGGACACTTCCTCTGCTGGCTGTATAATATCTTTCTTTGATATGATCTGAAACAGGGGGCCAAAAGTGGTGGAGAGATGGAGTCTGCACAAGCCAAGAATCAAGCGCTCAAAGACGCTGGAGCTATTGTACCCACTTCATTTGAAGCCCTGGAGTCTGCAATCAAGGAAACTTTTGACAAATTGGTCAGTGTCTAATTACTTGTCCCATTAAGCTTGCATTTATTTTTGTTGTTTTGATCTTATGTTCATTTCTAGGCTGAAGAAGGAAAGGTGTCTCCTATTAAGGAAGTCACTCCTCCGCAAATCCCCGAGGATCTCAGCTCTGCGATTAAGAGTGGGAAAGTCAGGGCTCCTACTCATATCATCTCCACCATCTCTGATGACAGAGGTACTTATAAAACCATTATTTCGTATTCTTAAAACAATAACATTGTTGCAAACAAAATTAATCCTCTGTGCATCGAATTTGCAGGAGAGGAACCATGCTATGCTGGTGTGCCAATGTCTTCCATCATAGAACAAGGTTATGGCGTGGGAGATGTCATTTCTCTCCTATGGTTCAAACGTAGTCTTCCCAGTTACTGTACCAAATTCATTGAGGTTCCATTTCTTTGCTCATCTTTCCATGTCATTATTAACTAAATGTGGCTGAATCTGTATTCTGAAACTTTGAGCTATGGTCAGATATGCATAATGCTGTGTGCTGACCACGGTCCATGCGTCTCCGGAGCGCACAACACCATCGTAACAGCAAGAGCAGGAAAAGACCTCGTCTCAAGTCTTGTTTCAGGTGAGTTTAACATCTCAATTCGCCAACTTTTTCAAGTTAACAATCTATGGTTATAACCTGATAGTCTTTCAACAAAACAGGTCTATTAACAATTGGTCCTAGATTTGGTGGTGCCATTGATGATGCAGCACGATACTTCAAAGACGCTTGTGACAGGGTAAAACCCTTTTTCCCTCTCACCACAACTTCTTCAGCATCAATCACTTGTTGAATCTGAGATATAATTGTTTAAAAAAAAAAATCATGTTTCTCAGAGTCTCACGCCTTACGAATTTGTGGAAGGCATGAAGAAGAAAGGAATCCGAGTCCCTGGGATTGGCCACAGGTAAAACAAGAACAAATCAGTTTTTTTAGCAGCAAGAATAAACAGAACATTCTCATACGGAGTTGTTTTAAATGGAAATTTGTAGGATCAAGAGCAGAGACAACAGAGACAAAAGAGTGGAGCTGCTTCAGAAATTCGCACGGTCTAATTTTCCTGCGGTCAAGTACATGGAATACGCAGTCCAAGTAGAGACATACACACTCTCTAAAGCCAACAACCTCGTACTCAACGTCGATGGAGCCATTGGATCTCTCTTCTTGGACCTTCTCGCTGGAAGTGGGATGTTCAGTAAGCAAGAGATCGACGAGATAGTCCAGATTGGTTATCTCAATGGCCTCTTCGTCCTCGCTCGATCCATTGGTTTAATCGGGTAAATCACCTAACCGGACACATCCATTGTGTTCTTGAAGCTTTTTGTTTTGATTTTTGATTTAGTCCTTATGAATAAATTGTTGCAGGCACACATTCGACCAGAAGAGATTGAAGCAGCCACTGTACCGACACCCATGGGAAGATGTCTTGTACACCAAGTAATCAAATCATTATTGTTATTCCCTCTCCTCCAGTTAGGCTTATTTTTTATATCTTTGTTCTGAAGATTATCTGTATGTTCCCATAACTTTCTGGTTATTACATCTCAATTCTTAGTAAATTTTCTTACATTAAACGCATTTTAATTTGAATAATATAAGAAACTCGGAAGTTTCTTGAAAATTTCAATAAAATCCCGACGTATTTACATAACTAACTCGTGTCCTAATTCCTAACTAAACCAATAAAATTGGCGCCAAACCGCACTTTGTTCATACTTTCAGGGCAACTGCTTATTTACTTTAGAAAAATATAAAACGTCTATCAAGGTTCTGCTGTAATCTAGATCTCTCAAGACTTGAATGGCTGAAGTTTTATATCTTTTAACTTTTACAATAAATAAACCGAAAACTTAGTATCATCCATTTCAAATCTATGGTGAACAAAATAAAATATAAGTTCGATATAAAAAGGTAAGTTAGTTGCCTATATTTCGGCCGACGTTACATAATAGCGATCGTAATATTGGAGTTGAAGCGGTGTGGCGGCGAGATCACCATTTTTATTTTATTTTCAGTCTTGCTTATATATAGTTATATGATTTATGAACACACTCCACACACGGTATCTGTCTTACGTATTATGATTATTTTCGATTCATTGTATTTTTGGATTTTTGTCTGCGCACGTAACCAACAGATTGTCGAATATATATTATTTTTTTCTCGTCTTTCTACGTTCATAGTTTTAGGAAGCGTTTCCATTATTGGTTGACTGCTTGAGACGGTACCAAGTTTGTCATCTCCACTGTGTTTATTATTAGTGTTTCGGTTTTCTGGAGCGCAATGGAGACTCCAACTACGAAGGAGCTGCTGAAGAAGTTGATAGAGCTAGAGGGAAGTCATAAGCATCTAAAGCAGGAGATGTCTAGGCTCAAGGTCTCGACGGAGCTTAGGCAGCGATCACATTCGAACAGGTCGATGAGTTTGAGAGCTGGTGAAGCCAGGAAGTTCACGAGTAAACAGTATATGAATATTTTGCAGTCCATGGCACAATCTGTCCACGCCTTCGATCTCAAAATGCGAATAATCTTTTGGTGAGTAGTAGTGTGAAACTCTGTTTTTTTTTAACTTGTTATATTGTATACTCAAATGCTCTGTTTTTGACTGTTGCAGGAACGCGACCGCGGAGAAGCAATTTGGGTACTCAGCTGCAGAAGCAGTTGGACAGAACCCGATCAACGTAATGGTAGATGATAGAGATGCTGCCTTTGCGATGAATGTTGCTCAACGCTGTGCTAATGGAGAGAGCTGGACCGGTGAGTTTCCGGTCAGGAGGAAAACCGGGGAGAGATTCTCAGCTGTCACTACGTGTTCACCATTTTACGACGATGACGGTTCTCTTATTGGCATCATTTCTATCACTAGTGACACGGCGCCGTATCTTCACCCTAGAATCTCTTCCGCTCAAGTTGAGACGAGCTCAGTCTCTAGCATTACAGGGAAGAGTTTTGTCTCTAAAGTTTGTTTGGACTCCTCCAAAGAAGCTGTCATGTCAAAGTTATCAGATCTGGTTAGTTCAGTTTTACTCTCACGGTCTCACCTTGTAACTTGGTGTTGCATGTTTTGACTTTTTGTTACAACCTTTTCAGGCATCCAAGGTCATGTCAAAAATGCGACCAGGTGATACTCTCTCTGACCACGGGGACGATGCAGCATCAAGGACATTAGTTGTGGATTTTATACATTGTCCTTTTGGTGTATTCACACGTGACGTTGACGCTGATGAGAGGAATGGAAAGTCTGCAATCCGCAAGGTTCTGACCTCAAAATCTGAAGAATGGATGGAAAAGAAACGTTTGTTGTGGCCATGGAAAGGAAATGAACAAGAGAAAGATGAGTCTAGCAAGAAGGAGGCTTCTAGTTCGTGGTCTTCCTCTACAATTACGAACAGCACAGGCAACACTAGTAGCAGTAGTGATATAAACAAGGTTGATCCAGATAGCGAGTGCTTGGATTATGAGATTTTATGGGATGATTTGACAATCGGAGATAAAATTGGACAAGGTCATTTTCATTCTCTTGAAACAGCTTTATAATAGCATTACTAATTTTATGGGATGATTCTGTCTCTGTTCTGCTAACATGCCCCAGTAATTTTCTATTTGACAGGTTCGTGTGGAGCTGTCTATCACGGTCTCTGGTTTGGATCTGTACGTTTTTGACATTGCATGTATAATATGCAAATGTTGATTTACTAACGCTTCCATGATGAAAAAAAATTGCAAGAAGGGAGATCTGTCTTACTCATATTGAGAGTTGCTAATGTTACTGCAGGATGTTGCTGTAAAAGTCTTCTCAAAGCAAGAATATTCAGAAGAGCTCATACAATCGTTTAGAAAAGAGGTAATGTTTTTGATCCGACTCTTGTTTTGGCAAAAGATAGTTGGCATTTTTGGTAGATTTTCTTAAGCCATAGTTTATTAATCATACTTTACCGTGAATTTGAAGGTATCATTGATGAAAAGACTTAGACATCCTAATGTTCTGTTGTTTATGGGAGCTGTGACTTCGCCTCAGCGTCTCTGTATAGTGTCAGAGTTCCTTCCACGGTTCGGTCTTGTCTCTTTTGTTACTATTTTCACTTTCTTTTTGTTTTCGTGCCTTGAAGCCATATCTCTGTTTTAAGTTTTGCAGTGGAAGTCTCTTTCGTCTACTGCAGAAGAAAACGTCAAAACTGGATTGGAGGCGGCGTATTCATATGGCCTTGGACATTGTGAGTTATTAGTTATACCTTCTTAGATATCTGATTACTTGTTTGTATTTGTCTTGTGATCGTACAATCTTATTACATAATCTTGCACACACAGGCTCGCGGTATGAACTATCTTCACTCTTGTAGTCCACCCATCATCCATCGTGATCTCAAGTCGTCAAATCTGCTTGTAGACAGGAACTTGACCGTTAAGGTAACATATATAATCATCTTGAATTAATAGCTTCTCATTTTCAAACTGATTACATTTAAAAAACAAATTCTCTCTTATGTGAAACTAGAAACGTCGTAAATTACAGTGATATCTCTAACAGGTAGCTGACTTTGGTCTTTCGCGTATCAAACATGAGACATACCTAACCAGCAAGTCCGGAAAGGGAACGGTACATAGCTTAGACTCTTCAAAACCACTAGTCAACCTCTCACAGTGATGTTGATTTTGGCTTCTAACCTGTTTGTGCAGCCTCAATGGATGGCACCAGAAGTTCTTCGAAATGAGTCTGCTGATGAGAAGTATAGTCTTGTGTTTTGTTTGGTTACGTTGTGTTTCTAGTCTCGGTCTCTAACAAGCTCTTGTAATTCTTTGATACAGGTCTGACATCTACAGCTTTGGAGTAGTACTGTGGGAGCTTGCCACAGAGAAGATCCCATGGGAAACTCTCAACTCTATGCAGGTGATCGGAGCTGTAGGGTTCATGAACCAGAGGCTGGAAATTCCAAAGGACATTGATCCTTGTTGGATCTCATTAATCGAGAGCTGTTGGCACAGGTAAATTAGCATATTGAAAATCGCATATCCCTTGGTAAAAGACTATATAGCCTTTTAATTACTATATGGTTTTCTTGATTTAGACTATTCACAGCTAATTATAATTTGTGTTTTCGTTTTGGCTTGTCTCGCACGGCAGCGATACAAAGCTGAGACCCACATTCCAAGAACTGATGGAGGAACTAAGAGACCTGCAAAGAAAGTACACATTACAGTTCCAAGCGACTCGTGCTTCCTTACTTGACAAGTGACAAACCCTCTCCTCAAGGACAAGTAAACGTACTAAACAAAAGTTCCTCTTCATTGAAGTCATGGAAATGGAATACGCATACACACTCTCTAAACTAAAGCCAACAACCTCGTACTCAGCGTCGAGGGACCCTTTGGATCTCTCTTCCTGGACCATCTTGATGGAAGTGGAATGTCCACTAAGCAATAGCTTGACGAAAACGTCCAGATTGGTTATCTCAACGGCCTCTCTTCGTCCTCGCTCAACCCATATATCTTGTTCTTGAAGCAATTTGATATGAATTGATCCTAGAAATTATGTATGAACACGCATATTCGACACAAGAGATTGAAGCAGCAACTGTACCAACACCCGTATAATGATGTCTTTTTCTGTACACCAAACAATGAAACCAATATTTCTATCTGTTGTGATTTCCCAAAAATTTCTCGTTGCTGCGAAGTCTTTTAAAAGGATAGACGATAAGATTTTGGATATATTTTAGTTTTCTAAAAGAAACCAAAAGCTTCAACTGGTTTCATCCAAAATTTAACGGAAACTATGCCACATTAGCAAGTTTGCATTTATTAGTGGAGACGTGGAGAAGAAGAGAAAAAAAGAAACATAAAATATGATCTCAATATAAAAAGGTGAGTTAGTTGCTGATATTTTGGCCGAACATCAACACACATGTTGAAGCGGTGGGGGTTTCAATCTTAAGTCTTAACTATATATTTTTCTAATAGTTTACAGTAATATGCAATTTTGTGCCAACTTTGAATACAAACTTTACACTTTGAAATTTTCTGGATTGATGCGTAATCTCCTTGAAGTTGGGAACACTCACACTCTACACACACTGTACACTATCTTTCATACGTATTATGATTCAGTCAAGTGATTGCAATGTTTGGTTTTGTCTGCGTAACCCAATAAATTGTCGCGTACCAATTAAAATCGAACCGGCCAACTTCCTCTTTAGTCAGTCACTCTTATCTCTCTCCGCTCAGAATTTCTGGAAGCGACGACGACCACTTTCCGTTTCTGTTGACTGCTTCTGATAAACCGTTAAACGTTTTCTTCAAATTCGATCTTCTAGAGAGACCGAGAGAGAAGCTCTGTATCTTTGTTAATTGTTATGGTTTACCTTCAACGTCCGATTCAACTTGAGCAATCCCCGATTCAACTCGCTTAGCTTCAGATTTGATCTCCGTTTTTCTCCGAGCGCAATGGAGACTCCACCTGCGAAGGAGCTGCTGAAGAAGTTAATGGAGCTAGAGGAAAGCCAGGGGCAGCTAAAGCAGGAGATGTCTAGGCTCAAGGTCTCGACGGAGCTTAGGCAGCGATCGCATTCGGTTTTGCCGTATCGGAGAAACATCGGCGACGGAGCTCCAGCACGGAGCGCCGCCGCTTCGCCGCCTTTCCGTAAGGAAAGACGTATCCAGGATTCGTCGAATTTGAGAGCTGGAGGGGGACCATCGGCCGGGAAGTTCACCGATAATCAGTATCTGAATATTCTGCAGTCGATTACACAATCTGTTCATGTCTTCGATCTACAAATGCGAATCATCTTCTGGTGAGTTAGTTCGATCTTGTGAAATTCACTAGTATGTTTTCAGATTCCAATCCTCGATGACATGATTCTTCCAGGAACGCCATGTCGGAGAAGGTTTATGGGCACTCGGCTGCAGAAGTAGTTGGGAGGAACCCGATTGATATTCTGGTAGATGAACGGGATGCTGCATTTTCCATGAACGTTGCTCAACGTTGTCTCCGTGGGGAGACCTGGACCGGCGAGTTCCCTGTGAAGAGCAAATCTGGGGAGAGAATTTTAGCAATCACTACTTGTTCCCCGTTTCATGATGACGACGGTACTCTTATTGGGATCATCTCTATCACAAGTAACGCAGCACCGTATAAGCACTCCAGAGTCTCTTTGGCTAGATTAAAGGCGCAAGAAGGTGAAAAGACACCTGGCCCTGCAAAGAATAGTTTTGCCTCTAAGCTTGGCCTTGGCTCTGACCAGCCGTTACAAGTTGCTATAGCATCAAAGATATCAGATTTGGTTAGTTCAATTGTAGGTTGTATTTTATATGCTCAGATTTTACCTTGTTGTTGCATATTTTTAACTAGTGTTAAACTTACAGGCATCCAAAGTCAGCAACAAGGTCAGGTCAAAAATGCGACCAGGTGATAGCAGTGGGGACATTCATGGGGATGATGCAGCATCAAGTGGTGCCAGCACACCAACAGTGGATGTGATTACTCCTCCTTTTGGTGTATTCACATATGACGATGATAAGATTCCTTCGAAACTCTTTAAAGAGTCCAATGATGAGAGTGATGGAAACTCTGCAATCAATAAGGTTCTCACCTCAAAAGTTGAAGAATGGATGGTGAATAAAGGTTTGTCATGGCCGTGGAAAGGGGATGAGCAGGAAGATGGCTCTCACCAGATTGATCCCTCTTCTGGTGTGAAGTCTGAAAGCCATGCCTCTGTCAGTAATAAGTCTACCAATAACGAGGCTTCTAGTTTGTGGTCTTCCTCTGTAAATACGAACGACACAAGCAGCCGTAGTAGCTGTGGAACCAGCAGCAGTGTTACCAACAAGGCTGTTACAGATAGCGATTGCTTGGAAGATGAGATTTTGTGGGATGATTTGACAATTGCAGAACAGATTGGACAAGGTATTAATTCTCTTAAACAGATTATCTCGCTTGCCAAACAAATCCAGTCTTTGATACAGTGTCTCTGTTCTGCTAACATGCTCCAGTAATTTTCCATTTTACAGGCTCATGTGGAACGGTCTATAACGGTCTCTGGTTTGGATCTGTAAGTTTTTGGCTTTTAGTGATATTGTAGAATATGCGCATTTGCTGATTTATTCACTCTGCCATGATAAAACAAAATTTGCAAGTTCAGAGATCTGTCTTATTGAGGGTTGCTATGTAACCGCAGGAGGTAGCTGTAAAAGTGTTCTCCAAACAAGAATATTCAGAAGAGCTCAGACAATCTTTTAGACAAGAGGTAATGTTTTTAATCCGTCATCCATACTGATTTGCTGTGAGTGTAGTTTTGGCAATTTGACATATCTTATTGGTCTTTAGTAGAGCGAATATCTTAACTTTTTAAATTATTTATAGTGGTCTTGTTTACTATGAAGGTATCGTTGATGAAAAGACTTAGACATCCTAATGTTCTGTTGTTTATGGGATCGGTGACTTCACCTCAGCGTCTCTGTATAGTGTCAGAGTTCCTTCCACGGTTTGGTCTCATCTCTTTTGGTTACTACGTAGTCTCACTGTCCTTGTTTTTTGTGCCTTCAAGTCATATCTCTGATTACTATTTGCAGTGGAAGTCTCTTTCGTCTACTTCGGAGAAGTACGTCAAAACTGGATTGGAGGCGACGTATTCATATGGCCTTGGACATTGTGAGTATCAACTTATACGTTTATTAGACATTTGATGTTCCCATTTCTATGATCAAATAGAGCAGCTCTGACGATTGACGTGATCCTTTTTTTCCTCTCTATATGGACTCAGTACATCTCATACTGCATATTACCTAATTCTTCACGCAGGCTCGCGGTATGAATTATCTTCACCGTTGTAGTCCACCAATCGTCCATCGTGATCTGAAGTCGTCAAATCTTCTTGTAGACAAGAACTGGACCGTAAAGGTAACATATTCATCTTGAAATACGTTTGATTTACCGTGATCAAGATGAATAGAATAATAACTTTCCATCTTCAAACTGATTATATAGCTTTCTAAATTGAAAATGAAGATTAGATAAGAAAGTATTTCATGTGAATGAACTGGAAAAGTGAGACCCCAGATCTTCAAATTGGAACTAGAAACGTCGTCAGCTTACAGTGATATCCCTAACAGGTAGCTGACTTTGGTCTTTCGCGTATCAAGCATGCGACATACCTAACCAGCAAGTCCGGAAAGGGAACGGTACTTATCGATTTTAAACCATATTTTTACTAGTCAACCTTCACAGTGATGTTGATTTTGACTTTTTACCTGTTGTGCAGCCTCAATGGATGGCACCAGAAGTTCTTCGAAATGAGTCTGCTGATGAGAAGTATAGACTTGTGTTCTGTTTGATTATGTTCCCTATGTTACTTGTGTTTCTAGTCTCAGTTGCTAACGAGCTCTTGTAATTGTTTGATACAGGTCTGACATTTACAGCTTTGGAGTAGTACTGTGGGAGCTTGCCACAGAGAAGATCCCATGGGAGACTCTCAACCCGATGCAGGTATCTTTCTGAACGATAAAAAGAAAGCTACTCCAAATGGCAATTGGTCATAGTAATCACATATTAGGGACAATCTGATTTGTAAAACAGACATGTTTTGCTTTATCGGTGGAGCTGAAAAATAACCAGAATCTTTATCTGAAATACCTGCAGGTGGTTGGAGCTGTGGCATTCATGAACAAGAGGCTGGAAATTCCAGAGGATATTGATCCTCGTTGGATCTCATTAATTGAGAGCTGCTGGCACAGGTAAATCAGCATATTGAACGCCGCATTATCCTTGCTAGAAGAATATAATTACTCTTTAATTATTATGGTTCTCTTTGATTTAGATGTTTCACAGCTAATGCTGACATTAATATCTGTTTCTATTTGGTTTATCCCACACGGCAGTGATACAAAGCTGAGACCCACATTCCAAGAACTGATGGAGAAACTAAGCGACCTGCAAAGAAAGTACACATTACAATTCCAAGCGACCCGTTCCTCTTTACTTGACAACCCTCTCCTCAGGGACAACTAAACAAAAACAAAAGTTGACCTTGACCTTTTGTCTCTTACGCCTTTTCGTTCTTCAACGCACCACATCAAGACTCAAAGTCTGTTCATAAAAACGACGAAAGATAGAGACCAACAATGGGTGGGAACCATGCTATGCTGGTGTGTCAATGTCTTCCATCACAGAACAAGGTTATGGCGTAGGAGATGTCATTTCTCTCCCATGGCTCAAACGTAGTCTTCCCCATTGAGGTTCCATTTCCTTGCTCAACTTTCTGTGTCCTGACACAAATATTGAACACTAACAGGTAAAGACTAAACAGATTGAATCTGCTTTGTCTACGAACAGATTTGCATACTGGCGTGTGCTGATCACGGTACATGCATACGTCTCCAACGCTCAGAATACCATTTTAAGAGCAAGAGCAGGAAAAAACCTCGTACCTGGTAGTGGGATGTTCACTAAGCAAGAGATTGACGAGATCGTCCAGCTCGGTTATCTCTACAAGCCTATTCGTCCACGCTCGATCCATCGGTTTAGTTGGGTAACTCTCGTAACCGGAACCCATGGGAAGGTGTCTTGTACACCAAGTAATAAAATCATTAGTCACTTTCTTGTCATCTTAAGATTCTTATTAATGCCTCCCCTCCAATTAGTCTTTATTTTGATTTTACCTGAACGAACAGTGTTATTATTTGTTACTCCCTCTTGTTACTCCCTCTATCTCATATTATAAGCTGTTTTGGAAAACAAATTTGTCCCAAATTATAAGTTGTTTTCCAAAATCAATGCACTTTTTACTTTATTAAATGTTGTGTGTTCAATTATATTTTGTAGTATTTTTTTATGATTGGTTAAGTTTATTTTATTTATATATTAAGTAATACTTTATTTTAAAAACTAAATTTCTTAGTTTTTGTATTTAACATTAAATAGCTTATATAGTGGGACATATAGTGGACAGAAGGAGTACGTGATTTCCCAAACTTTCAGGATTTTAACACCAAGGCCCATTTTTCAATATATCTACGATGTTTGACAAAACTCATTTTTCTTATACGATAAGATTTGAACTTACTAAAGAAACCAATAACTTGAACCGGTCATATCCATATACTAAACGGAAACGATGCCACCTTCGCAAGTTAGCATTTATCGATGAAGAACAAATGATATCAGCAAGAAAAGAAGAAACCAACAATTTTCAATATAAAAAGGTGAGTGAGTTGCTGATATTTCAGCAGACATACATTAGTCTTAGTCTCTTAGATAGCGATTGTATTGCAATTTTTTTTTTTTTTTTTTTTTTTTTTTTTTTTTTTGCGATTGTATTGCAATATTGAAGTCCACATTATCTCCTTTTCAATTTGGTAATTATTGTTCTCATAAATTTATTTTTTTTTAAGTTTGAGTTTTTACTTTGAGTTTGAACCTTTTTACTTTGATGTTAAAAAAGGTGAATAAAATATTGCTTGGGGTTGATTAGGATGACAATGTTACGTTTTTATGTTTAATCAAACATTTAACCGGTACCACAAAACTTCAAAAAGTAAATTGTCGTACGGATTGTTAGGTAAAATATGAAATAAACTAAGAAGAAAGATGTAGAAGTTCCTCTGCTTATGGTTGTGGATTTTAGTCGTGAGAACACTCTCTATACAATACAATACACATTATCTTTCTTACGTATTATGATTTTGTCAAGTGATTGTATTTTTGTTTGTATCTTCCTAACCAACAAATTGTCGAGTACCAATAAAATAGAACCGGCCACCTCCTCTTTTCTCTTTCTCTACGTTCAGAATTTTTGGTCAGACCTTATTGAAGTATATAAAGTAGACAAGTTTCTGGATATGGTCTAGCAGGTTATATATTGACGAAAGTTTACGAGAGACAATTAACATTATATTTTGTTCATTTTGCAATATGGTTTGTTCTCTCTCAAAATTTGTCACCTGGTCTACAAAAAGACCTTACCGTGGACATGAAGATGATGTAAACATGACAGAGTCTGAGCTTTTGAAATGGTGATTTGTGAAATTGAATATATCCCAAACGAGGTTACTTATAGCAAATCACAAAATTTTACAAAGCCAAAATTTTAATATGTATACTATATTTCAAAACTCACATCACATACTAGCGTTTCTCGAAGATTTGGCTGCTACTACAATCATGATTTTTTTCATCAGATGTGTATACACAAACGAAACTTATCAGGTATTCGGTTATGACCAAAGTTTAAGAAGAGTATTAAGGAAAAACATGTTCATTAAAAACAACTAAAAATAGTTGGGTGCCCAGCCCAACAAACATGTGATCTAGTGCTCTTTAAAAACAAGTATTTTAACTAACATGTTGTTGGGTGCTAAATGAATAAAAACCACGTACTTCGTCTTAATGCAACATAGACAAGAAGAGCCTTCCATATCACCGCATGAAATCTTTGTTCATTTACTCTAAGATTTGTTGAAAATTGGCACACAATACCGAGTTTGGTATGTAATCTTTTATTCTTTTCATATTTTTTAGGTTATTAATTACGTGATTTTACTGAACATAGATCATTTACAGTAACACATCTATTAAATGATAAGAACTAACAAATGATTAAATTTATCTTCTATACCCATTTTATAATTCTGTATTCAGTTAGTGCAAAGTATATAATGTTTATATGACTTATCCAAATGAAGTATGACAATAAGGCACACCCTTGATCAGTCCATATCCAAAATAGGACACATCCATATCAAACACAGGACCCTCAAAAATTTGAGAAAATCAATCCATATACCTTTTCTTTCTAGATAGTTTGGAGCCAAACCACAGGAATCAACTTTTTTACAATCTAGTCCAGAATCTTTTTTTTCTGCAAACAACCTAATCCAGATTCTATCCAAATTAGATACAACGACTAAAAAGAAATTTATGATTTACGTGTATAGAGAAAACATGAACAAACCACAAAAATATCAAAAGTAGCAAAAACGAAATTAAACAAATGGAAAAAAAATAACAAAATGAAAAAAAGGTGCAAGCAGAAAAAGCGAATCAAAAGAAGCAAAGATAAGCGAGGAAAGTTTCCATTATTGTTGACTGCTTGGGACCGTAGAACATTTCTTGCGTCAATTCTTCAATTCCATTTTTTTTTCTCTTTCTAGAGAGAGAAAATTCGTTATCTTTGCTTCGGGAGCGAGAGACAGTCAATCTCTCTTCCATTTCCATAGTCAAATCAAATCAAATCAATCCCTCTTCAGAAGAATGGTTTAACAGCTTTGTTGAAGCTCCGATTCAACTCGAACGATCCCCGATTCAACTCGGGTTTAGCTTCAGATTTGATCTCCGTTTACCGAGGCTAGACTCGTGTTGCGTGCTCTGGTAGGGTTTCGGTTTCCCCGAGCGCAATGGAGACTCCACCTGCGGAGGAGCTGCTGAAGAAGATACTAGAGCTTGAGGAAAGTCAGGAGCATCTAAAGCAGGAGATGTCTAGGCTCAAGGTCTCGACGGAGCTCAGGCAGCGATCGCATTCGGTGTCCCCGCATCGTCCGGCGAGGAGAAACATCGGCGAGGGAGCTCCAGCGTGGAGGAAGAGCGGCGCCGCCTCGTTTCGTCACGCCTCGCCGTTGCGGAAGGAGAGCCGTCTCCAGGATTCGATGAATTTGAGAGCTGGAGTTGGCGGCGCCGGACCATCGGCCGGGAAGTTCTCGGATATACAGTATTTGAATATTTTGCAGTCCATGGCTCAAGCCGTTCATGCCTTCGATCTAAACATGCGAATAATCTTTTGGTGAGTAGTTAAATTAGAATGTGGATTTGATTCATATAATCAGGAAATGCGATGTGCATTGTTCAATTGTAGCCTTCTTCAGATTCCGATTCGATGACATGATTGTTGCAGGAATGCAATGGCGGAGAAGCTTTATGGTTACTCAGCTGCAGAGGCACTTGGGGAGAATCCGATCAATGTGATTGCAGATGATCGGGATGCTGCCTTTGCGATGAATATTGCTCGACGCTGTGTTCGTGGAGAGAGCTGGACTGGTGAGTTTCCTGTGAAGAGCAAATCTGGGGAGAGATTTGCAGCGGTCACTACGTGTTCCCCTTTCTATGATGATGACGGTACTCTGATTGGGATCATCTGTATCACAAGTAACACGGCGCCGTATCTGAACCCGAGAGAGTCTTTGGCTAAATTAAAGTCCCAAGAAGGTCAAACGAGTTCTATTTCTGGAAGGAATAGTTTTGCCTCTAAGCTTGGTTTGGACTCTAAAGGAGCTGTTATATCGAAACTTGGCCTTGATTCTGATCAGCCTATACAACTTGCTATTGCATCAAAGTTATCTGATATGGTTAGTTCAGTTTCTGGTTGCATATTCTCACCTTTTAGCTTGCTGTTGCATATTTTGACTAGTGTTGAAATTACAGGCATCCAAGGTGAGCAACAAGGTCAGGTCAAAAATGCGAGCAGGTGATAATGGTGCTGTACTTTCTGAAGGTGGGAGTGGAGATAGTCATCATTCAGATCACAGGGACGATGCAGCATCAAGTGGTGCCAGCACACCAAGAGGGGATTTTGTCCAATCTCCTTTTGGTGTTTTCACATGTCACGATGAGAAGTTGCCTTCGAAACCTTACAAAGATTCCGGTGATGAGAATGATGGAAAGTCTGCAATCTGTAAGGTTATTACCTCAAAAGCAGAAGAATGGATGGTAAAGAAAGGTTTGTCATGGCCATGGAAAGGGAATGAGCAGGATGGTTCAAAAGGAAAGCCTACTCATTCTGTATGGCCTTGGGTACATAATGAGCAAGGGAAAGATGAGTCTCACCAGATTAATCCCTCTTCTGTTGTTAAGTCTGAAACCCATGCCTTTGAAGGTAATAAGCCTATCAATAATGAGGCTACTAGTTTGTGGTCTTCCTCTGTAAATGCAAACAGCACCAGCAGCGCTAGTAGCTGTGGGAGTACCAGCAGCAGTGTTATGAACAAGGTTGATACTGATAGCGATAGCTTAGAATATGAAATTTTATGGGATGATTTGATAATTGGAGAACAGATCGGACAAGGTATTTATATCTCGTTTGCCTTGCACATCCTTTCTTTATTACATCATATTTTTGTATGTGAGATTATGTCTATGTTATGCTAACATGCAGTAATTTTCTATTTTACAGGCTCATGTGGAACTGTCTATCACGGTCTCTGGTTTGGATCGGTACGTTTTTGGCTTCTGGTGATATTGTAGATTATGCATTTGTTGCTTTATACACGCTTCCATGATAAAAAAAAACAAAAAGTTACAAGTTCAAATATTAATGTCACCGCAGGATGTAGCTGTAAAAGTTTTCTCCAAGCAAGAATATTCAGAAGAGGTCATACAATCCTTTAGACAAGAGGTACTGGGTTTAATACTCTCTCCATAATGATTGCTCTGAGTGTTGCTTTGGCAAAAGAAAGTTGACATTTTTATTGTTTTAAGTTGATTCTTCAACGACAACATCTTTCTGTATTAAGGCATATTACAAACTGCAGCTCACTGAAGAGTGAATCATTTGTCAGCTAATCCAAATTCTTAATTATTTATGTTGGTCTTGTTTTATAATGAAGGTATTATTGATGAAAAGACTTAGACATCCTAACGTCCTGTTGTTTATGGGAGCTGTGACTTCACCTCAGCGTCTTTGTATAGTGTCAGAGTTCCTTCCACGGTTCGTTCTTATCTCTTTTCGTTTACTATTCTCACCTTATCTGTGCTTTTTGGCCTTCAAGCCATATCTCTGATCTATACCCCTAATCATTCAAAATACTATTTGCAGTGGGAGTCTCTTCCGTCTACTACAGAGGAGCACGTCAAAACTAGATTGGAGGCGGCGTATCCATATGGCCTTGGACATTGTGAGTATTAGTTATACATTCATTTGACCTGTGATTTTTCCGTTTCTGTGATCATTGGCAATTGCACGTAGAATTTTCTAAGTATAATCTGCTCTATTACTTTTGTATTTTTCTTGTGATCCTTCTTTTCCCCTCTATTTGACTCAGTCAACGTACATCTCATCCAGCATAATTCATGATTCTTCACACAGGCTCGCGGTATGAATTATCTTCACTGTTGTAGTCCACCCATCATCCATCGTGATCTCAAGTCATCAAATCTGCTGGTAGACAGGAACTGGACCGTTAAGGTAAGATATTCATCTTGAAATATTTATCGTTTCCTGTTTTCAAGATGAATGTAATAGCTTTCCATCTCCAAACTGATTACTGTATATAGCTTCGGAAATGAAAATAAAGATTTAGAGTAAAAAAAAAATTATGTGAATGAACTGGAAAAGTGAGACTCCAGATCTCCAAATTGGAACTAGCAACGTCGTCAACTTACAGTGATATCTCTAACAGGTAGCTGACTTTGGTCTTTCGCGTATCAAGCACGAGACATACTTAACCAGCAAGTCCGGAAAGGGAACGGTACTTATCTTAGACTCTTGAAACCATATTGTACTAGTCAACCTTTACAGTGATGTGGGATTTTGACATTTTACCTGCTGTGCAGCCTCAATGGATGGCGCCAGAAGTTCTTCGAAATGAGTCTGCTGATGAGAAGTATAGTCTTGTGTTCTGTTTGATTATGTCCCCTATGTTACTTGTGTTTCTAGTCTCAGTCGTTAACTATCTCTTGTAATTGTTTGATACAGGTCTGACATTTACAGCTTTGGAGTAGTACTTTGGGAGCTTGCCACAGAGAAGATCCCATGGGAAACTCTCAACGCAATGCAGGTATCATTTTTTGAGAGCGATGCAACGATGAAAAAAAAGTGTCTCCAAATCAGATATGAAGAGATGCTTACTTGAAATATGTGCAGGTGATCGGAGCTGTGGGGTTCATGAACCAGAGGTTGGAAATTCCAAAAGACGTTGATCCTCGCTGGATCTCAATAATGGAGAGCTGTTGGCACAGGTAAATGAACATATCTCTTGCTAAATAGACTATAATCTTGTAATTATTACTGTTTTCATTGATTTGGATGGTCAACATTATATCACAGCTACTGCTGAATTTGTGTTTCTTTTATGGTTTTGTCCAACACAACAGTGATACGACACTGAGACCCACATTCCAAGAACTGATGGAGAAACTAAGAGACCTGCAAAGAAAGTACACAATACAGTTCCAAGCCACTCGTGCTGCTATACTTGACAACTCTCTTCTAAAGGATAACTAAACAAAAGTTTACCCTTTTGTTCCTCAAGACGCCGCTTGAAGAGTCGAAGACGTTCATGAAGATAAGAGAACTGGTCTTTATTGAGCAGCAACAGTGGGTGGGTGTAATTACAACGTGAAGGAGACTGATGAGCAGAGACAGCCACTGGAATTCTAAAAGCAGTAAGTGGTGTGTTTGGGTCATTACACAAACTGCCAAAAGAAACGTAAGGCCCAGGCTGGTTAGTGTAATTGTGGAAAGAAAGTACGTGAAAGGGATTTCAGAATTGATGTGAAGTTGATTGCAAAAACGTCACGTGCTTGAATATGTATTAGTTGGGTAGGTGTGCAAGAGAGTATTCTTGCATCTCTATATATTTATGATTATGTGCATTTTATTTTATAGGTATGTGATCAAATTTAGTAGAACCATTTGATGAGTTTGTACATGATGAAACGAACGGGAGTTAGAATGAGTGAATACTACGACATCACGCATCATTGGGGAACCTTTTTCCTTTGTTTCTTTTGGAGCAAAGATTTATTGGGGGATTTATCATTTATGATTATTCTTTTGTTTTGTCATGCAAGCACAATGTTGCCATAATAGTTCATAACAGTTCGAAGACCCAAGACTAAGCGGATAAGTATCATCATTCTAGGTGACAAACAGAAAATAAAGGAACAACACTCTTAGATCTTTGATAATATGATTGAAACTTCAGCGTTCAGATAGAAACAGCAATGCAAGTTGATCTTGAGACACTTCTGAACTCAACTTAAATATTCGTATGTGGATACTCACACACACAAAAAAAACTTGAAATTAAAAGCCGGTCTTGATCCATCAAAGAGGATACCGCGAAAGCAATTCCCTAGTTGCAGCAACCGCGTCGCCTTTGTGCTCCCTTAAAGTTCTCTCCACCACATTCTTTTCCAGCTGCAATGGTGACAAACTTTAGAACTTTTTGCACAAAGGCATAAGACTAATGCTTCATGCATAAGAAGCTTGTGATGTATATAAACAGAAAAAAGCTAACCTCGAGTTCCTTAACAATAATCTCAACATCTGCAGCATTGATCTTCACAGAAGCTAATTCTTTCTCCCTGCATAAAGTTCCAGCAACTTGTCAATCAAATATGGCACAAAAGATGATACGCGAAAAGTCTAGTCCTATCTTCGCCAAAAGCTGATACTGACTCGTAAACTATTAACTGCCACTCATTTCATTTCAGCATCTTCCCTGAATTTTCTCTTGGAAATTCTATTACTTGCATACTGCATTACACTTGTCTATGATCGGAAATAGTGGAAAGCTATTGCAGCACAATCAAGCAATAATTTAGAAAGCAAGAACATACTGCATTACACTTTTCTATGATAAAAAATGGTATTACTTGGATACTGGAAAAGCTATTTGGTCTATTTATCGGAAACAAACGGGTTTGACTTATGTTCTAGCTTCTTACTACTTTTCCAGAATTTATAACACGGAAAAAGCAAAGACTTTTTACCTCAATCTCTTAGCGTTTAGATCAGCCTCCCTAGAAGCAGCAATCGAAGCCATAGCCTGAAAACACGATACTGACCTTGTAAGCCCAATCAATTCACTAATTGAGCTACAAAAAGAATCAGATTTCCTAATTACAAGGTCAGCCATAGAAGAAAGAGCAACAAACCGATTGAACACGAGATGAGTCGAGCTGGCGATCCTCGACGCGATCGGTAAGCTTGTCGAGAGCTTTGCTTTGTTGCTGTAAGTCTTTTGAATCGACCGTTATCTCCGCCCCAGCTTCCTCTGTTCCCTCCATTGCTTCTAACTCTTCTCCTCTCTCTCTCTCTCTCTGTTTCTTCCTCTTGAGTTTCGGTTAATGGAGTCTCCTGCTACAGAGATTTTGAGCTTTCAACGAGAAACCCTAAAGGCTAAAGCTATCTCTCTCCAGTTGCTGTGTATTCGAACTACGCATCAAACCGGCTGCTAAACAATACCGAAACCGAACCGCACTCCAATTTCACAAACAAACCGTTTTTAATTCGACTTTCGTAATTTCAATAACCAAAACCGGATCGTGTCAGAGCGAGAACAATCTATATTGGGCTGGGCCTTTGATAAATATCTGCTCTTAGCCCATGGAAGTAGGGTACTACAAATATCTTTCGTTGACAGTGTTCACTGTTACGAAAACAGTCGCAACCTTCCAAATTTGAAATTGCTGGAGAGAGAGAGATGAAGGAAATTCAAATTCCCAGGAAAAACTTCGCGCGCTCATCAGATTCTGGAGCGAAGAAGCTCAAGGATTCCGAGCTGAAGAATCGAAAGGTAATCTGATCTCATCAATTCTTAAATCGCCATTGTTTCTTCTTCCTCCGCCGTATTACTGAGATTTCAATCGCATTTCCTTCTCTGGACTGAAGTTTGCGGAGAAGAGACAGAGCGCAGCCTTTTCCGATCTCTCAGTGGAAAGCACGAAGGATACGATGGATTTTACTCCGATCTCTGGTGCGATCTCTGATTCCGAGGGCGAGGTATGGTTCTTATTAGTCGCGCGATTATTAGGTTTCGTTTCCATCAAATTCTTCTCTTCTGTTGCTTTTGAAAACTTCTAGATCCGCTTAGATCAGATATTAATTTTTAGCAATTGATTCGATTTCATGTTTGCTTGATAACGGATATGAACAATTCAAGCTCAATCGCAGCCATTTGTGTGTTTTGAGACTGTTTAATGATTCGATTTGATATTTGCTTGATAACGGATATGAACAATTCGAGCTCAATCGCAGCCATTTGTGTGTTTTGAGACTGTTTAATGATTCGATTTGATATTTGCTTGATAATGGATATGAACAATTCGAGCTCAATCGAAGCCATTTGTGTGTTTTGGGACTGTTTAATGATTCGAATTATGTTGTTTCGCCTCAGAGTGTTATTCAAGGATCGAGCCTCAATCTGCTATCAACGCCAGAGATTTGTCTTCCGACTGTTGAATCTCCAGTTTCAACCATTACTCATAAGGATCTCCACATTGACGCTTCTTCTACTGATCGGATCCAGTCAATTGCGGACTTTCCTGCTCTTGTGCAGTCATTGCGCTCGGAGATCGATGAGCTGAAGAAACTGATCTTTTCAGTTGAAGTTTCTGGAGAAAGTAACAGGATCGATGGAATTGTTACTGAGAAATACCGCATTGTGCTTTTGAGTTTCATCCTTTGGGCTATCTTAGCGGCGATTGTTGTCTTCTTCATCTCAGGAGAGGAAGCTGCTTACTATGGACCACTTCCAACTTGAAGGCTTCCAATCTGAAGGTATCTCACTTAATATTTCTTACCTTTTATTATAATGATAATAAAATAGTACCATTGTTTCATAGGATTGAAGTTGTATACTGATTTGCTTTCAACAGCTTTTTGTCATTTGAAGTTTCATCTCTGTTTACGAACCCCAACTGTTAATTTTGAGTTTGCTACTAGTATCTCTAGTTCTTATGATAGGAAGTTAAGAGTGAGTCTGCAAGTAGGCCTTATAAGCTGCTGGTTTAGTCTATTCCTAACCAATGAATGATCTTTACACTTTATTGGCACAAGTGATATGACATTTGATCTTGTAATCCATGGTGACTCGTGTTAGCTAAATGCATGGTCTTCTCTGCATCATAGATCCAATTCATAGGCTTCTGTGGCATTTATGTCTATAGTTCCTAATCTACTTTGATGTGTTCAGCTCATAGCTCTGTTTCATATATTTAGCAAAGCTTGTTTTCTTGTGCTTCTCAAATTGATAGGTTTTAGGTCTTGCTAGCCTTTGTTTCCATTTCTATGCAAGCTGTTCCTTACTTTAAGTAGATTAAGCCAGACAAATGCTATGCAAAGTCCAGCCTGTGAAGCTTTTTTGGGTAATTGCTTGATTGATCTCACATAAATCTTTATGATAAACTCTTGGAGGTGTTAGATTAGGTTTAGTATCTAGTATGGATGATGATACAAAGTATTAGGATTCGGAAAACTAGTATACAAAATAAATTACAGAATAATCCAGACTGGTTTTTGTGGTTTTCAACCGGAAACAATAGTAGTAGGTCCAAATATTAGAGAGAGAGAAAAAAACAGTAGTAGTAGGCCTTATAAGGTACTAGAAAACGACAAACTAATATGTATCATGTGTTAAAGAAAAGCAGCTCTTGTTGGTTTACTTTTAAAGTAAAGTTTATGTCTGATTAAAGCAAAATTCGGCTTAGTGATTTAAATTAGTGGGGGCACCAATTGTTTTTCAAAGAAAACAATCGATTTTTTTCCTGTCTCTTGACATTGATTAAATCATGTATTGGTGGCCATATATTTTTCATTTGTATTATATAAGCAAGTCGGTATGATTATTCTTGTTAACTTTTCGTGGCATTTATATAGTTCATTCGGCTGAATAAGGATTTCTTTGTGAGAAACTAAGTCTTGCTTTTAACTTCCAGCTCCCATTAGAAAATAGTTGTTTTTTACTTGTATTAAACCAAGGCACATGATGGGTTGAAAATTCAGATTTCCGATCCACAAAAATGATTTGTCATTGGTTCTCAAGTACCTGTCCCGTTTGCTCAGTGTTGTTGGTGAAACAATGATAACAACTTAAGAGTTAGACTTCAAAATGCTTATAATTTAGTCTACGTAATCTAAAAATAATCATATTTGTGTTGTTTAAACAGGATTTGGCTGCTCTCGCTGTGAAACCAGGACCAAACTCAACTACTTCTTCAGAAACAAAGCACGTAAAAGTTGGATATAGATAAGTTCATTTCGTATTTTCTGCACAGTTTTTAGTTGGTATTAAAATTACAAACAAGATATTAAGTACTCCTTTGGAAACGTTTTAGTATATTGTCTCGTGGTTTAAGTAAACCTTTGAAAACAATAATTGACAAATATCCATTATCTCACTTTCTTCTTCTCCTTTTTAAATTAGTCCATCTCCACCCATCGCCGTGCACTTGGATTCTTTGGTGTCTAGAATTAGGGAGGCAATCTCTGTACCACCTTCATCATACTTAATAGTTAATTCCCTTTTTCAACCTTTTCCATTGATAATTGTATAGAAATCTCATACATAAAACATAGAAAACAGGTACCGATACTTAAACACATTTTAAACCTTTTTGATAAATATCTTTCGACTCAATTTATAAGCTAGACTTTTCATTAGATTGCCTTCCCCAAAGATAAATGCATAATTACCCGAGAAAATGAATCATGTGTATATGAATTTGGCTGGATTCTTAAGTATTGAAGAAAATTGAAGTATCTAAAACGAAAAGATATTCTTAAATTCGAAATAGATAAACTAGTTTATTGTAAGTTGCCCTTTCTTAATAGTTTAATGGATAACTGGATATATATATATATAATTTTTCGTACTAATTTGTCATGTGCAATAATTGCAACTTATAGCTTTCTACGGTACAGAGAATATGCCACATTACTTCTACAAAAACTAACCCTTTAAGTCATATATATTGAAGTTTATATACTCTTATAAGTATACACACACAAACTTTATACTAAATAAATAAACGAGTTGGTTTCAATGATCTTTGAAAGAAGAAAAGCAAAAGCCTTAAAGAGAGGCATTGCCACTAACCCTACACCGCACATGCATTTCGTTTGGTATTTTACTTTAGGTATAAAGTAGTGGTTAAATATTATTTTGAAATTTGCGAAATCATTGCACTGAATACAAAATCCAAAGTTTGAGTTTTTGGCCCCTCTCTTTTTGCCTTGTCAGTCCATTAAACGACCACTAAAAGTCACAAATAGCTTACTCCAATAGTTGTGTTACACATCCTTATCCCATTTGAATCTACCTTCCTCCTCCTTAACACTAAAGAATCGGCCTTTATGACGCTTACAAGGTTTTATTGTCCTTAATTTACCACAAAAGTAGGTTTTTTGTTCTTAAACATCTTCGGATATAAATAAGCCCATTTTACTCCTCGCACAAGAAATTAACCCTAAACATAATGGGAAACAATCATTATGGATCTCCTGCCGACACTAAAATCCTTGTAACATTTCTATAGCTAGCTGCATTCAATTTAACTTCGTTTTCCCCCCGTTAATTACACCGATCTTGTTTCCTAAGCAATTACGACCTTCTTTTGTCGTAATGATGGTAGTTATAAACGAAACAGAAACATCTATTTTGTCAGATGTTAACAATGTTAAGTGACAATTATGAATGTTAAGTGACAATTATGTCTTTAGACTTTAGCTAACTGTGTTTCTATAAATAACACATAGGATAAAACTTCTAATTATACAAAAACGTTGCTTCAAGCCACACTGATGTCTTTTATAATTCCATCAAACAGAGCCACTTAATTTAATTTACTATTTTCATCAAGTCTTCCGTTGAACTTTTTTTTTAAATATCTCTTCTTGGTGATCAATTGTTTAATCATGCATTAAGCATTACAAATGCCACTTTTGTATCTGGCTAAGCCAGAAATAAACAAAAAAAAACAAGAAAAGAAAAGCAAATACACAAAACGACGCAGTTTGGTAACTGCCACTTCGCTCTGCCTCTCCCTTTATAAATGTCTTTCTCTTCTACGCCTTCCCTTCCAATATTCGCTCGACAGTTTCTTGTTTCATAATCATTTCATTGATCTTCATGTTCTGTGGTTTTTTAATACAAAAATAAAACCGAATCCTCTGGTTATGGCGTCGCTGATCTCAGATACTGAACCGCCCACGAACTCAAACCACGGCACTACAGATCCCGTTCGAAGGAAGAAGAGGTTCTCTGTTTCCTCCGCATCATCATCATCGTTCTCTGTTTCCTCCGTCTCCTCCACCGGAGACGTTGATAACCACGCGCGATGGAGATCCGAGAAACAACAACGGATCTACTCCGCCAAGCTGATCCAGGCGCTGCAACAGGTCCGTCTCAGCTCCTCGACATCATCTCCAACGGCTCAGAAGCGTGGGAAAGCCGTCCGCGAAGCCGCCGATCGCGCTCTCGCCGTTTCCGCTCGCGGAAGGACGCTCTGGAGCAGAGCGATCCTAGCTAATCGGATCAAACTGAAATTTCGGAAACGGAAACGGCCGAGACCGACGGCGTCCGTTCACGCTATGATCTCGACGGGAAGCAGCAGCAGATCGAGGAAACGGAGCGTCTCGGTGGTGAGATTGAATAAGAAGAGTCTACCGGCTGTTAACCGGAAAGCTCGTGTTCTCGGCCGGTTAGTTCCCGGTTGCGGGAAAGAATCCGTACCGGTGATTCTAGAAGAAGCAACTGATTACATCCAAGCTCTGGAGATGCAAGTCAGAGCCATGAAGTCTCTAATGGATCTTCTCTCCGGCTACTCAGGCTCAGCTCCTCCGCCGATTTGATGAGGTTAAAATAATCGTCATTTTTTTTCCCATAATTGTCCTTTAATTCTATCATCTCTCTCAGTGTACACCAAGTCACCAACACTTTCGTGTAGAAACTATATATATATATATATACACATAATATGTATATAGAGTACTCGGTTTGAGTATAAATGTATCATCTGCTAGTATACTTTCCAACCGCTGCAACTAAAGTAAGTTTTGGATCCTCGAATGTAAAATGAAATCCAGTAAATAAAAAACATTCTGCCATTTTCTGATAAATTCATTTTGAAAAGTATGATTAGTCATTATTTACCATTAAGGTTAAAACCGTGGTGGAACTTTATATGTAAATGATACAGTATCTACGTTATTGCAGTTTGTGGAAGTGTGTAACCTCATAAAATATGATACCATTGGACTGGACTATGTAACTTTTGGTGTACTTTTTAATCCGCCAATTTACGATATGATATCATCTTATATACTATTTATGTAAGTGGAAAGCTAGAGTTTTCTTTAGATTTGTGACTACCAAATGTAAAAATTCGTTGGTGCTCATTTTTTCCTTCTCTAGAATTAATAATGGGTTAAACGTCTATTTTGATTATGGTAGTATTCGATGATGCATCAGAGAATGATTGATGCATTGAATGATGAGATAGATCTGTCATTCAATCATCTAGTCATTTTACTGCCCCTCCCTAGTATCCTATATACTGTACATGCACTACTAGTTTGTTTGTTTTTTCCTCTTTTATCGTCTACAACTCTTTTCTGAATTTGATTTTTAGTCTATTGAAATGCATAAGAATGGAAATGTCACACAGCCTTACAATGGCCCAGTTAATTGCAAAAACCGAAAGCTAAGCTTATCACCACAAATTACTAGACTTGTAATACGATATAACACAATTGACTAGCCAATAGTTATGACTTTATGTTAGGACATATGCTATGTACATAAACATATTGTGTCTCCGTTTCCTTTCATAGACTAATTAGTTTTAATCTCATTGGCTTTAAAATACGATATTTGGTGCTACAAGAATCATTGATAAGACATTTATCGACTAAATAAAGTAATCGATTTTATGATTAAGAATATCTTCTCCTCTATATTACAATATAGGAAGAACATTGGAGTATGGCTAAGCGACAAGAAGAAGGAAATGACAAAAGCAAAACTATTTTTATAAAAATAGAAAGTGACTATAAAAGTAGGGTGAAGAAGCACATGGGAATGGCCATGCTGTCCTCCTCTTACCTTTCTAGCTTCCTCTTTTATCTTTCACGAAAACTCGTATTGATGTGTTTAGTCATACTTCAATGTTCTTATATCTAAATTAGGTGATTAAATGCCTCCTGTTTTTGATAACTCTTAAACATGATTAGATCTGTAAGAACACGTGTCTGTTCAGTTTCAGTCCATTCGAACTAATAAAAGTAAGTAGGAGATTCCATCAATGATGCGAAGAATAAATCTAAGTAGGGTTTCAAAGTGAGACGTTTTAGCTTTTTTTTTTTTTTTTTTTTTGTTCAAACCATACTTGTATTTCAAGAAAACTTGCACAATGTTTACTCACCCAAAGGATGAGCGCTTTGAAAGCGATACAAAGCCGATTTCGCAATAGAATCGGCCACAACATTCTCTAAACGAGGAACGAAATTAAAGAAGATAGAAATAAAGGAACTACTCAACACGCGGATGTCGTGGAGGATTCCTTGGAGCTCAACGGAGTTGCCATTTGCCGTGAGCAAAGTGATGAGGTTTTTGGAGTCTGAGAAACAGTTCAAGACTCGGATACCTGAAGAAAGTGCCTCCATAAGGGCAGCTTTCATCGCTAGTGTTTCCACCGCTAGGGCAGAGCCAACACATGAGCGACTTGTAGAATTCTGATGAAGATAGCAGCCTGATTCGTCTCTCAAGGTCCATCCAAGTCCACAAGTGTCCGACATCATATCCCAAGCAGCAGCAACAAAACATGATAGAGCTGAGGGGATGAGGGGGACCATTCGAGACTTACTTGTTAGATGGTTTACCCGAGGTCTTGCTTTTTCTTCTTGTGCCAAGTGCCAGAGTCGTGCGTCTCTGGTGGCTTTTGTCGCCACTTCCTGCTCCGTGTACTTCTTGTTCTCAAAAAGCAATTGGTTTCGACTTGTCCAAAGGTTCCAGTACACCCACGGGTACAGGGGAGTTGTGGCGAGGCCCGTTGGAGGAAGATTGATCATACGCTTGTTGCTTTGCAGAAGGAGAGACATGGAGGAAGTGGTGCTTGGGTCCGGTTTTTGTAGGACTGCGATTTGTTCCCATACGCGATTTGCAAAGGGGCAATGGAGGAGAATATGAAGTTCATCTTCCATCGCTCCGCATCTCTTACATGAGTTATCCACAGCTATGCCTCTCATCGCTAGAGTTTCTCCAACCGGCAATGCTCTGGTTTTCATCTTCCATAGGAAGTTTTTCAGCTTAGGCAATGTTTTGACATTCCAAATACACTGGTTCCAGTTAAACGGAGGCACCTCAGGAATCGCAGTGTTTACTTTGGAGAGTGCGTAACCCGTTTTTGTAGAATACACACCAGACTTTTCTGGTAACCAGACTAACTCATCCTTCATTTCAAAGTCATTTGGGATGAGCTTCCTGATAGAATCCTCATACTGAGGTAGGTGTAGGCGGATTGCAGCTAGGTTCCATCTTGATGAGTGCTGGTAGAGTAAGTCTTTAACTCTAAGGTGGGTCTGGTTTTCATTTGGAGGGCCAATCGGTGCCACTGGTTTTTCAGTTGAGAGCCAACTTGAGTTCCAGACTGGAATATCTGCGCCATCGCCAATGACCCAACCCAAACCTCGTCTGAGCACTTCTCTTCCCGCTAGTATCCCTCGCCATCCATGTGAGGGAGCAGATGGAGGTTTACACTCCATAAATGAGGATGAGTGACAATATTTGCCCAATAAGGTTTGAGCCAGTAGAGAGTGCGGTTCAGAGAGAATGCGCCATGAGAGTTTTGCGAGAAGAGCGTCATTAAAAGTCTCTATCTCTCTAAAGCCTAGACCTCCGGCACTCTTTGGAAGGGTAAGCCTGTCCCAAGACACCCAACATAGCTTCTTCTTGTCGGGTTTACTGTCCCACCAGAAGCGAGTCAGAGCACTCTGTATCTGTTTAGATAAGGAGAGGGGGATCTTAAAACATGACATGGTGTAAGATGGCATCGCTGACAACACAGCCTTCAGGAGGATTTGTTTTCCCGCACTAGAGAGGAAGCGAGAAGACCAGCTATGCGCTCTTTGACGAATACGATCAACAATACTTGCAAAGATGTCCCTCTTTCTTCTTCCGAAGTGTTCCGGGAGACCAAGATATTTGCCGAGCCCTCCTTCGTTGGTGATATTAGAGTATTCTTTACTCTGGTTTTTGCTTCCAAAGGCGTTTTAGAGGAAAAGGTGATCGCTGACTTCTCAAGATTGATGCACTGTCCTGAAGCTGCTTCATAACGCTTGAGGATGGAATTCAATGTTTCACAACTCCGAGCATCACTGCGGCAGAAGAACATAGTGTCGTCTGCAAACAATAGATGGTTAATCGGTGGTGAGTTTCGTGCGACTTTGATTCCCGGGAGCATTCCTGAATCCTGTGCCTTTGTACAGAGTCCTGACAAAACTTCAGTGCACAGAATGAATAAGTAAGGGGACAAAGGGTCTCCCTGGCGTAGACCGCGAGATGGTAATACTCGTCCATGTGGTGTACCGTTGATCAGGAAAGAGTAAGAGACCGAACTTACGCACTCCATAATCCAAGTGATCCAAATTTCATGGAAACCAAACCGCTTTAGAACCGCTTGGAGGAAGTCCCACTCAATCCTATCATACGCTTTGCTCATGTCCGTTTTTACGGCCCTGGAGCATCTCTTTTTTGCTTCTGAGATCCGTAGGTAGTGCATGATTTCGTGTGTAATCAGGACGTTGTCCGAGATTGCCCGTTTTGGGACAAAAGCTGACTGTTGCGCCGAGATGAGGTGAGGCAGGAGAGGTTGTAGCCGGTTTATGAGTATTTTGGCTATAACTTTATAGTGGGTGTTACATAAAGCTATAGGTCGATACTCTGACACCTTCCGAGGGCCTTTGATCTTGGGGATGAGGCAAACATGTGTCTCGTTCTGCCTCTGGTGTAGTGAACCCGTTTCAAAGAATAACCAGATGTCCCGGGATACAACTGGCCCTATTATGTCCCAAAAAGATTGGTAAAAGCCAGCAGAGAACCCATCTGGACCTGGTGCTTTCTCTGCATCTATCGAGAAGATTGCTTGTGTGATCTCAGCGTCGTCAGGGATTCTAGTCAGGTCTGCATTCATGTCTTGTGTAATCTTTGGGGAGATCGCTTCTGAGATCACATCGAGGCTGTTGTTGGATTTTGATGTGAAGATGGTTTTGTAGTATTGCTCTACTACTCGGGCGATCTGTTTTTCCTTAAAATGAGCCGTGCCGTTTACGTCTTCTATCACCGAGAACTTGTTCCTGGCTCTCCGTCCTCTAGTTGCTGCGTGAAAGAAGCTGGAGTTCTTATCACCGCTGTGGAGCCACTGTATGCCGCTTCTTTGTCTCCAAAAGAGTTCCTCATCCGCATACTTCTTATCAAGAGCAGCTGTGAGGTTTGAGATCGCTTCCTGGTCCGGTTGAGAACTCGAGAGGGCTGCTTCTAGTTCGTCTTGGTTTTCCTTTATCGCGTTCATTGTGTGAACGTTTTGCTCCTTTGTCCATTGGATGAGTCTCTGCCGCACTCTGCAGATTTTTGAGAGCACTGATTCAGGCGTTGTAAGGAACAAACCGAAACAAGCCCTTCTTCTTGCGTATGGAATCATTAAAGAAAGTCAGAAGAGGTCTGATCCCTCAAAGCGGAGGTATTCACTTCTTCCTGTTGGGAATTTTTCAAACCAGTTGCAGTTGGCTAGAGCCCGATCTAGTCTTGACTGGATGAAGTGGTTATAGCGAGTGCCTCTCCAAGACAAGGAGTTTCCAGAGTGCTGTACATCCCACAAACCATTATGAGAGACAAAACTACGGAAAGAGAGAAAGGATCCTTCCCAGCGGAGAGGGCCTCCCACTTTTTCTGTGTTGTCTAGAATGTCATTGAAGTCTCCAGTGATTAGCCATGCCGTTTCTCTTGTAGCTGCAATTGTTGCGAGGTTTTCCCAAAACAGGGCTCTGTTTTCACGTTGTGGTGCTCCGTATATGAAAGACACAAAAACCGTGTCGTTTTGTGATTGGATTTTTGTGTCTATCATGTTTGGAGAAGAGTCGAGGATCTCCAGGTCCACATCGTCCTTTCACGAGATGCAGAGTCCTCCACTCAAGCCTATTGGTGGAACTGTGAAATGATTTGTGTAGTCTGAGCCTTGATAAAGTTTAAGCACGGCCTCGTCTTGATTTTTAGTCTCCATTAGAAACATTATGTCTGGAGAAAAACGAGATCGAATTTCCTGAAGACGATGAACTGTTAGGTTGTTTCCAATACCTTGACAGTTCCAACTCATACATGCTAAGGAAGCGTGTTTGGTGGGGACCGAAAATCCACCACCCTCCTGCTTATCGCAGGTATTACATTGATTTGAGGACCGTTCTCAGGGAGTGAGACATTTCTATCCTTATCACAAGGTAAATTGGACCCCATTGCAGAGGTTTCGACGTTGAGTTTCCTTCTTGGAGAGCATTTTGCTCTTGTAATTCTGGTTTTCTTTAGACTGACCCCTTGTAGTGGGCTCCTTAGGCCACGTTTGTTTGTTGCTACTTTGTTCGTGGTCCTCTTCACTGCTGCAGTCTTGCCTCCTGCTCGTTTAGTAGCTGTTGTTTTCGGTAGAGATGTCGTTTTTGACTTCTCTTTTTGTTTTCTGCCTCCTGTAGGAATGTCAGAGGAAGTAGTTGAAGTCCTCAAAGGTCCCAGGCGGAGGGAGACATGGAGTCTATCCTCACTAAGAGACCTGATTGGAGACCGTGCCAGGGTGTCTTCTAAGGCCGAGCGAGGATGTCTAGGGCTTGAGGGGAGATCCGAGTTGCCTGATCTGTGGACTTGTGTGGCTTCCCCCATGTAGCGAATTTCAATGTCTTGGAGCCGATCTGAAGTTGTGTTTAATTCTCCAAGACTGTGAGTATGGCCCTTATGGTAAGGTAAAGATAAACGTTCCAACACAGAGCGCCTCTCAGGTTCCGACCCGGGTCCAGTTTCAGCTTGAGGAGGGGTTCGGAAAGGTTCTCTTTGAGGTCGAGGGGGGGGAGTGTGGGAGACTTGGGAGTGGTGAGATTGGTGCGAGTGAGCTTGGTGGGAGTGAGCTTGTGTGTTCTTGGAGATTGCTCCCCCATTTCTTCCCGAGCTCCTGTTTGTAGTATCTTGGTTATGTGACTCAAAAGAGTTTTCCAGAGATTTACCGTGGACCGGGTTTGTATGTCGAGATAGGGAAGAATGAGATGACCTATACGGATGGGCCCTGCGTCTTTCCACTCCTTCATGGTGGTGCCGGGAGTAGTCTTTGTAGGAGTCACGCCTGCTAGCTTCATGGTACCTGGTGTCTCTCGATAGAGCTCTACCTGAGTACGAGGAGTGAGCCAGACTATTTATATAATCTCGGTTACTTCCCCTTCTGTCTCTTGCCGGAGAAGTCCTGTGTGGGTAGCGTCTTCCTTTCCTCTCTTCTTGACGTTTCTTGTTTGCTTCCAGCCGGTCCAGAGTGCTGCGTTGACTGATACCGAGATGTATTGGGTTGTTGTCTCTCGTGGACAACTGAAGCGGGCAGTCTTTCTTCTCATGAGACAGGGAAAGACACGAGAAGCAATGTTTCTCAAGGTTCTCGTATTCGAATTCTACCTCCTTGACTTCTCCAGTGGGTAGTTCAATATCCATCTTCATCTCTAGTGGTTTCAAACCGTTGACATGGACCCTGATTCTTCCTTTTTCCACGTCTCTGGCCTCAAAGTGACCAAGTCCGAAACCAATGGTACGGATGGTGTGGTCTGACCAGAAGTGAAGTGGGATTCCATGGATCTTAATCCAGAACGGGATGAGAGCAGGGAAGGTTTCAGAGACTATGGGTTCCCACCGTTGGAGGATAAGCATCCATTTTTTGAAGTGGAAAGGGGCCTTGTTGAGGATAGCTTGGAGGTCTTGTTCATTTTCAAAGCGAAACTGAAACAAGTTTGGGCCTAGGTCACTCCCAGTAATCGTGCCTGAGACGTGCCAGTGGTCGATAAAGAACTCGACTAGCGCCTTGGTCTTCTGTATTGCCGGGTTGGTGACTCTTCCAATGAGGGTAAATTTGTTGTTTCTTATCAAGCCGGAGTTATCGCATTGTGGTATCTTCACTCGGGGTTTTCCGGTTGTGGTTCCATACCGCTCCACCCATTTTTCCTTCTCTGCTCTTGAGTATCGGTGAGACATGTTGTCGTTTGAGGAGAGTAGAGGGAAATAGGGTTTTGGAGTCAGAGTAGGGTCTTCTGGGAGCTTTAAAAGGAGCTTATACCAACCTCAGAGATGAGGTAAATTCCGTACAGCACTGCACGGCGCAGTAAATGGGAGGAGAAGATCTTATCAGGTCCCCATTAGATGGAGAGGAGGATGCGAGAAAACTTGTTCCTGACGTAACCGCTTGTTGCTTGTATGTTGGTGAGGTTTGTCACCGTAGCCTTGTTGTAGTTCCGGTGGTGAAGCTTTTAATCGGATTCGAAATTCAAATCGAGGAAAAGTTACCGGAAAAAGTCGCTGGAGAAAAGTGGTTGCGGAGGCGTTCTGTTTTAACCAGCAGGTAAAGACGAGAAGCACGGTGGTAAAGCAGATCGCGAAGTAGGTGCGGCTTGCTTTGAACTTCGTGATGACAGTGACAAGGACCCTCCGACTCCCAGTCGGGGGTGGAACCCGGGTGTTTGAAACCAGGATTCTAGGTAATTTGAAAAAACCTCTTAGAACAGGAAAGAACTCTTGGGTAAAAGGTGGTTTGAAAATGACAGTAGTTGACTCTAGGAAGTCTCTTGCAAAACGTGCCTGGGAGAGTTTTCTTTGCCTGGTCAGCTAGCATATTCCAAAATCCACGTTAGTGAGACGTTTTAGCTTATGTTGGTTAAATCCAAATTCTTCACTCCCTAAAGTATATATATTGGTCCCCTGAAGTTTTATCTCTTTTACACGTAAAGTATCTTTTCAGATATTCAAAGTCAAATCATGGGCTTTTTTTGTAACCTCGTTTTATTTTCTCTGTAAATAACTGCAAAATTGGACAAATCAGTAAGTAATCCGGACCTAAGACCTGTGTTTTATCTTTGAATAATTACCCAATCGAAATCGCAGTTCATGATCTTCCATTTATAGGATAAATTCTTTAATCCACTGATTTTTCAACCATATTGAACGAACCGAAAATTAGTTCGTTTACATCTTGAAAATTTGAACAAGATTAACAGAGCAAGTGTTAATTATCCGTTTTGGATAAGTAAGACAAGATATTCGCAAATATAATTCTTTTTAAATAAAATAAATTAAGATTCAAAGATATTCTTAGAAGATACTCCTTAACAGATAAATGTAAGCGATCTTCCTTAACAGATCTTACCAATAAATTAGATCGGTGGAAGCGGAAAGAAATAAATAAAAACGCAAGACATTTCGTGACAACTAAATTTGGTATTGAGAAAAAAAGAGAACAAGAAGAATGGCGAAACAGGAAGAAGTCTCGGTGCCGATCTTCTCGTCCCTTGAGACTGTCTACGGCGAAGGATCTCAGCTCCAAGACGCTACGCGACGATTCGACGTCCTCAAGGAGAAATTCAACCAAGTCTTCGGTGCTACTCCTCAGCTCTTCGCTCGCTCTCCCGGTACAATTTCTTCTGACCTGATTTCAAAATTCTAGTAATTTGAATGATGAGAAATCGAATACATGATCATGGGTTAACCAAAAAAAAACGAGATCAAGCTAAAAAGGTAATGGTTTTTGTGTGCAGGAAGAGTGAATCTGATCGGAGAGCATATTGACTATGAAGGATACTCAGTGTTACCAATGGCTATTCGTCAGGATACGATTATCGCAATCCGGAAAAACGAGGGTCAAAATCAGCTTCGAATTGCAAATGTCAATGATAAGTACTCTATGTGTACATATCCTGCTGATCCTGAGCAGGTTTAATACCTGAACCATCTCTTCGTTTTTTGGGCCTTTTGGAAGTTTTTGCTTTGCTCTGTTCGTCGCACAAAAAGACTAGAGCTTTGGGAACTTTAGAGTACTAATGCCTTATTATCATTTATGTCAATCTTGCAGGAAATTGACTTGAAGAATCACAAATGGGGCCATTACTTCATATGCGCGTAAGTAGTGATCTCCATCAGAGATCTCACATTTTTTTTTATTCTTGAAGTGCCTTACGATTTTTCGATTTTTGCAGGTACAAAGGGTTCCATGAGTATGCAAAGTCAAAAGGAGTGAATCTTGGTTCACCAGTGGGACTTGATGTGATTGTTGATGGAATTGTTCCTACAGGTATATAGATTCCCAAATACATGCATCATGAATTCATGATATCACTTTTTGCCTGGATTTTTCAACTGAAGAACTTTGATTTAGGTTCTGGATTGTCAAGTTCTGCTGCGTTTGTTTGCTCATCAACGATTGCTATTATGGCTGTCTTTGGTGAGAACTTTGATAAGGTATTATTACTCACTCAGTCTTTCTTAAGTTGAAAGGAACTATCGTACATAGCTGATTATTGAATTGGCCATGTTCTCTCTGTTTCTCGTCGCTTTCAGAAAGAACTTGCACAGCTTACATGTGATTGTGAACGACACATTGGAACACAATCTGGTGGGATGGACCAGGTCAGAGATTTCTCTTGGAATAATCCACCATCATCTATTAGCAAGAATTCTCTTAAGTTTCTGATTGATCATGATTTCAACAGGCAATCTCTATTATGGCTAAAAGTGGTTTTGCTGAGCTTATTGACTTCAACCCTGTTCGAGCAACTGATGTTCAACTCCCTGATGGTGGGAGCTTTGTGATTGCGCATTCTCTTGCAGAGTCTCAAAAGGCGGTCACGGCTGCTACGAATTACAACAACAGGGTCGTTGAATGTCGACTTGCTTCAGTAAGTCTTTAGCATAACTTTTCCCACTGCAAACATCTTAAAAAACTTTGTTTGCTAAACTAACATTTGGCTTTGGAATTGTAGATCATACTTGGGATTAAGCTCGGAATGGAAACAAAAGAAGCAATATCAAAAGTTAAGACTCTTTCCGATGTGGAGGGATTATGTGTGTCATTCGCTGGTGATCATGGCTCATCTGATCCTAATCTTGCTGTTAAGGTACTCTCACCCAATCGTTCTCTGCTAAAACAGACTGCTTCGTGTTTACGTAAAGTCGATTTTAGGTTTTTGTGTTCTTTCTTGTCTATGCTGCAGGAGTATCTTAAAGAAGAGCCGTATACTGCGGAGGAGATTGAGAAAATCGTTCAGGAGAAGTTACCATCAATCTTGAACAACGATCCAACATCTTTAGCTGTACTTAATGCTGCAACGCATTTCAAATTGCATCAGGTAACTCTCTATAAATGTAAAAGCCTGTGGAATTTTGTTTTCTTTTATTTTAAAAAATAAGACTCACTTCTTACGATCATCAATAGAGAGCTGCACACGTTTATTCTGAAGCTCGGAGAGTCCATGGTTTTAAGGACACTGTCTATTCAAACTTAAGGTGAGATTGCTTTTCTCCATCAAACCTTCTTGATAAATCTGTCAGAACCTTAAGACCTTGAAACATTGACTTTGGCAGTGACGAAGAGAAGCTAAAGAAACTTGGCGATCTCATGAATGAAAGCCATTACAGCTGCAGCGTCCTATACGAGTGCAGGTGCATAAAATTTTAAGATCAGTGTGAAATCAGTGAATGTCAAAACTCAAAATGGATTGATTTTGAATTATTGATGAAACCACGCAGTTGTCCGGAGCTAGAAGAACTGGTTCAAGTTTGCAGGGAGAATGGAGCACTTGGAGCAAGACTGACCGGAGCTGGATGGGGCGGTTGCGCCGTCGCCTTGGTCAAGGAATCTGGCGTTTCTCAGTTCATCGCCGCCGTCAAGGTAATAATAAAATGCTTTCTTGTGGTTTTAGTAACACTAAGTTTGATAGGAGAGTAATGTTAAAGCAATGGAATTGTGTGTGTGGGGTATTTCAGGAGAAATATTACAAGAAGAGGGTAGAGAAAGGAGTGGTCAAGGAAGAAGACATGGAGCTTTACCTTTTTGCCTCCAAGCCTTCAAGTGGTGCTGCCATCTTCAACTTTTAAACATCTCTCTCTCTTATTATATCTGAATTGTTTGCAATTGCGCTCTATTGAATTACGTATCAATAAATATTATTGGATGATATGTTCGCCTGAAATCAATAAAATATTGAGTAGGAGTGGACGTAATACTATAATGAAGTTTCATTTACAAAGTTGATTTTTTTTGTTATTCTTAACGTCACTAACACAAACCTAAGATTCAACATCTATACTCTTAGCCTCTCTATTGTTATTCACTTTCTCATACCCAACCACATATCTTGGCAAATGCCTTGAGTAAACCGGTGTGTTCTTGCATTGGCCATCTTCCCTGATTCTCCAACAAGCCCTTGTCATCTTCTTGTTTCTGTTGTTGCCATCACCACACTCACCATTCTTAGGCAGCTGAGAAGCTTTCACAATCGATAATTGGATTAAACCAACTGGTCCCCGGAAGCTTCCGCTGTTTAGATTCTTCAGAAAGTCTGTCTCTACAGATTCAATCTCCGAAACGTTGATGGTTGTGAGCTGTAACCCCCAGTAGAACACAATGTTTGGCTGCTTTCCATAGCTTTCTACGTACTCCGTTGGGTTTGGATCGCAAATGCCAAAGACTTCCTCCATCTGCATCAAAGATGAGATGAGAGATTTTCAATAACATGTAGTTACAAGCAAAATGTCATCCTAAGAACAGATCACAGTGCGTACCCTGAGGAGAAGACAGCGGAAACGTGACTTAACCCAACCAACCCAATCACTAAGATCTTCCTTATTAGCAGCCGAGAGGTGTATCTTGGCGAACAAGGCATATGTGCTTTCATATGGATAAGGCTCAAACAAGAATTTCCAATTGAAGTTTGGCTTCAAGTAACCCTGGAAATCACAATCGTAAGTGCGTAGGATCGACCAAAATGGCATTCCTTGGGTAGAAAGGCAAGATCCAAAGACCTAAAACCCTAGCCAATCAGGATATTACTCTACAGAAACAAACCACTAATTATTCGGTTGAGATTGGAACATTTGAGAAAGTATAAGACTCTCTCACATTTGTCAAATTAAGCCCACGGAGAAACTCTGCGGTTATCTTGTAAAATGTGCTCCTTGTTACGTTGGAGTTGCAGTAGTGATTCGAACCGCATGGCAATTGGATGGGCATTAACCCTGGAGGTGACCCTGTAGCTCCATAAGTGTGCCCTAGGAGCACCACTGGTGTAGGCCATTGCCAAAAAGCAAATGTGTTGAAGAAACTCGCAACAAGGGAGCTCAACGTAGCATTCGGCTCGTATCCACATACAAATGCAGCAAGAACAGCCATATGGACTCCCCCTAGGAACCCATTCAACTGAAAATCAAAATCAATCAAGCTTATACAATATTCATTGATAACCAAAAAAACATTTCACTGGTAACCAAAAATATGCACTCGGCACTTACGTTACCGTATACACCACGCCTCTTTGCCCATAATTTGACACACCGTAGTAATGATTGGAATAGCTAAAAAAAAACAGGAATAAACATAAGTTGAATATTGTATCAAGTTACTGTTGGATCACTATTACCTGTACGGATGGCACAAGTTGAAGTAAGCATTTGTTTGCGCGAACACCAGACAAGCTTTTCCAACTTGTCTCATCAATATCCCTCAGAAAGAAAGGATTAAGCACATCTACATCCTGAAGTGTGCTTCAAGCTAGTTAACATATTTTTTGAACAAGATATATAATGATTACGAAAAGCTGTTTAAAGAAGTTGGAAACGTAATGAGAACTAACGTTTGGAATGGATAGTACTTTAAGCTGAGCGTATGGAAGATCAACCAAGAACCCATCAAACTTGAAGCGGATGAGAGGAACTTTCGCGTCTTTAACACAATGAATCTCGGTAACTTCTCGTCTGCTTTTTAGCATGTTACGCAAGACAGTGAAAAAGTCTTCCTGAAAGCAATGAGAGAACAATCTTAAGGAAACGTAATCTCAAATCATTCTTAAATACTGGAAAACTCACAGCTATAGAGGCAAAGAAAGGACCAATGCACAAAGCGTCAATGTCTGAGTCACAACCATGAACCTGTATGATGATAACAAGGAAGACAATGATAATAGCTAAAAACACTATTTTAAAATTTGGAAAAAAGGAACAGCTTTTTACTTTTTTATAATAAAGATAATCTTACCCCAAGACCATAAGATCCATAAGCTATTACGGTGGCGTTGGTAGCTGCAATCTGATGCTGAGGAAGACGTCGTTGCCAAGCAACATTCTTAATCCATTTCACCACTATCTGTTCATTAAACTCTGACACATGACATCACTGTCTGAACAAAAATTGATCCAACACAAAAAGGATAATTAGAAATGTACCCTTTGAAGCTTATTAATAACAGCTCTTCGTTTCTCCTCGTCTTCAAGAGATGGAATGAGTCTTTCATTAGCCATAAGCTACAAAATTTGAAAAAATAGAAAATGTGGTCTCAAGTCTTTGAAAGGAGATACTCAGTATTGTGTTGAAATCGCTAGGAAAACTAATTTACCTGACGAAGCGAAATCGAGCTTTCTTCTTCCATAGGAGGAGGAAAGTCTGTGGACATGATAAGAGACGTAACGTGAGGAACAAGGATCCCGCAAAGATAGGGTTTTTCGGAGAAAAACGCGACGATGATCGAAGGCATTGCTCAACATTGACATTTTGGCGGTTGGCATAATCCGCCATACATAAACAAAAACTCATGAAAGAGAGAAGATTTTGCAAGGAAAATGGACTCACCTTTATTTCTCCGTCCTCCCTTTCTCATTTCCAGAAAATGTCAGAGTTTCTTGCCCTTGTTTTCCCGAGAAAATATTGAGAAAAGACGCAATAAATTGGTGATTTCGCGGTTGCTGTAGTCTTCTCCGCCTTCGCCTTCGTTTTGAACTTGAAACGACTAAATTTCGTAAAACCAGCGCACGATTGTTTCGGTCCCACCAAATTCATTGACACGTGGCATATATGTATTTTTCAAAAACAATGGACCAACAGTAGTATACATTAATATGACCATATAACGGAATTTCACGAAATCACAAAGAAAATATATACATGGATCATAAAATCAATTTTTTCTTTGTTGGCGGATCATAAAATCAGTTAATTACCAACCAATATGGAGAGAGTGATCTTTATTCTTTAGTTGTCAGTGAATATTAAAAATTCCAGTTTTCTTACTCCAAAATGATTGCAAGTGAAGAAACTTCTTTTTGATATTCAAATCTAAAGAAACGCGTTGTTGACAAACAATATGAATGCACATCCCCCCTCATAATCATTAGTCTTTGCTCTTTGGTTTATAACTTCAGATGAAGAAAATGAAATAAAGTTTTAACATTTAATTTTTACGAAAAACCAAAAAATAACAACTGCTTACAGTATGCAAAATAAAATAAAATGTTGATGATAAGTCCGATTAGAGACGGTGGGCGATACACTTCAGTACTTCACCATCAAGCAATGTTATTGGGAAAGCACATGTCACACAAATTTTGGAAAAACTTACATCCTTCGTATATAGTAATCTATACATTCTGAAATTGAAAAATCTTTAGGAATCAAAATGTAAAAGTACAATGCACCGAGAGTAAAAACAAAATAGTAAATTGTCTTTTATTATCTTGGCTTTCTATTTACAACAGCGAATTATAAGAAAACGTTTTTTTGGTTGTTAAAAACTCACACCATGCATGGCCCCCGATTTTGATAGAAGAGTATAAAAACCAAAAAGTTCTTTTCATAGCTTTGTTTCGTTTGGTCATAATCCTCCGTAAAATTTTGTCGGTTAGTAAATTTTTTCTTCTTCTGGAGTATCAAAAAAATTGATTGATGTTGTGTTAACCGCTAAAACTCTTTCCGTCTTTCGCATTACAATTTACACAGTTCACTCGTTTCCTTGTAAGCTTATCTGAGAGGCTAATTTGTATCTTTAAAAGGGACGAGCGAGAGAATTATAGGATCTACACTTCATCCCGATTTTAGCTCATTGCGTGTTTCTCTTTCTCGATTCGATCACAATATCTACCAGATCTGGTTCAAGGAGAGCGAATCGAATTGCCCAAAGTTCAAACAAACTGACGACGACTGTGTGGAGTTTTGAATCCGTCAATTTGTATCGCGCTTGGACGCTCTTTCTCTGATCGGAAATGGCGATTTCAAGCCCTGTTACTCCTGGGCTGGTACGTGTTACGAACGGGTTTTTGTTGTTATTGTTTTAAGCTTTCGTTCATCTGAATTAGATCTTGCTTGATTTAGCTTTTTCGAGAACTTTTTTTGAGCTCTTGTTGATTTGGTAGTAGTGATAGGAGAGTGATAAATTTTTTTTTTTCGTTTTCCGGAAATTGCAGATGTCGGTGGTGCTCGGGATTGTGCCGGTGATCGTGGCTTGGCTATACTCCGAGTATCTGCACTATACCAAACATTCAGTCTCCGCCAAAGCGTACGTTGATTCAATGTTATTCTTTTCAGTGATGATGGAGTTTTTCTTTGATTTTTTATCTTTGGTTGTTGTCTATGTTAGTAGGCACTCTGACGTCAATTTGGTGGAAATTGCGAAAGATATTGTGAAAGAAGATGACAAAGCTCTTTTACTAGAAGATGGAGGTGGTCTCCAATCAGCTTCTCCTAGAGCTAAGGCTTTGTCCACGCATTCTCCTCTCATCAGGTTCCATTAGCTCTTCCCCAAGCTACCAGTTTACCTCTGACGTTTTCTCTTATGCTTTAGCCGGGTTCTGCGCAGGTTTGTTCTCTTGGATGAGTCGTTCTTGGTTGAAAACAGGCTCACGTTAAGAGCAATGTGAGTCTTGGGGGTTCGTTTTCTATGTTCAAAGGTCCCTTCTTTTGAAATACATCCACTTTATTTTAAATGGTTTTGTTTTCTATGCAGAATTGAGTTTGCAGTTCTTATGGGATACTTTTACGTATGTGACCGCACGGATGTCTTCAATTCATCAAAGAAGGTGATGATGATATCTTCTTTTTATAATAATCATTCAAGTTTGTCTAAAATGCCAAGACTCTGAAATGTGATAGAAAACAAAGATTGTGAATTTGATATGTTATTGATGAATATCCTTTGATACAGAGCTACCTGCTTCAACGTGACTAAATAGTTTACATTGTTTATCTATTGATACAGAGTTACAACCGGGATCTCTTTCTGTTCCTTTACTTCCTTCTCATCATCGTTTCAGCAATAACTTCATTCACCATACATAATGATAAATCAGCTTTCAACGGAAAGTCCATCATGTACTTGAATAGGCATCAGACCGAGGAGTGGAAAGGCTGGATGCAGGTTTGTTATTTATCTTTCGATTTGGTACATGTCTGTTAATGCATCAGCTGAGAAGATTTGATTGTAGTGTTCATTCCTTAATTTGCCTTTTCGTCTGCTGTTACCTCATCATTGTTTTCTTTTTTCTTCTGGTGTTGTAGGTCCTCTTTTTGATGTACCACTACTTTGCTGCTGTAGAATACTATAATGCAATCCGTGTTTTCATTGCTTGCTATGTATGGATGACTGGATTTGGGAACTTTTCTTATTATTACATTCGCAAGGACTTTAGCCTTCCAAGGTTTGCACAGGTAACTACTATGTCCTCCCGGATTTCTCTCTCTCATCTCTAGTTGTCACCTACTTAAAATTCTAACAAGCTCTAGCTCAACAGATGATGTGGCGGCTAAATTTCCTGGTCATATTCTCCTGCATTGTTCTTGACAACAGTTACATGCTATACTACATCTGCCCAATGCACACTCTGTTTACTCTGATGGTCTACGGAGCACTTGGTATCATGAACAAGTATAATGAGATCGGTTCAGTCATGGCCGCCAAATTTCTTGCCTCCTTCTTTGTGGTTATCATCGTTTGGGAAATTCCCGGCGTCTTTGAATGGATTTGGAGTCCATTTACGCTCCTACTGGGTTAGTGACTTTCCCATTGCCAACAAAATGTGCTCATGAGATATCTGTTTTAACAGAATAACGCTAAAAACAACAATTGCAGGTTACAATGATCCCGCGAAACCACAGCTTCCACTCTTGCATGAGTGGCATTTCCGCTCGGGTCTTGATCGGTACATATGGATAATCGGGATGCTATATGCATATTACCACCCAACTGTAAGTTCTCAATTCCTACACTTGAACTTCACATCAACTCTGTTGGCAAATGGGTGGCTTAGTGATAAAGACTTAGCGTATCAAGTCCTTCGTTTTCTTTATTATGTATCTTTCAGATTGAAAGTTGGATGGATAAACTGGAGGAAGCTGAGATGAAAGTCAGGATGGCTATCAAAACGACTGTGGCACTGATAGCACTAACGGTATAACAAATCATCGTTTTACTTTCTTGCAGCTGAAAGAAGCCTTTACATATGTTTCCTCTAGCTAATCAATCTTCGTTGTTATGAAAATTTTAGGTGGGATATTTTTGGTACGAGTACATATACAGGATGGACAAGCTAACGTACAACAAATATCATCCTTACACCTCTTGGATTCCAATAACGTATTTCACTTCACTCTCAAAGCTCTGTACATTGTATCTTTCAAAAATCAGTCCTAACTTGCGTGTCGTTGTGTGCTTTTCTTTCAGTGTTTATATCTGTCTCCGGAACGTCACCCAGTCTTTCCGCGGCTACAGCTTGACCCTTCTGGCGTAAGTAAAACATTTGAGTCCAATAGATATTATTCGTCCTACTATTTTGATTTCTCCAGATTAAATTTTTTTTTTGTGTTCATGAACGTTCAGGTGGCTTGGGAAGATAACACTGGAGACATATATCTCCCAGTTTCATATATGGCTCAGGTATGTCTCGCTTCGTCTTGCCTATGTTCTCAGCTGTAGCTTAAGTTGGAAATTAATGGTTGAGAATGCCAAATACAATAAGGTCTTCAATATTTGTCTTTAGCCATATTGAACTATGAAATGTTCTAATGAACTCACAGATCTGGAGTTCCTGATGGCCAACCAAAGTTACTACTATCTCTGATCCCGGAATACCCGTTGTTGAACTTCATGCTCACAACTTCGATTTACGTGGCTGTAAGCAAACTCTGCCACAGCAGATACAAACAATTTTGAAAGCCAAAGAAGAAAGAAAGAAAAGAAAGAAACTGATTGGCGTTTTTGTTGCTCTGTTTGTTTCAGGTCTCTTATAGGCTCTTCGAGCTTACCAACACTTTGAAAACAGCCTTCATACCAACCAAGGACGACAAGCGACTTGTTTACAACACCATCGCAGCACTCATAATCTGCACTTGTCTCTATTTCTTCTCATTTGTTGTCATCAAAATCCCCCAAGTGGTTAGTCAATAAAATTCTCTCTCTCTTTTGTATGGAAGAAAGCTGTTCTTGATGCTTGGGGGTCATTGATATGCCAGTGCGTAGACAAAGTAAAGCACGAATGTCATTTTTTTATATATTTGATTGAACCATCTCACGTTTTATAATATCATGGGAAACAACCAGGTGTGAAGTATGTCATGAACCGGAGCAGAGTGGATTAGTTATTTATTCGAAACTATGCGATATACGAAGATATAGATAGAAAGCAGAGGTAGATCATGCGTACAATGTTATATGAAAGAGTCTTGCCTCGAGTAGTCCGGGCGGTAAATTAAATGTCATCTTTCTGTAAAATTGATTCATTCCTGTGTTGTTGTTAACTTGTTATGAACTCAAAACTAGAACATGTCGGTGTTCTGTCTTTGTTTATTTATTTACGTTTTGTTCACCATTATGTTAGATTTCGCAACTCTATATTACCTACCAATTTATATGGATTTCTGATGTATATCTTGTTTTGTCAAAGGATTTCTGATGTATATCAAACAATGAATATTGTTATGATGGATTATATTAACAAATGCAAAATATAGTAAAATTCTTAAATTCATCTATATATAGATTCATATAAGCTTTTTTTTTTTTTTTAATAATGTAAGCTTCTTGAATAATATAAAAGCAGTATGGAGAATTACGACTCAAACGTAATAAGCAATGCCTGAAAAATGAAAATAACAACAAAATTCAAAACGTTTCATAATATACATGTGAAGATCGATGCTGCATATAAAATGACGTATATGTATATATAAATGCATGATACAGCGATGGAAGTTTTTATAATTGCTTTGCTATATCAAGGCCTCAAGAGTATATTTTAGATCCTTTGGGAGGCGGATACACTGACATATGTATGTAGTGCATGTATTTTCATAATGTTTCATTCGAGTAGTCATCTAATTTAAATAGTCATCTAATTTTATTTGTCAAAAAAAAAAGGTAGTCATCTAATTTAAGTCGTGCATGAAGGCTTGAGAGCTTTTAAGTACGTAGTGTTTTTTTTTTTTTTTTTTTAATTTTTTTTTAATGTTAAGATTTTATACCAAATTTTTGTTTTTTGACAGAAGTTACAGGGGAACTAAGAAGACAGAAAGACCAAAATCTAAACAAACAACCTACAGCAAGAACAATAATCAGAAGCAGAAAAGCAGAAAGAACAAGGAAAGAAAACAACAAACACAAGCAAGGGAATAGAAACCAACGCAGTCGCAAAGAGAGAAACCCAGCAAGATCAGAATCCAAGTTGCCACGAGTCACTGTAGTCCAAGAGAAGCCCTCAAATACTCGGACCGAAGACAGTGCCTACAGCTTCTTCAAAAACCAACGCCTAAGGAAACCTGCAAAGACGACCAACTCGGATACAAACTCGAACGAACCACCAACACACCGGCGACATGGGAATGCAAATAAGCAGAAAGAGCCAAACTCAGCAAGGAGCTCGAGAGAAGTCGCTTCCCAATCTCAATCCCGAAACGAGATCCCAAAATCAAGCAACTTTCCACTTGAGTGTCTTCCCCGGTGTAAAAGAAGAGGAAAGAGAAAGCAGCCAACGGCTTGCCACAACGAGCTAGAACCTGTTGCAACCTTCACTATCCAAACCAACAGATCCACAAAAGACTATGCTACAACGGCTAAAGGGGAGCCACACCGGAAGCCAAACCTGGAGAGAAACAGAGCAAACACCTCGCCGCCAAGCTCTGAATAAGGCGACGTGGAGACCTCGTCACCGGCAGAGACAACCACTCACTGCCGTAAAGAGAGATCACCTCAAATCTCTACTACACCAAGAAAGCAACCACCCACGAACCTCTGCTGTAAGGGAGACAACCGGAAGAACACAGAGCACCACCGACACACCGCGGAGGAGGAGAGAACCGCAGATCTGGAAGCACTGGAACCGCAGATTTGGTACCATCTCTTTTAAGTACGTAGTTAAAAGAGATGGTACCAAAGTTCACTATTATTATTAGTATAAGTTACACATATCAACTTGTCTTAGACATTTACACTTACGGACTTTGAAAATTATATTTATATCGACAGAGAACGTATGTTACGTATAGACATTTATACTTTTGTCGCGATTAAAGGAAATGTAAGATCACACCCTTGAAATGACTAAATAATTTGATATCGTGGAAAATAAAATAAAAAGAGTTGATCTCGTGTATATACAAAAATAGATCAATTTTTTGAGCAAAAAATATATCAATTTTTTGAGCAAAAAATAGATCATTATGATATACGCGTAAAATAGAGCCAACTTCTCTCCCGATAGAGACGACTTTTCGTGCGATTGTCACAACCGCCGTCTTTGCGTCTTTTCTCCGGCCGACATTGGCTTCACGCATCTCCAGCGTCGACACCAATGCCTATTTTTATTGTATATTCAATCTGGGTTGGGTTTAAGTTTCTATCCAATTTGAATCTCATCACTTATGGAATGTCATCTACAACATCTAAACTGTTAGATGATTGTGTTAATCTTGAATCCGATGATGGTTTTACGACAGGCACACGGCGGTTTCTTCATGCCACACCTATGGTGGTGTATCACAGTGATCGCTGATGTTGTGCGGCGTTGGTCTCCCATTTCGTTCAAGCGTTGTCGGTTCCAATGGGTAACCGTTTTTCTCTCTCATGTAGAGTTTCTTTCCGGTGTAACCGGTTTTGGTGTTGGATTGTTGTCAATTTACCTTGTATGGGATCCAGGAATCTCTCTCATGATAGAGGATACGTTAGCCATTAAACGAAAACGTAAAATGGTGACACCACATCAACATAGATTAGATGAAACTAAGGTCTTTTGCACACACTTGTGTAAAGGAGATATTAGTTTCTTTTCATCTTTGGTTATCAGAACTTTCTTATTCGGGATTGAGAGAAGGATGTAGAAATTTGAAACCAGCAAGGGGAAAATCAAAGTCAAAGTTCTTCACAATGACTATGATACGGAAGCTTTGGTATCATAATGTCGATATTTCAAAACTTTTATCGGAAGCATCGGGTTTTGCAATGCGGTGTGCAATTTGGAGGTTAAGCCAAGAAACGCTACTCAAGCACACAATTCGCATAAGAGAAAGATCGAGTATGGAGAAGGAAAATAATGGATATCATAATCTGTTAGCGAGTAAGGCTTATCTAAGGCATCGTTAAATTCACTTCTTCTGGAGTATCTTTTTCAGTATATGGCACATATATCTGCTTATATATGTAATAATTTGCTTTTTGAGAGTTCTGTAAATGACTTTGCAATCCCGATTTGATATCAATGAAATTATTAGATGGAAAGAAAAAAATGATATACGCGTAAATTAATTAGTTATTTTCAAATTTAAAATTATTACTAGCGTTTCTGCAAACTCTCGTACCCACAACCGCAACCGCAACCGCAACAATTAAACCAAACAAGCAGTCAAACTTAATGAAAATGAGATAATACTTCACATTTTCTATATTATTGCCATTGTTATCTTACTAAAAATACATGTGGGGGTATTGCTATTTTGATATCTTACAATCTCCTCATTGTCTTTTTCTCAAATATAACATAAGATTTTTCCTAGAATTTTTAATCCTCTCTCTCTATCTGTCTATTTCATTTTTTTTTCAATTAATTAGTCAAAACCTTTGCAAGCAAATAAAATCAAAATCAAAAACACTTTTCAACCAACATTATCCAAAATGAAAATGAAACATTGTTCCCAAACTTATAACATCAAAATCATTAAACAAACCATACACAGACTTATTGATTCATTACAAACCCATCCAAATCATTAAACAAACCATACTCAAGACTTGTTGACTCATTTACAAACCAATACCGGATTATTAAAAAGGAAAGGGAGACTCTAGAAATCCAAACTGAAATCCATACTCGATATTTGGAAACCGGCCTTCTCTTCACACCACATCATCAATAGTTCCTGAACTAGAAATTCCAGTCATTGAAAGTTGAACAGTTCATGAAGGAGCAGCCCATTCAAAGTTAACCTGATGGTCTTGTACATGTCTTGTGCATATGGCCAAGACGCTCACGTATTGGCATACGGAAAAAAGTGGTTAGAGCCAACTGACAAGCTAAACAATTACCGTATGCCAAATATTGTAGATAACAACTGTGAAATAGTGTCCTTTTCTTGTTAACCAAAGTTTTCAATCCAGGAAACTTGGTGGTCATAGAACTAGTAACCTATTTAGCTGGTAGAAATTATCGTTAAGCAAAAATAACGGATACTTTCCATAATGAAAGAAAAACTTTGATTCAGAGATTGGGTATATACAAAAGATCCTTATAGGATAAGTATATTAGGGATATATTTGGCTCGTGGGTATATACAAAAGATTTACCATAATCTCAACTAACAAAAGAGATATTGACAATCTTCCGTTTATTGATCTCAACTCTGAAGAAACCAATGTTTTATTTACCAAAACAATAAAAGGATTATTTATCATTATCAAATCAATAATATGAGATTTTTAAATAATTCTTCTAATTTTAATAATCTACAAGATTTTGATTGTATCTCGTGCCTAAAACAAATACAAAAAAAAAAAGGTAACAGTAAATTGTAGTCTCACCATTTTCCGATTATTCAACCGCACAGGCTAAAGTCGCGGTGGTCTGAGTCTGATCCCGATTTATTCGAGCCACACCATGAGCGACCTTCCTCCCTATCCTCCGCTTGATCCTACTACCTACGATCTCATTGTCGTCGGCACCGGAGTTTCCGAGTCCGTCCTCGCCGCCGCCGCTTCCTCCTCCGGCAGTTCTGTTCTCCACCTCGACCCAAACCCCTTCTACGGCTCTCACTTCGCCTCCCTATCTCTTCCCGATCTCACTTCCTTCCTTCAATCAAACTCCGTTTCTCCTCCGCCGTCAAACTGCGACGATTTCCACTCCGTGGATCTCGTTAACCGATCCTTGTATTCCTCCGTCGAGATTTCGAGCTTCGAGCCGGAGATCCTCGAAGAACACTCGAGGAGATTCAACGTTGACTTGTGCGGTCCTAGGGTTATCTTCTGCGCCGATGAATCCATCAATCTCATGCTGAAATCAGGATCCAACAATTACGTTGAGTTCAAGAGCATCGACGCGAGCCTCGTTGGGGATTCGAGCGGAGAGCTACGGAATGTGCCGGATTCGAGAGCTGCTATATTCAAGGACAAGAGCTTGACTCTGTTGGAGAAGAATCAGCTGATGAAATTCTTCAAGCTTGTTCAGTCACACTTGGCTCCGTCAACCGAAAACGACGCGACAACAACAGTCAGGATATCGGAGGAAGACATGGAGACTCCATTTGTGGATTTCTTGGCCAAAATGCGTTTGCCTCCCAAAATCAAATCGTATAGCTTCCTTCTCCGTTAGTCGTATTTCTCTGCTTAATCACTTCACTTCTTGGCAGCTTTTTGTTTCTCGAAGCTGATGGTAAAGGCTTCTTCTTTGTTGTAGGATCATCTTGTATTCCATTGCGATGCTCGATTATGATCAAGAAGACACGGAAACTTGTAGATATCTACTCAAGACCAAAGAGGGCATTGATCGATTGGCTTTGTACATTACATCTATGAGCAGGTCATCTTTCTCATCCGTTTCTTCCTCTACATTGGTTATACTCAAGTGTAATTTAGCTTTCAACTTGAAATTTGCTCTCTACTTTCAGATTCCCTAACGCACTTGGGGCATTGATATACCCAATCTATGGACAAGGTGAACTTCCGCAAGCTTTCTGTCGCCGGGCTGCTGTCAAAGGATGCATCTACGTACGTATCGAACAATCTGCTGCGTTTTTGTACTGAGTCTCTGTGGAATTTGGTACTTATCTGGTCTGTATGTGTAATGAACAGGTTCTCAGGATGCCTATTATTGCTCTGCTTCTAGACAAGGCAAGTGAGTCGGTCGACTGCTGTTACCAAAGAGATGTGATAGGATGTTGAGTTTGAGTTCTTATCAAGATGTTGAAATGGTTTGCTTGACAGCTGATTATTTTGAAAAATTGCAGGAAAGTGGGGGTTACAAAGGGGTTAGACTAGCTTCGGGTCAAGAGATATTCAGCCAAAAGTTGATTCTGGATCCATGTATTACTCTTGGAGACGAGTCGCTGTCATCATTGACAGATGAGCAGAAGGAAACTCTTCGGGTTCTTGTCCCGAAGACGATAAGCAGTAAAGGGAAAATAGCTAGAGGAATATGTATCATTAGAGGTTCTGTCAAAGCTGATATATCAAACGCCCTTATCGTGTATCCACCTAAATGTAAGATCAATGTTTAAGATAATACCCACTAGTTAGTTGTTTATGTATTGAAAGTTCTACTCTTATTGGTTTTCTTTTTCTTCTTTTTCTCTCAGCTTTGTTTCTAGAACAGCTAACTTCGATTCGGGTTCTACAGCTTGGTAGTGGTTTAGCGGTTTGTCCTGCTGGGATGTAAGTTGTGGTTTAGCCAGAGAAGATCTTTCCCATTTTCATTCTGTTTCTTTCTCTACAATTTGTTCCCTGAGTCATATGTTTGCTGGTGCAGGCATGTTTTGTATCTTTCAACTTTGTGTGACGACGATGATCAAGGGAAAAAGGCGCTATTATCAGCCATGACTACTCTCATCAAACCGCCTGTTCCTGAGAATCTTCATAGCGTTTCCGTTGCTGAGAATGATGGTACTGAAGCAAAACCTTCTCTTCTCTGGAGAGCACTGTACGTACAAGAGCTGGTCAAGGTGTGGAATGTGATTTTCTCTCTTAGTGACTTTCTCATTTCGATCATGGTAATGTTGTTTCACTAAATGGGAGATTTTTACTTGAATTAGGGTGAGTTTGGAGGTAGTATCAGTTCCGCGTCTAGTCCAGATGGAAATTTGAACTACAATGAGATTGTGGAATCAGCCGTGAAGGTTAGTAAAGGCTCCTTACGAATAAGTAGTTATGATTTCGATAACAACTTTATAAGATAATGTTATCTGACAACATATCTTGGATTTCGCAGCTATATGAACAACTCATGGGGAGTGAAAAAGAATTGTTTAAAGAAGAGACCTCACCAGAGGAAAACGATGGTGGTGTTGAAATAGATTGATTTATTATTGGAGACCATTGTTTTTGATAACTCGTTTAATTATTTTATTATGTTCATGTGATGATATTTACCGTCCATAACATATACATACTTCTGTTGGCATGTACAACTAAGATCTCTTTTAGTTTATATACCCTTTTTCTTCTCAAATACTTACTTTCAACCAGCAGCTTGAGCCAAATGAGAGAACATTAAAGCGACGTCGTTTGTGATAAAGGTCTCAAACGGGCCAACTCTATCCAGGCCCGTTTAAGCACAATATTTCACAGGCCCGCTGGGAGCTTTAAGCCAATATTTACATCAGTACACAAATTAAGAAATTAACAGCTCATCAAAAATGCTTACACTTCTGCAAATAAGTATAAATGATCACATAAACAGATCTATTCTCAGGTAATCATACAAATGTGTATCAAACCCAAAAATTCCAGAGTTATATAATAATTTGATTAATATACCAACACAAACAGGAGACATCAAAATTGGGGAAATAGCGAGCAGAGAGTATCAGAAGTATTGCGTCAGACTTTCACCACTCATCTCTTCCATCTGTTTGATGATATCTTGAGCCAGAGATTTAACAGAGAGCTCAACGTCTTCCAGTAGTTCGCCCAAGAATGGAATGGTTTCAGCGAGCAACACATGGTACTCTTCCCTCAGATTTTCCAGAATCTGTTTCACACTTCTCAGACTCAACATCCTCGAACGCAAGTTCTCACTCCTCGATTGCATTAGCACCTCGTGGTTCAGCGGTTTCCAGAGAAGGTCAGAGCCTGACGCTACTGCCATTTGACCGATGCAAGAAACCAACAGCTCATCAACCTCTTCCACCGATGGTACATTTGGATGCTCCTTTAAAGAGGACGGTGGTTCAACAACTAGCTGTGATACAATTGGCTTCAGTAGCACCTGTGGAGAACAAGAAGACGGTTTCAATCAAAATCACTACACCAATATAGATAGACATGTTTAAAAGAATAAGGTAAATGATATTGATAAATACCTGGAAGTTATTTGTATCCAGAAACTTCATGCTTCCAGTGTCATACAAGAAGCAATTCTTCAAGGACGAAAGCACCAGTGCCCTTAGATGCCAGCTTTTTGGAGGTATAGTGTCATCTGTTTTCTGAATTTTCGCTTTCTTTGTCTTCCTGGTTGAAACTGATGCTTCCACACTGGTGAGATGCGATACAATACCATCAAGCACGAATTTGAAATATGGTACAAAGATTGACCTGCATTCAACAATAAAAGAAATAGAAGTTAAAGTTAAGTTTCTCTCAATTATCCAAAACTATACGTAAAGGGGATCGCAATTCTTTAAATGTGGTTGTTCACTCACCTGTGACTCTCACATAGCCTGTTTACAAGACCATAGAAAGATATAGCTCGGTCGATACTCTTGCTTTCACTCCCGGATCCGTCTACAACATCCGACTCTGCCCATTCAATACTCCTGATAAAGAGTGGCCTGAACTCGGACTCGGTTAGCTTCTTTGTGAGAGCAACCATCGCGCTTGTGACGCTTCTCTCAGCATCGTCAATGTTCTCAATTGCTGCGGGATTTTGACGCCGAATATCAAGTGCAACTAAGCATTGGTCAAAAATCTTCCCATGGTTGCTAACAATCGATGGTCTGTCCATTTTCGTAACCAGGTTTTCTAACATCTCGAAAGTTATCACCAAGCTTGCATTTCCAGAAGTAACAGCCTCGTCGTATATCCGTAGAAGCGGTTGCAGAGTGAGACGAACCTGGAAGAAGTGGTTATTATTAAGATCACTGCCAACAAGAATTAAAAACAATTTAGATTTGTATATGTATATGAAGTACTCACTGATATTTTTTCAGTTAGGAGCCTCCTAATAGCATTGGCTTTAGACTTGAGATTCTTGTCGGAGTCGGAAACATATTCAGGCTGCAGCACCATGAGTCTAATGATATCTCCAAGATGAGGATTGAGGAAACCTCCAAGTTTATCAATCACTGCTTCCAAAGTGACTAGAACAGATAGCATAAGCAACTGCACTTCGGCTGTTGCGTTTCCACCACTCTTGGACGCAGATGAAACTTCGTGTGATTGTTTTACCAAATTTTTCATTATGCGTGGAAGTTCAACGAGCGCCTTTGGTCCAAGAACATTGATCAGTGCACCAGTTGTACGAAGACAGCTTGAAGATACTCCCAAGTTCTTTGAGCTGATGCCTTGTGCAACAGATGCAAGACACTTGCTGAAGATTGGATGATCAGTCGGAAACCTGCTAGCCAAAACTTCCAGTGTAGAAATAGCAGCTCGTTTAGCTGGAACACCTGACTCATCATCTGTCTCATCAATTAGATGGACAATTTCCTCACACAACTTTCCAAAAGATTCAACAGCAACCTCATCCAAGTTCAACCAAGAATTTCTTCTTTTTTGATTGGGGAGCCTCCTCTTGTGTTTCAGTTTCGAAGAAGAGGTGCCCTTTGCTCTGTCACTGATAAGCCCAAGTACCTGCGTTCACAAATAAATGCAACGTTTCGTCATTTAGCCAATAAGTGTGAGTACAAGTCTCCAGAAACCTGATTAAGGCTAAGGTAAACCAGTCGTCAAAGGAATATAAAAACATCCTCTAAAAAATCTGTTCTCTATCTTATTGCTCTAGTACGAAAATAAAAAAAGGCAATAACGTTACCTTTTTCGGTCCATTACGATCTGATTGCTGCTGAAGCAAGCTGGTAACAACTCTGAAATATATAGACAAATCCATGACTCCTGTGACAGTCATTAATATGTCATGTATACGCGTTCTGATTTCCTTTCTTTCTGCAGAAGTCACATCTTTCTCCGTTGTTGCATCAACAATTTGCAGGAGAGATATACAACCCTTCATAAGCTCATGCAGTTCTTGCTGAAAATTTAACAAAACATATAAGAAATTGACATTAACAAACAGAGAAACAAGGTAATTAAACAATCTATATGTCCAACTTTTTAACAACAATTTTAATGACAACGTGGGAAGAGGCTTTACCTGAATGCCTGTTGAAACACTATTTCTTGGTTCATGCGACACTGCAAATGCAAATTCTGGGTCTTGCAACTTGTGGAATAGAAATTCCAAGACAAACCGCATCTGAAAGAAACTTTGTTTGCTAGAACTGTCTTTGCTAATAGTTTGAAGAAGCTTGACCAGGGATGAGAGCCACGTTGAAGATGAATACTGTTCGCATATGTCCAGGGCAAAAGCATACTCCCATTCTCTCTTAACAACGGAAGTAAGACTTTCCGAAGTCTGGGCATTACCAAGCCAAGCTGAGTCTTTCCTTGAAATCAACGACTGGAATAAGAGGACAAGCAAAGAAGGCAAGCCATTTTGTTCACCGATAACTCTGCAGAACAAAGAATCTCCAATCAGTAACTTCAGAGAAATATCACGAGAATCCTAATTAAAATTCAAGTATCTACGAATTATTACCCCAGCAAGTAGGCTACAATCGAACGCCTTCTATGCTCAACAATATCAGGCAACACTTTCACAAAAATCTGTAAGGTCAAATTGAAAATAAGATATATTAATCCACGCTGCATATCTGAAGTACTGTATTGAGGAAAGCGAAACATCACTAAAAGATTACCTGCAGCAACTGCTCCTCACTCTTAGTCTTAGACAGCCAAAATGGAACGACGGATGATATAAACTCCTCAAAGATAGACTTCGAGTGGCTATCAATCTACAAATCGAAAATAAAGAAACAACAGTCAGGGAACATTTTGTCACAGTCAAAAATTCCGGGGAGTGCTATGAAAGATCCACACAAGACTAAAACAGTTATAAACTAACAAACCTGTGTCACCGTTGATTCACCAACAAGTGTAAGTATGCTGATAATATGGTCCAAAACTCTATCTGGGACAATTTTAACAATTGACGTGAACAGGGAGAAGATATAATTCCGTGTGACTCCATCATCTGATGAATGAGCAAACTCAACCAGCATTTTGACATTGATTTCATTCGCTATGTCAGCCTGCCATCAGAAGTGAATTCAGAGAACAAAACAAGCAACAATATCGCTAATCAACTTCATAAAAATTTAAGACATACCTTCAGATCATTCATATTGAGAGAATCAAAAATCTCTTTCAGGATTAAGAGCACTGTCTGTTGGATGGAAGAAATAGAGGTATGAGTTGGATCAGCAACATCCTGAGGAGGTTGGACAGAGGTCTCCTCAGCGGAAGAAGCAAATTTCACCCATTCATTAGACATAGATCTTCCTAGGAGCTTGACCAAAGGCTCTACAAGGGACTCCCTAAGCAAAAGAAGAAGTTATTTAGATATCAGTTGGGCAACAAAAATGTCTCTGCTGCCAAAAAATTACAATGGACATGCAAATATAAGTATATACAAATTCAAGAGACCTGTGAGCTAGATCTTTCTTTAGAAGCAGAATGTCAAGTAACGAGGCAATGAAACAGAGAGCCTTTTCTCCACTTAGACGTTCCCCACCATTTACGTACTCTTCTGGATTTGAATTTTTCTTCTGTTTCTTCTTCTTGCTCAAACAATCAATAACAAGATTATCCTGCTGAGTGATATGATCCAGGGTATGGACCACCGTTGAACAAGAAATCTGCAATAGCATTGAAGATGCAATGTAAATAAAGCACGATACAAAAGGCAGAAACTCTTTTGAAGAAATAAAGTATCTCTTCTTCCATAAACGTTTTTTAAAACTGGGAAAAGATACGAAGTTTAGAAAGAAAACATACCTTCAGGCGTAAGATAGCTTCTTTGGCCCCATTTCGTATTTCGCCATTTGTACTCCGAAACATAGACACCAGCTTGTGGAAGAAACGAATCTGTTCCACAAAGAACAAAGATTTTGAAAACGGTCCTGATTATAGAAGGACATTTATATTATCTTCCACTATGCCATTAAGACTCACCTGAACCTCGGTCTTCAGTTCAGCATAAAATTGATTGCTTAGCTTCTCCAGAATAGTAAGACATGGAGAGATAACAGCGGGATGTTCAGATGTCACACAATCCATCTGCAAAAGCAAACATCTGTGACTAAAACGAAAAAAGTACCAAAGCAAGCAACTGAAGTATCGAACAATGAACTATTCTTACGTTCAGTGCGTTCAGTATATGATCATCAAGTGAGTGTCCTTTAAACGGCGCTGAACGCATCATGGAGCACTGACACAGTGAGAGAACAGCAAAAGCAAAATTAATATTAAACTATAGTACAAGGCAAATAGATACGTTTTCCTAGAACACCAATGGAGATAAAGTAAATTTACCTCCAGAAGAAGGCACAATAAATCGACCTCAGTGTCTAACATTGGCGGGGAAGTTTTGTCCAGTTTAAAGTAGAACTGACTACGTTTCTCTAAAAGTTGAGTCAACGACTTAACATTTTCCTCATTCAGAAGCATGATGCCCAGACCTTTTAGTAACGATAGAACTCTAAGCTGTAGAAGAAAAAGAATAAGGCTTTAATGCTTGTTAAAAATAGTGTCACACACCATAAGGAAGTCATAAGGATACTTGACCAAGTAAATGAAACTGAAAACAGATAGAAAAAATTGAGGATACCTTTCCATACGCAGGAAATTCTTGCGCACACTTTAAAATGAACGAAAGAATGTTTTCTTTTGAGGGTTGATCAAACCTGAAGTTGAAAATTCAATCATGGAGTAAATAAATTGATATATCCATGCGTAGACCACTGTTTTGAGGTAAAAATGTTTACAGCTCCGCTAAGTACCTATTTTGCAGGTCAACTGGCACTAGCAAGTCATCAGGGGTTGAACTGAGCAACGATGTCAAGTAGGATGGAAGAAACTTATTGTCCGACAATATAAGCCTCTTTTGTTGAACAATCATTCCCAACAAATCATCAAAAGAACTGCTACAGATTGCAGCGCTCCCTGGTTGTAAATTTCAGAAAGAGGATTAAAACAAATGTGAAGGATAAAACATAATACTTGATGACAAACTAAGATTACCATTTTTTTTGCTAGAGTCGATACGAGAACGTAGGTTGTAGAGCGCCTCAATGCAATTCATAGCAGCTACTTTAAGGTCCTACAGAGTCAAAGCACCGAAACCAAAACGGGTTTAAGAACAGGAATATAAATGTAAAGAGTATAATATAATAAAGAAAACATGAAACTTCAGGTGTCACCTGATTATTACTCGACACAGGAACCAAAAGTACAGGAAAGCTAGAGAATATTTGAATCGACCATTCACAATTCCCGCTGGAGCACATATACGAAAAGCATTTGAGACTTTCAATTTGGACCATAGGAGGAACATCTGCAAAAAGAAGCGAACAGCGTAAAAAAAAAGAACAGGAGATGGAATAAAACAGAACGAGTTATCCGCAACTAGGTTCATAAGCTCTCATAAAAGTGGAGAGAGAAATATCAAAAAATAAAAACTAAAACTCCGTGAATGCTAGAAAAGAGTTAGAAAAACGAATTTATGTGCAAAAAAGAGATGCTCAAGTGGTTTATATAACTAGAAGGAATATAAAATTTTACCTTCTCGCGATATAAGTCGGGAGAGAAATAAAACGGGACAGACTTCGGCTTCTCTCACACGGTAGTGAAGGTGTTCCTTGAAAACATGCCGTGATTGAGTTGTTGCAAAGAAGAAAAACAAGTTTTCAAGTCCGCTGCACAACCTTTTGCTAAAAACCTGGATCACATACAAATAGTTGTGAGCATTGCGATATCGTTGGGCAGCAAGAATTTCAATATAACCAAATAGTAAACAGATCAAGTTGAGCATCACCCACCGACGTGACATGGGCCGGTTCAAGTTTAATGAATGACTCGACCAACTTCCAAAACAAGCAGATCAGAAGCTTTGAATTCAGGGCAGCAAAATCAGAGGTATCAAAGAGTTGATATAAGAGTTCTTGGCAGTTGCTTTTCGACAGCTGCAATTAATACACATATACATCAAAAACTAAGAATCTTAATTAAGCAACAATCATGAAATTATGAAAACATCAATCTACGCCAGCAAGTAGAACACTATACCTCTTTCAAAGAAACCTCAACTGCAACCTCAAGTTCTTCCCACTCGGTCTTCAAAACAGAAAAGCAAAGCTCGAAAAGATCCAAAAATTGACTAGGGTCTAAATCAAAGGGAAACACAGCCATCAATATAACCTCTTGAAAATTTATCACATGAGACAAAGGTTTTACGGAACTTAATAATAGAAACACTTGATCATCAGCATAAACCATGGTTAGAACCTTACCAGATGAATCCATCTTGTGAATTGACTGCATCAACAACATATAAAACAGCGTCTTTGACAAGGGTGCATCTTGGCAACTGACGGTAAGCCACTGAATAACATCACCAGGGTGTATCATAAACGCTTCCACCAGCTTGTTAATGATATCCATGTTCAGTGCAGACAAACTTTCACGGATCAACAGTCCCTTCTGATATGAGATAAGAATTTCACAAATTTGTAAGAGCATTCATATAATCTTCGAAACACAGAACAGTAGTATATGATATGCAACTGCCCCTCACGTCCGTGAATACTAGAGAGCTTAGAGTAGTGACGAACCTTCAACTTGCTGCATTCCTGTCCTGTCAATTTGATATTGCTGCATGATTCCAAAACTTCAGAGAGCTTAAAGTTGCAAGCACTCTCAATAAGCTCAATCCTACGTTCATCTGGATCCAAGGAAAGTGCTTCCCCCAAATTATTGATGATATCCGTGCTTATGGAAGATATGTTTCCAGACATGATATCTGGAAGCTTTTTCTGCAAGAAGGGAGTTTCTTAGATGACATGATAATAATATTCAACAACCACAAAGGGATTGTGATTGCCTTTTAGAGTATGAAGAATATGCAGATTGTAAACTCATATATACCATTCCATCATCAGCAACAAGATTCTTGAAAAGTGGCCAGTTAACATCCTTCCCCAATTTCAGCACTTGTAGGTTTAAATTCCAAGTCTATTCACAGAAATTACAACAATTAGCCTGGGTAAAATATACTTTCGCCATAACTGTACAAAAAGTAAAGAGAGCAGAAAGAACCTTCGGCTGAATTAAGAGAAATGGGAACATTGCAGAGGCAACTTTCTCAGTAGAGTCTTGATTACAAAAGCTTGAGACAGCAGTTTTAATAGATAATGCAACGACATCAGCTGCGAGTTGAACATTATGTGATACTCCTGCAACAAAAATAATTGATCCCAGATTAATGGATTGCACATCTTAGAAATATGCACTTTTGAAGCAATTATATATTTCACTAAACCATATATTAAAAGAAACTGGATGAGAACACTACATAGAGTTTTCCAGGCATTTCCCCAAATCCATTCAGAAGTTAAAAATATGGACAACTCTAAAGAAAAGTGGCCCTATTTAAGTTCCTATAAATGAAACGGTGGACCAGCAGGGGACAAGATAGCAATTTAATTTCCCAAAGACATTACAACCTAAAACATATCTGACTAACGTTAGCCACTAGAATTTGGATCAAAGTATTACTGCAAGCGGAAATGATGTATCAGATGATACTTTGAAGATCAACACCCTTTATCATTAAGCTAATAAAGCTCTAGACGACAACAATGAACCAAGTTAAGAAAAGAATGGATCATCATCAATTACCTGATTGGAGAATCCCGACACACCGTTTCACCACATGAAGCAAAGCATCCAAAAGACTAGAAGAGGTTACTATGTTCGGCAACTGATCAAGAGATAGGGCAGCCTGAACAACAGCCAGATCATCGTCCTCAAGCTGGCGCAGTATAGCATCCTGAATTGTGACAAGGTTCTGGATGGAGAGTGCAAAGAAGTAAAAGATTAGTCAAATGCTAATAAGTGTGTAGTAAAGATCTATCATATTTGGAATGAGGCATCCCCGCATACATACCTCTGCCTTAGAATTATCAGCGTTGAGAACACCGTTTAGACTAGAAAGCGCAGCACAACGAACAGCAGCCTATGATTCATAACAAGGCCTTAGACTTGCACAAAAAATGAAAATAGAAAGCAAATTCACATAACTAAGTTTAGAGTTTGTAGTACCTTGGGATGGTGGAGCCGGAACCACAACTTTGAATCCAAAAACGGCTGGGACATGTCTAAATTCCCATCCAGCATAGAAGACAACATCTCTAGCTTCAAATCCTCTTTCTTCGATTGAACTTTAGTATCCTGCAGCAAATAATTGGATGATTCAGAAGGCATATAACTAACAAACGGCAGAAAATAACTCGTCAGAGAGTTGGACCAAAAACCTCCATAAACTTTTGAACCGCTGCACGTAGTTCAACAGAATATTTCTTGCTAACAACAACCAGAATTTTCTTGGCCCAGCTCCCTACAAATAAAATGCAACCAAGGCCGTTACAAAAGAGAGCTCTGAAAAAGAATCAAATCGAAGACACGGTAGTTGACATTTCACTAACCAGATGTAGTGTTCTTCTGGTATTGTGTCATGCACATTGAGAAGAGCTTGGAGACCAAATGATCAACAAAGTTGTTTACTGGAACATTATCAATTATCGAAACTAAAACTTCGCAACATTCATCATCAGACGAACTGCAAACAGTGGACAGCAAGTCAAAACATGAATACTAAGAAAATATATACATCCGCTAGAAAATTGACAAAACAGTGTCAGATACACACCTGTAAAGAAGAAGAGAATTAAGTAGCACTGCCAGGAATCTCTTGATGTTGAACTCTTTGGACAAGCCCAAAAGGACACCAGAAATATCCCTACACAAAATTGAATTCCTCGTTAGAAAAGAAATAAAAATGATAGTTTACAATTAGAATAGCCAAAGAGGGAATACGGTACATATGTGACTACCTTATTTCTTTTAAAAGGTCCAAAGCTTTCTTAGGGATCACGTCCACAGATTGTAACTGTAGTTGATCAAGCAAAACCAATTAGTTCAAAAAGACCACCACCGACCAGTTACATTCGTGCAATGAAAAATTAACAAGTTCTTATACCTGAACAAAATTAACCAATGCCATAAACGACAATCGAAGCATATGAGGATCAGAGGATTCTTTGGCATGTTCACGAGCAATGTCGATGATTGACCTCACAAAGCGTTTGACAAGATTATCATTTAGCGTTGCTCTGTTAGCCAACATGCCAACAACCATTAACGCACCAGCCTAGAAAGAAAATAAAAGCACATGTCATCAAAACCAAACTAACAGAGACAAAATTAATTAAATACACCAATATTTACCAAAATTAAACTTTAACAAACCTGCTGGTCTAAACATCCTTTCACAGCAGATTGAAGACCAGAGTCCACAAATGGTAAAATCTGCTTTACAATATCTCCATCAACCGTTGCAACAGAGCCTAGAACCTCGACAACAACAGCAGTGGTGAAGCTGACCACGAGCTTCGAAGGCTGATACTTCTTATTCCGAGACCCCTACAACAACCAAGAAATCAAATGTTACCAATGCTCATTCTAATTCAGCGATTCAGAACAACTTTAAGGAAAACAAATAGCAGCTACTTACATAGTCACACAAGGCCTCCAAGACCTGCTTATCACGTATACACTGCTGAACAATAACCGACCTTGGAGGTGGAGCACCTGTGTTTTTCACACCATCCAGAAACTTCCACTTGGTATTCCTGTAATCCAAAACGAGATAAAAAGTTTTTACAAAACTGCAATTGATAAGTTAAAGCGTCTTTAAACTTCAAAAAGTGAACGAAAGAATCATACTCACCCAGGTGAAAGCAGCTGAACAATACGCACAAACGCATGTGTGTCGTGATACGGCAAAGCGCATAAAACCACATCTTCCAAATTGTATATATAAACCCTGTAAAATCCAGTAGTTTATGAGAATCTGATGAAACAGAGACATAGTCAATTCGAAAAGAGATAGTGAGAAGAAAAAAGACTTACTTGTATCTTCGGATGAGATACTCAAGCGTCTCCAAGGAAGCGCGAAACTGAAGATAGCCGGAGAGTAACCGTAGGTAGGAGCTGATTGATGCATTAATCCGAGCATTTTCTTCTTTACCCATCAATTCCCTATCGATTTCTTTGCTTCTGTGACTAAACAAATCGCTCAGGTAATTCTTAAACCTCTCATCTTTGTTTCCAAGCACTTCGAGACCTGAATTAACAAACAGAAAAATTCAAGGATTACAATTAAATTATCATTGCGATTGTTCACTGGAGTTGTGAATTACTATAAGAGCATAAAATCAAACCTTTGAGGCCAAGTTCGTAGATAGACTCGATATCGAAATCTGCTGCTTCTTTAGCACTGAAGAGAATCGAAGGGCGTGTGTAGGGTCTCTTCGACGGCTCTGTTACGGCTTGCGAGATCGACCTTAAGGCCCCTAACTGCGACTCTAGTCCACTCATGATCGCTCGCTATTACGGCGAGATTGTTCTTCAGAGGAAAATCGAAAAAGAGAGACAGCGCGGCGTAGAACAACAAACAGAGAAGGTTTAGGGTTTAACGATTATATGATTTGTTTATCTCTATATATAAAAATCAAATGAAACACCCCGCGTTTTAATGAAATCGCGTTTTGAAGCATGACTTATTCTTAAATTTGAAAATCATACCCCAAGCTTTTAAAACGTTTCAAAAAAATCCCTTGTCCACTTTTCTAAATACTCCGTTTGAGACCTAAACACTAGTGGACATATAATATTCAGAAAATTAACCACATCACATGTGTCATATAAACATTTTTACCATCAAAACTATAAACAAGTGACGTTAATTATCCTATTAACCATTCTTCGTCTTCTCATTCTTGAGCACGGCTCCATTTCCCTTTTATCCAGACTTGGCAAGGCCTAAGCTCACTGTAAGCAAACTCCAATCTCTCATTAGTCGTGTTGAAGTAGACACCATACTGCGTGTAATCGCTATTGATCTTATAGACGCAACCAGACCACCATCCATCGTTAAACCAAGCATCCACATGTTCCCACAATTCATATCGACACGCCCTTGGAATAACCTGAGGAGGACTCGGTCTTATATCCCAACCTCTCGCTTCTTCCTTTAGCAACTCTCTTTCATCCTCCGTTCTCAGTGTTTGATACTCCACTGCGTATCTGTTATCCCCTAAGCAGCTTATAATCTTCGCGGAGTACCATGAGCCTTCGTAACCTGGCTCGTCGCTTCTCACTTCAACCATCATCCCGTTCTTAAACTCCGGTCTCTCGCAAGATTTCAGCTTCTTCCATTGAACCTGTACATGAAACAAACTGTAAGTTAAAACAGCATAAACACTTATCTTAAAACCAATAACAAGATCAGTCACTAGTCAAGACCTTGGAAGGATTAACCCATCGTCCATTGATCCAGTCCTTGCGAGGCCTCAAATTGAAATGTAAGACTATGGTTTCTTCACCAGTGGAAATGAAATAGATTAAACACTTTGAACCTCCTCCGAGCACTTTGGAAACCCTACCGATCCACCACCGTTTGTTGACCCAAGCATCAACTTCATCCCCTGGTTCGTAGCTGGGAGATAGTACCGGAGGAGGAGGCACTGGTCTAATGTTCTGTGCTACAACCAAATCTCTCAGAGGGATCGTTTCATCGCCGTCACTTCTGAATCTCAAGTGCTCAACAATGTACTTCTCATCACCCAGTAAACTGATTATACGTGCACAATACCAAGAGCCAGCGTAAGCTTCTTCTTCACTTCTGACTTCCACAGTAGCTCCCTTCTCATATTCATCTCTTCTTCTAAATTTTATCTTCAGCTTAAGACTTTTGGGCGTCGATTCCATGACATTGCCCTTGTAAATCATAGCCAAATCCCAACGAATCAGCACAAAATTGAGCCTGAAACCCTAGATTCAATCGAAATCAGGCGCGGAGGGTTAACGGATTTTACCTGTTGAAGAGGAGACGGCACCCAATTTCCATCTACCCAGTCACGATGCAGCCTCAGATTAGAGCGATGAACTTCTGATTCTGAGCGATTTTCACCTTCAAACTCGACAATGTACCTTGAGTTTTCAAGTACGGCCGTCACGTCGCCTCGAACCCAGCAGCCTTCGCTGTCTCTGAAGACGTCGACGTCATCGCCAGCCTTGAACCGCGTGTTGAGCAGCTCGCGCGGCGGAGATGGGCGGATGCGCGTGGGAACCACGTACTCCTTCATACGCGCAGAGCCTCCGACCATTAGGGCTTCATACTCCACCCAAACGAGTTTTTTTCTCACAGACGGCGCGCTAACCACATTCGCCGGGAAGTAAGCCGCCGCGCCGGAAACGACTCGTTCCACCTCAACGCCGTCACCACCGCGCCAAAATCGATCGCTGATCATTTTTAAGTAGAAATTTTGGGCAAGCGAGAAAAGAGGGATAAGCTAGAGAAACATGGAAGAAATTGACGAGGAGAGTGGAGAGGAAACAAGACCAGTGACTCAGTGAGTGAATACAGTGTGAGCCGGAGACAATTTAGCATTTTCTTCTCAGAATGGCACAAACTTGAAAAATCGCCACTAGATTATACTTCTCTTCACATTAAACCCCTTAGTTATTTTTTAAGTCAATTAGACCCCTACAATTGGCATTATTGCACTTCCGGTTCAATGTATATCAATTAGACCCCATCAATTCGCACTAGTCTTTCAGTTAATTTCATATAGCTTTTGTAGATTTGATAATAAATTAACATTTCATATAGCTTTTGTAGATTTAATAATAAATTAACAATGCTTATATCAATCAGTAGAGTAAAGTTACTATATTTTCAGATACATAAATTATACTCCAAAATATTGTATATCAGTCATGTATATTTATTTTCACTATTAATGTATACCAGTCATGTATTAGTAATGTACCATGGTCCAAAAGATTGTTCTGCATAGTCTGAATGGTTTTGAGACAAATCGGAGAATCCACTACCACTACAAGAAACATAATTTTTAGTGTCATTTTTTTTTAAGTTTAGTATCATTTTTTAAATGATACAAGAATTATTGTATCATTTCAGAAAATGACACTAAAATCAATGACACTAAGTTTTTTTAGTATCACTTTTACAAATGACACTAAAATTAAACCTTAGTATCATTTATTTACAAGTGATACTAAAAATGACATTTAGTATCATTTTTCTAAGTGATACTAAAATTGAGATTAGTATCATTTTTTTAAATGATACTAAAAATGACATTTAGTATCACTTAAAAAATGATACTAAATTGAGATTAGAATTAAAATATATATATATATATAAAAATATCCTTATATAGTAATCAAACTAAAATTTACTTGTAGCAAAATGTATACAACCTCAAATTTACTTGTAGTAAAATGTATAAATGTGTATTTGTATCTTCTTCCTTGTATTCTCATACCTGCCAAAATAAAGAGCAAATTGCATCATAAACATCAAATATCTTATACGAAACCATCAAACCATCAAGTGAAACTTAGTTTCATACCAATACACCAAGCAATGTGATCAAGATATGACATCAAGATATGATCAGAATGTGACAATGCAAAGATCATTAAACAACAAAACTTGAACCACTACACCAAGCAACATTTTTTCAGGTGAAACGATCAAGTAACATACCAATACTACAAGTATCAAGAAGCTAAGACTACCAACTTGATTCATACCAACTCAAGGATGAGCCAAAAGCATCCATTGTTTTGAGTTTTAAAGAGTAAAAAGGTTTGCTACTTTGGTAAGATATTCCACAGAAATCAAACATTTTAAAAAATTGAAATGAAGCCACATCACATTCCAAGCAACTCATAGATAATGCTTTTGTGTTACCGTACACAATAGCTCCACTTCTTTCAACAGAGTACAAAGCAAAATGACTCTTTCATATGGGTTTCAATAAACAAACAAAAGCCTTATATATGAAAGTAGGAAACAGAAGATCATTCAGTTTAATTTAATTGCACTAACCTTGTCACCAAAAGGAAACTTTCGCAGAATCTTCTTCTTGAAAAGATGGTTCATCTTCCAATGAACAACATCCCCATTCTTCACCTTCGAGTGCCGAAATGGATGCAGCGACTTCAGCTTCATCCTTCACCATATCATTTTCATTCTGCATCGTCAATACAACAAAACTCTATCTAGCTCAGCTTGATCTAAACCAATTTCAAATCCAGAAATTTCAAACCCACGATTTGACACAAAACAGTGAATACTTTCTTGTAATCAGCTGATCGTCAGTGAAACAAAATTCAGAGATAACTCATACTAACTATAGCAATCCACAAATCTGATAAGATAAACTCCGAATCAACAACTCTCATACACATATTCCAAACACAGAAAAGAGAAACGGAGATGAAGATAAAAAATATCAATGGCGGATGATAAAGAGATAAGAGAACCGATTTACCTAAATTCTCAGAGGTTAATACAATACAATAGGAAGAAGAATCAAGAGAAGTTTCTCATATACACCCGAAATCGAAATTGCATAAACAAATTCACCTAATGGAACTCGATGGCTCGTTTTGCGACTTCGCCAACTCTGATTCAACAATAACTAAGAGGAAGAGCAATTCGAGCAAGTAGAACACGAAATAGAGGTCGATTTCACAAGTAGAGACCAGAATCACAAGCGAAATCACTCAACATGCAATTAGACTAAAATCACAAGCAAAATCTCAAAATCTCAAAATCGCAAGTACTAAGTTCAGCGATACCTGAGTACTGAGTTCAGCGATGGTGATGATCGGAAACAATTGACAACCTCTGCGATGATGATTTGATGGAGATCGAGATCGAGCTAGCGTCGCGAAGCTAAGAGAGAGCTGGTTTTTTTTTCTTTTATTGTTTACTGGGAATTTGTTCTTTTTAAGTCAAACCATTTTTAATGATTTTTAAAAATCCTGAAAATACTGATTTTTAGCATCATTTACTCTTATAAATGATACTAAAAACTGTTTTTTGTGTCATTTATAGATTAATGATACTAACAGCTAACTATTTGTGTCATTTGTTTGCAAATGATATAACTATTTTTGGTTTAGTGTCATTTTGAATAAGTGATACTTTCTAATTTGATTAATTTTTAAGTTAACATCATTTTAACAAATGATACAAAATAAATGACACTAATAAATGGTTTTCTTGTAGTGTACATGTAAATCCCCAATTCTCAGGTTCAGAATTTAAGGGAAAGAGTTAAAGCTGAGAACAAAAAGCAAACTAAAGCAACCTCCTAAGGAAATTGCAAGAGAACCTTACAAATTACATCCGAATTGTAAGCAACTCATGAATGATATTAGAACACAATTGCATAGAAAATCAAAATTACTTCTCGCTTTTGAATTTAATATTGAAACTAAAACTAAGAGCATCCTTGAACAATGATTCATCACTGCTTTATGCTACAAAGAGATGATAATTGTTTACACTGCAAAAAGAAGAGAATCTCAAAAAACAAAGTCTTTTGATTAATATAACAAGCCAGACATCATAAGTTATGGTGGTAAAGTAGCAACCAAATACCAAACTTCAATATTGAAACAAACAAAGTCTTTTGATAAATATTGAAACTACTAATGATGATAGAGTCTTGATGCTTCACATGTCATCTCCGTCAGGTCCTTCAGATCCTCCAGGTCTTTCATGTTAGTGATCGGGAATGATGCTCTCACCTGCTTACAAAGATAAAAAGTTAGTGGATATTTGATAAAGCAACAGATAAAAAAATTCAGAGCACTGAAGTTGCACTAACCGCAATCCTATGATCTTTACTGCCAAGATGCTTCGAGAATGAGATATAGTCATCGCTGGAAAATTCGCAAAGTGAACAATACCACAGAGCTTCACAATACCATGAAGGTTCACCTGTCTCCTCCTCCTTCTTCTTCTCCCTCTCTCTACCCATCATAATAGCCTCTCTCTCTATGGGGAAAAAGAAAAATAACTCAATTGTTGTTATCTGAATGAATGAGAAAGATGAGATTAGAAAACACCTACCTTTCACTATGCTTTCCCAGGGAATGTCTTGAGAAGATTTGTCAGGGGTTGGATATGACCGAATAATTCTGTATCCACGAGCTTCAAACTCATAGAGATTATCTTACGCCCAAATGTAATTTTGTCAGGGATTGGATATGCTCGAATAGTGCGCGAATAACTTTGTATCCACGGGCTTCAAACTCAAAGAGATTATCATGAAACTTCATCTTAGCATTTGATATGAGCATCATAGTAGCAGACGGTAGATTATCGATGGTCCAAAGATGCAATGGAGTATAAATCTGATGTATGCCTGAAAAAAATAAACAATTGAGTTTTAATTAAAAAATAAAGTGTAAAAAGAGAAAAAAAAATTACTAACTAAAGTCATAGTGTATCATAGAGACACTAGAGGATGAGATGGCTGTTTTGATTTGACGATGGATGTTTATCATGTTGCTCATATAGTAGATGGTGAGTGCTCGTTCATCATCAACTTCAAGTGTCTTCTAATCAAATGAAAAATGTCAAAATTTGTAAAATTCAAAATCTGAAAAAATCAAATCAATAATATAAAATCGAGAGTAATGATTACATGTAGAGAAGAACCCATTATATTTTACCAAAGAAATGAGGCATTTTTGCATGGATAACATCTAAGAAATGTGTACCATTTTCCTTCTAAGAAGGGAATCAAGTGATGAATACTCACCTTTGGACCAGAAATCAACATCATCCTACGGATGTGGATGATCTTTGGTTCATACAAGGAAATCTTCATAGATTCTATTTAAATCGTTTGAATACAATAGAAAAAAACTTATTAACAAAATAATATATTATGATTTTAATGGGTATTGGACTATGATATAGTTATTGTTTATAAAGTCTTTTTGGTATTTTTAGTATATCTAGAGCTTTTGCAGGTTTAGGCATGTTTGGACTTAATTAGTGGCATTGAAGCTAGTTGGAAAACTGAACTAGGCCAATATTTATGTAAAAACACTCATAGAGAATTACAATTGGTTAGGCACCTCACCGTTCAAGCAGTGCTACTTTCGTGCACCAGAAAGTTGGGTCGTTTTTATTTAAAGAGGTATCTGAATATTTGCCATTTGACCATTTCCAACCTGCTTTTAAAATTATTTTTACAACTAAAGCCATCATTGGGTAACTATCTCACGCTACTACAATCAAAGTAGATCATATTGCATACATATTTTGCATAAAAGAACAAGTGCTATTCACTGAAATACATAGTATTATACAATTCTTTTTGTCCACAACACTAGAATATTACATATTTTCCTCTATTTAACCTACTGTTGACTAAAATATTATACACCCAGATGAATTAGATACAATCCAAGTCAGTTTTTTTTTTTTTTATTATAATACATTTTTTTCCTTAAGAACAATGAAAGAATCTCTTCTAGAGTCGTGCCAGTGAAGAATAGAGGTAACTTAACCAACAAAATGAAGAAGATAATTTCCTATTAAGGACGAAGAAACAAATTATTGCGTCACGTCGGAAAAATCTAATAATCGTAGTATCATCGGAACTCAAGCATCAACTTCACCACCGTTTGTTGACCCAAGCATCAACTTCATCCCCTGGTTCGTAGCTGGGAGATAGTACCGGAGGAGGAGGCACTGGTCTAATGTTCTGTGCTACAACCAAATCTCTCAGAGGGATCGTTTCATCGCCGTCACTTCTGAATCTCAAGTGCTCAACAATGTACTTCTCATCACCCAATAAACTGATTATACGTGCACAATACCAAGAGCCAGCGTAAGCTTCTTCTTCACTTCTGACTTCCACAGTAGCTCCCTTCTCATATTCATCTCTTCTTCTGAATTTTATCTTCAGCTTAATACTTTTGGGCGTCGATTGCAATACATTATTGCCCTGTAAATCATAGCCAAATCCCAACGAATCAGACATGCACAGCACAAAATTGAGCCTGAAACCCTAGATTCAATCGAAATCAGACGCGGAGGATTAACGGATTTTACCTGTTGAAGAGGAGACGGCACCCAATTTCCATCTACCCAGTCACGATGCAGCCTCAGATTAGAGCGATGAACCTCTGTTTCTGGGCGATTTTCACCTTCAAACTCGACAATGTACATTGAGTTTTCAAGTACGGCCGTCACGTCGCCTCGAACCCAGCAGCCGTCGCTGTCTCTGAAGACGTCAACGTCATCGCCATCCTTGAACCGTGTGTTGAGCAGCTCGCGCGGCGGAGATGGGCGGATGCGCGTGGGGACCACGTACTCCTTCATGCGCACAGAGCCTCCAGCCATTAGGGCTTCATACTCCACCCAAACGAGTTTCTCTCTCACAGACGGCGCGCTAACCACATTCGCCGGGAAGTAAGCCGCCGCGCCGGAAACGACTCGTTCCACCTCAACGCCGTCACCACCGCGCCAAAATCGATCGCTGATCATTTTTAAGTAGAAATTTTGGGCAAGCGAGAAAAGAGGGATAAGCTAGAGAAACATGGAAGAAATTGACGAGGAGAGTGGAGAGGAAGCAAGACGAGTGAGTGAATAACAGTGTGAGAGAGCCGGAGACAATTTAGCATTTTCTTCTCAGGGGAACACAAACTTGAAAATTCGCCACTAGGTTATACTTGTCTTTACATTAAACCCCTAAGTTATTTTGTAAGTCATTTAGACCCATACAATTAGCATCATTGCTCTTGCACTTCCGGTTCAATTTAATTATCAATTCCCACTAGTCTTTCAGTTCATAATTTCATATAGCTTCTGTATGAAATAATAAATCAACAATGCGTATTATATAAAACACTAGACTAAAGTCATGTATCAGTGTAATGTATATAACTTATCAAACAGAACTGTGTAAGCACGAAGTTACTCTAATATGCAAAACCTCCATTGCTACGATAATCCAATGCTTCAGCTACACATTAAGCTACTCTCACCCACCTTTTTTCCATTCCACAGAAAAGAAACCAGAGCTGTAGAGCTACGTCTTATCTACATGTAAAATCCCCAATTCCTTAGGATATTGCAAGAGAACCTTACAAATTACATTCGCAGTAAGCAACTGAATGATATTATAACACAATTGCATATAAAATCAAGATTACTTCTCGCTTTTGAATTCAATATAAAAAAAAGTAGATAGCCTTGGATAAAATTAAGAGCATCCTTGAACAATGATTCATCACTGCTTTACGCTACAAAGAGATGATAATCGTTTACACTACAAAAAGAAGAGAATCTCAAAAAACAAAGTCTTTTGATTAATATAACAAGCCAAGCATCATAAGTTATGGTGGTAAAGTAGCAACGAAATACCAAACTTCAATATTGAAAACAAACAAAGTCTTTTGATAAATATTGAAACTACTAATAATGCGGTTAATGATGATAGAGTCTTGATACTTCACAACATGTCACCCTTGTTCACCTCCGTCAGGTCCTTCAGGGTCCTTCAGGGTCAGGTCCTTCAGATCCTCCAGGTCGTTCATGTCAGTGATCGGGAATGATCCTCTCACCTGCTTACAAAGATAGAAAGTTAGTGGATATTTGATAAAGCAACAGATAAATAAATTCAGAGAGTTGAAGTTGCACTAACCGCAATCCTATGATCTTTACTGTCAAGATGCTTCGAGAATGAGATATAGTCATCGCTGGAAAATTCGCAGAGTGAGCAATACCAGGGAGCTTCACAATACAAGGAAGGTTCACCTGTCTCCTCCTCCTCCTTCTTCTTCTTCTCCCTCTCTCTACCCATCATAATAGCCTCTCTCTCTATGGGGAAAAAGAAAAATAACTCAATTGTTGTTATCTGAATGAATGAGAAAGATGAGATTAGAAAACACCTACCTTTCACTATGCTTTCCCAGCGAATGCCTTGAGAAGATTTGTCATGGGTTGGATATGACCGAATAATTCTGTATCCACGAGCTTCAAACTCATAGAGATTCTCATGAAAAGTCACCTCCTCATTTGATATGAGCATCATCGTAGCAGGCGGTGGATTATCCATGGTCCAGCGATGCAATTGAGAATAAATCTGATGTATGCCTGGAAAAAAAATACACAACTGAGTTTTACGTACACAAAAAAAAAAAAAAAAAAAAAAGCAGAAAGAGATTAAAAAGATTACTAACCGAAGTCATGGTGTATCATAGAGACACCAGAGGATGAGATGGCTGTCTTGATTTTACGAGGGATGTTTCTCATGTCGCCCATGCAGTAGATGTTGAGTGGACCATTAACAGACATGTTGTCCAAGGCCGTTCTTATGCGGCCACGTATGGAAGAAGGGTTACAGTCTTTGGGAACAAGACAGCTATCGATATCCCACCATACACATGTCTGGTGAGTGTTTGTTTCATCATCAACTTCAAGTGTTCCCTAAACAAATGAAAAAAAAGGGTCAAAATCTGAAAAAAAATCAAATCAATAATATAGAATTGAAATTAATGATTACCGGTAGAGAAGAACCCATTATGTTTTCCCAAAGAAATGGGGCATGCTTGTATGGATAGCATCTGATAAATGTGTAGCCGTCTCTTTCAAAAGAGGGAATAAAACTATGGATACTCACCCCTGGACCAGAGATCAACATCATCCTAGAGGGAGGTGGATGATCTTTGGCCCAGACATGAAAATCTATAAAGATCTCATCTAAGCCTAATACAAAATAAAAAACTTTATTAGCAAATCAAACCCAAAATAGTATAAACTAGTAAAAAGATAAAGAAGATTAACTAACCCGACTCAGTCTGTTTCAAGAGGATTTGAGAGTTAGAGAGCGCTTCGAGCTCTTCACGAGGGATGAGGTGTAGGTCGCCCATGGCAAAGATGGTGACTGGACCAGGACCACATAACTTGTTCAAGGCTGATTCTATCTTCGGACGGACATCCGAAGGGTTACAATCACGGGGAACCGGACACCTGTTGATGTCCCACCACACCGCCGTCGCGTTGTCGTCTTCCCCAACACCTAGAAGAAAATAAATCCCAGTTAGTTATTAGGTCTTTAACCGTCTTCCCCAATCAAACATCCGATAAAGCATTCAGACTGAATTAATTGACTCGTACGGTTGGCATGGAATCTGTAACCTGATGCCATATCGAATCTGCAAGCTATCAGCCGACAGAGGGAGAGGAAGTTTATGGATACGTCCTGTGCAAGTTTCCGATTAAGTTTAGGTTCTTTTTCGACTATGAGAATATGTAGTATATATACACGACGCAAATTATAAGGAAAACACCAAAACAACACCTCGTTCCAAATTTATGGAGTACAACGTCCTGCTGTTTATATTTACCTTTTAAATCACACTGCGAGGCGTTTTTGTGCTTTGTTGACGTGTCAAAATAAAAAACATCATGCCGTTTTAGTCTTTATTCAAACATACAATATCTTCAAAACGGTAAATCGTCTCTATTTGCGCCCAAGGTTTGGCAAATCGTACAAAGAAATGAATATGTTTCCTCGGTTTTTACTTTTTACAGTCTTCCTCTAGTCAGTCAAAGGGCGAGGCATAAGCGGGGTGTAGAACGAGCCCAGAGTCATCAGTGTGCTTGATCCTAACTTTTCTTATCTTCTTTTTCATGATAAGCGGCCATATGAGAAGGGCTCGAGCCACGCGACTCAGTGGATCTTGAAGACCATCCACTTGGTAGTGACCAAACCGCCAGTCACGGTCAACAAACGGTCTCCATTGAGGCTTGTCGAGACCATCTTTTTAGAACAAACAAACCAAGTTTCCTAAGTAAGATTACAAAGTAAAAGTTGGAAAAGGTTAAAAAAATTAAAGCTGGAAGTGTAACCAACCTGCGTACATAAGACCATGATCGTCAACGGCTCGGTAGAATGGCCTTAGTTTTCCTGCTTTTGCCGCTTTTTGGAGTTCGTTCCAAGCAAGCGACCGATCTTTACGAGTGACTTTTCCGCTCTTCACTATCTGGAGAGTAGCGAGAAAAAAAAGCATTTGAGAAGAAAAGCAGTCTGGTGATCTCAAGTGTAGTGTTAACCACAAAGGTATTACTGACAAACCTTGGAAAAGAGATGATACGATGGCCGAAGAGTTCGGGCAAGATTATTGGATCGGTCAACCGCAACAAGTCCAAACTTGGGACCATATCCATCAGCCCATTCCCAGTTGTCGGAGATAGTCCAGAATATGTAACCGAGCACCGGAACACCCTGTAGCCAAAGCCACAAACACAGTGAGAGAAATGCCAAAATACCAGTAGCTAAGCAGGAAAGAGAGTTCCGAGGGCAAAACCTTTAGCATTGCAGCATAGAGGGCAAGGAGATGCTCGATCATGTAAGGCCGCCGAATCACATCTGTTTCATCAGACACGCCGTTTTCTGTGATGATGAAAGGAACTTTCAGGTGTTTGTATCTCTCGTGGAACATCAACAACACGCGGTAGAGACCATCAGGATACACCCCTCTTCCAGACTCACTGTATTCATCAGTCTCTACAAGCTTTAGTCCAACACCACACACTGCTTCCTGATTTTTTTTTTCCCGGAGTCATATTCCAAAATACTTATTCGACAGAAACCAATATTGTTGATCAAAATTTTAAGAACTAGAAGCATTCTTTTCACTCTTACCACTCCGTAGTAGTTGATGCCTATGAAATCCAACTTCTTACAAATGCTATCAATAAATGGATATATAGTGAGGGAGTTACTAATAGTAACGGCCCCAATATCAAAGAGACCATATGGTCGCATAAAGGAGACGTGGTGTGCAACCCCTACCAAAGGCTTTTTCAAGGTACTGCCAAATAAGAGTTGGAAACTATTAACATGTGCTAATGAGAGAAACCAATATGACAACTTTCAAAGGAGGGAAAAAACTAACATTTTCCCATGGATGTAGTCATAGGCCTTCAAGTGAGCAACACCCATCAAATGTAAGGCTCGATGGAATACACCCATTGGTAGAGTAGATGTAGCTATCTCCAGAAACTCAGGGTTGTTACCGGGCCAAGACCCGCACATGTAGGTAAGCATGGTGAAGACATGTGGCTCGTTAAATGTTACCCAAGAGTCTACCAAATCGAACATGGAATCCACAACAAGCCTGGCATGTTACAGAAAGATTATCAAGACCTACATAATAATCTCCACAAAGCTCAGTTAAAAAGAAAGACATTCACCTGGTGAAGTCCATAAAGTAGTCGACCGTCTTCTCTATTTTCCAGCCACCATAATCAGCAGCCCACGGTGGCAACGAATGATGAAACAGCGTTAGCATTACTTTCATCCCATTTGAACGAACTCTACCAATAATCCACTTATAGTGTTCCAGGGCCTCATAGTTAACCTACAGAGCACAATGACAGAGAGAAAACGAAGTTGAAAGCATTGAGGCACTATATGATACATCACAATAAGTAAAGGTTTATGCTTTCTTGACTCACTGCTTCCTTTAGCCCTTTGGTAGGCTCATGTGGCATGATCCTAGACCAATCGACTCCCATCCTAAAGACAGTAACGCCTGTATCTTTTGCCAGCTTCACTTCTTTGTCAGGATCTGTCCAAAATTTAAGCCTGTCCTCCCTGAAACAAAATTCAGAGAAGAAAATCTCAGTTTGAGCTTCACAGCTACGCGTGAGGAGCGTTATAAGAATCTTACGCGTGAGGAGCGTTATGCCACGCAGCTACGTTTTTAGAGGGTGCCTTATCGGCTGCAGACTTATCTTCTTTTCCATGTGTGTTCTTGGCCAAGCCTTTGGTTATAGCTCCCACAGCGAGCTTAACCTTCTTCCTCTTTGCTCTTTTATCAGCAGCCTCTGAGCCTGACGCTGACTCTGCTTCGGAACATGGTGTTTCTCTCGCAAACTGGAGCCAAGCATCATCGAGATCGTCCTCCGCATGAGCAGGTGCTGTTGCCAGCCCAAAGAAGAATTTGCCCTCCTTGAGTTCTGAAAATCAAACGCGTTTATAGCGATTTCATCACAGATTAATGTTAATCTTCCGCAATTTCAATTTCTACATATACTGATAAAAACTTATGAGGTTGATTGCTGATTCTGGTCATTTTGAATTTGAAATACTGCAGAAATGGAAAGATATAGTTCCATAAGGGGAAAACAAAAATTCGATTTCAAAAAGAAATGATGCAGAAACCTCACACTCAGTGTAAAAAAGCGTCAAGCTCGACTAAATAAACTAGAAGGAAGAACACATTCAATAGTAATAAGAATCGCAGTCGTACCGTGGGAATTGAAATCGGCGAGAACTTCTTTAGATTCGTCGATTGGAGAGCGGAACTTCTTTAGGTTACGGCGACGGAAACGATGGTAAGAGAACGCGTTGGCTCCGACGGTGATCGTGGCCAAGAGACCGGCGACCTTAACAAGCAATGTGACTAAATGCATTATCGCCGACGATGATGATCGGCAGTTTCTTCTACTTCCCACCGGCGCGCAGAGAGAAAACAGAACGGGTTTAAGAGAGAAGAGCCCATTAAGGGCCCACCGAAACAGCGTGACGTGAAGTGGTTGGTGGTGATCCTTCGCTCTCGCAACCTTATCGCGTTCGTGTGGGTGGCTTTAGCTCCAACGTCCGTGTACGGCTCTTTGTATCCTAATACGACGCCGTATTGTCGTTTTCTTTCATCTAGAAAGCTATCTTCTTTTAGCAAGTCCACAAACAATTCATCAAATGTTATTAGTTAACACTAGTTTGATTAATGATAATGAATTAATGCCTTCGAATATAAATTTGAAATGTAATGTTTCTGACTTAAAATTATTGCATTTGTATTCTTTTATGCGTAATGATTTGAATATGTGGTTGTAATTAAACGTATGTTTTTTTTGTCCGAGCTCGATGGCTTTTGTCTGAGTGTGAGTGCTATGTGTATTTTGCTGAGTGGTCCAGTTAGATCTCTTATCTTTTTTCTACTAGCTACCTCAAGATCTTTCTGGCTTCTAATTTCATTTCCTTTAATTTTCTTTCATACACCAAGAAGATTAGTTCAACAAATCTAGTTTCCTAATATGCAAACATTTTGGATAAAATATTGAGCTTTGTTCGTATACTCACACTTATTTTACTTGTATTTGAATATGTATTACGCAAGCAAACCTTAAATCCCCTTGTCTATCTCTCCCTCTCTGCCACTAGCCCATTACACTAACAATATTTTATCTCTCAAGTTATGTATATATATATATTTCATAACTTCGATAAGAAAGACAAGTATTCGTATCTGATTCATAAGTGATGAAAGCTGGTTCAAGAAGATAATGTATGTATTTTTAACGAGTCATGACCACATCACATGTTAAAAACATGTTTTAAAGACGAAAGAATCAAGTAAGGTTTCATGCAACTAAGATCTTGGAGGTGTGAAACGCGAACATTTGTTTTTCTTCCTTCCGCTACTTTTGGTGAGGCCACAAACACAAGTCTCGAGCAGCTGATAGTCCTCTTGCCAGAACAAGAGTGATGCTTTCTCAGGTTGTTCTATGAGTTTCTTAGCAGCCAAGAAACCTGCAATAGTCCAAGTCTGATAAAGCCTAGATTGCTTCCCCACAAACCTCCCGCTTCTAGTGTCATAATACTCAGGCCACTCATCTTCCTTGAGCCTCTTCTCTGCCACAGCAACTGCTTTCCTCGCCAGTTCTAGCTTCCCCGTCTTAATACAAGCCAATGTGAACTAAACAAAATCAAGTCATCATAACTTCTATTAGGTTTTCTTGAATCTAATCAGAAAACAGCTAATGACATACGTTTCTCTGTTTTTTACCTGCCAGAGAAGAGTTGGCCAGGATCCTCCATTGTGATATGACCAAGGCCTACAATTACAAGTTATGAAATCATTAATCAAAGATCTGTTGAATTCCTCAAGGAACCACACAAAAAAAAACAAGATTTAAAAAGGGACTCACGTGTTCTTTGGATCAGAGCCGGTGATTATTCGCCATTCGTCTTGCTCAAGAGCCGGGAAACAGATCTTGAGAGGCATGTTTGCAACAAGATCATCCCATTTCTCTTCGATCAACGTCATGACTCCTTCGTTCTGTTCTTGGTTTCCCAGAGACGAAACTACAGCCCAGAGGTTTCCAAGCGTGAAGAATCTGAAGTCCATGTGAGCAGGCTGGAGATTGCCAATGAAGTAACCGCCTTTATCAGGAATCCAGTCGACAAGCCAAGTAGGGATCTGCTCTGGATATATGTTAAACTTGTTGGTTGCATCTGCTGAATACTCCTCAGTCTTGTAACGATAGATCTCGTTTATCTTCTTGATATCGACCCAATAGTACTCTCTGATATGGAACGACAAAGCACTCAGCCGGTTGTTGACGGCAGCAACTAAGTTCTTGGTTACGTCATTCACGATAAGCATCTCTCGAGCACAGCGGAGAGCAGAGTAGAACAATGCCTGGATTTCAAGTGGATGCCCATGAATGCCCATTCTTCTATCAATCATGCATGATCCGTCAGTGACAAGAAGAGTCGGGAACATGTCGAAACCGTCAGCTAGACAGAGCTTAAGGATCAGTTTGATCCCTGTTTGAACGTCGATTCTCTCTTGCAACGTGTAATCGCCGGTGAGCTTCCCATAAGCTCTCAGCAATATGATCCACCACAAGCCTTAAAAAAAATTACAACCTCGGTAAGAAACATTCTCCAATCACTTCAATTTTTTTTTTAAAAAGAATGGAGCGTAAGGAGTTACCAGAGTCGACAGGGCTAACACGTCCAATAGCTGATTCACCAAAATCTGCATCTAAGATCTCCTCAAAGGAGCCGTCATTTCCCTCACGTGGCACAGTTTTCACTTTAAAACTCGCTGGCATTAACCCTGGGCCAGGGCTGTGACAGTCCACTGTTTTCTCCCAACTCTAACAACCAAGCAACAGAAAACTCGATTAAGAAACTTTAGACGTGAATTAGTCAATCAAATACTTTCCAGTTAGAATCCACTGGAATAAATGAAAAAGACTTTCCTAACAACCAGACATTATGTAACAGCCAAGCAAATGCAATCTTTCAAACAAGTATTGGAAGCATCAAGTATTAGAGCCACTATTCAATATATCTAATGCATGTTGAGTTTCATCAAAGCCATGTATGAGAAAAACAAAATTTAAAATCCCCATGCAAATCCAAGTTTATCAATTCAATCATGACAGAAGCTATGTCAAATTTTAGGAACAACAAGTCTTGCATAATTTCAGAGTACATTCATTTTAACAGCTAAAGAATGACAAAAGCAATCAATTTTGGGGGGTCTAAGCAAATAAATACACCAGAAGACATACCTGAACTTGCAACATACAGGGGAAATTCCCGTTTTCACAAAATCCGCTAAACTTCCCTAGAATGAGAAATCAAATTCCAATGGCAGATAATGAGCGTGCCACCAAGAAATGCAAAACCATTTTGAAATTTTATGAATTCAGAGGGGCCAGACATCATTTGCTCTAAAAAATATAAACATGCATAGCCAAGTAGTTAATGCTATATCGACCAAAAGCTCCAAAAATATGATACAGTCTAAAACAGATGGTATTGAAAATACGCAATCAAATGACAGCTCAAGAACAGGATTTCTAACAAAAGACATTGAAGAAAATGATGTTACCTGCAACTGCAATGTATGAAGGAGAAAGTTTCTCACAATCTCCCCATCTCCATCAAGCAAGAAGGCATACGCCGAAGGAACAAAATCACGAATAAAGACCTGATCATAGTTCAAAGTCTGCTTCTCCCCCGGATCATTCGCCGCTACAGTCCCCACCGGAAACCCGCAATAATTCACCACCGCACCACGAAGCAGCTTCCACGCCTCTTTCTCAGCCTCGCTCTGTTCTGTTTCGCTTCTCACACCCACATTTCCAAATTTAGCATCTTCTCTTCCGTTACCACTTTCCCTTTTCGGTATCTCTTCGGTTTTCCCGAGCTCCTTGAAAACCAGAGGCTTCACAAAGAGACTCTCGAAGCTCTTGTTATCAGTTACATGAGAATCCAGCGACGAAGAATTCGAATGGTTCCTAAAATCGGAAGCTACACGGGGAATTACTAATACACCCCTTCCTCTTCCTCTGCTAACTCTACCTCTAATGGAATCGGAATCACAAAAAGCCTTCCGATCCAGAGCAATTCGACGGCATTGAATACCAGATCTAATACTTCTGTATTCAATCTTCCTATACTGTAATTTCGACGAATTGATCAACTTGCCAGAGCTCGCAGGAGAAAACCCCAAGAGCGAGGACCTTCTAAAACTAATTAGAAATCTAGAACATGGTTTTATCGCAGAGTCACAGAGACAGCTCCTGCTGTTCATCATCATCATTCTCCAAAAAATCTCAAGCTACGATTGATGGATTAAATAAACCCCAGAAAAGAAAAAAAATCAAGCTATACAACCACCAGCAATTCAGCTTAGTCAGTTCTTAAACTGATTCGAGAAGAGAATGGAATCAGGGAACAATTAGATCGGAAATACTTACAGGAAGATGATCAATAAATGAGATTTTAATGGATAATGTAAATGAACGAAGAAGATTTTTTTTTGTTTTTGTCTGAATGTTTTGGTGAAGATGGAATCTGGGAGAAGACTTCATTCAAAGGGATATTTAAAAAGGAAAGCTATGTGGCGAAAATGTAAAATTACTCAAGATGTCGACGCAAGTGCACTTTTATGGTTTTTATTTTCTTTTTCCCGCATATATTGTAGATTACGAAAATAGCCTCCCGTACGTGTCACACATTTTAGTTGATACGGGGTACAAATGAGTAAATGACATTCCCGATTTTATTACCGGTGGTGGAGCCCACGTGATTTCTCATTAAATAAATGTGGAGAAATTCATAAAGAGACCAACTATATTGTCCCCTTGACGCGATGCTATTTACTGAATTACCCCTGGAAGCCATCACGTTGCTTCTTTCATTTCCGCTGCTAGATTACCATTGGCCAAGCTTTTACGTGGCGGATTATTGTTTGCCAAAGTGTCTGGAGATACGCAGAAAATCAAAGTCGTTTTTGTCTGAAATGTTATTCTGTGCAAGCGCGTCGCCGCCGCGGTCAATTCCGGTTTGATTTCGCCTGGCGTACAAGCAAGGATCTTTGATTTGTCACGACTCACATCGAAATGTACCCACGCGTTATCATTTAGCGCGTGATATTCAAGTGAATTATAGCCCATTGGACCAAATAACTGAGGCCCGTTTTGTCCTTTCATTATAAACCGTATATTAACAGTGATCAAACATTCTTAATGGGCTTCTGATGCATTTATGTACATTTTGTTTAGTTATAATTTTTGTGCAACAAGTCCATTAGGCTTAAGAGTATTAATTAATTTCCTTTCTACTGTTGCCTGTTGGAACTTGAAATTTAGAAACATAGAATCAAATGTCTTTTAGAAGAGAAGAGACGAGTGAGAACTAAACGAACTACTCGCGTTGGAATGGCGATAATTATCAAATTCTATGAAAGTGCGAGTGTTTATCCTTCTTCAAGATCGATGTTGCTTCAAAAAATAACTGTACGTCAACATCTATTTGGACACGCATATTAAGTTTATACCCAATGAATACATTAGACTATTAGAGATACACTTTATTAATTGTTCGGGCGTATTTGTATTACTTGAAGAACAACAAAAATTGGAGAAGTTACAAATATAAAATTGTAAGTAATTATCTTAGTGTTCATGATATTAGATGCCTAACCACGAGAGAATCGAAGCATGTGGGTGTAATACTAAACGTTTGCTTCTGAATAACCTAGAAAGAGATAGAAGCATGTCATTATATAACGTGCTTCACTTTGTCTTGCTACTATTAGCTAATACGGTCTTATCTACAATCCCATATTTTTGCTTTAAGAATATTTATAAACATACATACATGAAGTTAAGGATATGAAGTGTCTCTTTTCTAATTTTGTAGTTTAAATAACTCGCAAAGTTGCAAGATTCGAAATTAACACTAAATTAACAATCAGGAGATGATCTAATATTAATATTACATGAAATTTTAACTATGTGTATACATTCATGTCTCTCACGTTAATTTAATATCTCTATTGTTGAATTGTCTTATCAATTATGCAAAACACATTGGATCTATATCTACAAATAAGTTTAAACTATGAAGATCAAATGAACTTTTCATAACCTAAACAAATGTGAATACAAACGTATACAACCAAATGTGCCCTAATACCATGGACGAGTATCTATAAAATTACGCTAACCCTCATGATCAAAGCTCACAATCCTACAACCCTTCGTATATAATAACAACTAAATATAATGTAGAATTATGAAATTGGTTTTAATTGATTGTAAACGAAATCTTATAATTAAAAAAAAAAAATGATTGAGAAACTATGGATAACCACAAAAGGCAGACAAACAAACAAGTGGTTGCTAAGGTGTGGCAATTTCAAGGCAGGTATCAATCAACTTACGACGGGACAGACAAAACACAAACCTCTTTTTATGTCCAAAGGTACCACGGAAACCTATAAATCAATATTTTTCCCAGATTGGTAAGATTATGAAATATCAATAAAAGAGATGATTCATCATGTGTCGTATCAGTTAAACGATTTGGGTAGTCGTTAATGTGCTTAATATTGGGTTTGCGTCGCGATCTATTGTTATAGATTCTCTAATAAAGCAAAAATTAATTTTTATCACGTGTTAGTATGGTTTTTTAGCTAGTGCTTCGAGGATTTTGTGGCTAAAAATGGTTCATAGATAGAAAAAAAGAATGAGCAAACCACACTACAGCAGTTTAATGTAGTTCCGTTTTAGTACGATTTCATAATCACTCATTCGTAAGCCTGAGGTGTGTAAATATAGTGGCTGCTATTCGTCCGTTCTTAACCATTTTGGAAATATGCTTGTAGATTTTAGTTCATTGCTAATATTGGTTTCTTTAACTAAAAGTAAGTTATGGTAGTATATCGCCATTAATATCAACAAATTATCGGTTTCTTCCCCATAGCGACCATACCAAATGACCCCTACAGGAAAAAACAAATGTTCTAGTTCATTATTAATTTTGGTATATAATATGCTGACCACTTAATTAACCACAATTGTACATCTACTGAAACCTTCCTATATAGTAATATATTCAGATTCTAAGTCAGTACTATGTAAACAGCTTGCATGATATATTACTGATTTGCTGTCATACTAAAAGATTATTCTCTTTCAAGCATCTTCTCTATGTAGAAAAAGTGAATGAAAAAGAAAAGGTGAAAATTCCAAATACAATGTATTTCACTGGTTTCGGATTAGATATGATTTTGTTAATGTTGTTGTATGTGACTATGTGAGAAAAGGTGGTAACCAAGAACACGTTGACGCCGACGTGGTAAGTCTCTGGACACGTTGACCTTGACCATTCAGAAGACTATTGAGTCGGTCCTTATTTGTGCTCGTCTTCCCCAACAATGGAATATTATCCACCTTATCGAATCATCCAACGCCACGTGACGCACGGGTGAGTCCCATCCCATGTATCTGAATCTGTCTTTTGTCCTTTTATCTTTTTATCCATTTTTTTTGTTTTTGTTTTTGTTTTTTTTGTTGTTGTTAAAGTTCTTTTAATCCGTCTCTTCTGAATAAACCTCAACACAAGTTTGAATTAGATTAGGGTTTTTTGGTCACGAAGGAGATTACATTTCCACGTGTGAATTAAGAAGAATCTTTCTACAGTACCGATTCCTTTTATTATTATTACTGCCTTTAGCAAATCCTTTATATTATCAAAAAAAATTTACTGCATGCCTTCGCGTTGCATTTGAGTACTGGGATTAAACTTTTACCTCAAAAGTTCGCAATAGCGACAAATATTAAACTCTCCATGAGAATTGGAACGAAAAAGCTGACTGTATAGAAACTAGGAATCGAAATATTTATTTACGATATTCTTTTTATTTTTTTGTCACAATTTTAAGAATACTAGTAATTTAATTGGTGATATAATAACATTAACATAAAATCCACTTTCAGTCCCATCTGTTACTGAAATTGTCCGAACCCAAATAACATTTAACAAACTGAAACATTTTAGTTAAAGAATTCTAATTTATTTATAAAAATAAAACCCTATTATTTATTTTGTGACATAAAGATTCGTAGCCACATAAGAATAAAGTTGGCTGGAAAAGTTCGTCTAACGAAAAGTAAAAATGTTTCCTTTTTAAACCGGTCGAAGCCACCCTTTATACGATACTACACAATGGAATGTAGAACTTGGAATACCAAATTTTATGCTATGAGAAGCCAATCACGAATAGTAAAACTTGTTCATCTTAATCCACCATACTCGAAGTTGATGTGTCCTATCCCCCCACTCATAAATTTGTTATGCATCAGAACGAGAGAGTACATGCATCTTATTTCAATAGCGCAATGAGAATATTGGTTCACATCACTTATATCAGGCATAATAAAACTGATCATATATCCTAATTTAAAAAAAAAAAAAAAAAAAAAGCGAGAGAGAGATATTGCTGAGGGAAGAGGAAAGAGGAAAGAGATCTTCAGGTTTTGGGACCACTCTTAGACGTCGGCTTTGCTTGCTGGCCACACCACACCGCCTACGATTTTTCCATTCTCTCAGCCGCCGCCATCTTTTAATGAAGTCTTCCCACGTCTTTACTATTATGATCTCGTGCTTTTTCTCTTCTCCATCACGTGCCAATTCCATAGATGTGCAACATACGACTGTATATACATCTTAACTCTTGTGTCTATTTGAATTTAGAAGATATTTTACACAATGGGAAAAAAATGAGGAAAGCTGTATTATTGCTTGAAGGACCAAGTTGGTGGTATACAGAAAGTAAACGACTTCGACTCTATATAAGTACTCTCTTTTTTTTGTTTGACGGCTCACATTTAACGTATGAGGCTGCAAGTGCAAACAAATATAATAGGGAATTAAAGCTCATGAAAAAATGGGGTATCCAGTAAAACATTAATGTCAACTTGATTTCGTAATTATCAATGACGTCTTATCAATCTTGTTTTAGTTAGATTCACGTATTTTGAAGATAACTATACCCACTTTTGAGTAAGGGTTACCGCTATAAATTTTTGTAACCAATTTGATATTCCATCTGTCAGCTTCGTTTTAGAAGAAATGTTTCATATTTATTTGATACGGGAACGGAATGAATACTATGGAACAAGATTGCTAATAAAACATTAATACTACGGATAAACCCAAAACTCAAACGATTAAATATAATGGATCACATATAAAAGAATCTTGTTTCATATATTTTCTAACTGAGCACTTAACAGAGGAGGGAGAGGGGAT